GCGCTAGCGGTATCAACCGGATTAACGCTGATGTTTTCCGGCGTGGCCTCGGCTCCAGGCCTAGCAGTCAGAGCTCCGGTGTATTTGTATTTTCTAGAGTTAAATGCCATTTCAGCCGGAAATCAAGAGACCTGTCAGTACCCAATTATCTTTGTTTAGTTGCAAAAACTATGTCTGTAAGTCAAAATAATATAACTTTTTTTGGAATTTTTTAACAAAAGTTTGTGGGAACCCCAATAATTAGCTGTTACTCCATACCGCCCCCCTACATGTCCTTGACTTCATCACTACTAAACAAAACTGCAGGGAGTAAGGTCTTATCTTATTACTGATAATATCAATGCTGTCATGTTGAATATTCTGAAACATTTATGAATTTACAGGAACAAAAGCCACTGATGATGGTTCTCTTGTCTGTCTGTCAAGAAGAAAATGAATCTATAGCAATGCAATAATATCACTGGAGTAAAAATAACACTAGTGCCACCCACTACAACTCGACTAATTTCGTTATGTTTATGGTAGTGATAAAGTCATAGATAAGACAAAGTCATATTTGTTGAAGCATTTTTGTTTCGCTTGTTTTTGTCGATATTGGGGTTTAAACAGAAGAGAACTAGTGAAACGTGTGTGTCACAAAACATGGCACAATGTTCAAGTCTAATTGCTCTTAATCTGCTCTTATAGTTTCTAATTTCAGATTACACAAGTCAAATTACTCAGGTATTGTGTTATACATGAAATATAAATGTTCATATCTAACACTGTAGCCGCTGCGTTCCAAACAGGAAGTGCTCCAGTGCTCTTCCGGCTCCTTCTGACTCTGCCTCTTCCACTGGGATCTCGTGGCTCCTCTGAGGAGCTGTGACCTGAGCTCCTCTCTCTTGACCTGCTGCTGTGGCCTTGTTGTTTTACTCTTAAATTTTCTTTTGAAGCTGCGACTCTGGATTCCGAGGTCCCTCCTGCTGGCGTTAGCAAAAGGTTTGATTGACAGCTTGTGTGTTTCGTTGGTCAGTAAGCTTCCCTCTTTCTGGTGAGAAGGGCAGGACATTTAACCACCTCCATCATGTTTGGCTCTTGTGGTTGTTATGATACTCGGTCAGATTTCCACATGTACAGCCAGTAACAGGCAACAAGAGCTTCATTTGAGTGGAGCTGAACGCTGTGGAGACGTCACACTCACTTAGTCTACTTCTTTATACAGACTATAGGACACATGTGCTCATTCCATTACTGAAATAAAGTGATCAAATTTGGTTTTGTGACCATGTTTAATAACATGTTCTTGACGATGGAACAATGTTATAACATTGTATATTTTGCATAACACCCATAGCCGATTTATTTAATGGGACTACAGGCTTAACAACACTAACAGGGTAAACGGTCTACTCAAACAGGCCTACAAGATAAGACAAAGGAACCCTTGTAATTCAGGCTATAGTCTAAAATATTAAAATATAATAATATACACTCTTGTACTTGTGGTGGATCATTGACATTGCAGAAGTGAAGTGAATACAAATAGTAGTGAAAAATCATTAACAAAACAATCTGAGGCATCCAGGGTTAAGAATAATTCCTCTTTGCACATGACAGACACCTACAATGGACAGGCACTGTGATGGTGGAAGAACTAGAATATGTCATAAACACGTCTTCAACAAGTATTTAGTTTATTCAATATGGGGCAATTGAGAAGCATTTTCACACAACCAGTTCATCATTTAAAATGTACCTGGTAAATCGTTTTATTATTTTTGCCGTGTTAAACCGAGAGCAAAATCACATGGATAAAGTGGGCAGCTGTCATCTGAACTGTATCTGTTTTATGTTTATAGACTTTGCAGTTTACACCCAAGATAAATTTCCACTAGTGGGACAATAAAGTTATTAATAGTTTAATCTAAGTTTATCTCCATTTTATAGTTTGCTCTTAATTTTCCAAACTGAAAAACAAATTTTATAGGGTCAATTTAAACAGATATGAAGCCTGCATGAGAGACACTCAAGGGACTTTGCACCGTCACTATCACAGTTTAAAGCCCTAGTACAAACTTCAAAATAATAATCTAAATTTTACAATTCCCTGATGGCCTTTTTGATTGAAACATGTAGGCATCTCCTTTTGTAATAATGAGTACAACTTTTTCCAGGCAAGTTTTGGCTCTCGCTTAATAATGTAAACACCAACACAAACAAACCTCGACTTAACAAGGATTAGTTTGACTCTGTCCCACAGTGAACTGAATAAACTACATGACTCTGTTTGTGTTGGCGTCTTGTTCTTGGGCTGAACCAGTTTCTGTCTTAGTGTGTTGACTGGTTTAAATACAGATGAATGTTTTGTTGTATGAAGATCCTTTGCAGTTTTTCAGACAGATCCGACACATATGGGACAGATACAGCCTGTACTTCTGGGTTCTGTTTCTTTTTGTTCATCTTTTTGGTTTCTTTCTTCCTGTTGAGTGTTCATGTGAGGTATCCACAGGCTGATGGTGCATGTTTCTCTTCTTTCCCTCTTGTGTTCTGTGTTGAAGCTTCCTGAAAACTCCCAGTTTATGCTGCGGGTGTATTTGTGTCAAAGAGCAGCTACTGGTCTGTGTGTGCAGATTTACAAAGATATATTTTTATATTTTTTTAACTTTTGTTTTTGTGATCTTTCTGTTTCCAGCCCTTAAATAGATCTGATCTGCTGCTGAAGAGAACACAAACATAGAAATTCCATTATGAATAAGCCTGCCGTGATAATACATTTTGAAGCATATTGCTGAAGAAATTATAGATGATAAAAAATAATACTGAAACTATTTTATGCCACTGACACAATAACAGGTTAGTCTTAAAATCACATCAAAAATTCACCTAGTTTTAACATTGCATTACACTTTTACATATGCTTAATATCGCACCAAACATGCCATTAAATATCCTCCAACATTGCATCATGTTATGTCACTCGTCTAGTCTAGCTGGACTTGCTTGTTGTAGAGATGAAATTAAGGGAAAACTCAACAAAGAATCCAAACAAGTGATTTGTCTTTGTCTTATTTTTCGGCTTTTTATTCAGGTTTTACTGTGTCATTCTGTGACTGGGGAATACCAGCTCGTCGCTGTGCAAGCTCATTGACTCAAGTAATCACCTTGGTCAATACACAGCAGGGTATCGTGTTCCCAGCTACTCGATGACTACAATTTTACTCAAAAGCTCAAATACAAAATAATTAGGACAAATCACTATGCAAGTACATTAGGAGCATTTACCCTGTGACTAGGTCTGCTGCAGAGCGCTGCCTAGTTCAAATGTGGGATCTGCTTTACTAGCAAAGGATACGCTAGTGAGGTCAATGACAAAACTGATGCAGGATCTAAATTTGCAGAGAATTTCACCTAATATTTATACTATAGATCCCACAGGGCTCCTCCCAAGTACATGCAGAGTGATCAGTCTTCACACATAGCATTACTGTGAAGTATATAGATAGATAGAGGACGCTTCAAAAACTGCATACTTTGCTCTGCAGGCCAGTCGCCCACCTAGCAAGGTGCAAGCCTCCTGTACAGAGTGCATGGATTTTGTACATAATTTGCAAACTGCAAAGTTCATGTGCACAGTTTTATCACAGTCCATTGTTGCATATAAAAGGTTATAAAAGCAAAATCAGATAAATCATATTAATATAAATCATAAAAATGCCACTAAGTGCTATAACAATTATTTTACTACATTTTATGAATCACTAATGCTCTAAAAGCTACTAAATGAAAAATAAAACACTCTTAATAATATCAAATGAATAACAAAACTTTCTTAATAAGGCTGGCACCAAAACCTTCATTTCTCAGCCAGTGGGGGTGGGGTCAGGGCGTATAACAACTGTATAAAACTATTTTCCAGGCTGTAGCACAAATGAACATAAGAGAGTGGAGTCAAAAGCATCAGCAGACTCAGGAACAGTTTCTTCCCCACAGCTGTTTCCTTACTGAACTCTATCTCCCACTGAGCACCCGTGTCCAATGTGTCACCCACTCACCCCCTCCCTCTTCATCTTCCTGCAATGAATCAATGACATGTTCGTATTATATCTGATACATAACTTTCTATGTATTTATTTACAGTGTACTTGTTCATATATGTCTTTTGTTCATTTATATATGTCATACATACATATATTTATATTTTCTATAGCACACCCTGTATATTTGTTCATAGTATATACTGTTTACAATACATCTGATTATATCTCCCCCATGTGTATTATACCTAATTCCCTCTTGTTCATACTGTCATATTTATTTGTATGTTGTATATTGTATCTTATATGTATTTGCCACAATCTACACTGTAATATACTGTATAGTGTCTATATTGTATATACTCTACATTCTGTACATATGGAACTTTCTGCTCCTTGCACTTCTGATTAGACGTTGTTACAGCTCGCGGCCGGTCTCCGGCTCCACATTGCCTGGTGCTCCCCGTTTGTATTACCGCGTGTATCTTCCACATTTGCATGTCCTGTGTGGTACCTGACATCTGACTGGTGGGCCGTGGTTGACTCCGACGTCCATTGTGCTGTGGTTGGAGGATTGATGTCCCGTTCCTTCAATCCCTTTCCTACACATTCATCACCTCGACCAATAAAAGTGCTGTGCGCCTGTCCCTCCTGGAGGCTGGATGGCAGTTTCAGTTCGCCCCTCTCACTAACAGACGTTCTCTAGTTGCCTCTCTTTTGTTATTGTAAAGTGTGTGTTTGTAGGGGTCGTTACCGACCTATAATTTTTGTTAATATTGCCAGTTTGGTTCGGCCCTTGGGCAGTTTTTTTTTTTTTTAAATAAAACAAACCAATTCAAAACTTACCTAATACAAACCTATCAATCAAACATTTCCAATTAATTTGAGGTGGGAATGGGTATTAAGCTTCTGGACGAGCCCTCAATTTGTTAGATATGTTACGACCCAGTGCTAGGGACAAAGCAAAGTAACACAAACCAGATATGATGTGAAGTAAACGGCTTTTATAAAGTGAATGTAAGTAAGTACAACAACAACAAAAAAACAAAATGTTTTGCATTTGATAAATCAGAATTTCCAAAGTTAAATAAACAACTCCTAAACTAGGGTAAGCTAACATCAAACAAAAAAAACAACTGCCCAAGGGCCGAGCCAAACTGGCAATACTAACAAAAATTATAGGTCGGTAAGGACGCCTATAAACACACACTTTACAATAACAAAAGAGAGGCAACTAGAGAACGTCTGTTAGTGAGAGCGGCGAACTGAAACTGCCATCCAGCCGCCAGGAGGGACAGGCGCACAGCACTTTTATTGGTCGAGGCGATGGATGTGTAGGAAAGGGACTGGAGAAACTGGACGTCGGAACCAGCTCACAGCGACGGAATCACGCCCCACCAATCAGACGTCAGGTACCACACAGGACATGCAAATATGGAAGATACACGCGGTAATACAAAATAGGAGCACCAGGCGATGCGGAGCTGGAGACCGGCCGTGAGCTGTAACAGATGTTGTTAAATTGTGTACGAATTGTGTTATACAAATAAACTTTCCTTGCCGAGATGCTAAACATTTTGTTACCTTGTATTTATACATGTGTAATGACAATAAAGTTGAATCTAATCTGATCAAGTATTGAATGTAAAGTTTATATCAGTTTTTTTTTTTTTTTTCTTTTACACATCTGCACAGTTGCATATTGATATTAAGTTTGTTTTCTTTTTAAAGATAACATCATACAACTCGTGCATACAGACAGACGTTTTGTTAGATGTCACAGCACATTCACAGCATATTTAGTGGTTTATTCTTTGACAGTAGCCTGGAGAAATAACCAGTTTCATTTGATTTCCTCTGGTGGCACACTTTAAGTCACTTCATAGATGTTCTGGTTGGGACCTACATTTTCATTTTAGAAAACTGTTCATTAAGGATTATAAAACTTGGTCATATTGTTGTGATTTTTCATTATTTGTTTAGTAATTAATATTTAATCCATATGTGATTTGTCAGTTTAGTCAGTCAAGACTAACTAGGCTATGTTTTAGATTACATTTAGATTAAAGATGGTACTTAGAGCCAATAACTTGTGGAAAGATGGAGAATCCTCATTCTATCTCAGTCTTCATCTTGTTGTCCTTCCTGCTGCATGACATCATTGAGAGAAAAAGTGACAAATGCGATTTGTTCAAGTTCCGATTCTTCCCCACATTCCATCAAACCAGAAAATGTATTTTTATCCCCATGGTAGGCCAGGTCTGAGTAGCCACTGGGTCCACTGTGGATGATCGTAGGCGTTTCCCATCCAGATGACTGCAGAGGAGAACGGTTTAAATACACCCCCATATCTCTCCTGCAGCACTCATGGGTGGGGTGCATGAAGAGGAGCCATGTTTGGGTATCTGGGGCAGATTCTGGAGCGGGAAAGGCAATGATACTGCCCTGACAACCAAAAGGGGGCTCCACCAGCTCACTGGCAAAGTGCACTTGGTCAAAAGACACATCACTGTTCTCACTCAGAGCCTCACTCAGAGCCTCACATCGATGGCCTTTTGTTATGGAGCGAGCATTGCAGTAAAGATGGCTCTTACCTTCATGGTCAATTATTTCTGCCATCTCACATTCACTTGAGTCTTCTCTCAGCATTTCACTCAGTCGCCATGTCTTGCCATCGTCTTTGCTGTATATGGCCAGGGCACGTGGGACAGTGCCACTTTCCCTTTGTGGAATGTAATAGGCATAAGCTGGGATGATCAGTCTCCCGTCCTCCAGCTGGACCCCATGGCCCGGACCAACCCCAAAAGTGGCCCAATTGTTGATAGTCTCACCAATCACAGTCTCTGTTAAGTCTGTCACATTGCTCCATGTTTGGCCATTGTCAGTGCTGGTCACATAACACAGTCGTGTTTGGTTTTTACCTGTGTGGATTTGTTTCTGCTCTGTAACGCTCTTCCAGACGCAAATAAAAAACAAGAAGACTGTGTTACTCTTTTTCTCGTACACAGGACAGGGATTCATTGTGCGGTGGTTTGGTAAAGTGGCTGATTGCAGCTCCTGTGTTGACGACCACTAAAGAGAAAAACATGACAGAGTCACTGCTGAGTGTAATGACTGTATAAAGCCACTCCTCTGATGGTCGCATAATACAACTATTCAAAATATTCAGGAAGGTTCATCATAACAGTTAACAGGTTTTGACAGTTACAGATGCTGATAAAGACAAAAATATTATCAAAAATTTTTGATTTTAATCTAGATTTAATTATAAAATTTAGGCGACTGTTTGTTCTGTTTGTTTGCTGTAAAAAGGCTGAAGAAAGTGACACCTCATGTTGTCACATTTGAGCTTTATGAAAACATTTTTGAGCATATGTGTAAGATACAGACAACAGGCTGCTCTAATCTCATCAAACACCAGGCCTAATCAATAACACCTTTATTATGAATTTATAGACTATTCAAGTCAAATTGTTGATTTTACCTCAACAGATCCGTCCTCTGTCATTGTTCCTCTCCTCATTACCAGGATCTTGGCTTCATGGTCACTGGACGACAACCTCTTTTCAGCGAAGGCGAGAAAAGTCTGGACTTCCTGCAGGTAGATGAGTGCAGGGATCCTGTATGTTATGCCACTTTGCTCTTTTTCAAATAAAATTGTTTTGGTCGGTTCATCCATGTTGACATTTTGTGAGGCTCTGTTCTCCATGGTTGATACAGAGTCCTGCATGCACAAAAAAGAAGAGAAAGAGACACTGTGACTGAATCCTGTGCATGAAACATCTGGAGAGAATATACCAGGAAGAGTTCACACAGACAGACAGGTAGACAGACAGACAGACAGATAGATGAGTTTAACTGATTCCCAAGGGAAAATTCAGTATATAAAAACATTTTTTTTAAAGAGAGAAGAGTGAAGTGTATCTGAGGTGCAGCCTGCTGTCAGTTGCTCTGCATTTCCAACGTCACGGAACCGCCACAACTTTCATTTCTGAACGATACAGGAGGCTACACTTGTCACATTTGTCCATTTTGTTGACTACAAAGCTCAGTGACAGTTGCTATAATAAAACAGATCCCCGACAATCTCAGAGATGATCACAGCTGTGAGGTGAAACTGACTGAGAGACAGAATAACAGTTTTCTGGAGGCTAATATTCATTTCATTATCGTTTTTCTATAAATGATCAGATCTGTTTAAGTTAAAATTAGGACTTGAAGAGCATTTGTAGGCCTAATGCAGTTAATGAAAATCTCCACCCTGCTCTATAGCCATGCTCCTGTGAGGTACTGCGGTTGAATTGGTTGGATATTGGATACTGGACAACTTGTGATGTCTTCATAATCATCCAGGGTATATATCACAAGACAGTAATTATTTAAAAAAAAAAAATCTACCATTGACCATTGTCAATTTACATCACAAGTTAATTGAGTGTTGAATTCACAAAGATGCATTCAATCAGCTCATAGTATGATTTTTCTTGTGATATTTACCTTGGATGATTATGAAGACGTCACAAGTTGTTTGAAAAAAAATCTGTGGTATGTATCACAAGTTAAATGTCTTTGAATGTGTTGAATATCCAATATCCAAATATCAAACCAACTGAACCGCGGTGAGGTCTGTGAGGCTGATGTGGAGACAAAACTGAGTCTGATGCGTCTGATAAATGAAGTTTTTATACGCAAGAATCAGTCAGTTATTGTTGGTAGGTCTTTAGAGGCAGATTAAAGCCGATGTGCCTCAAATGCCTAGGACAATAATAAAAGGAAATCAGACCTCCACACCCTGAAAACAAATGCCTCTCACTTCTGGATTTCCATGGAGCTTTGGGGCGATTGAACCATTCTGGTTATTTTTTTCCATATATAATTTGCCTATGTCTACAACCCCTCCCTTCTATCAGTCTAATATCTATTTTACGTCTTAACACGCACAAACGTCTGTGTCCAAACTGAAATGCGCCATCGAGCCTGAGCCACCGAGAGGAAACTGACCTGGTCAAAAAAAACAGTGGCCTAATACTACACAATCAAATGTCACCGTCATATGTGTGTGTATGTGTATGTGTGTGTATATGTGTGTGTGTATGTATATGTGTATGCAAATATGTATGTGTATGTGTATGTGTATGTGTGTGTGTGTGTATGTATGTGTACGTGTATGTGTGTGTGTGTGTGTGTATATACGTACATGTATGTATATGTGTATGTGTATGTATGTGTATGTGTATGTGTATGTACGTGTATGTGTATGTATGTGTATGTATGTGTGTGTGTATGGGGGTGTGTATGTATATGTGTATGTGTATGTGTGTGTGTGTGTGTGTGTGCGTGCGTGCGTGTATGTGTATGTATATGTATATGTATATGTGTATGTGTATGTATGTGTATGTGTATGTGTATGTGTATGTGTATGTATATGTGTATGTGTATATATGTGTATGTGTATGTGTATGTGTGTGTGTGTGTGTGTCTGTGTGTCTGTGTATGTGTCTGTGTATGTGTCTGTGTCTGTGTATGTATATGTGTATGTGTATGTATATGAGTATGTGTATGTGTATGTGTATGTGTATGTGTATGTATATGTGTATGTGTATGTGTATGTATATGTGTATGTGTATGTATGTGTATGTGTATGTATGTGTGTATGTGTATGTATATGTATATGTATATATGTGTATGTGTGTGTGTGTGTGTGTGTGTGTGTCTGTGTGTCTGTGTATGTGTATGTGTATGTGTCTGTGTCTGTGTCTGTGTCTGTGTATGTGTATGTGTATGTGTATGTGTATGTGTATGTGTATGTGTATGTGTATGTGTATGTGGTGTTCTGCGCAGATACGTGCTGAAAAGAATGAAGCACAAAGGCCCGTGCAGATTCTGTTTTAGATGAGTGTTTCCCACGGCTCAGTTAGGACATTGTCCCTCTGTCTGATCTCCTCTGTGGCCCAAGTATTCTCTGATCAAGAGCTTCACACTGACCCAAGCCTCTGGTGATATATGGAGCGCGCATTATAACAGACTCTCACGTAAATTACACGTCAAAGTGTAAATAGCGGCACGTCGGAACAGAACAGTCTGTACTCACATTCACACTGAGCTTCAAATACGGACTGCGCCTGCACGATGAAACCTTACCTCCACAAGCCACTTGTTACGCCGTTTAATACTATCGAAAATGTTGTGGGAAGGAATACCCTCCCAACCCAAAAAAAGACAAGAAATGTGACGCTATCGTGATGATGCTGAGTGCTGTTAGAAAAGGACGTCAGTTCACTTCACTTTCACTTTCACTTCTGTGTTCTCCAATAGAGATCATCATAAAAAGGACTAAGAGCTAAATGACTGTAACTAACTGCCGACATATGTAATAACTGAAATAAAAATGATCAAATATAGAAGTGTTATGAACAAGAAGAAAAACGTGACATTTGTGGAAAGTATCACTGACGTGAAACTTGCCCCTCCTCATTGTGGACATACGCACTGCTCAATAGATTTTAAATCAAATGTCCATGTTTCAGATTTAATAGACTGATGTAATTTTATCAAAAGTAACTTAATAATGTAAATGTTTTATTTCAAAAGGATCTGGACACTGTGGGTAATAGTTTTACAATCATTTATCAGAGTGAAATTCTGTCTTTTGGGGGGTAAGATAAAGCAAATGAAGTAATATAATTGTATTTATTTTATGATAAATAAACAGTTAATGTACATTTTGTCGCTCATGTTAAACTGATTTTATATTACCATGTACATGTATCTATTTTTGTTGGAATTCTTTGGAACTTCTTTGTCATGAAAATCGCTTTAACCCTTGGTGGACATGTTGAGAAATGAAATAGTTGATGTTAATGTGTAAAAACCTGTGTAACAGTGAGAAGCTGAAGGCAGTTAGTACATAAATGAGGATGTGGCTGGACTGATCTGGCAACACACTGCCTCTCCCTGTGACTCTGTGACAACTGAAGCCTACAGTTTACATACAAACTTCCATCAACTCTCAACATGTATTCTGAATGAATATCCCATATTTTACTGTACTACAACTACCAGAAACCAAAAAAAGAGCAGCATCTCATACTGACTGTATTATGTGTTACTCGAACGCTTGATCTGCTGCTGAGTCTCCTCCTGCACCTGGACTGAACACGCTACAAAAACACACACAGGACCACCTATCTCACTAGAAATGTTGAAATTTTAAGAGATGTTTGTATAATTTCTAATCTTTTTGTAATTATTTTATTGACTATTTTGTTCCAGTATTGCTGGTTCAATTGAATGCTGAAAAGAAAAAGAAATGTATTACATTTAATGTCCAAATAGCCGACTTATGGATCCTTTTATTGCTGCTTCAACTGTTTTTCTTTGCTTAAAACCTGAGTAATACTAATAGTTCAGAGACACGATCACTCAGTCCACAATAAAATATCCTCATTAATGTTCAATAATGCTCAAATCCACCTTTATTTTATGATTTATGAAAAATGTTTATTGACTTGGGTCGTGAATGTTTGTGACTTTTAAAATTTAGATCCCCAGAAAAAAAGTTTGGGAAACACTGGGTTAACTTATCTGTTATTATACTATATTAATTATATTAATATATATTAATATATATTATATTATAATATACTATTATTCAGTTTGAAATGTACATGTTGTAGTCAAGCAGAGGTAAAATAGGTATAGCTAATCACTAACTCTAAAAGAAAAGTCACCAACATGACAACAACAATAATGTTTTTTTTTTTTTAAATCATCAAAGCCATTTATTTATCACTTATAAATACATTTAACACACTACAAAAATCAATATAAAAACTTCATATTGGTACAAAGGCATCTCTGAGCACCATATTGTGAGTTATGTGTGGTTTTGTCAGTGACTCGGCATCAAAGATTCTCCAAACACGTTTCCGTACGATGTTTTGAGAAAGTGGACGTAGTTTTGCAAAGCTCTGTTTGTTGAGTCGCTCTGTTCAAGTCTCTCCTTCAGGTTCTGCAGCTGCCCCTGAAACCGGCGCTCCATCTGAGAATAAAAATAAACCAAACAAATTACGTGCTGTACGTTTTAACTCGCATGAAGTTCATTTATCTCAGACTTATGTTGCAACCAGTAGCTAAAGGTATTCATGGTAGTTGTGGTAATTGAGACTCTCTGCATTTAGAGTATATATTTTTATTTAGAGCCAGATCTATTCATGTTCATGTCCTTTTTTGGGTTAATCCTTATTTAGAATGGATAGAAAGGGAATTGTATTTGCTTTTATTTAAATTTGTGTATCACAATTCGTAACTCAAAGTGCTTTATGGTGCCATGAGGGAAAATTTTAGATATATAGCCATATTATTCAATTTTCTAATCTATTCCTAATGTTCATAATGTCACATATCTAGATTTGTGTTTTGTTGTTTCATTCACACATGCAGAAACCCTGCAGATTTAGGCTGAGTTCTTCTCTCAGACAGAAAACACTTAGGAAGTGCTCCATTGTGTTCTTAAACTCCATACACCTTCACTAAAATCATTTGGATAATTTCAACCCTGGACTTGCACATGTCTACTGAACAAAAGGTGAAAGGCTGACTTGTTTAACTTGAAAACTACTGCGTCATGGCATCACAAGATAGAACAGAGAATTTTGAGTTATAGAAATGTAAACAGACTAAAAATAAAAGTGTGTGAATGAAACAAAACACAACTCCAGGTTTGTTTTTGAGGAGGTAACGACATTCGAACATGACTTAAAGTTCACAAGAGTCAATTTTGCATTAACAAATCATGTGACTGACTGTAAATTACAAATATTATCTGTGCCACTAGAGTCTAAAAATCTATAGGAAACACTAGTTATCTTGGTACTTGGTGTCAGGAGCGTCAGGCTGATGGGGGGAAAGGGTACAGTTTACCCCGGACCCAGAGCAGGGAGGGACCCTTCACAAAATCTGTAATACGCAATTTTCATATAGAGAACATGTAATATAGGCCAACCAACATGATTTGTACTCAGCGCCTACAATTTTGTAGACAGGCTGGCGCCACCTAGTGCCTCTGCTCAATTTCATTTCTCTCCAGTGACTAGGTCAGGAATCAGAATACACTAGAAGGTTTGCAAGAACCCTGGAAGTTGTAGACCGTACACCGGCCAATCAGCTGTGAACTGTGAAGCCATAATGTCAAACTCGTCGCGTCTGTCTGTGTCCCTTTTGTGGAACAGCACAACAGTAAAAGCGTTGAGATGGATGTAGACGAAGACAGACATTCTGTGTTGGCAACGATTCCCAAGCTTGAGGAATTAAAGCCGGAACAAAGAGAATGTTTGGTGAATTTTATCAAGGGGAAAGCTGCTTGTCCTTCTTCCTTCGGGATTTGGCACATTACATACATCACAACCAAATAGCAGCGATTGGTTAAATAAAAAAAGTACCCGCCTACCGTCGAGCGAATGAATCCTAATGCAGACGGTCAGACGGTTTCCACGAAGAGAAACCGGCTGATGAATCAGGCTAACAATTTTGTACTTTACCCCTGCTTGGTGTGAAAACTTTATTGAATGCCAGTGCTGTAGAGTTGATAGCGTTGTGCGTACCTCCTGTTTGCTCCTCTGCAGCAGGCTGAGCTCTGTCTTGGCTCGGCTCAGTTCACTCTGTAAATCTAAAGCTTTGGACTGGGACACGTGCTCTTTGGACAGGAGCCTCTGCATTTCCTCCTCGGTCTGTCTCTTGGCGTCCTGGAGACTCTGCTGCAGTTTGGAGTTTAAAACAGACACCTCCAGACCTCGCTCCTCCAGCTCCTTCTCCAACTTCAACACCAAACTCTCCTTCAGAACCAGGTTCTGGGACTGAGCTGTGGACTGGACTTTCAGATCCTCCAGTTTACTGACAACACACAATAATGGAATAAGTTTACTCTCTTATACTGTAGTCCTAAGGCACTTTTAAAGGTGCACTGTGTAACTTTCTGGTGGATGATCTGTCACATGCTGATTTCTATAGATATGTCGCTGCTCTGCCTGGAATGTTCCACAGTATGACATTAAACAACTCTACCTTACATCTGTTCAATTGCAGGTGATATTATAGCTCAAAAATACCCAGAAAAACAGGCATTCTGACTGTGAGCAGGGTCGCCTCGACACAGATCTGACCTGTAACTTGGCCTGGTTTGGTCTCAGTGTCTCCAAGATAGACAGGTTTAATGCCATACTGTGAAACATTCCAGACAAAGCAATAACATCTCCCCAGAGAAAAGCATTTATCCCTCTCCAGGCAGGCAATGCAGATTTGCAACAGCTAAATGCCAATTACCTACTTACTCCACATACATATTTTATTAGTTTTTTTTACTCAGGAGCCTTGTTTCCCATCCATGCTGTTAAACGTGGGCGATGCAGACTGTGCAAGAATGGCAACACACAAACGGCCTGCCAGAAGTGCAAAGTACTAGTGTTGTTTACGAAGGATAAAAATTGTTTCTTGGAGTACCACACGAAAAAGTGATGTTGTTCTGTCACTGTAAAGCTGTTACACTGTGCTTTATGTTTTCATTATTATGAAAAGTGGTATACACATAAAGTTAGTGTTCATATCATTTTCAGCCTTCAGTGTTAATTTACCACACTGGACCAATGCTGCAAATCTGCAACATCCCAGAACACACTGGATGTGAAGGTCTCACTCAAAAAAAAAAAGTCAGGATTGTATATTACTACCCCATATGATCATTTTCCCCAAATATCAGATGTTTTCCTATTACTAAAATTTTATTTGAGCCTGAGAGGGTTAATGGACAGTCCAGAAAACTTACACAATGCAGCTTAATACTGCACCATAACGCCAAAGCAAGTTCATAGTTTGTGAAGTTTGTGCACTGACAATGGCAATAAAAATTGATTTTGCATCTAAAGTAATCATCATTTCAGATAAATAGGTATGACTGGTGAGCAAGACAAAATTACTACTGTGAAAGACTTTGCCCCCTGAGGACATGCCACACACCTGGAGTCTGACCAGCTACCAGTGGAAGATGAACTCTATTTTGTTACTTAAGTAAAAGTACAGACACAGGGGCAAAATATTACTCAAGTAAATGTAAAAGCATCACATGAAAAAATCTACTTAAGTAATTAAGTTAATAATTAAATTATTAAAGTAAGTGTTTAAAAATGTGCTTTAAGGGTAAAAAGTAAAAGTATTTCTCACATATTTTGTTGTTTATTTGTTGTGTTGAATGTAGTACTATTGCAGATTTTGGTCAGCAGTGTCAATACAAATCAATTTCTTATTTTTTCTTATGAATTGTGTGCATTTATTGTTGTTTGCTGAAAGCTGAAGCTTGAACTCAAAACCTTTAGTCGTGATATTACCGCAAACAGGGTCAAAATAACCCCCAAAAAATCATATGAACAGTACTTTTTACTTTTGAGTCATGTTAAAAAATGTAGTGGAGAAGTACAGATACTTGCTGTCAAATCTGTTGAAGTAAAAGTAAAAAGTATCCACTGTAAAATGTAAAATATACTTAAGCAAAGCACAGATACCTTAAAATCTACTTAAATACAGTATTTTACAACTTGTACTTCATAACCTTCTGCTACTGCTAGCTACTGCCATTCATAAAGTACATAAAGATGCTGGTACCGCTCTAAAGTCTGTGTTTTCTTGTGGAGGCTGTTGTTTTCATCTTGTAGAAGTGTGTTTCTCTGTTGAGCCAGGTCCAACTGCGCCCCCTGCTGTTCCACCTGAAATGAACAGACCCACAGCTGAAACCAGTGCTATTAAGCAAGCTCACAGGGACCATTTCAAACCTCATATTCAAATTTCAGTTTAAAAATAATGCATTATGGGTGTAAAATTAGGTCAAAATATTTAAGTGCACTGTTAACCTGCTGTCCCTGAGCCGATGAACAGATGAACAGATGAAAACTGGTGTATAGTTCTATTTCATTCCAACCAAGTATACTAGAATGCTTATTTAGAAACAAAAGTATTCACATTCTTGTTCTTGTTCTCTCTCTCTCTTGTTCTTCTTTTACAGAGAGGGTTTGAATCTGGTGATTACAAACATAATATAACTGATGACAAATCAGCTTAATTTTAATATTAATAATACTACTAATAATAATAATGATAATGGAGTTCTTCGTTCCTACTCTCACCTATGGTCATGAGCTCTGGGTAGTGACCGAAAGGACGAGATCGCGGATACAAGCGCTTGAAATGGGTTTCCTCCGTAGGGTGGCTGGACGCTCCCTTAGAGATAGGGTGAGGAGCTCAGTCACACGGGAGGAGCTCGGAGTAGAGCCGCTGCTCCTCCATGTCGAGAGGATCCAGTTGAGGTGGCTCGGGCATCTGTTCCGGATGCCTCCTGGGCGCCTCCCTCGGGAGGTGTTCTGGGCATGTCCCACCGGGAGGAGACCCCGGGGAAGACCCAGGACACACTGGAGGGACTATGTCTCTCGGCTGGCCTGGGAACGCCTCGGGGTCCCCCCGGAGGAGCTGGAGGACGTGTCTGGGGTGAAGGAAGTCTGGGAGTCCCTGCTTAGGCTGCTGCCCCCGCGACCCGGCCCCGGATAAGCGGACGAAAATGGATGGATGGATGGATAATGGAGTTTCATATAGTGCTTTTCTGGACACTCAAAGACGCTTTACAGAGCATTATTCATTCACTCCACACTCGGTTGTAAGCTACTAATGTAACCACAGCTGCTCTGGGGCAGAATGAAAGAAGCGAGGCTGCCAATCTGCGCCATCGGCTCCTCCGACCACCATCTCTCACAGACACACCACTTTTATACTAGGGAATGTGGCTGAAGTGTCTTGCCTATGGACACATGGACAGTTTTTGTGACTGGCGCCCCCCTGTGGCACCTGATTTTCCCAGTGGTTTCGAATCCAAGTACTAACCAGACCTGGCCTTGCTGAGCTTGAGCGATCTGACAGGATCAGGTTTTGATGAGCTGGTATGGCCTTTTGTGGGTATGATTATAGGCAGACCTTACAAAAAACAAGAGTGACATGTTCTGTGTCTTGCCTTGAGTCGTAGTTGGGCGAGTGCGGTGGTGTGTTCACTGTTCCTCTTCTCGTGCATCTCAGCGCTCTGCTGTGCTGCCTTCAGGCGCTGCTCGGTCTGTCTGATTTTCTCGGGCAGGTCCTCGAGCTCTCGCAGACGGTTGTGCAGGTGGCGCTTCTGTCCTTCCTTCTCCAGACTCAGCTGTATCTTCAGCTCTCTGCTCTGTGCCTCAGCCTCCTCCAGCTTTTGGACAAACCGCTCCGACTCCAAACGGCTCTCTTGCAGCTGGAGGGGGAAAAGGAAGTGCGCGTTAGCATGTTAAATGTTGTTAGTCTTACTGCCACAGCAAAACTCCACTCTGAGGGATGTGAAAAGCGCTTGTAAACTAATTGTAATTGTCCCCAAAATGGATGGACTAAGTGAGAAAAGACGTTGGACCAGTGTCAGTATAGTATATTTATATTTTAGTTATGTTTTTTAAATTATCACGATAGAGGAAGCTGTTACCTTCTTCCTGTATTTCTCCACCTGGCTCTCATGTTTTCTGAGGAGGGATTTGAGTCCTCGAGCTTCAGACTGCAGATCTCTGAATCTCTCCTCTGATGCAGACAACTCGCCCTAAGACCCAGGAAAACAAAGAAAACATTTTAAAATAGTATTGACTGACTCTGGTGGAGGGTCCATCAAATACTTGTTTCCACGGAGATGTTATTTTTTTGTCTAGCATTAAACCTTTCTATCTTCATGGAGACCGGATCAGATCTGTGGAGAGACGACCCTGCTCACAGTCAGAATGCCTTCTGTTACCATGAAAAGTTCTATATAAAACCGATGTATTATTATTATTTATTATTATTATTATTATTATTGGAAACAAGCAGCTGACGGACCCTCAACTGAGTGCACCTTTAAATAAAGACATAAACATAACACACATAAAATAATGCCACACAATTTTACAGTTTCAGTAGTTTCATTTATACCACCAGAAAAATCTTATAACTGGAGCAATCCGTAATTAGATATGACATTTTTGAAGTCCCATAATTTCCTCAACAAACAACTAAATATTCTGTCATATTCTTCATGTTCTGGAATGTGATTCTTGTATTAGTTCGTTGGTTCATATTTCAGTCTTTTTTGTCAGACCTTCTGGATCTGCTTAAAGAAAATGTGAACTTCGAACAGAAACGTTTGTCAGAAAACTTAAATTTAGAATTTATTATTACATCGTTCAGCACTAATGGGCATTTGCTTGTGTTTAGATGCATGCAAAACATCAAAAATCTAGAAAAACTGATAACCGTATTTTCCGCACTATAGGGCGTTCTGGATTACAAAGCGCATTAAACAAAACACAACAGTTAGATAAGTCAGTCAAACTTTATAACTCTCAACTTTGTTCAACTGTAACGCATAAAAAAAATACTGTCTGAGACACTAAATTGTTGCTGAGTATTCACAATAAGTCATAATAGTTCAAACAGTTGGGTGATTCCGGCGGCACGCCCACATCCCTCTCGTCATTATCTGAGTCAGTGTGGTTACTGTTCCCTGGCAGTTCAGTGATGATTCCGGTCTTGGTGAAAGCTCGGACCAAAGTTAATACTGATCCTTAGCCCGGGCGTCCATGATCCGTTGGTAGATCATGGCGTAAGTCGCTCGGCGCTGTCTCCTTGTCTTGGTGAATGTGTGTTCTCCTTCCCTCATCCACTGCTCCCACCCAGCTCACACTTTCACTTTATAACAGCCTTGAGTTTAAAGTGGGTGTTGTAAGTGTGTCTCTTGACAGGTTCATTTTGATATTAAAAGGAATCACAGTATGTACTACTCATGATGATCCTGACTACGGGAGTCGTAATGCTGCAAGTGGTGTGGCTTTGTAATTTACTAAAGTCGTACTAAGACACCCCAATAAATTCATATATAAGGCGCTCTGGATTATAAGGCACGCAGTCATTTTTTGATGAAATTGGCTTTTAAGTGTGCCCTATAGTGCAGAAAATACGGTAGTTAACATGTAACTTCTCTGGTGGAGGGTCCGTCAAATGCCTTGCTCCGTGTAAATGTTATTAAAAATTTGTGGAGAAGTGACTCTGCTCAAAGTCAGTATGCCTGGTTTCTAGGTATTTTTGAGCTATAAAACCACCTGTAATTTAATAAATGTAAAGAAGAGCTGTTTAATGTCACACTGTGGAACATTCCAGGCAGAGCAATGACGTATCCATAGAAACAAGCAGGTTTACATAAAAACCAACCTTGAGTTTGTGATTCTCTGTGTTCAAAGCGGCGTTCTGTTCAGTCATGTGTTTAATCTGTGCTTGGAGCTCCTCTCGCTCACTCAGGTTCTGCTGCTCACACAGGTGCAGCTGATCCACCAGCTCAGAAACACGACTGAAAACAAAAGTCACGCAGAGTTTTACTGGACATGTTTTAGGACAACTTTCATTAGAGTATGGCTGGAAGTGGGCTCACCAGCAAAAACACAGTTAATTTCTACATATTTGGCATTTTCTTAGATCAAAACAACAAAATAAAATGGTCTAGGTAAGTTTTTCACACAGTACTGTTGTTCCGAGGCTCCATCTCAAATATTCAGGACTTTTTAAGGACCCATATTACGCTATTTTTATTTTATAATGTTGTTTTCTCATCACAAACAGACCTGGAGTTGTGTTTTGTTTCATTCACACATGTTTAACACACAAACCCTGCAGATTTAGGCTGAGCTCTTCTCTCTGTTCCACCTTGTGACATCATGTGGTAATACAGGAAGAGCTCCACTGTGTTTTTAACACCATACACCTTCACTACAATCATTCGGACGATTGCAGCCCTGGAATTGCCAATCTCTACTGAACTAAAGGTAAAATGTAGCTGTTAACTTGAAAAATATTACTTGAAATAATAAAAGATTACGCAAACATATGTAAATGGAACAAAACACAGCTACAAGAATGTTTTTGATGAAGTAACAGCATTGGAACATGACTTAAAGCTCACAAGAGGCAATACTGTGTAATATAGGACCTTTAACATATTTTTTTGGTTAATGGTTTCCTTGCTAGTGTTACCCTGTATGACATATGAACAGTATGAACATGACATTAAAACCTTTTAAAAATGTTGGATGATGTTGTGTATTAGCAATGGTGGAAGGTAACAAAGTAAAAGTAGTAAAATACTGTACTTAATTAACATTTTTAGGTATTTGTGCTTTACTTAAGTAGATTTTACAGTGGATACATTTTACTTTTACTTCACTACATTTGAGAGCAGGTATCTGTACTTTCTACTACACTACATTTTTGAAAACGACTGAAAAGTGAAAGTATGTTTTATTAGTGTCTGAAATATGCTGAAAAGACTTTGTAGTTTGAACAAACACAAACATAAAAATAAAAACAGCTAAAAATCACAACTACTTCTACTGAACAAAATTCAGCACAAATCACTACATTTGGAGCTTTATTAGATCTCAAAATCTGCACAAAATACTTTTACTTTTTACTCTTTATGTACATTTTTAAACTACTACTTTAATATTTTCAATTTTAACAAGTCGATTTTCACCTGCATAATCAGACTTTTGCTTTTAGAATCAAAAATGAGTCTCCTGTGACTGACCGTTTGAGCAGTGGGATTTCCTGCTCCAGATGTTCTTTGGCCGAGACTTCGTTTTGGTGTCGAATGCACCATTCACTGGACGAGGACAAGGCCTGAGTCAGCTGCAACTCCTGCGAGAGAAACATCTGTGAGGGCAGTTCAGATCAGATGATACCGCATCATCTACAGCTTATAAGACTTGAAATAAAGGTGCATCGTGTAACTTTTCCAGTGGAGGGTCTGTCAAATGCTTTTCTCCATGGAGATGTTATATTGGTTTATCTGGAATGTATAGTGTGGTATTAAACTTTTACATGTTTATGACTACCTATGTGCTTGTAATATGGCGAAGTGGTGCTGTCCGTGGTGCTGAACCTGATACACCTTTGGTTATCAGGTTCAGCACCATGGACAGCATACACTTTTGCTTATTTAAAGAGGGGGCATTTTACTTCTACAACATATTTAGACCACCATATTACCTTTTATTGTTTTGCAAATGGTAGAAATGCTATTTTCAGCAAAAGATGAAACTACTACACATCGCATCAGGTTTGTGAAGTTGTATTGTATTGTTTTGTACTCTGCTTTTGTATATTTATGAAGAATTATCATGTGAGAGCGTGGGTGACGTAGGCTGTGTGCAGAGCATTGGACAGAATTGAACATTGCTGGGTTTGCTCTGTACACACACAACCTGGCATCGGATCTCTGCCCTCTCTTATATAGTAACACACTGCTACGTCATTTAAAGGTGCATTGTGTAAATTTTCTAATGGAAGGCCCGTCAAATGCTTTTCTCCATGGAAATGTTATATTGGTTTGTCTGGAATGTTTCACAGTATGGTTTTAACCTTTACATATTTATGACTGGTGTGATGGTGCTGTCCATGGTGCTGAACCTGACACACTTTCGATTATCTTAGGCTACGTTCAGACTGCAGCCTGAAGTGACCCAAATCTGATTTTTTGGCCCCTATGTGACCTGTATCTGATCTTTTAATGACAGTCTGAATGACACAGATCCGATTTTTTCAAATGTGACCCAGGACACTTGGATATGTGCTCCTAAAACCGATACATATCTGATCTTTTGACATGTGACTTCAGTGTGAACGGCCAAAGAGCATTCATCCACCTACACGTTATCAACAAGCCACAAACGTCATAATTCTGCACTGAAGTAGGAGAAAATTGTTAATGAACTCCATGTCACTGAAGGGAAGCGCATCACCACTCATCACTCTTGGCTACGTCTCCACATCCACACGTTCCTTTCAACGGACTGTCCCACAAAACGCCACGGCCAAAAACCTCGTCCTTCTCCTTCTCAATCTCCTCCTTAAAACAAGTTCATGTTCTGGCTCAGGTACGAGAGGAACTTTAAAATCTCCAGGTGCTCAATGCTGCGTCCATGTTTGGACACCTTCCGTAAACACAGAGCACGCTCGCTGCGGTTGACATCATCGTGTCTCCAGTGCGCATGCGGGACACTTTTGGGCCGTTTAATGTTCACACTGGAGATCATATACAAGTCGCATTTAATTGGAAATGTGAACGACCTCGAAAAAACATCGGATTTCACAAAAAAAATCGGAATTCGGCATTAAGCCCTGTAGTCTTAACATAGCCTTATTTACTTGGGTGGGATATTAACTACTACCTACATATTTCGATCACCATGTTACCTTTTACTGTTTTGCAAATGGTATAAATGCTATATTCTCCAAAAACTGAAACTACTACACATCGCATCAGGTTTGTGAAGTTGTGGTGTATTGTCTTGTACTCTACTTTTGTATATTTATGGAGAATTGTCGTGTGGGAGCATGGGTGATGTAGACTTGCGGGCGGACCTTTGGACAGAATTGAACATTACCGGGTTTGCCTTGTACACACATAACCAGGTATCCTTCTCTCATATAGCAACGCACTGCTGCGTCATTTAAACGTGCATTGTGTAACTTTTCTGGTGGAGGGTTTGTCAAATGCTTTTCTCCGTGGAGATGTTATTGTCTGTAATGTTTCAAAGTATGGTGTTAAGCCTTTCTGCCTTCATGGAAACCAAACCAAACCAAGTTACAGGTCAGATCTGGAACGGGACTAAAACCTGAACCACTAAACTGGAACACGCTTCTAGCTGACCTTAAAACTTGCACTAACTACCACACTTTCTCTCATGAGCTAAAGAGCAGCAGGCATGCCAACATCAGGCATCTTCAAATGTTTAAACATTCTGACTGATTACTGATACTATAGATGTTTTGTGTAGATGTAAATGTGCTTGACTAATGATATTTGTCCAGATGGTAATGTTGAGGAATTGTATTTTTGAAGATAATAATACTGATGCATTTGGTAAATGTACATTTTAAAGAATAATGATGACAATTAATTTGGGCATTTTTAGAAGATAATGATGAATTTGAAATCTTGTATTTATGGGAAATTAGAATGAATTAATCTGGATTATTTAAAATGTTTAATGATGAAGTGGATTGTGGTCATTTTAAGAAAACACTGTTACTGATGAAATGTTGTTAGAGTTGGTTTAATGTTTCTTTAATGTATTTTGTACCTGCCCGAGGACTGCAGATGGAAAGGAGCTTGTATCTAAATCTGGCATAGACCATCTTTTTAAGTAAATAAATGAATAAATAAATAAATGAATGAATACATAATTGAATGAATAAATAAATAAATAAATAAATAATCTGTGGAAATGCAATCATGCTCACAGTCAGAATGAAAAATCGCAATTTGATATTTTTCCTAAATCATTCTGCTCAAGTTGTTATTGCAGAAGATGTGGCACTGAAATAAACCGTCAAAACTCACAAGTGTCTCAGTGCCACAACCCAGACTGCTCTCCACAAGCTCACAGGAGTTCAAGCCAAAACAATTGTGTCAAATGATTAACTGACTAAAGGACTAAAGGTTTACGGCCCTACAAATATCAGCAAACAAAGCTAAAAAGACAATACATTAATTTTATTTACTTTCATGTCACAGCAGCAGCAGTGTCACCAGGTGTAAACTGTGTGTGTGAAAGAGAGAAAGAGAGAATGGGATGGAAGGGGAGAGAGGGGGATGAGAAAGAGTAAAACGTAAATGTTTCTATGTTTGTGTTACTTTGATATTTGATTCTCTTGAGACATTCACTGTATTTATTGCTTTTTCCATCCAGCAATCTCATCAGTTGTTTTAGCTTTTCTGTTAGGAAAAAGATGATCTCACAACAAATTTTTCGCATTTTAGATTACTGCGATATCATTTATCAAAATACTACAACTTCTATTCTCCAACCACTCAATGTTATCTAGAACAGTCTGTGCAGATTCATTCTCCGTTGTCCCTTCAGAACTCACCACTGTACGATGTATCACAAACTGTCCTGCTCACTCTGTCCTCGAAACGTCAACTTAACTGTTATTATTTATCTTTAAGTTTATTAATCTCAGTTATCCTGAATATCTCAAACAGTATTTAATTCCATTCAGATCCTCTTACAGTTTACGTCACGCTGATCACATATTTTTTGTTGTCACAAGAGTCTAAAAACAAATAGGAAAACACTAATTTAAATATAAAGCTCCTTCTGATTGAAACAATCTTCCCTCATGGATTCGAGCTTTAACTTTTATCGCTTCATTTAAAAATGCTCTGTCATTGTTTTTGATCATTTTTTTGAATTTTGTTGTTCATCTTGTTGTATTCTGTGATTATATTTGAACTCTGTTTTATTTTTATTTATGTATTTATTTATTATTATTGTTGTTGTTGTTGTTGTCGTTGTTGTTATTATTATTATTATTATTATTTATGTATTTATTTATTTTTTCTTTCAAATTTGTTTTATTATGTGTCAAACAGTCATGTGTGTGTGTGTGTGTGTGTGTGTGTGTGTGTGAGTGTGTGTGTTTGTGGTTATGTTGATTTTGTTGTTTTGATGCTTTTTTGAATTTCTGTATCCTACTGTCTGCCCTACTGTATCTGTTTTTTGTTGTTGCATTTATGAGACCCCTTCGAAAACGAGATGGCGAGACATCTCAAGGGGCTTATCCTCCAAACAAATAAATTCAAATTCAAATCACAATCTCACTGCTTTTTAGTGAACAGTTTTAGAAGACCGTCTGTGGACTGCTGTTGTGAATTAGCCTATGTCTATGTTTGTGTATCAGCTCCTACACAAACAAGCAATCAATACATGTACTTTATACTGTTACTGTGTAAATAAATGACAACATAGCCCAGACCTTCTGCTGTAGCTTTTCTGAGAGTCTCTTCATCTCCTCTTCGGCACGCTCCGCTCGCTCGATCTCCAGCTCTCTCCTCTCCCGCTCCTCGTCGTCCCTCAAACGCTTCACGGTCCACAACTCGTCCGTCAGTGAACGCATCTCCACCTGCATCTGCTCCTGGGTCTGCTGCATCCTCTGAACAGCAAACAAAAAGGGTTAGACCAGTTTTAATAGATTGTTTAATGTGCTCCTAAGCCTGATTCTGTAATTTTGTGGCAGCAGATAAACTAGGGATATAACAATAACCAAATATCATGTATCACCAAAACTCTTACAGTAATATCACGGACCATCTCAGTATATCAAAACTACATGTTTTTTTGCTTAAATTAATAGTTTTGGTGCAGCAGTAGCTAAAAAAAACAGTCTTTGAATTATGACTTGGTTTATCAAGGTATTTTAAAAAGAAAAAGTAGCATATTTGCTATTTTGTCCAGAAAAGATTGCAATAAATATCGTAAAAATATCGTACAGAGAGATTTGGGTACCTTTGCTGTCATGGTTCATGTTTGTAGTGGTTGTATTTGGTGTTTTATTTTGACATTTGTTTTGTCTGCTTGTAGTTTTGAGTTTTACTTCCTGTCTTGATTGTTTGCCTCGCCCTAATGTGTCTCACCTGTGTCTCATTCATGTGTGTGCATATATACCCTGTGTACTCCTTTGTTGGGTGATTGTCATTATGACTCTCGCGTCTGTTTTGGATTTGTGTTTGTTCATTAAACAACTTTGGAAATGCAGTTTTGCATTTTGGGTCCTACTTCTGCTCTAGACGTGACAGTGCATCCTTAATAAATACTTTACTGATCCCAAAAGAAATTCTAACGAAGCTAAAACACTAATGTTCATAAATATAATTTTTTATTATATACTTCAGGGATCTCCAACCTTTTGCATCCGGTGAGATAGATTTACAAAATGAAAAAGTTGGAGAGCTACTTATTTTAGCAGTCACAATAATAATCGAATATTTTATTTTACTAAATATAAAAGGGTAAGCCTTAGATGTTGTACAGTTGGATGCCTATAAAACCATTATTTAGTGCATAAAGTTCAAAATAACAAATTTACAATAGTATATAACTGATATACTGCATTTAATTACAATGTTAAATTACATAAATGTATGTACAGTAAATGTCTTACTGATACCAATCTCTTGCTATTTTTGATTGTTGCTTATTTAGAACTTTATTAAACTTTTTAGTTATTGTAATATAATGTGATGTGTGAGCTGCTGTGTGACCGCTCAAGCTTAAGTCTGTCTAAGTCTAGTATAATTCAGAAATCCCTTAGCGCGCTACTTGTAAGGGGTGGAGAGCTACCGAGCTACAGGTTGGAGACCCCTGACATGCAGAATATGGAGGATATGGATGTCACTGTGGGATACATCAACATAAAGGCACTATTAGTTTAAGTTCACCTATAGCCTGGGGATAGAAATAAACTAAACGAGGATTAACCATGACATTTAGGTAAATAAAATCTGGGCTTCTTATACTGAACATATTTTTGTAAACCTGTCATATCTTCCAACAACTTCAGTCTTAAATAATACTTAAAACTGCACTACTTAAAGGTGTAACTAACTATGGAGTTTAATCTGAAATGCAATTCTTGTTTAAGTTTGTCAGTTTAGATTTCAGTCTTTCTGTCAGTTCAGTACCTAAAGACGCAGCTTGTTTTGATGGAGGGTTCACCACCTGCTTGTCTCCCTGGAGATGTTCTTGTTTTGCTTGTAAAATTCTTCAGTATCTATCATGCATTTAGTCGGGGTTACAGGGGTTTTATTGGTCAAAAACATGTAACGTGTATTCTAACTGTGAGCAGGGTCGCCTTTCCACAGATCTGACTCATAACTTGGTCTGACCAACCTGGATTTGAGAGGTGAGTTGGGCGTTTTCTGTCTGAGCTCGGTCCAGTTGAGTTTCCAAATGGATACGAGTCGACTCTAAGAGTTTAGACAGCTCCTCCGATGTCTGGTTACTTTCCTACAATTAAAGATATTTCATAGGATATACTACAGTACTACTTTTATATTCATCAATGTCACTATCTCCATTTTTATTATAAAATTTTTTATTTTTTACCTTTTCCAAGTCCAGGGACGCAGCCAGTTTTGTTGCTTCTTTTTCTTTGTTTGAGAGCTTGGCTGTAAGCCTCTGGAAGAAACAGAAACAAGATAAGCACATAAAACTCAAACTACAGCGGCCTCAGAGGTTCAAAACTTGAAAAGTTGATGTGATCACATACAATTTTCTCTGCTTCACAGTCAGTGAGTCTTTTCTTTAGAGCTTCTCTCTCCTCAGACCACAGCAGTGACTCTCTCTGAAAACAAAACATACAAAGTGAAAAATGTAATTACTATTTACAAAAGTACATTTATACACGTTCAGAGGACAAATTTGGTAAATGGCTGAATTTATATATAGCGCTTTTCCACCTTCAAGGCACTGAAAGCAGGAACCCTTGGATGAGTTGCCAGGCACATATGTACTAGGACTTTATACCTGTAGAACAGAAATCTCTTCCTATAAAACATACATAAGTTTGTGAAGAGTCTTTTTCACCTCTTGCTCGCTCCATTCTCGCAGCAGTGCTCGAAGGCTGTGGCTGGTGCTCGCAAACATCTCAATCTTCTCCAACAGTAAATCTCGCTGCCGGTTTAGAGACGTGGTGTGCATTTTACCCAGACGCTTCACCTACAGACCAGACCAAAAACAATAACATGACACCTTATAGCCTGTGTTTGTTATTGTTCTTACATACATTACTACTTTATTACAGTGTGTAGGGCTGTCAAAATTATCTAAAATTTCATATTAATCAACACTTTAAATAGCATTGAAACTAGACACTCATTTGAGCAGGTATCGATACTAAAAAAGTCACATTTACAGGAAGAAATTAACCTTTTTTGAATAGCTTTAGAATGATCTTGAGCTGTATCTGAACAAGTATAAGAGACACCCATGGACCACTATGGGATTACAATTACATTACCTGGACCACTGAGGGATTACATACATATAAGGAAACATGGGAATAGAAAAAAAAAACAATTTAGTGATGAAAACCACATTCTAAGTCTAAGTAAAGAGTTTTTAAATTATCATCATGGTATCGGAATATCAAAATCGAGTTTGAAATTACGTATCGTGACAACATTAATTGTGTGAGGAATTGGGGATAGTTCGTGTGAGAGGATGAAGAGGGTCAGGCGGTTGTACCGTGGAGAGCCCGTCCACTGTCTCCTTCAGAGCTGAGAGCTGATTGGTTACTGCGGCTCCATCGATGTCAGCCTCCACCAAAGCTCTGAGCAGCTCATCTGTGTCTCTGAACTGAGCTCCACATTCAGACCTGCAAAAACAACACATAAAACATCACAGTCAATGGGGATGGGACAAGATCTCGAGCACACATGAGGAAAATTATCTTGTGAGATTTTCCTCAGTGGATGAAAACTACCATCTGAGCTACTGCTGCTCCCTTAAAACCTGCTCTCCGAATAAACTAGTGCGTACTTCCTGGAGAGTCTGCGTTTGGCGTCCTGTTCTTCTTTGAGTAAAACTGTCAGACTTCTCGAGACAGGAGCCACACCATCATCCTCTTCATCCAGTTCAGGTCTGTCCTTGACACCAGAGCCCGAGCGGCACAAAGATCGGCTTCTCTGGAGTTAGGAAGCAAATTAGTCAATTAAAATTTTATAACATAACATGGGAGATGGAGAAACAACTTTGTCTAGATTTAACTAATCTTATTTCAAATCATAAAGGTGCATTGTGTAACTTTTCTGGTGGAGAGTTCGTGAAATGCTTTTCTCTATGGACGTGTTATTGTTTTGTCTGGAATGTTTCACAGTATGGCATTAAACCTTTCTAACCCACTCACAGTCAGAATGCATGTTTTTTTTTTTTTTTAGATATTTTTGAGCCATAAAACTATCAGTAATTTTAAAAATGTAAAGTAGAGTAAGTAAAGTTTAATGTCATACTGCGGAACATTCCAGGCAGGGCAAAGACATATCCATAGAAAGAAGCAGGTGACAGCCCCCTGACCAAAAAGTTACACAGTGCACCTTTATCTTTAATTTACCTGACTATCATAAGCAGAGTCCATATTTCGTCGCGTTGGAGTTTTTCCAGGAGGAATCCAAGGAGGAGCTTTGGGTCTTCTGCCATCTTTACTCTGAGGGTCAAATGTCTTCCCCTGAAAAAGAGAAGAAAACACTGTTAATCAGTCTGAACACAATAAGACCTAACAGCAAGTGATAGCTATTACTATCTCTATTACTAGTTCTCAAAAGTATCAATGTTATCTATGTCCATTGTCCATTGATTTATAAAGTTAGTTTCTACCTAATAGTCACCACTATCTAGTGGTAATGATAAATATTAAACTAATGCTGCTATTTTTTCCTGATCAGCCAGTGGTTCCCATTAAAACTAAAACAAAAAGAGACTTTAGTGACCTCCCACAGTCCAATTTTTGCCCCCATAGTCTAATAAAAACAAAACAAAAATCTGGTAAGATTTACAATATAATACTTTATGCCTGAAGTACCGTCATAAACATATTAAAAGTAACTAATCTGTTTTAATGATATTTCTTCTATATTCTAGCTACTTATATTTAATCTGTAATCGGTACTTTTTTGATTAGTAGACTTATAACATTAATAAGTGATAATTATACACTAACAATTCTATCAGGGACATGCAGTCAGGGCAATCACGGCAAGCAGTGGTTGCCCAAGAAAATCAAAAATTATTACATGTCAAAAGTATAATTAAATAGTTTCAATAATAATAATAATTTTAATAATATCCAAATAATTCTGTTTTCCTTCTTGATGCATAATAATAATTCCATAGATAACAATAGTACTGAAGGCTCAGCTGTCTAAATAAGTGTAGGAGTAGAAACAAATAGCCCACAAATAGCCCTGTTAGTGCAAAGAGGGTGTCATATACAGTCCATTATATACAAATATTAATAAACTATATAGTCTAGGTGTCTCTAATTTGACTCCAAAAAAAGGGTCAGTATATATGCAATTAATATGAGTAAAAATAAATATACTAATTTGCAATGTAGTTTGTATTAAAATAGGTGTTATTGAATTGTTACCGACTAAATATTGATGTCCACCCCAAGTCTATTTGCCAATGCCCACCCATCAGAGTCACTGCACGCTACTGAATTCTATTAAATAAAATGATTGAAATGTGGACAACTTGTGCCACCATATTGTGAGTAAAAACCTGTGGGAAACAGTGGATCAGCTGTTGTTACCTGTTGCTTTCTGCTGGCGCTGGGACTTCTTTTCATATGGACGTGGATCGGAGTGGTTCCAGGGACATGGACATGAACCGGCGGAGGAGGTGTTTCCCGGCCGTTCATCGTTCCCCGACAACCTAAACACCTTCACGGAGCCCTTGGATGCATTACCTACCCGAGCAAACATACATTAGCTTCTACGGATCCATTATACGACGCGAAAGTTACATTTTTCTTGACAAATCTCGACTTCTCTTTCTGATGTTGTGCGTACGGTGGGCGGGATCAACGAACGAATGAGGAGGATTCCGATTGGTTCGTTTGGACATACTCAGCTTGTGATTGGTTAAAGTGGGCTTTTGTTTCGCGTTGCCCCTAGTTACCACAAAAGCTTTCAACAGACAGTTCTGACATAAGAATAAATTTAAAAAGTAAGAATATCTGTGTTCATGGTTATTCAAATAATGAGTAATAATTCATAATAAATATATCTCAAACTAAAAAGTAGTAGAGAGTTCTTTACGTTTCTTAAACACCTAATTCTTTAATACAATAATTCATTTTTACATAAAAGCTTGAATATAGCTTGATTCAGAATGTATTTATTTTCTAGTAGTATAAAGTATAAACATTAAATACATAATGAATGCATTTCCTGTTTCCCATCCAGAGCTTCCGGTTAGCTTAGCTTCATTAGCTGTTTTAAATTGTTCTTAAACTATCAAATAATTTATTTTTTCTATTTACACAATTTGCTTGTTATCCTTTCCGGAAGTGAATACAGCTTACTTCAAACTAGTTTTTATTGCGATCAAATGAGTACAGACTACAGAATAAGGCTATTTGGTTGATTGTTTTGGTTTGCCTTCCATGTGCCTCAGTAGTAGCAGCATGGCTTCAGCGCTGGTTGACCTGTTGGAGCGTGTGTGCGTGGGTCTTTTCTTCACCTGCCCCGCTCCGTACCCTCTCCTGCTCCTTCTCATCATCCATCCATGTCTCCAGCTCGGGCAGGCGTGTGGTCCGAAAGCTGAGAAAGGAGTGAGCTCAGATACACTGATGCTATGCAGGTGGGGAGCCTATGGTAGTAGGTGATGATTATAAAGTTTTGGAAAACCGGTGCATACTAGTGCAAGGGAAGTGGTTCTTACTTATTTTATTATGACTTTTATTAGTTTTATAATAACAGTGTGTCCTCATCTTTAGCTTACTCTAGTATTCCTGCATAGTCCTGCATTTGAGGCTTGAGTGCTCAGGAAAGTTCAGTTTCCACCTACACCCTGTCCGTCTATTGTTCCAAAATGTCACATAGCCATTTTTCCAACAACAAAAACATGTAAATTAACACACTTTGGTAACAGTAAGTCCTTAACAGAAAAATTTGCAGTTGGATTCCACCTTTGGCTCTGTGCATACTGTTGTGTCGTTGGGCAAGACACCTCACTCACCTTGCATGTAAATATATGATTGGTAGTGCTATTTTATCCATTCAAAGCTAGGACATTTCCTTAGGGATAGGACAATTAACAATAATATCATTAATTGTGATAAAAACGGTACACAGTAACTTTTTGTGGGACATTTTATATATTCATGATAATCACCAACAAAGATAATCACCATTATGTCACCAGAATGTGCACTAAGAAGCTACTTATCCATGATGTTTTCTTCAAAATTATTTTTGTTTTCACTTGTAATAAATAATAAAGTACAATACTATAACTGTTTTTTGGTAGGGAGCCTATTCAAACTCTTGGCAACTTTAAAGTGCCTATGACAGGTTGGACAACACATTTCACCAAAACACAGTTAAGATCATTATGTTTAAGATTTTACTTTTCTTTCTCAATTGGGCAATTTTTTTTAGGCATAAAATATTACTTCCTGGCTGGAAGTCATGATGTCACACAAGGGAATTCCATAACTGTTAATAATGTAATTGGACCAAAACTGCTCTTAAGTCCAAGAAATTGTAATCGTAATTAAATTAATTAAACACAAGAAAACACCTTTATTTGGTTGAAATAATGTTTAAAGAAACTGAAAAAGTGGCTGTGCCAAACTTTTGGACAAAATTTTCCCCTAGTGTGATGTCATTACAGGAAACTCTTTACTTCCTGTAATTTTCAACATATTTTTTAACTTTTCTTTGCAAATTGCTTCTTGATTCATGTTAAACTATCATTTATATATATTTATATTAAGTAGAAATTAGAGAATCATAAAAATCTATCATACAAACTTTATTTTTACAATAATTATTGTGATATTATCATTAATCGTAATTATTTTGGTCATAATAATTGCAACCCCAAATCATATCATGCCTACTTTCCCCACGAATAGCTCCTTGTCTTTCTGGTCTCTGCATCTCCAGGGCTTGTGGTTATGAAGTGGCCAACGGCTCTGACACCCGCTTCATACAGAGTCACCTCGCTCTGTCCAGCCGTAATGACACTCTGCTCGGAGGGAGGAGGGTCGGTGTTCAGCTTTGAAAACCCACACGGGAGACAGTTTGAGGTCATCACGTTCAGGAGGGCGGACGTGTCACTGCACTGGCCTGCCGATGACCGCTTCTCGTTTTTTCCAGGGTTCGCGTGGACCATAGCCACGTGCCCACGCTGCAAAGCTCACCTAGGTGCGTCTCAGTGCTTTTAGATAATATAGAAGCACTTCAGAGTTAATGGTGCACTGTGTAACTTTTCGTTTGGAGGTCTGTCACCTGCTTGTGTCTATGGATATGTCATTGCTCTGCTTAGAATGTTCCACAGTATGGCATTAAACAGATCTACCTTACATTTTTTCAATTATATGTGGTTTTATTGCTCAGAAATACCTAAAACAGGGGTCTCCAACCTGTAGCTCAGGAGCTACCAGTAGCTCTCCATCTCCTTCCAAGTAGCGCACCAAGGGATTTCTGAATTCTATGTATTGTGCATAATAAGTACAATTTGATTAAACTCAGTTTATTTTATGTTTTTATCTGCTTCACAGGCTGAGATATTAAGGTTTTTATAGCCGTTGACAATTCTTCAAAAACCCTCAGGAGATAAGGACCTTTACCCTAGAATAGCATAGGTTTTTTATAGGTGGTTTTTGCAGGCATTTTAGGTGTAAATGGGTTAATTACCACTGTAAATTTATCATTTTGATGTCTAATTTGTTGCACTGATAAATGGATAATGGTTAATGTTTTATAAGCATCTAACTGTTCCCCATCTAAGGCTCTTATATTTACTCAGATTTTTTTGCGACTGCTGAAATTGGTATCTCTCTGGCATTTTTGTTTTGTAAAGGTAGTAGTTCACTGAAGAAAAAAGGTTGGAGATCCCTGACCTAGAAAATAGGCATTCTGACCTGTAACTTGGTCTGGTTTGGTGTCCATGACGATAGAAAGGTTAATATCATGTGATGAAACATTCCAGACAAAGAAAAGCATTTGACTTAACTTCTACCAGAAAAGTGACTCAATGCACCTTTAAGGCTAAAATTAATAAGATGAATTAATAACTATTACTGATAACAATTCTTATGCCAATTATGCTGCCGTATTTATTGATGTCATAATTTGGTGTTTTGATTCTCAAGTCGATTATCCAATGAGAAAGCATTTGGGTTGCAAGTTTTAATACTGAAATCTTTCTGGGTTTGACCTTTCACATGAGCTCTGGACAGTGACAACCCAGTAAGAGCACAGACTACATACAATCGGTGGTGGATGAAGTATTACATTTTGTTACTTAAAAGGACAGATACAGGGGCAAAAAGTTACTCAAGTAAACTCAAGTAAAAGCAAAAGTATCACATGAAAAAATCTACTTAAGTAAAAGTACTGAAGTATTTGTTTAAAAGTGTACTTTAAAAGTAAAGGTAAGTAAAGTAAGTAAGTAAGTAAGTATTTTGCAGAGAATTTTTAGAACAATTAAAGCATCAAATGTGGTGATTTTGATTTACTAATTTAGTGATTTAACTGATTTCTAAATTTTTCTTCTGTTTTGTGTTTGTGTATTTGATTCGCTCTTAGTTGGAAATTAAATGTGTTAGAAATAAGTCTCCGCGTTTTCAACAGGTCACAAAAGAAAAGTAATTTTAACTTTTCAGTCCAGATCTAAAATGTAGTGGAGTAGAAAGTGCAGATACCTGCTCTGAAATGTAGTGAAGTAAAAGTAAAAAATATCCACTGTAAAATTTACTTAAGTAAAGTACAGATATGTAAAAATTGTACTTGAGTACTGTAATTTTACTTCTGTACTTTGTTACCTACCTTACCTTTGCTACCTACAGTTCCATTAATGTGAAAATGAGGTTTTCAGAGATGAGACAACAGATGTATGCTCAGAGAGAAGAGAGCTCCTACAGTTTGAAGGGGTTACACTTTTATTATAGATACTAAAATATTGTTGCTTTGTTATCTGCTCCTGTCTCTTATTTCAGGTTGGGGGTTCCAGCCGAAACAGTGGCCTTCCACAGTCTCTGCGTCCCTATTTGAAGAATCCCAAAGCACGTTTTTGGGCCTGATTGCAAACGCACTGTTAACGGAGGAGTTTGCCTCAAGTCTTTTAATGACTCCCAAATCATTTGTCAGCTGAACAGACTAAAAATTTTTGGGACTGGACTCTTCAGATATTTCAGGACTTTAGTATGTTTTCCCAGTAATGTAGTGATTATTGGATTTCCAGCATAAACCAGGTCCATGCGCCTATCCACCTTATTCTGCCCCGCCCACTTTTGTCTCTAAATACTCCTAAACTGTTCTTTTTTGTGGTGGCACTTTTTTCAAGGATCCCATTAATGTTAATAGACAATTTGGGAAACATTTTGCATCTTAAATATGACAAAGTTGTTTTTTGTGTAAAATGTTCAGTTTTCATGTGTACCGAAAGGTCAACACTGCACTGATACTCTGAGGGGCTTTAAAACGGCTATATCGCTGTGAGGTTTATTTACTGTGAAGATCGGCCACATACAAAATTATACAACCTAAATCATGATGACTTCCAGAATAAGGTGAATTGGCTTTGCACAATCTGAAGAGAGTAACTGAATATAGTTCATTTCCTAAACAATAACAGTCCTTTCCATACAAATGAAATGTCTGGTTTGTAAATGTTGAAAGACTCTTTAATCTTTAATGCAATGTGGTCAGTTTCTATGAAACTGAATAGGGTTTTGTAATTCTTACCGCAATAATTGATTAATGTAAAACATGTGAAATGTTTTGACCATTGTGCCTTTGCTGCTTCAAGTCTTAATTTCCAGTGCATTGTAATGTTTTTTTCTTGGTTAATTGTCTGGTAATGAGCTTGGCAAATGAATCCAAGTACTTGTATAATGACTTACTCTGATGAGCTCATAGATAAAGGTGCATTGTGTAACTTTTTTGGTGAAAGTTATTGCCTGGAATGTTTCAAAGTATGGCATTAAACCTTTTCTTCATGGAGACCAAACTAGACCAAGTTACAGGTCAGATCTGGGGAAAGGTATTTTTGAGCTATAAAAACACCTGTAATTGAATAAATGTAAGATAGAGCTGTTTAATGTCATTGTGATGGAAATTTATATTGTGGAAATATTTCTCCCAATGTGTCTTATTATTATGATTATGATGATGATAATTATTATTATTATTAACCCTCAGATATTTTCATATTTTATTATATCTATATATATATCTATATTTGAATAGATTCATGGGTTCAACAGAGGAACTTTGGTTCAAATGAAAGAATACACAGCCCTGTCTCTTTAAGGAACTTTGACCTTCTTTTCCACACAGCCGGTAGAGGAGAAGTGTGGACATTCTGATTGGTCCGCTCAAAGATTTCCTCTGTAGGCCAAAGACTGAGGGACTGAAGCAGAGGAGTGAGTTTCTGTCAGCACAGAGGCAACGATGAAGTGCGCAAAACCTGGAAACAATTGGTGTGGAGTTGTGTGGATGAACAAGGGAGGGGTGAATCCTATAAATCAGTTATGTGTCTGAACTGTGAGTACAAAAGCTTTTTCACAAAAATGTGCTTATAACAAAAAAACAAACATTAAGGCTAACATCAAGCTAAGTTACAGTTGTCTTTTCATTCTAAAACATACAAAATACTTCCGTTAGAACTCATTATCATCTGTAAAACCAACTCGGATTATCCAGCATCTCACACACAAATTCGTGAAGCGTTTCTCATTTACGTAAAAGCTTACTCATAACCAGCAGAGAGAAAATGTTTATGCACAACAAATACATAGTAAAAGATGGATAACAGTATATACTACTCCACATTACTTGAGGTGGTCACCTCATTTGTTTTTTACATGGGGCGGAGCAGACATTTTCCTAGCCTTAAAAGAACTCCACCCCAGAGCTCCTCTGAAAGCCAAGTCCAGATTATCCAGCTCCGAATATTCAACCTTGAGTGACGACACCGTACCTCAGCACACCTATATAACAGAGACAGCAGCGTGTTAATGTTGTGTTTGTTTACTAACACATATGTCAAAATTGGAACGATACAGAGAAGATTAGCGTGCCCCTGCGCAAGGATGACACGTACAATCGTGAAGCGTTCTAAATTTTTCTGTCCTAAATTAAATAAACCCTTATTTGTAACCAGTAGAGAGGAGATGGATAACTGTATAATCAACCAAATACAGCTTGTGTTTTTGATCTACTCTAAGGAACTCTGGGAAAACTGGGAAACATATCCAAACTTCGTATGATGGTTTCTAAAGCTGAACTAGAGATGCTAATCGATTTGTGTCCATGAGACCAGACTATATAACAGTCTTTTTACGTGCCTGAGTAAGAAGGAACTTATGTGGCTGCAAATGGTCCAGACTCTGCTGCCAGGCTTCAGACCCGCACCAGCAGGAGAGCTCATATCACCCCCATCTTAACATCCTCATATTGGCTCCCTGTTCTTTTTCATGTGCACTACAAGATCCTGTCTCCCCTAAACTCAGGAAAGAACTGGCCTCACCTACACATTGGAGATAGTGTAGATGCTTTTAAAAAGCAGCTGAAAAAGTGTTCCCATCTCGTTTATATATATAAACATATTCTATAAATTTATTTTATAGAGTTTTTTTTTTTTTATCTTTTTGCATGTGAAGCACAGTGTGACCTATGTCTGCAAAAAGCTCTATATAATTAAACTTTAATCACTTAGTACAGACAGGAAGTGGCACACAGGCTGTCTCTCCCAAACAGCAAACAACCATGCACACAAAGCTGCCTCTGACAGGGGTGCCAGTACCTGAATGAACATGAACCCAAAACCAGTTCAGTCAGGCCGCTTCTCCCAAACGTGCCTTTGGAGAGGACACAAGTATGAATATCAAGTCCACACAGAGGTGTAGGGGACGTGGTTCGACCATACGAGCAGCGGCCCATAGCAGGATGTAATAATACCCTTTCAGAATAACATGGCTGTGTATTGAGTCATGACGGGTCTCCCTTCCAGCTGTAGTGAAATGTGAGGGCCTCTTGTGTCTTGTTTTAAGTGTACATTATCTTCTTACTTTACGTTTGTTTATGTTTATATTTCTGTTTTTATGCTGAACAGAGAGAGGCACCTAAATGCAAGATTTTTCAAATGGCTTTGTTACATGGTTGAAATGAAGCTTTTCTCAGCTTTGACAGATGCTGACCAGGTGGACCAGAGTTAGTGCAGGATGGAGCACCGTCTTGAAGACATGCTGTCACGCATTGCCATGGAAACACAGGAGATCAAAGAGCTGGAGCAGCAGCTAACGGACGGTTGGATGAGCCAAGTTGTTGATCATGATAGAAAAGTGTGTTGTAATTATGATTTTATTATTTTTATTTGTTTCATTTGTTCTTTGTGAACACAGGTCAAATTCTGGCCAATGAGGCTCTGAGAAAAGACTTGGAGGGAATCGTCTCTGGACTGCAGCAGTATTATAAGTCTCTCAGAGCCCAGGTGATTTGGTAATTTTACATCTCAAAGACCAGCCAGACGGCACAGTCTAAATATGTTATTTTTACATTTTAAACCTATGATTTATATTTTTAAATGCCACAGTGGACACCTTCAGTTCTTTTAAAAATCTCTTTCTATAGTTCCATTGCAGAAAGAGATCTATATTGTGAAAGAGTCAGACAGTGATACAAGAGAAACTGAACCACAGCACAACAGCCAGTAGCTAATATTAAGACTCATAATGCCACTGCTCTTTTTTTTACAAAACACATTTGTAGTGTTAATGCCTACAAAGAAAGCTGTTAGTGAAGTAAGCAATCATAAAAGAAAATGCAATATGTGTTATTAAAAGCTAAGTGTGCAATTGATTATTTAAATACAATTAATTACAATTATAAGCTTGTTAACAATTCAGAACAATAATGTAATTAATCATGATTAAGAATTTTAATTGTCTAACAGCTCTAACATTTCACCTGCCCTGCCTAGAATGAATGTGGTGTGTGTGGTGGTGGTGAGGGACTGATTGTGCAGACTGGCAACCTCACTTCCATCTTCCATCAACACAAATGCATGTTGCAGGTCCTGGTTTAGTCCTGGTTCAGACCTGTCCCCAGTGTAAGTTGCAGGTCCTGGTTGGATGAAGCCATCAGGACATCATGTGCAAACAGCAGAGATGAGATACTGGGGTCCCCAACCCAGACCTCCTCCACACCCTGACTGCACCTAGAAATTCTGTCAATCAACACAATGAACAGAACCAGTGACAAAGGGCAGCCCTGGTGGAGTCCAGCATGCACCCATTGCTTTGTGTCTCATGTATTTAATCTGTTTTTCAGACAAGTCAAGCTCAGCAGAACGTTCAGAGGCTTCAGGCTGAGAATCAGACTCTGCGTCACCACCTGGAGGATACACATAGATACTGCAAACAACTGGAGGAGCAGGCCACAGCGCATAAACAGGTTTATTCATTTATTTATTAATTCAGTGCCTTGAGGCTAGGGTGGGGTACCTGATTTTGAAAAGCAGTTATTCAGGACATAAATACAATTCTATCAACTTTATCCAGCCAGCTGCAGCTCAGTAAATATCTATATGTCATACCACATTTCACAGCCCAGCACATCCCAAATTCAGTTCCTTTTATAACTCACTTATATATTTTTGATTAAAGCTGTGCTCTGTTTTGAGTATTGTTAGCACCTTAGCAAAAACTGTAGAGGTCAAAGTTTATTGGTGTCATCATGGGACCTCCACAGGTAGTGTTTGGGTAACCCCACATATGCGCTTGTTTTACATACAGTATTGGCAGTCTGGCTAAATACAGTACAAGCTAAGAGATGCAGTGCAAAAATATCAATATTCTACATCTTTTTTAGAAAATACAAGGCAATTTTTGTATGATCTTATGCAAAATTGACTTATTCGAGCTTTCTACAATGTTGTAACGTTGTTCCTTCATCAAAAACATGCCTGAAGAGGTTTTTCAATGCATGTTTGAGTAATCTAGTGATCTTTCCAAGGCCTTATCTGAATCCTGAATCCTGCTCATGGTTAGCTGCAAGTCTCAGCTTACACGCCTACGTCACCTATGCTCCCACACAACAATTCTCCATAAATATAAATGAAACATGATACAAAACACTACAGCTTTACAAACCTGATGCGATATGCAGTAGTTTCATTAGCAGAACACACAGCGACACGCATAGTCACGCACAGCAACACACACAGCATCACACACAGTGACACACACAACACACAGCGATTGTAATGTAATAACGCTGTGAAGGGGGAGTTATATTTGACATATTAGACATGATCGTACATTGCTTTCGGCAAATATAGCATTTTCTAAACAATAAAAGGTAACATGCTGACTTAAATATGTTATGTGTTAGCAGGTAATACCCTTTAGAAGTCAAATACCCCCTCTTAAAATATAATGATGTAATTATTGATGTGTAGTCTCATTTGTCTTATGCATTTGATTCCACTGCTTTTAAACTGTGGTTCTGTGTCTTTAGAGTGACCCACTTCTACTGCAGCAGATGATTCTGGAGCTTGAAACCCGACTGGGGAACTTAACTCTACCACAACACTCAGATCAATACAGGTTGGTCTTGATTAAAAGGCCCAAATACACTATTTTCTGACCTATGTTACAGATCAGAGTATTATAGTTATGTTGTTTCCTCATCATAAACATGCAGTGGTATCAGAACAGTGGGGTAAGAGATGTTAGTCCTTCCCCAAGTACAATTTATTGCACATTTAACTCAGTCTGGCTGGCAGTTTGGCTTTCTTAGCTCAGAGAGGAAACACCTTACATTTGCATTTGAGTACAGGCAAGGATGATCACACAAAGGAGATGTGAAATCCAACAGCAGACATCTCAATGAAAAACACAAAAGGTACAATACAGTGAATGAGTGAATCTTAGAACAGTTGCAGAAAAAAATTCAATGTTGTTAAAAAAGCATCAGCTGTAATAAATATTTAGAATGAAACACTTAAATAACACATATTTCCCCACTAATGTTACTGTTACTGAATTGCTGCTGCCAGCATAAAGCTTTTGTCATTTGTAGACAGGTGGAAAGTAATTACATACACTCACATTACTCTATTTGAGTAGTACTTTTGTGAGTAGAGCCCGTACTTGTACTTGAGTGTGTTTCTAGCCATATAATTTTCCTTTGTCATATTTATAGTCATATGAGTTTCTGAGTAGACTATAATGCACAACTGTTGCCCCTGCTCCTCTCTATTCTACTTCAAATACAGTTTTGTTAGCAGTACTTGTAATTGATTAAATTTTTAGCTGTAACTGTACTTTTACTTTAGTACTCATTCTACCACTTTCCCAAAATGGGAAGAGAAACCAAACCCATTACTCAAGAGTACTTTTACTTCAGTTAAAATATGAAGAGTATGAATGTTTAAGTAAGAGTAAAAGTACAGTGCTGGAAAACTACTCCCAATAATAGAAATGTGTTACTCATGTAAATGGTAAATGTAAGGAGTAGCACCAGGACCTGTGGGTGAGGAGGAAACCTGGGATTAGTGTTTTTGTAATTATCAGACTAGGACAATCAAATGGAGTCACTGATACATTTCCATCTGTTTTTTTGTTTGTTTTGTTTTTGTTTTCTTCTCTCTCACAGCTGTGTGCAGGGCCAGGATCAGCCCCAGAGCCAAAGCCCAGACTCAGATGGAACCTTAGTAGAGGTGAATACTCAAACTTTTAAAAAGTACTTCTTAAAGTAGTTTTCAGACACCGTACTTTTACTACTACTTAAGTAATAATGTATGTTTATTGTTCCATGTAAATCATAAGCCAAATCTACGATAGATGGACACAGTATTGGGAAAGGTGGGGCTTAGCCATCTACTCACTTTTATATATTGTATATTAAATTAAATGTGTTTCTGAGGGTCAGAGGAGCAGAGGATGCAGAAGAGAGGGTCAGATGGAGCAGAGGAGAGGGTCGGATGGAGCAGAGGATGCAGAGGAGAGGGTCAGGTGAAGCAGAAGATACAGAGAGGAGCTGATGTGTGAAATTGAGCTCATCCCCTCTTCTGTCTGGATGTGTTCACAGAGCGACAGCCAGCACAGGATGCTCAGTCTCCTGAACAGGAAGCTACAGGAGCTCAGGAGGGTCATATATGAGTCAGATGCCCTGTCAGGAGAACAGCTTCAGTGGGCCGTGGATCAACTCAAGGATCTTAACTGCATCTTGGACACTTTCCAGGTAACACTGCTAAGCTGTTTTTATGGACTTTAAATGCCGTATATTACACAAAATGGACTCCTGTGAGCTTTAAGCCATGTTCTACTGTTCTTACCTGATCAGACATGTAGCTGGAGTTGTGTTTTTCATTTACACATGTTTGAGTAGTTCCACCTTGTGATGTCATTAAACAGTACTTTTCAAGCTAACAGCTCGTTTTACCTTTAGTTCAGTAGAGACTGGAAATTCCAGGACTGATGATTCTAGTGAAGGTGAATAGAATTTAAAAACGGAGTGGAGCACTTCCTCTATTACCACATGACATCACAACGTGGAGTAGAGTGTTTTCTGTTTGAGAGAAAAACACTACCTTAAATATGCAGAGTTTGTGTGTTAAACGTGTGAATGAAACGAAACACAACTCCAGGTGTATTCGTAATGAGGAAGCATCATAACATATATCACAAAAAAGTATAATATGGGTCTTTTAATTCTGACACAATATACAGTTCACAGTACAGTACATAAATGTGTCAAGATGCATAATTGTCAAGAAGTCTGTCACCATATATAGTCATATCGATATTATGAGCACACCCTCAGTTCTTTCACTTATATATCTTTTAACTGTGTTTTCAGGACCAGTCTGAACATGACAAGCTCTCTGACATACAGCCAGAAATGGAGAGAACCAGAGTTAAAACTGAACTTGAGCCATCATCCAAACCCAGGACAGACAGAGGGGGATACAGGAGGAAATCCAGAAGAGAGAGAAGACAGTGGGCAGGCCTCAAAGATCACATCAGACTCAATGTAAGATGACACTAAACGATGAATTATACCGTATTTTCTGGGCTATTAGGCGCGCTCTTAAGCCTCCAACCCATCAAAAAACACAATCCAGAGCGCCCTATACACGAATCCATTCAGGTGTCCCAGCACGACTTCAGTAAACTACAAAGCCGCACCACCCGCAGAACATGCAAACACGCACGGAGCAGACAGTGACCGCACAGCGAAAAACACCCGCAGACACACTCATCACTCCACGTGAACAAGGAACGGAACGGAGGAACGAACCGAAAAAGCGAGTGCAATGTGCCACTCTGAGCCACAGCTGAACAACTGAGTCACTACAAACACGCCAACAATCCGTTGGTCCCAGACAGCACCCTCCCTACACGCCACAACTGAACAAAGCCCAGAGTCACCATGAACGCGCCAAACAAAGTCCCACTCACCCATCCAACTATTGTGTTTCCTTTAAAGTCCGGTGCGGGTTATTTATGAAAAAAGTTCAAAAATAGACCATTTAATGACAATGCGCCTTATAATCCAGAACGCCTAATAGCCCGAAAAATACAGTAGTTAATTCATACATACATTTTTTTTTTTGTTTTTTGCATTTTGTAGGGAGAGAATATATGGTACAGAGGAAGAGACCATGAGTATATAGTACAGAGGAGGAAGAATAAATGCAGGGAAAAGGAGGCAGGAGGAAGCCAAAAAGTGGAGATTTATGCAAGTAGTGAAAGAAGACATGAGATTAATTTGTTGAGCAGGGGATGCAGAGGAGGGGGTCAGATGGAGCAGAGGATGTAGAGGAGAGGGGCAGATGGAGTAAAGGATGCAGAGGAGGTGGTCAGATAGAGCAGAGTATTCACTGTTACACTTGAATGTGTATTCATATTAAAAAAAATCTACACAAAACATGTGAAGTGTCAAGAATGATATAGAGAAATCGGTGATGGCTTTAGGAGCTAAACTACCTGTCTCTTCATCCGTCCAGAACGTGAGTATGGGGTCTGGGGGCGCTCACGACTCTGGTCTGGACCTGCACCTGCTCAGTTCCCCAGAGAGAGCACCCCCCACAGGTGCAACAGGGAACGGTCTCAACATCCCACAGATGAAGGAGCACCGCCGTCACCACACGCAGAGAAGTATTAAAGGTCCTATATTATGCAAAATTGACACGTGAGTTTTAAGCCATGTTAGAACGTTGTTACCTCCTCAGAAACATACCTTGGGTTGTGTATTGCTTTATGATATTCACCTTGATGTCATGAAGCAATATTTTTCAAGTGAACAGCTCCTTTTACCCTTTGTTCAGAAGAGATTAGCAATTCCAGGACTGAAGTTATTCAAATTATTCTAGTGAAGGTGTGTGGAGTTTAAAAACACAGTGGAAGCACTTCCTGTATTACTATATGACATCAGAAGGAGGTGTTTTCTGTTTGAGAGAAGAACAAGGCTTAAATATGCAGTGTTAAACCTGTGTGAATCCAATGGAACCCACACACTTGTTTCCCCAGATCACAGTGAGGAGGAAACTGGAACTCATCGTTGTTCTTCTAGTTTTGGTCCAGCAGAGGGCGCTCACACACAGGTTTGAAATGACAGTTAATATAGTTGAAGAAATTATATGGGTTATTAGCTGTTCTAAGCTCTATAATGATGATTTTGTTTATGTTCAGAGGGACCGGCTTCGATCAGAGACTGAAAAACTCCAAAGGATTCTCAAAAACACAGGTGAGAACTTGTGGACGTTTAGAGACATTTCACCTGTACGTGTGTGTATGTGGGGACATTTAGAGACGTGTCACCTGTACATGTGTTTCTGTTTTGTAGACATGTTCTGGGCGTGTGTGAGGAGGTGTGGTGTGTGGAGCAGACTCTGATGAAGCGCAGAGCAGAGCTCCGTCAGGCTCAGAGACTGCTGCAGGAGGCCCACAGCTCTACAGCACAGGTCCAATGCCACACATGCACACACACACACACAAATACACACATACACACACATATGCCCACACCTGTCTGCTCATTGTACCAACATCTTTGGGTTAGTCTCCTTCTAATCTAATAATTGTAGCTGTTTGATTGTAAACTGGGAGTCGTACTACAGACTCAACTGAACCTGGGTTGCCAGTTCCTTAACCTGCAGATAGAGGACAAATGTTTGTCATTCTCAGTTTAGGGACAGAGCTCATGTAGAAACTCAGAACCTCCAGAATTCCCTCCCTGAGCTGCAGAAGCTGCAATAGCACTGACTCAGGATTGTTGCAGGTGCTGGGGTTTAGGTAGTGACCATTCAGATCAAAGAGGCATTTTAGAAATAAATCAACTGGATTTCAGTATTGAAACTAGCAACCCAGTTTTGTGTTTGTTTTTGCTCAGCTTCATTTTACAGGGCCTCACAATAGCAGTTAAAAAGCAGAAACTTTGAAACAATAAAACTGATTAGGGGTGTGCAATTGATCAGAGCTTAAAAATGTGACTATTTTTGTGTTAATATGATTCAAGATATGTTTACATTTACTTCCAAATTATAAATATATTTACTGCATTTTCTTCAGGCCCGATGTGAAGCTGAAGAGTGGCAGTGCCGAGCAAAAGACAGTGCCGCCTGTCTGCAGCAGACACAACTACAACTCAAGTAAAACACTGTTTTACCTCATTAAAGTTTGTAAGGTTTTCACTACTGCTACTTTATTCATTGGATGTCTTTCAGGGACCTTCAGGACGAGATGAGGACTCTGAGGAAGTCCAGACGAGCCAAAATCCTAAGTCCAGACATAGACCAGGTCCGGTCTTCCGACCCTCTGGTTTCACTCAGGAACCAAGTGAGTTTGCTGTATAGAGTTATGTCTCATTTTTGTTCCAGAGTTAGTTAGAAACTCTTTTTTTTTTCTTTTTTTTTTGGTCTCACCTTCCAGATTTTATTATAGTTCTATGTTTCTTTTTTTTGTTTTTTGTTTTTTGCAAACTACATAGATTACAACAAATAGGAACCAAACAATATACAAGATACAAGACAGATATTACGATTGAACATTACATACAAATAGGGACAAAGATGACAGGGGTTGGTGACAGTGTGAACCTTATGTGTATGTGTGTACGTGTGTGCATATGCGTATGTGTGTGCGTGGGTGTGGGCACAGGAACGTGCACGCACATCCACATACACACAAGCCTGCACACACACTCACACAATTCACACACATGAACCCACATTCATCCCTGGTTGACTTGTGATGCATTAAAAAAAAAGCTGGGTGTGATGCATTAAAAGTATCAGGGAGGTAAGGAGCTTGGGGGTAGACCAGAGAGTGAAGCCAGCACAGAGGGGAGACCCTGAGGGGACGGGAGAGCACGCACTTGGGCACCCGTAAGCGGACCCCCACACCCAACACCCAGGCGACAGCAGAGAGGGCCCAGCCCGCTAAGGACCTGAGGCAGACAACTTTTGTGCTGTATTCCTAAGTCTATTACAGTACTGTTTTATATAGCCTGTCTATCCCATCCCTGTTTCTTTATAAAATAAAGTGGTGTTATGTGTGAGTGTGTATGGGTGTGTTATGTGTGTGTGCATGTGTGCATGTGTATGTACTCTCAGGACTTCATCTATTTTCATGTCAGGCAAAAGGTGGTTGACTACCAGACAAAGAAAAGAGTTAAGGAACAAGAAGAAGAAGAATCAAATATGAAATTACATTTGTAGAAAATGGAGGAAGGTGGACCAGGGTGACTGGGGTGCTGTTGTGCTGACGGGGGTAGTAGATGTGTATTCCAGAGAGATATGGTCAATGAGTAGGTTTTTCCAGTGTGTCAGATGTATGTTGTGTCTTGATTTCCAGTTCATGAGGATAGTTTTTTTGGCGATAGTTAGGGCCACAAGGAGAGGTTTATGTTTTTTATTATCTATTGTGATTATTGAAAGGTCTGCTAGAAGGCAGAGTGAGGGGGACATGGGGATGCGACAAGCCATGAAGTGGGATAGTGAGTCCGTGATTTCTTCCCAGAAGTGCCTGATGGGTGTGCAATGCCAGAAGGCATGAATATAAGTGTTGGGGAGGTTTTGTGTGCAATTTGTGCAGTTAATTTCTGATGCGAATCCCATTTTCAGCGTTTTTTGACCAGTGTAGTGAGTTCTGTGGAGTACCTTATATTGTATGAGTTGTAGATTTTCATTTTTTGTCATAAGATAAATGTTTTTACAGATCTGGGTCCAGAAGTTGGCATCACGAGTGAGGGAGAGATCTTGTTCCCATTTTATTGACGGTAATGATATAGTTTGGTCGGAGTGAGATATTATTTTATAAATCTTTGATATGAGTTTTTTGGGGTTGGGGATATTGATTAATTCTGAGATTGCAGGGGAAAGGCATAGATTTGCTGTACTAGTATAAATTTTTTACTGTACCGAGGATTTGAGTTGTGAATGTTCCAGAAACTGATTACTCGTGATGCCGAACTCCTGGACCAGGTATGGGAATGATACCAGGGTGTTATTATGGAAGATGTGTTTTAAATGTGTGATGCCCTTTTGCACCCAAGAGTGAAAATTAAGTGTTTCTTTGTTGCTAAGAAGGTCAGAGTTATTCCAGATGGGGGTGAAGTTAGATAGTGAGATAGTTAAACGTGTGATTTTATGGAATTTCCACCAGGCTGTTGGAGCAGATGCTATGGTTGTTACTTTGAAACATGGATGTCGTTTGATTGTTTGGCTGAGAAATGGGATATCTGAAATCTGAATGTCCTTACAGAGTGTTTCTTCTATGTCTAGCCTGGTGTAAACTCAGTGACTGGGGTGTGTCCACTTGTATATAGAGTTAGAAACCTCAATTCGTGTAATGTGTTTGTAGGAGGAGCAAATGCAGCAGAGAATACAGGAGCTGAGGGACCAAGAGACCAGACTCAAGACCAGTCTACAGGTAACTTCTATAGCACTAAACTAGGACATAACCAAACCAAAGGTTCAAGGTTCAGGTTCAACTAAACACACTGGTTTTATTTGCTATATAGTTATAACCAAGGACACCTGTGGATCATTATTTTATATTTTAAACATCATCACACAAGTTTAACTCTGCCAGACCGTGCTGTCGGCCCACCTATGGATCAGAATCAGAATAGATGCAATTTACAGTTGGGAATAGTGATTTTTTTTTCCCCCACTTGAGCCACTTGCACCATGCAACTCTGCCTTTAAAGAAAAAGAAACTGAGAGTGGGCATGTATTGTCAGCAGGTCATGGCAGATGAAAACTGTGATTTTTCAGAGCAGTGGCATCTTGAATGCAGGAGCATAAAGATTACCAGTACTCAAACTTGCGTGAATCACTCTAAATACAACTTGGAGTGGGTAAATGAGAAGGACTCAGTCAAACAGTATGTCTCCTTTGAGTGTTTTGTGTTGTTTTCTGGGCAGTTGTTGGTGCAAGAGCAGGAGACACTGTTGTCTCAGAGGAGCTCTTTGGTCTCAACCACAACAGAAGAGGAAAAAGGACTGGAGCAACTTCGGTCTGAGCTGGACTCAATCCGAACTGGTATTGAACCCTGATACTACTGCTACTGTGGCAGAGTGGTTATCCTGTCTCCTCCTCTCAGTAAGGAGGTTGTGGGTTAGACCCCCGATATCTCTTAGTAGAGTGTTCTAGAGAGTAGCTCTAGTAGTAACGATTTATTGTACCAGATGAATTATGAGTCCTGTTTTCTGCCCTAGAGCTGAAGCAGGTTCTGGACAAGGTGCTCTCAGAACGACAAGAACTGGTCAATTTGAAAACACTACAGTCCAGAGAGTTCAAGAACCTTCAGAAAACCCAAGTCCAGCTAGACCAGACCCAGACCCAACTGGATCAGACCCAGGACCTGCTTGACCGCACTACAGATCTGGCAGGCCAGGTCAAGATCGAGCTGAACCAGGCCGAAGACCAGCTGGATCGAACCAAGTCAGAACTTCTCATGAAACAGGAAGAAGTGAGACAGAAGGAGGAGGAAGTGATGGAGAAGCAGCGGGAACTGGACCAATCACAGGCTGCGGTGGACAGGAAGCAGTTGGAGCTTACGGAGCTGCAACAGGAAGTGGAGATGCGGAGGATGGAGGCAGAGTCATGTCTTAAAGAGACAGAACGGCAGACGAGAGAGCTACAGGTGAGTCTTCAATCATAAAACAATATTAATGCTGACATCCTAGCTCAGGTCTTCAGGAAACACTTAAACAACAGTGGCTTAAAGGTTAGAGCCATTGCCCACCAACCCAAAGGTTTTTGGTTTGATCTTGGCTCTGACCAATTGTGTTTTGCGTGCGGTGTCTATGGGATTGGTGATTGGAGGGGTCTCTGGGGAGCAGACTGGCATCGCTTCTGTTAGTCTCCCCCAGGACTGTATAAGAAAGTGGCTCCAGTCAAATGAAGCTCATTGACTTGCAGTTATAGCAGCGACTTTTGAGATATATACAGTCTATGCTCTAAACCAGCAAAATCTAGACTAAACCAGGTCTAAAGCCGGTATCCGTCAGCACACTTCTTATGACAGTGCTTTTTTCAGGAGGTGAAGGAGGAGGTGGAGCAGAGAAAAGAGCAGAGTGGCAGTCTGCAGCGGCAGTGTCGCCACCTGGAGGACAGACTCAGACATGCACACAGGTAAAACAAAGCAACTGAAAAAACTGTTTAAAAACTTCTTTTTTTTTTTTAAACCCTGCATTTGTGAGCCAGGTGTCTGTCTGCAGTGGAGGCAGAGCTTCAGAAACTCAAAGAGGAGCAGAGCCAATCAGTGCTCACTCAACAGGAAGTGATGCAGGAGACAGCTGCCAATCAGGAGAAGCTTAATGGTAAGTAATACTGCTACTTGATTTGAGAGTCTAAAATAGATCATTCCTCCCTAGACTTATTATTATTTATTATGTGCAGCACCATCAAGTGCCAGTCTAAGAGCGGTGTTTTCAGTGGCTCCTCTGTCACTCTGCAGTAGAGCGAATGTGAAAGCAGCTGAGCTCAGGCAAACCTACACAGTCCATGCTCAGCGTAAAAAAGCTCAGAATTCAGCTTTAGATTTCTCTTTTATTTATAACAGACTTTATTGTCCGGGTAAGACCATTTGTCCTTTGCATTTGGTCAGCCCAGTACCAAGTACTGGCACTGAGACTGGAGTAGCCAACATGATGAGCGGATGACACTTGTAGCAGCTTTTTGTTTGACAGATGATGGACAGGTGCATGGCGCAACAGTGGCTTAGAAGTTTGAGCGGCCAGAGCACTCATCTCATTGTGTTCTTAGGCAACACCCACTTTGCCCATGTGTGAACATAAGAGGTCATGTTAAAGTAGTACTTGCACCAAATGTGGAGGAAATGAATAATGATTATTGTGTAGCGTAGTTTTTCTCCATATATTTTATTTGGTTTCATCAAAACACACACAAACTCTGCCAGTGCACAGTAATATATGTAAAATCAGCCAATTCAATAATACCCAGAGAGCTCAAGTGAAGAAAAATTAAACATTTGAGGTTTGAGCTTGAGTCCTTCTATTTCGTGTCGATATGTGTTGTCGTAACACTTATTGCGTGTGTGTTTTTCAGAGAGCTCTGAGCTGCTGAGTTTCCTCGGGGAGAAAGTGGAGGAGAGGAAAGTCCAACTCCGAACTGTGGAACAGGTTTGTCCTCTTCAGAGCACACTTTAGATTTTAGTCACTCTCATGTTAATACTGTTTGAATGTCATGTGTTTAATGTGTGTAGGAGCTGTTAGCGCTCAGAGAGAAGCATAGAGAGCAGCACAATGAGCTGCAGGAGCTGGAGCTCAGAGCACAGGTACAGCTAACACACAACCTAGAGGACACTACTTGAGTTAAAAGACCAAAGATAAAGGCTTTTCTTTTACAGGCTTCAGCTGCAGTGACAGAGAGCGAGGACAGGGGGCGCCATGTGACCCAGGATCACCTGCACAAACTCGGTGAGTGAAGCTAAAACTAGAATCCAAACTAGATCCTCATTTGAGCAGGTATCCATACTAAAAAAAATGTCCCATTCACAGGACAGAGCAGAATGTTTCCTGAATGTCTTTAGAATGATGTTGAGCTGTATCAGAACAAGTATCAGGATAGCTGAGGAGTGTTAAAAGTCTTAAAAAGGCCTTGAATTTCATATTCTTAAATTAAGGCCTTAAAAAGTCTTAAATTATGTTGCCCAAGTCTTATTATTTTATTATATTCTCAAAGGCACAAAATTTCATTAGATTGTTTTTTGTAAACTGAACCGGGCTGTAGTGCAATGTTAAATATAGGAAGGAAAAAAAAACTACATAAATGAACGTCTAATTTGGTTTCTGGCGGCAATGAGTAAACAATCAGCAGAGTGTTACAACAGTTTGTTGTTGTTGAAAATGTGAAATGGTTGAAGCTCTTTGAAAGACAATGTGAGAAAGACAATGTGAAAGGTTAGTTTGTCTTGTTAGAATGTTATAAATGATTTTTTTAAATGATTTTACAGGCAATTATAAATGCATTCTGAATGAGATTTTATAATAAAAGTATTTTTTGTTATTTAAAGCAGTGAATAAAGGTCATTATTAGAATTGGATCTGGTGTTTTTCACATAATGGGTGCAATGTTGGTCTTTATTTTCATTTAACTGGTCTTAAAAAGGTCTTTAAAAGTCTTAAATTTGGAGTAGTCAAACCTGGGGATACCCTGAGTATAAGAGCACATAGACTAGTACACACCCACGGACCAATATGAACCTACTGGACCACTGAGGGATTACGCACATATAAGGCCATGTGATAATAGAAAAGAAAGTACTACCATTTAATGTTGGAAATCACAGCATATTGTCTAGTGTTTTTATTGTCATCATGGTATTGGAGTCAGTATTGAGTATCGAGTTTATTCCTTAGTATTGAAATCACTTTTTAAACGTTAGTATCACGACAGCACAGGTGGGAGCGCTTGTAAATGTTTGTGAGGGGCTTTTGGGGGAACAGTTTTTTTTTAGGCTCAAACAGGAAAAACACTGGACCAGCGAGAGCGATATGTGGTAAAATACTGTAGCTCTGTCTAGTGGTTTGAGTTGAGCTGACTGAAGTTTTGTTTTAGTGTTGATATGTTTGTTTTCTGAAGATGATGAGCTGTGGGAGCGAGAGAGAAACCTGCTGCAGAGAGAGGCGGAGATTAGACACAAGGAAGAGGAGCTTCACCAGAAAGAGCTTACACTGGGAGAGATGGACCTACTGCCAAAAGAGGAGGAGCTGCCAAGTGCATTGGTCGTGAGTATATGGATAGATTTTATATATGGCCAAAAAAGGAGACCACTGTATACTGTCTGTGTCAAAAATGTTATTGTCTGAGAATTGCTGTGCACTGTAAGCATGCTAGTTTTGGTTTACTTTACTGTATTGGCAAAACAGCTCTGGCCTCAGAAAATTGTGAAAAGTACTACAATGTATTACAATGCTAAGTATGCATTAGTGAGGAATAATTTTCATGGTTTAAGACATTTTAAGACATTGTTCAAGCCTTGTTAACTCCTGTCTTCAGAATTCGGATGAAGAATCCAGCGAAGAGTTCTACCTGTCCACAGCCGGTCTCAGATCAGCCTCCAGCCCAGAGGTGTGAGCCCTTTAACTGTGGATTATCTCAGTCTCATCTTCATCTCAGTGAGGAGGTTGTGGGTTAGACTCCTGATCTCTCTGAGTGGAGTGTGAAAGTCCTTCCTGTGCTACTGTCAGTGTTTCTAACTGATTGCATGTTTCTGATCTGATTCAATTTTTTTGTCCAGGAGGAGAGGTGGAGAATGGAGCTGGAAACAGACAAACTTGAGCTCAAACAAGACTCACTGAAAGTAAGAGACTTGTATTTTAGTCACCGTGTTTGAAATGGGCATAGAGGCAGAGGAGTAGAGCCAGAGGAGCAGAGTCAGAGCCAGAGGAGCAGAGTCAGAGCCAGAGGAGCAGAGTCAGAGCCAGAGGAGCAGAGTCAGAGCCAGAGGAGCAGAGTCAGAGCCAGAGGAGCAGAGGCAGAGCCAGAGGAGCAGAGGCAGAGCCAGAGGAGCAGAGGCAGAGCCAGAGGAGCAGAGGCAGAGCCAGAGCCAGAGGAGCAGAGCCAGAGCCAGAGCCAGAGGAGCAGAGAGCAGAGGAACAGAGGAACAGAGGAACAGAGGAGCAGAGGAACAGAGGAGCAGAAGGGACAGAGGAGCAGAAGGGACAGAGGAGCAGAAGGGACAGAGGAGCAGAAGGGACAGAGGAGCAGAAGAGGACAGAGGAGCAGAAGGGACAGAGGAGCAGAAGAGACAGAGGAGCAGAAGAGACAGAGACAGAGGACAGAGAGCAGAAGAGACAGAGGAGCAGAAGAGACAGAGGAGCAGAAGAGACAGAGGAGCAGAAGAGACAGAGGAGCAGAAGAGACAGAGGAGCAGAAGAGACAGAGGAGCAGAAGAGACAGAGGAGCAGAAGACAGAGGAGCAGAGCCAAAGTTTGTTGAAAAATCCTGGGGTTCAGGCTGCCAATAAAATCAAAGACCAAGACAAGACTTAGTTAAACAGAACATTAGTTGGCTTGAGAGTAGAGGGCATTAAATTAACCCACTATATTTTATTTATTATTACCTCCGCCAAGGAGGTTATGTTTTTGCCGGCGTTTGTCTGTTTGTTTGTTTGTTTGTTTGACTGTCAGCAACATAACTCAAAAAGTTATGGACCAATTTTGATGAAATTTTCTGGATTTGTTGGAAATGTGAAAAGGAAGAACTGATTCATGATCATTTTGGGGGTGATCCGGAAGAAATCCTGGATTCTGGATCACTTTGAAATTTTAGTTAACATTGTGGTAAATGGGGCCAAAAATTTTGTTTCTCAATATCTCGGTTAATTATTGACAAAACCCCATGAAATTTGACTCAGGGATGGACAATGGGATCCTCTTTCATATTCCAAAGGCTGATCCGGATCTGATCCAGAAGACTGATTTTATCGCAATTTATATAAAAAATGGGGGTAGTCCTTGGCGGAGGTCTGCGCTCTGAGTGCTTTTCTAGTTATTTTTTTTATTTTATTTTTTTATAGGCCAGACTTCGCTGCTCCTTACAAACCCAGGACCAGAGCCTTCAGGAGAGAGGTCTGGAGACGGAGCAGAGCCTGAGGGGACTGAGGCACAGGGTGGACAGTCTGGATTCTCTGCTGCTCAGGGCTAAAATACACAAATAACACTCACTATGTAACGGTTTTATATAGAACCAGGGAGCACCGTGGCATAGTTCCTCCATAGTGAAAAGGTTCCCAATTCAGTCCTCAGCTTATTCTACACTGTTTGTATGTTCTCCCCTTGTCATGATTCATACAAAGCGCTCGGTGAAGTGTCTTGCCCATGGACAGCAGTAATTGGGTTGGATGTGAACTATTAAATTTGAGGTTAGTTGACTAGTGTACAATGGAAGAACCAATGTTGTATTGTCAGATGCAGAAAAGCTATGTCTTTATGGGGATAATAGTGAACATTACATAAAAGAAACACTGCAGTATTGCTTTAATAATTCAAATATTTATTATGTTTTTCATACAAAGCAAAAACAGGATAAAACAAAAAATAACAAAAAGAGCATAGCCGAACTTTCCATATGTTTACTGTAAGAGTGTTAAGCCTTCTTCTGAAATAAACCATGCACATGTCACCAGTCCCCACACCCTGAGGGACTTCAGAAGGTCAGGACTGCAGTGTTCGCATCTATAAAACTGTTCATTGTCATTAACATTTTATTATATTTTTATGTATTCATGATCTGTTACGGCTTCTAAAAGTATATTCTAGCAGATTAAAGAGTTACAACATTCTAAATAAGCACAATTTGAAAACTGAAGTAAGGCATAGTCAGAATTCTCTGGTAGAAGTTGCCTTTAAACTGTATGTGTTGTGTCCTGGTTTATGGTTAATACCTCTTTGATTACTGGGTCAAAGAACCTGGTAAAACTGCAAAAATATCAAATTTTGATGTGAGCACAAATGACTAAAAGAATTTAGTCACTACAGCTTCTAAAGCATGGGTGTCAAACTCATTTTGGTCCAGGGGCCGTATCCAATCTACTTTGATCCCAAAGGGGCTGGAAAGGAAAAAAAATGGCATATATACCCCAAAAATAGCAATAAGTTCAAATATTTGTGTAGAGAAACACAAATCTATTACAGAAATCTTTTTAATTGATTAACTCTTTCTTTTACAAAATATTATAATATTATGAACAACCTGAAATTTTAAGAAAAAAACATCGTGTTGAAATTGCATTTAACATTAACTTGTATGCAAATTGGAATAAGTCCGTTTTTCTTGGAAAATCCTGCACTCGGCTCCACTTTTCTCGTTTTTGACATTTTTCTGATGAGGGTGTCACGGTCAACAGTCAAAACGATCGTCCTTTAAGAGGGTTTGGAAAGAGGCAAGTCTTCATTTGTGCTGCTCTGGAGGGAGGGGCCACGTACAGAGACGCTGGAGACGCTGCTCTGCTAAGCACCGCAGAAAATTAACAATATTTTAATAGAAAATATAATTAAAATATTTCAGTAGAAAATCAACCAAGGGCCAGATTAAAGGTCTTGGAGGGCCAGATCTGGCCCCCGGGCCGTATGTTTGACACCCCTGTTTTAAAGTAAAGAGATTATTCACTCACAGTGTGATTGGACAGAAGGGCTGTTTTGGAATATTGGAATACTGAAATGAATCTGTTATATGAACTATCACAATTATTAAGTAAATATACTACGTAATAGACTACAACTCTTTAACTAATGCATTTGATTTTTTCCTCAATTTGTGCAGCCTTCTCAGAGCCTCTCTCACTGTTCTCTGAAAGAACGTTATCATGAGACAATCACTGTTACTGTATTGCACTTTTGTGGAAAGGAAAAATTTTATATTTTTACAACTTTTTAATAAAACAGTATCTTTTCACCTAGTGTATGTGTCTGCACAGTATTTCTATTTGCATTACTACAAACATTTAAGGAGATATTTACTTGTGCGGATTACACTGTTTGTTTTTTTGCCTTGTGTTGACTCTTTCTTCTTCACTTGTTCTGGAGGCTGAGTCCATCCCTGCTGCTGTGGGCCTTAAGTGGGGACAGTGGGCTGCTGCTTGGTCCAGTTTTCAGTCCAGTTCTTTGTTAGATCTTTGTCCCTCGTGTGGTTAGTGTCACGTTTGTGTTTTGGTCATTGCTGAGTGTAAAATTTGTAGGACATCAGGACTGCAGTGACTGCTGCCGACCTGCAGGAGGAGACACTGAGACAAGACAGATGCTGCATTAGAACAGGCTCCACTTAAACAACACACTACATTGTCTGTTACTGGTTACAAGACTTCAATGGTTTGGGTATTTGTAGAAGTTGCAGTGTTCTCTACTTTAAGTTCTTATTTAGTTTGTGTTATTATTTTTGAATTTAACTTTAACTCAAAAAACTGACAATTTTTTTTGTTTAACCATTGTCTGGAAATGTACACACTTTGTAAAATTATTTTTTGAAATTGTGCCTTTACAACTGACAAATCTTATGTTAAAGAAGATCTATTGTGCTTGTGTCCACTATGACACCTATGGATCATTATGATCAAAATACTGATCTAAAACAACTTAATAAAAGAAACAAGTCGGCCAACTTGAAGATGGCGTAGCCGTAAACGTCATCACAACAAAGTGCGGCACGCTGTGGGCCCCTTGTATGGATAGCTGCACATCACACTAGCGAGTAACAGATTTTTTTTTTTTTTTTTTTACCAAAATGAGTAAGAAGCAAAGCCAAAGCCAAAAAAGCTCTGATTAAAGTGTTGCAGCTGGCTGTGGTTTATCAACAAGTGGCTATTCACAAACTCATCCTCCTACAACTACACATGTAGTATTTTACTGGACATTGAGACCTGGAGCCTGTTTTTCTTTAGATTAGTAAAATCTAAATCCTAAATTTTTTTAGTGATATGATCCATTATCCTGCTAAAGGTGTTGAACACCACCACAAACTCTGCATCTTAACTTTAACTCATCTTAACACTACACGAGTAGGAGCATGGGAGGGCATCTGACCCATAGTTCAGTATCAGTACATGTACTCGAGTACCTGTAGTGTCCCACTGGAACAGGCATCCAGCAGTCGGATACTTGTGGCTGATTGGTTGAAAATCTCCTGCTTCACTGAGTCTTTGAGATTTGAGTCTGAAGAAACATCTATCAGCAAACGCAGCACTGCCCTGAGGAACTGCAGTCCTCTCCTCTGGTCCACCCTGGAGACAAGAGCAGATCAGAACCAGGTCTTAACCAGACCTAAGTCAAATCTGAAGGGCTTAACAAAGACAAGACCAAAACTAGGACTTAACCAGAACTTAAAGATGATATATTATTTTGTATATTGTATCAAGATGTAATATAACGTAGAACATTATTTTATATTTTGTTGCTTGCAACTGATCTAAGACAACTTAAAACTGGGGCACCTGATTTTCACACAGCAGGAGGAAGTCAGTATTTAAATCTGTTTTGTACATTACATGCATACACTATTTTCTGATCGATGTTGTAATGTTTCCTCATCTGTTTCCTCATCTCCTGTTTTTAAACTTCACAAGAATCATTTAGCAATTCCAGGGCTTAAATTATCCAATCCTTACTGAACAAAAAGTCACAGGTAGCTGTTAAATTGAAAATTACCTCTACATGACATCACAAGGTGGAAGCATTTGGAGATGTAGACAGACTAATAATAAAGTTTGACTCAAACATGTAAATGAAACATAACACAACTCTGGCCTTGTTTTGGATGAGGTAGCAACATTATAACATGGCTTAAAGCTCACAAGTCAATTTTGCATCATAAAGAACCTTTAATATCCACCACATGTATTCTTTTTCAGACAAAGGCACAGCTTTTTTTTCAGACTGTGAAGTGAAACAGCCCTGCATTTGCCACTTATTTCCGGTTTATCTCTTTAAACTACACAACAAAGACATGTCAAAACCAGGTCTCACCGGGGCCAGGCGGTCTGCAGAGTCCGGTTCAGGGTGAGGAGGATCTGGATACGGCTGGTCTCATCCGGAGGGTCACTGAGCTCCAGGTACCCCAGGATCACTCTCTCCAGACGCCTCAAGTGTCTGCACACTGCAATACCAAACCTGGACAGCAGAGGGCATGCTGGCATGACATTACAGTTGGGGGTTTTGCGAAAATTATGTGTAATTGTTTTGTTGTTTTTAAAGTTAAGTTTTTAGTTAAAATTTATGTTAAAGAAGACATATTGTGGTTTTTAGCTATATTTAGTATCAAACTATATCACACATAAAATGCAATATTGATCTAAAACACCTTAATAACAGAAACAGGTCCAAGAACATCCTCTTCAAAATTGCAGAATTTATACTTTGTAGTTGTATTTCACTCAAGAATGCACCGAGTTCTGATACTGAATCGATACTTTGAATATAAGAATCTGCCTAAATATCAACTGATACCAATGTAGGGATGGAAAATGGCACTTATTTCCTTAAAACACAGGTAACAGATCCAGTGGTTTGATGTAACTGTTATTTATTCTTCAAGTAACTACTGAACAGCTTTGTTTAAGACAGTCAAGGCCAAAATCAGCCTGTTTTGGCCTGTCTTATTACATCCAATTAAAGCAGGGGTGTCAAACTCATTTTGGTCTGGGGGCCGTATCCAACCAACTTTGATCCCAAAGGGGCCGGATCAGAAAACTCATGTCATTTATACCCCAAAAATAACAATAAGTTCAAATATTTGTGCAGAGAAACACAAATCGATTACAGAAATCTTTTTTAACTGATTAACTCTTTCTGTTACAAAACATTATAATATTATGAACAACCTGAAACTTTAAGAAAAATGCAATTTCAACACAATGTTTTAACATTAACTTGAATGCAAATAGGAATAAGTAAATTTTTCTTGGAAAATCCTGCACTTGGTGTCCACTTTTCTCATTTTTGACATTTTGCTGATGAGGTCAAAACGATCGTCCTTTAAGAGCGTTTGGAAAGAGGCAAGTCTTCATTTGTGCTGCTCTGGTGGGAGGGGCCACTATGCTAAGCACCGCAAAAAATTACCAGTATTTTAATAGAAACTATAATTAAAATATTTTAGTAGAAAATCAGCCGAGGGCCAGATTAAAGGTCTTGGAGGGCCGCATCCGGCCCCCGGGCCTTATGTTTGACACCTGTGAATTAAAGGCTCAATCACAATATTGCCTTAATCGATATTATGGAACCGTTACACAATTCAGCTAATTATTCCGCATCCTACATTTCACGCTAGCAAGAAGCCCATTTTCATGTAACTCTGAATAAGCTAATGATGAGGAAGCACTGTTATAACATGGTTAAAGACTAATATTATAATATATAATATCTCCTGGTTTGGAATCATGTGAGAAAGAGCCACCTGTCCACAAGCAGAGGAAGTGCAGAGGCATAAACCCGCCGCAGCGCCAGTTTATGCTCCGCCTCCATCTGTGTCAGGACCAATCGCAGTACATCATCATGGCGACTGGCAGCTCTGCGGGAGCGGGAGGAGCATGGGGACGAGGGGGGCTTCTCCAGAACGAGCAGCAGGTCCATCAGAAAGGCCAGGATACACTGAGGGAGACAGAAATCACAGAGTCTTACTCATCTCTGTCACTGGCTACATGAAGACTGACAGTAAAAATCTGATAACTAATATAATTACACTATTTTTGTTTGGTTTATATGAGAACGCAAGAGAAATCTCATCATTAAAAACATGTGTCAGTGAATCAATGGATTTTTAGAGTAACCGTAGAGTAAAGTACAATGAATTTCAAATAACTTTTTCTTTCTTTCTTTAAAGAAGAGGTATTTTACTTCTGTGGGACATTAACTGCTGACACATAACATATTTAGATCACCATGTTACCCTTCATTGTTTTGAAAATACTATATTCTCTCAAAACACTATATTAACAATATTTAAACATTTTCCCTTTAGTTTTGGAGTTTCTGAGTCTCCCTTTACTTTGCTCCTTGTACTAAAGTCTTCGTTATCACAACCATCAGGGTGCATCCCACTAATGAAACTAATCCACATCGCATCAGGTTTGTGAAGTTGCTGTGTACAGTTTTGTATCATGTTTTTCTATATTTATGGAGAATTGTCTTTTACACATTAGTTTGCCCTTGCACAGCTTTTCTTGTCAAAACCTGTTCAAGAAAAGTTGTGCAAGTTGTCATCATAAAGAAACCACATTACTCACATGAGATGGAATTTGATATTTCATTAATGTGTTAACTCCAGAAATCAGATCATGATTAGATTTTTGGTTTACATGTTAAAATAACTATTAAGTTAAATCATTGACAGTTTGTTTTATGATCTCAAGAACATTATTGGGCTGCATATACTGTTATACAACTTCTACCTTCAACACCTATGCCTGTGAATAGTCTGTGAATGGAATGATTCAAATTGGCAACAGTGACATTTGAACCTAGGTTTGCTGGAAGAGACTTGAAAGATCTGTTTGTGTTTAGAATAATAGTGACTAGGATGTTTGTGATCCACAAACACAAATCTAAACCTTGATACTGAGCTCATGCCCTCGGGCAAGTAGGACAAATTTGACCTTTACAGAATAGTTCATGCTAGTAGTAGCATTATTTACCATTGTCTGTAAATATTAGGATTTTCTTAGCATCAAAGTAGCAACACTAGAATAAGATAGCAGCAGTGAGTTCTGACCTGAGTGACCTGAGGCTGGCCATTGTACAGGAGTCTGAACACAGCCTGATACAGGACCTCCGCTCTGTTCAGTTGTCGCAGATCTGCACAAGCCTGGAACACACACACTGTTACATTTAAAGTTACTTTGTGTCACTTTTTTGGTGGAGAGACCAGCCCATTACTGCTTTGCCAAGAATGTTCCAGGCTAAGTTATAGGTCAGATCTGTTGAGAGACAATTTTGCTCACAGTAAAAATGTATGTACAAGCAGGTGGGTAAACTCTCCACTAGAAAAGTTACAAAGAGCAATCAGGATCAAACCATTTGCAGGACGATGTGATGCAGGCAGCGGACTCCCAGAATGCAGTTCTCTGGTCTGTAATGGTCTGTAAGCAGCAGCGCTGGTGGCAGGAGGCGAGGCAGGTGCTGAGAGAGGTCAGGGCGTGTCACCTGCCCAAAAGAAGTCACTTGCCAAACTAGAGACCAGGACAGAGTCCCTCCCATAGTTTTACCCAGAACTGACCTGCAGCAGAGCCCAGGAGAACACCAGCTTCACCGATTCACTGTGGAACAAGGACTCTCTGAAATCAAAAAGGACCCAATTTAGACGTGGTTAAACCCTAGTTTAGTCCAGCCTTTGCATGACTATGGCCATTGTTTACATGGCAACAATGGCCAGGAAAACGTTACATACCCACTGAATTCAATTCAAGTTATGAAGAGAAACCATTTTAGCTGTGGAAAAATGCAGTACACATATTTGTGCACCACCCAGTGACTTTATAATTAACACAATTAATTATACATGGTTACACAATTGTGTAGACATCAACTTCTGAGGCCTAAGAACATTTTTGAGATTGCGGACCCACTGCATGCTGCATGCACACAGCCAATCACTGCACAGATCAGAACTACCTCCATGAGAGAACTGGTTTGTCCAGTATTTAAAAGCTCAGCACAGGCTACCGCCCCCAAGAAAGGACCTCCTCCAGCATTTTCAGCTGGACTTTTGGTGACAGAATACAGATTGCATGAACACGTAGCTTGCTGTAGTGTAAATGAGTGGCCAATGCGACTAATCCAACATCGCAGATTTGCTGAAAACTTGTGGCCGTGTAAACAGTTCTTAGTCTTACTTGCTGAGTTGAGGTTGAAGCAGGTCCAGGATTGGTCCCAAAATCCCCTTGGCCCCGCCCTTTTGCCTATCTTCCTTATGCTTCCTGTCCCCAACGAGTAGGTGGGCGGAGTCTGTCCATGGTCCAGACTCTAGCAGCGCTCCCATCACGTCCTGTGCAGCGGATCTGGACGACGGGCTGCTCCATGGTGCCATCTGTGTGTTAGACAAGACAGTTAATCAAACCTCTAATAATTACAACAACAATGCATTTCCTTATGGTTGTTTATGATGAGTCCATGTGGTTAGGACTTAACGATGACTAAACCAGGACTAATTCAGGCTTAGACCAAATCAAGACATAAGGAAATTCTACTGTCTGGAAAATAATAACATAATTCTGCCCTATATATTATTTTATTCAATAACAGATCTGCCTGGTAACTTGACCTGGTGGCATCTAGGGATGCAAAGATCTGATACTGGTCAAATTTGGTGGATCACTTATTGGTTTCCAAACATTGGTTCAGCCGATAACCTGGTTATACAAATAAATTGATGTAATTGTGATCTACTGATGGCCCAGATGGTCTCATGTTCAAGTCAATGTTTTCCTTTATGAACACAAAGTTGTTGTGTGTAGTTACTTGAGTGATAAATAACAGCTGCATAACACATTTGGATAACTTTTGTCTTATTTTGTTTTAGTTTAAATAAACCTATCAGCTCTCTTTGCTCTGATGATGGTTGATATCAGCCGATATTTAAAGTTTTAGTATCACAGTCAGTATTGGAACTGAAAAGGTGGATTGGTGCATCCCTGGTTGCGTCACCTGCTATTCTCCATAGAGATAAACAAATTAAAGCATAATCTCCATGGAGACAAGCAAGTACCCTCCATCAGAAAAGTTACCTCTTCATCTACATTTTTAACTTTGTATTTTACCTGGAAGTGAGTGACAGCGAACACACAGATGTCCGGAGCAACAGTGAACAGGATTCTCTCCGAAAGTCCAACTCCTTCACACTCAGCCCCACCCTCTGCTCTGCTTTTACCCAGAATCCTCAGCAGGGTAACGAGGGTGTGACTCACAGCTTCAACTCTTGGTCTGATGGCGTCGTACTGCGACTCTGCCACTGAACTGATGTCATCATCAGCGAGTGGCAGGGAGCAGCGACCAATCAGAGCACGCGATAACAACAGGTACCCCAGCTCCACCTCCTGCTCTGACGCCACGCTGTGAGTGGTGGAGGAGAGCAGCCAATCACAATCTGCGGAGGACAAAAGCTGCTCCACTTTAGAGACGACAGAAAGGAGGGCGCTGTCAGGGCACGAGTCAATCAGAGCGCTCAGAGAAGAGAGCAGAGTTGTGACTGGCTGAGCTGGAGACAGAGGCTGGGGCAGGGGGAGGGAGGACAGAAGTGAAGAGAGGTCCATCTTAAAATATCTGGGGAAAAAACGAGAAGAAAATGTATCTTAACCATAAGATACAATAGTTCAAAGTTCAAAGTTAGCTTTATTGTCAATTTCTTCATATGTGCTAGACATCCAAAGGAATTAAAATGACGTTTCTCTCTATCCCATGCTTAGACAACGATTGAGAGAGCAAGAGGGCGCTACGTCTGCATGTGCCGCCATTCAAATCATAACATCATTCAAGTTTTGCTGCAGCCAACTGTTGCAGTCGTGAGGCCTTTGTGTTTCTGTCAAAGGTCTCGGTGCAGTTTAAAAGGAGGACTGGTCAGGGAGGGTCAGCAGATCTGTGTCAGGGCAGTTTGAGGAGAGGAAGAGCCAAAAATGTCCCTCGTCTGTGTTCTCCAGCATCACAGCAGTGTCCAGGGGGCGCCAGGTGACCACAACAGGAAAGGTCTCATTCTTATTCCGCTCTTGTGTTTCGGGTGATGATTAAATAGTCCATTCCCTCAAAGTGTTTTCTCTGGAAGGTCTTCTGCCACATTTGCTGCCACATATGGTGTAAAAAGCCTGTAGCATCTCAAATGTCCATAGCTATCTCCTTAATACAATACAATAGATACAATATAATAGTATCACAAATACTTTTTTTTTGTGATTCGCAAAGTGTGGTACATTTCCTGAGCACCTTCTAGTGGTACTTACCTTACCTTACCTTGTAAGGACCCCAAGCTTTAAACCATGTTAGAATGATAGAACCCACAAAAACATATCTGAAGTTGTGTTTTGTTTCATTCACACATGTTTGAGTAACCCTTTATTATTAGTCTGTCTACATCTCCAGAGCTCAAAATGCTCTGTTCCACTTTGCGATGTCATGAAGCGGTAGTTTTCAACTGAACAGCTCCTTTTACCTTTAGTTCAGAACAGATCGGCAATTCAAGGCCTCATTATCCAAATGATTCTAATGAAGGTGTGTAGAGTTTAAAAACACAGTGGAGCTCTTCCGGTTTTATTCTGGATATTACTTTCGGATTATCTGATTTCTGAACCTTTTTTAATGACATGTAAACCACACGTCATTAAAGAAACAGTAGCAGTAGATTATTTTGATGTTTCTCTGTCATTTTAATAGTCGCATAACTCCAAACCTTGGATAATAATCACATTTAGAGAGCAGCCACTGACAGGAAAGACTAATGGGTTTTTACACCACAGTGTAAATAGATACTACGCCTTTCTTTTTCAAACAATTTGTATGAACAACAAATACAACTCTGTGGCAAAAAAAAAAAAAAAAAATACAAATCAAAACTAAACTGCAGAGTTGAATGTCATATAAATGTAGTGCAAAAGCTTCACTTGTGTCGCTGACTGGCCAGGATGTTGAAAGCAGTGTTGGGGAGTAATGGATTACAGGTACCGGCGTTACGTAATCAGAGTAAAAATTAAGAGTAACTGTATTCAGTTACAGTTACTGTTTCAATGAGTGGTAATTGAATTACAGTTACTTTGCTGAAATAAATGGATTACATGGCGGTATTTTCCTGTTTTCACATTTTGGGCTAAACCAGGACAAAAAACAGGACTAAACCAGGTTTAAACCAGGACTAAACCAGGACTAAACCATGTCTAAACCTTGTCTAAACCAGGACTAAACCAGGTCTAAACCAAGACTAAACCAAGACTAAACCAGGTCTAAACCAGGTCTAAACCAAGACTAAACCAGGTCTAAACCAAGACTAAACCAGGTCTAAACCAAGACTAAACCAGGTCTAAAACAAGTCTAAACCAGGTCTAAACCAGGATTAACCAGGTCTAAATCAGGACTAAACCAGGTCTAAGCCAGGACTAAACTAGGACTAAAACCAGATCTAAACCAGGACTGAACCAGGTCTAAACAATATGACACCTAACAATAGGGTGGACATATTTTAAGGCAGCAGTGATCTCATATAAAAATAATTTCTCTATCAATAATATTTTTAATTTGGTTAAGGAAAGACTAGGCTTTTTATTGTCTTTTAGCAGACAAAACATTTTATGTTAAGATTCTAGTCTTTGCTACTTTACAGCAAACAAAAGTCTGTTCATGGAGACTTTGGGCTCAACAGACAATTTGAAGAGAACAAACAAGAATTTTCAGGATGTGGTTGATACATTCATGTAGTTTTAAAAAGCATGACAATATCAAGTAATCCAAAGTATTCAGATTACGTTACTCACCTTAAGTCATTTAATGGATAACGTTACAAACTACATTTTGAGGTATGTAATCTGTAATCTGTAGGGGAATACATTTTAAAAGTAACCTTCCCAACACTGGTTGAGAGTATACATGCTATGTTTGTTTATGTCTTGCCTTCGGCTCAGTTCACTCATTTGAAAATTCCTTCGGTCACTTCTAATTCATCAGCTAGTCAAACGCATATCGTAATATTGAAAAGCAGATCCGTGAGATGTAGGATTATTATCTGCTCAAAAATTAAAAACTGAAGCGTGGCCCACGGTACCTTATTTTAATAGATCCATGATCCATGCGCGGTCCGGTGTAAACAGTGCGTTCAGCTCAGGTCCGTGTCGGTACAAGCTTCGCACAAAGGTTCCGCGTCCGCAGATCCTAGCTCTTAACTTATTTTCTGTGCGCAGTTGCGGACACTTTTGGTCTCTTACTCCAACACTAAACTATTTCTGACAGAATTAGGGTAACCAGAATTTCAAAGTAACAAACTGGGACATCCCCGTTTTTCTGGAGGTTGGTAATAATACATTTGTAAGTGCGTAATTAAGAAAACTGTTATGCAGAGACCATTCATGACTAACATGTGAGTCAGTATAGTCACATTTTCTTTGGGTTTTGGTCGTTTTTCAGCAGATTTTTTAAATTTTACCTATACAAATGACAATTTATGCCTCTTTTTACACCTGACAAGTATCAAATTGGTTCAAAGAAATAGATGGTTCTGGATAAATCTGCTGGAACAGGAGACACAGGGCTCAAAAGTGGGACTGTCCTAGTTAAATAGGGACATCTAGTCACCCTAGCCTAGACAGAATCTAAAGTCCACTAAAATCCCTAAATATAAGTTAATTCATAAGCAAGTGTCATTAGAACATAATAGATGCAGAGATGTTCAAAGGACCCGCAGGTAGTCTGTGCTCATACAGTAAGACCATTTAAGATCACAACTGAACTCATTATCATTCTCATTCTCAGTATATGGACAGGCCATGCCTCATATGAAAGCTCATAACCTCTAGAATTCTCTCTCTGAGCTGCAGAAGCTGCACTAGCATGGACTCAGGATTGGCTGCAGGTGCTGGGGTTTAGTTAGTGGGGCTTCTGGTCAGAGTGCCCTTTAGGTTTAAACAAAACATGCTACATGTCTCCAAGAACAGTTGATAGTCAAGGTCAGTTAAATACAATCAATCAATGAACCTGTCCAGGGACTACAGGTGGAAATTAACACTGATGCTACAATCTGATGTACAATGCATCTCTCCTGTTAAGGTAAATGCAAAAATTGTGCACTGTCCCTGTCTCAAATAAATAAATAAACTGGATTTCAGCACAGTGAGGTTCATGCTACATTCTGAGTGGATAACCCTCTTGAGAAATTATGACAAAATATTTATTTCCAATTCCTTTAGGAGCTGAATGGAAACAGGAATAAACACAGAGGTGTAGCCAAAGTGTTTATTTTATTTGCTCCCAACCCTCAGCTCACTTCAAAAGCACCTGTTGTGAACTGTTATGTATGTGATCTTTTTATGCTGTGATGTGTGAGCACAACAGAATTACCTCCAGAGTTGTATTAAGAACTATCAATGTTACTCCAGTCGTTATTTCAGTGAAGTGAAAGAAAATAACCCTCTTTAGAACGTTGTGTAAATACAGTAATTTGAAATGATACAATAGCATTTTCAGAGAAAGAGCACAAGAGACAGCTGTTATTTTGTCAATAGGACATTTTATTCATACTTCTGTCTTTAGTCAAATACAGTAATAGTTGTGGCCAGCTAAAATTCACGGCTGATTCTAACGCCAAGCACTTTCACTTTGAGACGTTTCTCCAGCAACAGAAAAAGCAACGAGATGAGCGAGTGAGAGAGGTGAACGGGTGAAAAAAACAAAAAGGACATGAAAAAGGAGAGTTATGGCACATTTGGTCCACGGTTTTTATTATAATCGATTTTCAACAAAAATAAAGAAACAGAATTCTTCCAGAAGCATTAATGACAGCGTTGAGACACAGGGGGCGCTCTTCAGGTTTTAGATAATAAAAGCCAATTGTATTTTATAAATGGTTTCTCCCTGGTGCGTTCATTGGTTCGGTCGTTCTTCTCTTCATCCAACAGGAAATGGGGAAGGGCGGGGCTCAGAGGTGATTGACAGGATTTACAGGAAGTAGTCGGGAGTGCGTCTGGTCACATGGGGCTCGCCGCGACGAGGCGCCGGGTCGAATTGAAGGCTGAGGGAGAGAGAGAAAAGGATATAAGAATGTATTTCAGGTGCCCTACCGCATTCATACCTCTGCAGTGTGGAAAGGAACAGATAATACTCCCTACAACTGTACAACAACTCACCCTTATGGAGCAGATAATACTCCCTACAACTGTACAACAACTCACCCTTATGGAACAGATAACCCCGTGTCCTGTCCATCATAATATCATTGTTGCACTTCCTATGACCTCTTGTATAAAGCTGAGATTTAAATTTTATTACTTATTTTTCTATTTGACACCTGTCTCTTGCTCTGTTTTGCTACATATTTAGAACTGATTATTACCATTTATATTTTATATTATATTGTGATGTGTGAGCTCCTGTGGCCAAATCATTCCCTTGTGGATCAATAAAGTTTGTCTAAGTTACAATCACAGCAAGACTACGCACTGGACTTCAAGAGTTGTAAAAAGCTCATCACTGTGAGTAAATAGGATGCTTTGAATGCAAAGGGAAATTGGGGTATACTACACTACTATGGACACTACAAACTGTTTAAAATGTTCTGTTTTTCACATTTTAAAGGTTGTTAATGTTAGGTACTTTAACTGAGATGTGGGCAGGAAAATTGTCTTTGCTAATCTATAGTTAGGAAATATAGCAGGATAAAACACCGGTCACTAGGATAAATTGACTGAATAGAAAGAAATACCTTTGTTTTGTTTCATGCCATTTGATTATTTTGTCAAGTACAGAGAAAATGAGCGACTGCAACAATAAGATTGTTTTCATATAAATATTGTTGTACTCACAAAGAGTATTTAAGGGTGTCGTCCAGTTCCATGATGGCTGCCTGGTTGCCACAGCGATAGCAGTAGTTTGGAGCACTGAAGATGGTCACCACGTTCTTATCATGGCCCCAGTTATATCCCTGAAGAAACAAAACAAGACGGATTATTACAAGAATGATCTAGAAAGAGCACTACACGGCTCCAGACACAGCTGCATACATGAGTGGAAAGAAATACAAAGCTCGAGTTTACCCCAAAACATTTACTGTAAATACATTTTCAATTAACTGTTTAGTTGCCCAAATTTTGTATTAGTCGACCAATTACTTTATTTAGAGATTATAAGCATTTATATGGGGCAAGAGCAGAAAGGTTAGTAAAGTCAGACGTTAGTGAGTTACCTGGAGTTTTTTTTTTTTTATGTATATGTAAAACGTCAGATTAAACTCATAATTCTCAAGTTTAAAAAGTCTTCATATACATTCATTGTAAAAAAAAAAAAAAAAGTTGTTTTGTATGAACTCTCCCTGCAGGTGTAATCTTGTGAGTGCAGTTTGGGTCAGATACAGAGATATGTCAAAGTTTTAAGAGCTTTTGCCACACTCCCTTCTTAGTAGACTAATTGATTGGCAGCACAAGTCTTAAAACCACAGAGAATTTTTTCTAGTCGACAACAGCAAAAAGGCAAACTATAAAAGGAAGCAGTACTTTCGACTTTTGTGGATAATGATTAATGCTCAATGTGTAATACAAATTACAATTTCCAAGTTGAGTGTAATCAATTGAGACAAAAATATGAATGAGTCCAAATTTAAAAAGGAGCCATACTAAAATCTATGTTGATCTAATGTTTCCTAATCAAAAATATTCCTGGAGTTTTGTTTCATTCACACATATTTAAACACATATTTAGGCTGAGTTCTTCTCTCAACCTGAAAACACTGTTCCACCTTGTGATGTCATGTGGCAACACAAGAAATGCGCTATTGTGTTTTTAAACCCCATAAACGTTCACTAGAAATCATTTGGATAATTTCATACCTGAAACTGCTGATCTCTACTGAACAAAAGGTCAAAGGTAGTGGTTAACTACCGCTTCATAACATTACAAGGTGAAACGGAACTTTGGAAATGTAGACAGACTAATAATAAATGGGTTATTCAAACATGTGTGCATGAAACCAAACAACTCTAGGTCTGTTTTTGAGGAGGTAACAACATTCTAACATGGCTTCAAGGTCAGAGGAGTCAATTTTCAATCTTTAAAAAAAGCTGTCTAGAGGCCAGCCTTTTACACCGATTGGCCAGCTTGTGTTTGTTGAAGTGATTGTATGACAGTGGGAAGGGTTTAGAGCCACTCCTGTCAGTGAATGGTTGACAGGTAGTTGACAGGTAGTTGACAGGTGACGGGGGGGGTGACAGGTGCTGTACCTCCATGACAAGCTGGTGGGCCCTGGACACCAGGGTGAGGCCGTTGGCGTGGTTAAACGTCTCGGAGATGTCCTGTCCAAAAGTGTAGCCGGCACCGCGAGGAGAGATACCCCAGCCACCGCGATCATCAGGGTCAGACCACAGCAGGTCACACATGGGGCCCTGGAGCAGCGCAGGGGACAAACATTTTAGTCAAGTGCATTACATACTTTTGTATGGGATTGTTCAAGGTCATGGAGGGATTAGCAAGTAAGGAAATTATGAAAAGGAACACTACTGTTCTTAAAAAAGAACTAAAAAAAAGGCTGTAAATCTCTCAGAGGACCTTATAAGTGCATGACAGGTCATGTTTTTCTAAATTTGACTTGGTGGGATAGTACCTGTGGGAAATATTTATCATAGTTTTATATAAGTTCAGGGGCAGTTTTTGGAAAAAAGTTAAGAAAAGTACAAAAATACAGGAAGTAGTGCCAAGTTCTAAAACAGAATGCCTCTGCCTATGTCATGAAAAAGAAAAATTACATCCAAAATGCAGAAATAAAAAGGTGTTGTAATATATTTTTATTAGTCTAATCATAACTATTGTGTCATTTAGACAAGCTCTGGCCCTTGTTCACAATATGGCTACTAGGTGACAGTTATTACCTTGGCAAACCATAGCCATATCAAGTTGCCAAAGCCTCGTAAGATCAGATGCCACAGTGGTAGTCAAATCTTTATTCAGATCTTTAACGTTAATTATGTTTTTGTGAAATGCATAGTCTACCCTGTCATATGGCTTTAATATTTTTGTAATATGTAGTTGAAGCAAAATGGTCCTGCGTGTGCTCTCCTACTTCTCTCTGTGCACAGAACGTCTCACTACTGTCACTGTAACCTGCTCAAGCCACTGCTTTTCCACTCCTCACACAACCTCATCCTAGGTCTCATGCTGTGTCAGTAATCTGCAAAGAAATATTTTAAGACTCTGCAGCGCTTTCAGCAACAGTAAAGCTCACCTCGTGTGGGACTTCCTGGAGACGATCCAGGGCTCGTATGTGATCCAGAGTGTCTATGGAGGGAGACAAGCCACCATGGAGACAGAAGATCTGAGAGGAGACATAGAGACAGAGAATTAAGTGTGTGAAGGAAACAGTAGCTCCAGAACTAGGCCAAAGCCCAAATACCACGCTGATGGAGCACACGTAAACGGGTTTGGTGAGTGATACAGTGGATGTTATTACTTGCACACCAACATCTGATTGTTATCCGATTTCTGGACCTCCAAGATTATTGAAATGATATGGAAACTATGAAATATTATGTGAGTAATTAGACAGACCATAATCAGAAATAAATCTGATGACATTTATGTTCACATGAATATAGTATGACTCCAAAAATCTGAATAATCAGATTGTGAGTATAAGTTTGTCCCTGTAGCCAGCATGTTTACACCTGATTCACATATTGAAGAGAACTGCCCAACCCAAAGCTTTGGTTCATCTGGTCAACCTGCATACCATGCAAACTTCATAGAGAACCTGACGTGGGACCCCTCTTGTATGAGGCAGAGCGCTAACCCCCTGCTCATGTACCTGTGTGTCGACGAGTGCGGTGAGGGGCAGGTAGTCAAACAGGTCTGTGAAGTACTTCCAGACATTGGCGTTGCCATATTTGCGCAGACACTCATCGTAGAAGCCGTAGACCTGTGTGATCTGCCTGGACTCGTGGTTCCCTCGAAGGATGGTGATCCGCTCCTGGAAGCGCACCTGCACACACACAAACACATAAAGGGCTCATTACAGGTCAAGCACACACAAATAAATCTGTGACAGACAAGATTAACACAATGGAACTCTGAGCAATGGTCACAGCTTTGAACAGTGAAAAGCTCTTCTTATTCAGTTCAACGACTGCAACTGTGTGATTGACACCAAGCATCTCAGCCAAACACCAAGCCTTTGGACAGGGTTCACTGGCACTGTCTTGCTATAGGGTTATGGTCAAACATCAACTGGTCTTTAAATGTACTGCTGAAGGAGATATATTCTATAACTATACATTACATGGCTCTTTAAAAAAAAATACCCATTTTTGCCTCCATCTGAGAGGGGGACATGACCACATTCTCCTGTCGGAAAACCAAGTCTGGAGGTCCAATGACCAGAATGTATAAAGTGGATCCGGGATATTGCATTATTTTAAGTTGTAATGGTGATATATGTATACATGAATCATGCCATTACTAAAAGAAGCAGCAGTGCTCCCACTTTCACAGTCAATAGTGGTCAAGCAAGAGCACAGACGGGAGAGAGAGTGTCTGAACTATGACTCAGCCTTTTCTCAGGACTCACTGTTTTCACTCAAACAACTCTGTCCTGTAATAAGCAACAGGATTTAACAGTACAATCTGGGATTTTAACCTCAAACAGCAGACATTTATGCAAAGAAGCTATTGTGACATTTTAAACTACCATTTCAGATCCATTTAGCCAAGACGTTGAGACAGATTAGCTGATTATCATGAATAGTGCTGATCACAACCCACCCTACCTTCCAGTCTCACTGCATGCTCTCTCCCTCCCTCTCTCACGCTCTCCCTCTGTTTCTCTGGCTCTTACCTCCCCCATTTCCCTCTCTCCTGCCTCCCGGCCCTTCCATCTCCTCCCACTCTCCTGACTCTGGGTCTCACCTTTAGTGTGACGAGCAGCGTGACGGTTTCCACAGAGTAGTACCCTCGGTCCACGTAGTCACCCATGAACAGGTAGTTGGTGTCCGGAGACTTGCCCCCGATTTTGAACAACTCCATCAGGTCGTGGAACTGTCCGTGCACATCGCCGCACACCGTCACCGGGCAACGCACCTTCAAAACAAACCACCCACAGGTTTTATCAATCACCAAGTAACAGTTTTTTTCAGTTCCAATACAATCCTGATATTACAGCTTTTTAAACAGCATTTATTTCCTTTAAACTAAAATAAAAGTAACAAAAATAACCAGGTATGTTTTGTAGCGGTCATTTATTCATCAAGTAACTACAGAACTTCTTTGTACTAATTCAAGTTCAAACATTTTTGGTCAGCCATCGATCAAAAGGACATTTTCGTTGACTGTAGGCATAATTTGTGTAGACTGATAAGATTTGAGCTGCTTAGGGTTGAATAAATAAGTCATGACTCATTATACAAACGAACAAGTGCCTCTTTCTGCTATTTATAAATTGCAGTTCATGTTTGTATTATATTGGACATTAGAATCGTGGGTAGTTCCACTTTTTATTTTATTATTTTTATTTTTTACACAAAATTCTCAAACAGACTGCAGGAAAAGGGCTCAGGTCATGTGACTGTTTGCTCAAGTGAGATTCGAGTGTTTGGTGTCAAAACTTGGAGGAATCTGAGCCTCAGCAGCTGATTCTGATCACTAAAACTTCAGAGAGAACAGACAAAAAATTTTCTAGTACCTATGCAGCGTTACTCATTGACCAGAATCATAAACTGAATGTTAACATGACTCCTTGCTTAAGTAAAACTAGTTTGTACTACGGCAGGCTGTTATGGCGATAAACATTTAACTGTGAGCTCATCTCAACCATTTGTTCTGAAAATTCATGGGATTCATATGTCAATTTATCCTTTCATATTTCAGCCCTCCCTCAAATATTAACACTATTGAAATTGTTTACAATGTGCACTTTCAACATGTATTGCAAAATGTGTCAGAGAATCGCAAATACATTTTTCCCCCAAAATGGTACAGTCCTATTCCAAATGCTGAATACAAATAAATCAAGATACTGGAGCTGCACATAAACAGTGAGGAGCTCCTCAGCTGATTCAAATCAAACTAAATGAAACAGAAACAGTGAGTAGACTTCCTCACAGCGAGGGCCCATCAGCTGAATGGGCTAAAAACAAACCACACATGACAAGAACATGAGCCACAGGTACAGCCAAGCTGAACTAGTGTGCTTATTATCTCATAAGTGAAAGTCAACATTTAACAAACCTCAGTACAGATCAGACAGAGAGGGACATAGGAGGCATCATTGTGTTTTGTTTGATTTAAAGTGCATATGACATGTTAGACTACTCATCCCATTAAATCTATAGTCAACATAACATCACTGTATTTAAGATTATATACTATAAGTCTTTCCTATTTTATTTCTAGCTTTTAAATTTTGGTGAAGTTTATAATTTTACTTCCTGGTTGAAGGAATGACATAGTTGAAGGCATCTCCATACTCGTTACCTAGAAACACTAATGTTAACCAGGGACATGTTTAGACCAATTATATAAATGGCAGCCCCTTTATTATGTTAAAGAAGGTTTTAAGCTATCAGAAAATTGCCTTCCTTCTGTGTACATTGTCCAAGTTTGGATGGAATTTTCTGTGTTGATGACATAGGTAGAGGGATTCTGATTCATACCTCAGTGTACTTCCTGTATTTTTGTTGTTGTTTTGTTTTGTTTTTTCAATTTTATTCCACAAACTGTCGATGAACTGATGTAAAACTATGGTAAATATTTAGCACAGGTACCATCCCATTCCGACCAAATGTGAAAAACCGTAATGTGCAATTATAAGCAGTAGTAGACAAGGTACTCAATCTTGTTACTTGAGTATTTTTTATACTTGTACTTTTACTTAAGTAAAAGTATCACATGAAAAAACCTAAGTACCCCTTAGTACTAAGTAATGTACTTAAAGAGTAAAAGTTGTGCTGATTTTAAGAGATTTAGTTGATGTTTCTAGTAGTTTTTGTCGATTTGTATTTTCTGCATTTTCAGTGTGAAAATATAAAAATAAAAGTACAGACACATGCTCTCAAAGTATAGAAAAAAAATCCAGTTTAAAATGCACTCATTGACTTACTTGTACGGATATGTAAAACTTTTACTTGAGTACTTTACTTTTACTTAAATACTTGAGTTTTTGTTTAATACAGTACATTAGCACTGGTGAGTTTTAGTGCTATAGTTACTGTAATGTTCCAAATGATTAAAGATTGTTTTCCCATCAATAACTGCCAAGTTTTGTGCAGCTTCAAATTTGAAACAACAGTAACTGATTCTATTGCTAGCTTTTTGATATTAGGGCTGTTGTTAAATAAAATGAACATGAGTTTTTCACTATTTTCTGATTGGTGGAGTTTTGGTGACATCATAACCCTGTGACCACAGTATTTGTAAATGTATAGTATAGTTTCTGTAACACTCACCTCCTGAACGTTGGACTCATTAGTCAGAATCTCTTTAGCCTGAAACCAGAACAGAAGAGAATTAGGTCTTTTGAGAGGGAAACATTAATATATTCATATTCATATATTAATAACAAATACAACTGAATATATAAATCCTATGTTTACTTTCTACTCTCTACGCTTTTATATAAATGCAATAGATGAAAAAAAAAGTGTACAAACTCTTTGACACTAATATCATGCTGACCACTGATATTCAAGAAACTAAAGAATCTGAAATAAAATAATGTATAACTCAGATAAATTCATTTGTGTATATTTGAAGTACTTTTGTAATCCAAGTATCAGTCACTTGTACACATGACACATGTAACACCCTTTAATGTTAATCATAATCGTTGACAATACTTAATGCATATTTTTGAAATATACAGAAAATATAAGATTGCAGCTCCTGTCACTTTTGTTTATGGCCAAGTAAACAACTGTTGTCTCCGATTTATAATATATTTGCATTTAACTGTTCGATTCTGAGCATTGCCGTTTTCCATTACATCTGATGAGCAATATTCATCACAATGATTTTATAAAACAATATATCATAAGAATATTTTCTTCAGGAACACATTAGAACTCTAAATAAATAAAAGCCCGATCACGCGGGGCCGTGATCGGGCCTTCATCCATGTTGTGATGCACACAATGAATGAGCAATGTACACAGAGTGTTGCTGACACGATGGTAAATGTAAAACATCACAGTGAACAGGAGAAAATGTGTGGAAACGCAGCGGCCGTCGCACTTTGTGTGATATGACCTCAAGAGACATGACAGCTTAGAACGGTACGGATCGATGCAGGGCGTTTCTCTATGAACGCCATTTCTAAACATCACGCACAAATAAATTTGAAATCTAACAATAATCAAAGCAGACGTGTGAGATGGGTCGTGTTTGAACGAGAGATGAAGTGAAAAAGAGGTGAGGCTGCAGCGCCATTTATAGAAACGGGCTGCGGCTATCTCCCATTGAAAACGCCAGGGATGCGGCGGAAGGCCCCAGTGGAGACACGGGCCAATTCACTCGGAAAACTGAGAAAAACTGTATACATCTCCAAATACTGTGTGCATAGTGCGGGTGTCAAGGCAGACTTTGACAATCAGGCGTGTTTATGAGGCAATCGCCGCAGGATGACGGGCCGAACCTACTGCGTTAATTAGAACGAGCCTCCCCGGTCAGGCCGCAGCACGGAGACGTTAGAGGTGAAAATGGAAAATTAAAATCAATCATACGGATCTTACCTTCTCACAGAGCGTCCGGACCTGGTTTTCCGACAGCTGCTTGCACTCGTTTAGCTGTTCGATCCACTGATCTAGTTCTTTTGTGAACGTTTTGTCGTCCATTGCGCCGAAAAAAGCTCCCGAAAAAACACACTACTAGTTAGCCTGTTAGCTTTAGCCTTTAGCTCGGCGTATTGTTAGCCCGATCTAGTCCAGCCAAATCGGTAGAAAATTCACCGCTGATGTTTTAAAAATACCGTGTCGTTCCTTCAGCTCCTGTCATGATAAGGTACCCAGACTCAAGTACCGCCGATCGGAGTCCGGGGATAGGGGGGAAAAGGTCGAGAGAAACCGAGAGAGGAGCGGCGGAGGCGGCGGAGACACAGCGTTAGCAGTGATGCTAAAAGAGTGAGCTACAATAACATCCGGGCATTTCAGTGGAGAGAGGGGGGCACAGCGGCGGCGCGCGGCGGAGACAGGCGGGGACAGGCGGGACTGCGGCCGGCTGATGTCACAGGCTCACTGCGCATCAGGAGTCTAGGATCATTAAATAGAAATGTATGGGAAAAATACAAGTGACAGCAGAGGGCGCATGGACTGGACTGAAGCAGATTATATATGGCTAAGAGCAGCTGCCTGCCAGACTGATGAAAGCAGGAGGGGCACTGAGGAGGGGGGGCCCACATCAGCTGGGAAAGAGCGTTTCCAACTTCTGTGTGAATCATACAGAACTGCTTTAGTATAGGCCTGTGTGAATTAAAAAAAAAAAAAAAAAAAGACTACCCTCAACAGGGTATGTTCAACATCATAACATGATGTAAAATTGAAGTCTTAAACTCCATGCCTAGTAACTTTTATTTAACAGTACCTACCCCTATATTATACTATACAACGAGGGTGAAGGGTAATTTCAGGGGATCTCCAGGTCACATGGGGAAAAACTAATTAAAACACACAACCAGGTTTAAATAAAGAACACCCTGATTATTTCTATTTGTTGGTTGATTAAATAAATGAATCAAAATAAGATAATGTAATAAAATCTATGATAAAATCAAACATTTTAATAGCAGACTACTTTTGTGAGTACCACACTTTGAGTTTAAAGGTCACAAATGCTAAAAAGAGGTATGATGGGGGTCAGTTGACAACCACAGCCAAATTTAACAGTAAGGACACAAAATATATCATCTCTTTGCCATCTCTCACCTATATGGCTATCAATGATCCTTTAAAAAAAGAATAATGACAGAAATTATACATTAAAACTGGTCATGACTCTGCAGAAAAGCCAATTTATTTTATTTCTTGCACAAAAACACACTGTTCAACAAATGGTTCTTTTAATTTAGTCCACATCAAATCTTCAAAAACTCAAATGTTCACTATGACTTTGTCTGCTTGCTTCCTCCAAAAATAAAAAAGATGGCTGCTGATAAATTAGTGTGAGGCTCAAGGGTTTATTTCTTCTTTTTCTTGCTCTTCTTGCCTCCGTCTCCTGGTTGAGAGCTGCTGTCTGCTCCACTGCTCTTTTGTGTGCGTGTCTTCAACTTTGGAATCATCTCTGCCACATAGAACATCACATCTTTGCCTGAAACAGAAAAACATTCATGGAAGGACATTAAACACTGGAGCTGTTACAATGTGCCTACTAGACATGCCTGGATATGGCTATTACTTATACATTTTATAGTAATATACCATCTGTTAAAAGGAAAGTATGAAGTTCCTGTGCATGTAAAACATGAAGGTAACATTCTGGTATAGTTCTCAATGACTACATTAGGAAATTAGCTGTAAAGTACACAGCATTAATAAGGCAAACTTTACTGAATCCTGTAGGGAAATTAGTCTTCTTCATTTGATCCATCCGTCAGTAACGCTGGGGATAACGGTCTTTCATCAGTGAGCAATGACAGTACACACAGGGACCCTTCTCCAGATCTTGTAGGCTTGGAACTGATTACTCCAATTATGTAGTAGTTGTAGTGAGAAGTGTAGAAGAATGTGAGCAGAAACCCTCTTCATTACATCTCTGAAAGTGTAGTAGTACTAAAAGTAGTTTATAACAATACTCACGTGAGCTGAACTTGTCGTTGCACAGTTCTCCACTGGCCTGTTTGAGCTGCACTCGAACCCTCCCTCTGAACTGCACATCTCTGTTCCACTCTCGAGGATGCATTTATTCTGAAACGCAAAAACACATACCCTCTCATTAAAGACTTTCAAATGTAGCTTACTACACTCCACACTCTAGTGCTGTAAAATCAACAGTGATAAAAGGCTGCCCTAGCTCCTTTTATCTAAAACACTGGTGCTCAGCCTTGGGGCTATGGCTTCCCTCCATATGAGCAGCCAGGCAAAAAGCATATCTATTCCATCTAAGACTTATATTTATATAGTGTCCTTTCCTTTCCCAGTGCCTTGGCACAAGCAGAGTGTGCTTATGGGGGTGGTACCCTGAGCAGAAAGGAAACACCCCCCCTTCTCCCAGAAGTCATTTAAAAATGTGAATACATACAAAAAATGTTATGTATACATGACTTTCCACACAATGTTTAGGATCTACAACTTGACAAAGAAATGTCTACAAACTCAAATGTAAATAAGAATGTAGCACTGTACAACAGTTTGAGAACCAATTTGTTTCTCCAGATGATGTTATTCTTCTGGCTAGTGTGATAGGAGTGTTTATGATGACAACCAATGAAGAGCATTTTATAGTCAATCTTAAATTCAGGACCACACCTGATGCATGCTCATTTTCCTTTGCACACTTCTGTCAGATTGTACTGCTACATATGCTTTCATTCAAGTGGTTCTTGAATCTTAAACACTAATGACATAACCACTCCATACCATCTCACCTTGACCCAGAACACCCGCTGTCCCTCCAGTTTTGTATCATTATTTTGGCTTTTTTAGGGGATACAAGCCCAGAGCCGATATCCTCCTCAGAAGCCCCAAACTGGCCTTCTAATACTATGATTGTCTATGATAAATTAATACTTGCACTGTATTGTGAGGTTGTGGTTCTTGTGGATCTCATTTCTCCACCTCTTTAAGAGATGTTTATTTTCTTTTTTGTATATATTGAATCAAATGACACATACCTCTACATAAACATTGAGGCCAGCTGCTGTTAGCACATCTCTGATCTCAGTGCATGATGGATTTTCTACAGCCTGAAAGAACATTTTAAAACAGAAGTAATATTAACAGTAATAACAGTAGTAATGTCACTACAAAATCAGTTACTATTTTCAGAAGCAGACAGTACTGGTATCTTCACCCATATGATATAATTTCTGCACAAATATTTCAAACTGACCTTCTCTGTGGGAATCCTCCGTCCCTCAGCTAAAGTCTTTTTACTGTTGATATAAATTGGGTACAAACAGATAAACCTGAAACACACAGATTCAAGAGCTATTAAGAAAATATTAAAAGTAAGGCATGTAAACTATATTGTTCAAATAGAAAATAAGTTAGGTAGGGTTAGAAAACAAGGCTGTATAAATTATATCAAGTAAGACTACATTTATGTCATAGGGCGCATCTCATTTCCATTTCCTTGCTTCCTTCTCCTTGATTCCTCTCCTTGATCCTCCATTTTTCAGTTGTCAATCAAATACACCATATTAAGTGGTTTCCCAAATCTCAGAGGAGGCAAGGGAAAGAAACCACGGAGGAAACCTGAGTGAGGGTTCAAGGGACAGACATCAATTAAAATAATTGTGAGAAGCTTTATTAAGGACAGAAGCAAAGGAGGTTTGACATGTAGCATAACCATGAATTTAACATTAAAACTAATAAAAACATATGCTAAAACACATTTATCTGTGGACATAACTGAATTAAAAGTGCCAAAACCATAATATAAAATAATCGAGTACAGTGCTCATTATAGGGTAATTTTGGTCAGAACCAGCATCTGAGAAAAGTCTGTCCCATTCACCCTCAGTTCCTGCTTCCTCCAGCCTCTCCCTGTGTCTCCTCTGTGGCTGGGCCTTTCTCATTGATTTCCTGCAGAATCGAGGAGAGGAATCAAGGAGAAGGAAGCGAGAAAAGAGAAATTAGATGCGCCCATAGTGTTCAAGAAGGGTGGCTTGCCGCTGCAGCTACTACTACCAGTACTGCTCTACAGATCAGAGAAAAAGTAAGCATTTTGGATGAGTAGTCCAATGCAGGTATCATTATTAACCAAGCTGACTTTCTGCAGTATTTACTTTAATTATTATTGTTTTCTCTATTATTTTGGCTGCTGCTTATGTTACACGTCAGTCTAAAGTGACGAGCTGACGACTTATTTTTATCGACAGCTACATCAACAACAACCCTTTTAAAAGGCAAGTGTAAATAATAATGTATGCTTTAGCTTCCATCCTTTCACATTAGCTAGTAATATTAGTTATACATGTTATTTGCAAATATAGACTTTTTTGCACAACTCACCTTTTTTGGTGCTGTTTAACCTTATTCTTTGACTGATTGTTTTACAATAAATGTATGAAGGCATAATCACATCCGGTAATGTGGAATAACCCACAATTGTAAAATGATGTGTTTTTCTCCATATTTTTCACTATTTGAAGGCTTCCCCCACAGAAGCTTTCCATTAGCATTAGCCAGATGCTAACTGTTTTTTAATGGCATCTTCTGCTTTTTTCACTCACCGTTCTTTGTCGGCGGAGTTTTGTGTGAGGTGGGCCATGGTACCGGGGTATTTCAGCTCCAAACAACGGATCAGCGCGGAGACATGAAGGGAATGAGTGAAATAACGCCGTAAAATTTCACCAAACACGCTCTTTTCTGCACGATCTGGAGCCGAGTCTGGAGGATGAGCTGGACTTCCGGTGGAGTTTTGCTGGGAGAAATTGCCTAGCGCCACCTGCAGATGTAATGAGAGAGTACAGGACGAGCAAAAATTTAATATTTAAAAAAATATAAACAATTGTCAGTGGATAAAAGTGGATGTGATGAGAAATTGTTGAGGTGATTACTGAATTTGGTATAGTGTGCCATAAAAAAAACACAATAAAATAAAACATAAATACTAGACCAAAAAAGCAGCTAGTAAATACAAGCCAGTGGCAAATAAGAATGAATATATTAACAATTGTTTTGAAGGCATATGTAATTATACATCCCAGTGACCTGGCCGTACATGTTGTGTTTTATGATAATTCACTGTATTTGCCAATTGCATTATAAAAAAAAAAAAGTTGTACAAACTCCTTAAGCATTACAGATTCACTCTAGCGTTATAACAGGCTTTGTAAAAAACTGTAAGATAACGTTAATATTTTTTATTTAAATGTATTCTCCACAATTATCATTATTATCAGTGGCGGAACGCAAAATTCATTTCCTCTGTTTCTTGGGGAAGCCATTTAAAAGCAACACATAACAAAACAGCCATATCCATGTTTCTATAATCATTTTATTATAGTTTTATGGCCCCAGCTGATTTTTTCGTTTTCTTTCTTCTTTTAGCATTTGTGAAAATCTGTTTGTTGTTCTGATATGTTTCGTTTTCATAGTTCTGTACTTGTTCTTTCTGAGATACGATGGATGGATGTAGATTGATTGAATGAATTCCTTTATTGACTGGATCTCAAAGAATCTCACTTTTATCTAACCTCCAGGAATCTTGTCTATGTGAGTGTGAACTATGTAGTACTTTTGTCAGATTTACTCAGTAACATTTACTTTTTAAAGAAGTTGTACTTTTCAGAGTACCTTTCTAGCAGCACACTTTACACCTACCATTAGCAATATTTAACTGCGTAAAAGTTGTGGTTCCCCTTCCCACTGTGAGTAAGTCTACAAAGTGACAAAACCTTTATGTTGACACTATGAAATTATTTGAAAATTTGTGTTTCTTACCTTACTCGTATGTTAGTAGTAGTTTTCCCGATTACTTTTTTACTCTTACTTAAGTAATTTCTTGTACCACTACTTTGTACTTCTACTTAACATCTATGTTACATTATTTTTGAAGTAATGTCATTCTTGGCTGAAATGTCAAATAATAGCTTTAACCTTGTTATTTTCAGGTCTTCTAGAAGAATGTCCTCTGATGAAGACGCTCCACAGCTTCTCTCCTCCTCCTCCTCCTCCTCTTCCTCTCCTCCTGCAGACTCTCACTACATTGGGAGGAAGGAGGACATAGTAAAAGTGGGCAGAGTGACCAGACTGCTGAACGGCTCCAGAGATGTCCTCGTTCTGCACCACCAGGGACAGCTCTACGCTATGGACATGCGTTGTTACCGTAAGCTCCACCTGTCTGAATTTTTAGATGGTGTCAAGACTCTTAATGAACAGATGCACACTGAACATGTTCAAATCTGATACTGATAACAACTGTAATGCTTATTTATTCTTAACATTGGACAAGATGGCCAAATTGTTTGTGTTACTTTTGTTCACTAGATCATTATCCAATCAGAAAGCAGAGTGAGCCTCACATGAGTCTCTCATTTGGGTTGCCAAAAATGGTGACATCCAGTTGGTTTAAACCTAAAATGCCTCTCTTTGCTTTGAATGGTCACTACCTAAACCCCAGGACCTGCAGCCAATCGTGAGTCAGTGCTAGTACAGCCTCTGCAGCTCAGGGAGGGAACTCTGGAGGTTCTGAACTTTCACATGAGACCTGTCCATAAACTGAGAATGAGACACACTTGGATGTGTCCTCTATCTGCTATCTCAAGGTTAAGGCTCAGTTGCGATTGTAGTATAGTTTTGAAGCTGTAAGAGTTCAGGCTACATACAGCTCCTTTAAATAAATAAATCTACAATATATATATATATATATATATATATATATATATATATATATATATATATATATATATATATATATATATATATATATATATATATATATATATATATATATATATATTAGTTACTGTATTTCTCCATCTTCCTCATAGATGCTGGAGGTGTTTTACAACATGGAGACATAGAGGTCAGTATGTAGTGTGTCAGACTTTTGTGTGTTTTGAGTACGCATGTGTGTCTTGTGTATTTGCTAAACTCCTCCCTCCCTTTTTCTTGTGCAGGAGTTCAATGGCAGGTTATGTATCGTGTGTCCATGGCATAAGTACAAGATCACCCTGGCTGAAGGAGAGGGCCTGTACCAAGCAGTGAAGGATCCTACGGTGAGGCCTCTGAGGACAGAGTGGCGCTCTAAAGGCGTAAAGCAGCGTGTGCACCAAGTCACAGAGGTCAGAGGTCATGTGTATGTGACCCTGAACACATGCGCAGAGGATGTGGAGTCTGACCGGTACCAGACCGACAAATACAGGACTACCTTCTGTAAAGATCACACAAGAAACAACACATAATATGGTGTGGATATTTTGGACCTTTATAATAAAATATACGTCTTTTGCATTTTTGTTTATTATTACTTAATATTACTTTATTAGTCATTGTCAGAGATAGGTAGAGTAGTCAGAAATTCTACTCAAGAGGGATGTTACTTCAAAATAATAATGCCTATGTAAAAGAACTCAAGTAAGTAGTATTAAAAGAAATGACTCAAGTAAGAGTAATACGTTTTTGGAAAACAGCTACTCAAGTAAGAGTAATTGTTGGAGTAACAGTCTGGATGCAGCTTCTAATTTATTTGAAGATGATTTAATTCTAAAGACAAAGCAAAACACTAAATCATGCACAAAATCTGATATTTTCAAAGAACACAAAAATGAGCAAAACTAAATAATATCTGAAGGAGCGGTGCAAGAAACAAAAATGTTCAAATCATTTCATATTGTCACCATAAAGCCTTTGTAGAGTAAAAGTACTGTTGCTGTCTTTTGCTGTAGGATCACAAACCTCCACTGTTGAGCCAGTGCTAACCACTGTGCACACTGTCAAATATATTACTCAAGTACGTAAAAGTATGCAGGTTAAAAACTATTAAAAGAAGTAATTTTTTTAAAGTTATTCAAGTAAATGTAACTGAGTTGAAGTAACTGAGTACTACCCACCACTGATCATTATTATATTATCAATTTATTTAAACTGATCATAACTATGGGTCATTTTTTACAATACTATCTTTCAATCATTTTTCAGTGGCGGCTCAGTGGTGAAGTACTTTTGTATAGTAGTTAGTAGTACCATAGCTGGCTAATAGACCTAATACACAAAGTTCTTGTGTGTTGTTTTTTGAAGGTAAAATGAACAAAAAGATGGGAGGTTGTTCAGGGTTTGTTATCAAAATATTTTTTTCTCATTTTGAACATATGAGCAACATACTGTATTTACAAAGGCAAAATTAGCAAGTGTCTTGCCCAAGGAGTTTTTAGCTGGCACTGAACTGTAAACATTCTGAAGTACTGAGGAGCCTAAACTGTAGGATTGCAGTATTTTACACTTCTTTCCATAGCGGTGCGAGTGGCACTTGTCTCCAGTAGGTGGCGGTATTGTGGCGTAGATGATGACGCATGACATTTCCAACATGGCGGCGCCTGTGGTGCACGGATTCTTTTAGTAAATAAAATATAACCCTCACTTCTGCACATTTACATTTGATCATACACACTTTAAAAACACCAAACAACGTAAAGTCCATCTTGCAACCATGGCATCGGGTACGTAGTTCTGAATGGTCATTAAAAGTAGTTGAATTTGATTTTGTTGTTTGATTTTTAATTGTTGGTTTCTTTGTTTTTTGTTTGTTTTGTTTTGTTTTTTTTGTTTTTTTGCAGAGGATGAAGTGAATTTGCTGGTTGTTGTAGTTGATGTAAACCCGATATGGTGGGGACAGCAAGCACAACGGGACCCGGAGGTAGAACCAACAACCAACATTACACTGCACTACTACTAATAAGGATATAAAGATGCACTGTGTCACTTTTCTTTTGGAGAGTATGTCATATTGTCTCCATGGAGAATGTTATTGCATTGAAATGTTACTTAGGATGACCAGACGTCCCTATTTACCCAGGACAGTCCCAGTTTTGAGCTCTGTGTCCCCTGTCCCAGCAGATTTGTCCCAGTTTTATACAAGGAATGTCCGAGGTGTCCCTACACTGAAGAGCACCAAAAGGACAATTCTGCATAATTTTTGTATATCCAAGTAGCACTCCTGCCCCCAAAGATGTGCAGTAAAGAGAGGCATACATTGTCAGTTTTTAGGTAAAATACAGAAAAGCTGCTTATAAATGACCAAAACACAAAGAAAATGTGACTACACTGCCTCACATGTCATGAAAGTGTAGAGTTCAGGACAGTTTTTCTTAATTACACACTCATTTTACAATATTATTATTACCAACCACCGCAAAGCAAGAGTGTCCCAGTTTTTGATTTTGAAATTCTGGTCACCCCAGTAAAGTGAAATGTCATTGCCTCACCATGTTAAATTACAGGACACAAAATATCTGGTATTTTTTAGCCACGTAAAAATACATGTTAAAGGCATGTTAAATGTCAAGTTACAAATTATCTTTGTGGAAAAGTAAGGATCGTGGTGTTTTTAGCCTTGTAAACACCTGAAATTGAATAAATGCAAGATAATGATGTACTACATGTTCCATGTGTATTTCAGTTCACACTGTCGAAGTGCATAGACGCTGTGATGGTGATGGGGAACTCTCACATGGCCATGAGCAGAACCAACAAACTGTGCGTCATGGCAAGTCACTGTCAGGACAGGTAATGAGACAAAGTAATATTCCAAATTTAAAGTGTAAAAAATAATCAGCAGAAGGGTAAATGACTGGACTATGTAAAGAATATATTCTGAAGTCAATGAATGTGTATTGATTTGTTTTAACAATCTATACACACCCAAAGAGTCATGCAAGCTTTTATCTCCTCTCGTTTAGATGACTGTAATGCACTTTTTTCTGGCATCAGTCACCATGCACTTTACCAGTTACAGTTTGTCCAAAATTCTGCTGCTCACCTTTTAACTTGAAGCAAAAAACATCAGTACATTACCCTGATTTCTGCATCCTTGCCCTGGCTTCCAGTTCATTTTAGAATTGATTTAAAGATTTTATTGTTTGTTTTTAAAGCTTTGAATGGACTGGCCCCATGTTACATTTCAGATCTCATCCAAATTTACACCCCTGCGCACTCTGAGGTCCGAGGGCCAGCTCCAGCTTGTGGGGCCTAAGACAAGACTTAAAACCAGAGAGGACAGGATCGGCCCCAAACTCTGGAACACTCTGCCCCTCCCACATCCAAATAGCACCCACAGTGGAGTTTTAAGTCTCATCTTAAGCCCCACTTTTTTCACACTGCGTGAGTTGTGTGGTCCTCTCTGTCTTTCATTTTATTTTTATGAGTAGAAAAATTCTGTTTGTCGACTGGACAAAAGTTAGTTTGGTTGAAGACGTTTCTCAGCTTATCCAAGCTGCTTCTTCAGTTCTGGTCAGACGCTGGTGGACACTTCCTTATATCTGCAGGAAGGAGCTAACTACACTGAAACTAACACACACACACTTGTTTACACTTTCTGTTAGTTAGTCAGGCCTATTGACCTGGACAGGGTGTGGGGTAAGGATTCTCTTTCTTAACAAAAATGGCTTCTTTCACTCCCCTCTCAAACCAAATTTTCTCTCTGTTAAGAAAGAGAATCCTTCTCTAAACAGAAATGGAGGCCTCAGACACCATCTATCTCCCATTTACAACTCCATCCTCAAACCTAAATCAAAACAAACAAGAGAACAACAGCTGTAGCAGGTCAGGTCAAGAGGTGTGGAAGCTTCATTATGGCCATTAATTGTTCTGCTAATTAGACCCCACACCCTGTACAGGTCAATAGGCCGAACTAACAAACAGAAAGTGTAAACAAGTGTGTGTTAGTTTCAGTGTAGTTAGCTCCTCCCTGCAGATATAAGGAAGTGTCCACCAGCGTCTGACCAGAACTGAAGAAGCAGCTTGGATGAGCTGAGAAACGTCTTCAACCAAACTAATTTTTGTCCAGTCGACAAACTGAATTTTTATCCTCATGGATTCTACCTAGACGAGTGAGGGATTCTTCACACATTTTATTTTGATGTTTTTTACCTTTTTATTATTTATTGGTATTCTTGCTTTTATTTGACTAGTGGAGCTAAGTTGAGCTTTATTTTATACTTCTATTGGATATGTTTTATTTGTATTGTGCAGCACTTTGGAAACTGTGCTGTGCTACAGTATACTGTGCTATAGAAATAAAGTGAATTGGATTGACCCCTGTCACATGTTCACATCAGTATTCTAATGTACAATGTTGTGAACAGGACCTAAACCCTATTATGGTGACTTAATAGTCTTCCATGGGGTCAGGTGCACATGTTTTAAAGTCTATGTAAAATGGCTTCTATTCCAGCCACTTCTTGTACCCCAGTAAGAGCTGGAGGGGAGGGGACGGCCGAGACGAAGACACCTCGTCCAGTGGAGACGGGAAGTACGAGCTGCTCTCTGTGGCCAACAACCTGATCGCCGACGAGATCCGCAACGTCATGCTCAAATGTGAGGACAAGTACTCTTTACTGGCATACTATGTATGTAACTTTTTGGTTGGGGGTCTGTCGCCTGCTTGTTTCTATGGAGATGTCATTGCTCTGCCTGGAATGTTCCACAGTATGACATTAAACAGCTCTTTTTTATGTTCATTCAATTACAGGTGGTTTATACCTTAGAAATACCTAGAAAAACAGACATTCTGACTGAGCGGGGTCGCCTCTCCACACATCTGACCTGTAAATTTTGTCTGGTTTGCTCTCCATGAGGATAGAAAGATTTAATGCCACACTGAAACATTCTAGACAAAGCACAAACAGCTCCCTGAAGAAAATAAATGGAGGGAGGAAAAGAAAAAAAACAACGTGAAGCTGAAGTTACCTCATAAAAGTGCAAAAATGCATCTGTATTTGTCACGATGTGCAGAGGCTAAATCCCCCCCCCAATCCCCACCCAGTAAGAGAATGTAACTTCAGTTTGGAATTTGGAAAAAAAAAAAAAAAACAGGTTTAAAAACCCTACCTACTTTTTTCACAGTTTTGTGTTAAGTGAAAGTGGAAGTTCTCTTAAAGAAGAGATTCTCAAACTGTGGGTGAGGGTCCAAAAGAAAGGCGCAGAGTGTTTGGCTTTGTAGTCGGTAGATTATTTTAACTTGGTCATTTTATAAGTAGCTCAGATGCTGAAAAAGTGTGGGCAAACCTGTTCTAGATATAGTAGTTGGCTGGTCATTATTAAAATTGTATCAGGTGTTTTTCGCCTGCATAATGGGTGAGATGTTAGTCTTAATTTTCATTTAAGTGGTCTTTAAAAGGTCTAAAAAAAGTCTTAAATTTGGGGTAGTCAAACCTGTGGACACCTTGTATTAGCCATAACTAGTTTACATTAACTGTTCTACTGCATATACTTTGGTTAGGTCTACAAATGTAAGTTAGTTCTGGTTCTTAACTGTCCTTGTGCTTGCAGCTGAAGTAAAAGGAAACTCCACAGACACCATGCTGGCTGGGTCCCTCGCTAAAGCACTTTGTTGTATCCTTCAAATATGAATAAAGACTTTTGGGACTTATACACCTAAAAGAAGAACTCATCCTGTGAACTGTACGGTAGCTCAGTGTTTGTCCTGATACAAAGGTTCGAATCCCACTCTCGACATAAACATCACTGGTTGAGCGGTCAGATCCATTGACCCACAGGGTGACTGGTGTGATTCCAGCTCCCACAGATGAATCGTTGTGTCCAAGACACTTAACCCACGTCACACCCAGTTTCTGTGTATGACTCTGTGTGTGAATGGGTGAGTGGTTCCTTGTTGTAAAGCACTTTGAGTGCCTTGAAGGTGGAAAAACACCATTTCATTTTGATGTTGTTTTTTCTTAACTCAAATGTTCAGATATTAACCGAATGACCAAAGATATGGAGGGTAAGGATCATTTGTATAATCTGATCTATAGATGTTTGAATGCGCTAACTGTGCTGTGTGTGGCTCTGTTCTAGTCGGGCAGGAGATCAAGTCCAGGATATTGGTGAGTACGAACAGTGTCATTGGACTCGTTTACATTTGTGGAGTTTTTGGAATTATAGTGCTAATAAAAGATAACAGCAACGATTTGGTTTAGGTAGGTAGTTAATTTAGGTACCTGCATATTGACAGAGGTGGAAAGTTACTCGTGTTGTCACGATACTAAAATTTCAAACTCTATTCGGATACTAAAGATATACTCTTTACTCAATACAGATTCTGATACCACAGTGATAATAACAAACACTCTTTAGACAAAAGAATGTGATTTTCTGTTAAATTATAGTAAATGCTTTTCTATTCCCATATGGTCTTATATGTGTGTAATCCCTCAGTGGTCCAGATAGGTTCTATAGTGGTACTTGTTCTGATACAGCCCCAGATCACTCTAAAGCTACTCAGGAAGGGTTCATTTTTTTACTTTTAGAGTGTCTAGTTTCAATTCTATTTTTAGTTTGGATTAGTATCAGATTTTTGATACTTTAGAGAACCCTAGTACTTACATTTACACAGCTACATTTACGTGAGTAACTTTTATTTATTTTATATTTAAAACTTCTCAGTGTATATTTAAGACACCATACTTTTACTTCTTGAGTAATATATTGTACAATAACAGTACTTGCTTCCAACTGTGAGTAACATTCAAACTTTGTTTCTTTTTTACCTTATACTAGGGCTGCAGTTGACTAAAGAAATTCTAGGTCTTTTAAAGCCATGTCCTGCAATTTGATTAGTCAACTAAAATGGGGGCATGAAGCTCTCGGTGTATCTGACCCAAACAAGCACTCATAAGACTAAACCTGCAGGGGAAGTTCATGCAAATCTATATGTGCAGAAAAAGTACTAGGAAACAATGTATTTATGTCAAGACAGATTAAACTTCTTGAGTTTAGTTATATTTTTTGCTTATAAATAGCAAAAAATATAAAAACTGGAGTTTACTCCCTCACTAACATCTCCTTTCCACTGCTGTTCCATAGAAATCCTTATAACTTAATAAAGTGATTAGTCGACTAATACAAGGTTTGGTTGACTGAGACACCATCGACCGATTACTCGACTAAACAACTGAACTCCTACAGCACTACATTATGCATATGAGTATTTATATGGGTTTGACTGTGAACAGGCGACAGCACCTCTCACTCCCTCGGGTCCTTGTGTCTGTACAGGTGATCAAAGCAGCAGGTGACTGTGCTCTGCAGTACATGAACTTTATGAATGTGATTTTTGCAGCTCAGAAACAGGTATGACCTTTGAGCTGCTGTATGCACAATGTTTGGGTTCTTTTAAAGAAAGGAAATATTTATAATAATGATACACACATCTTCTCCTTTTTCCTGACAGAACATTCTGATTGATGCGTGTGTGCTTGACTCCGACTCAGGGCTTCTTCAACAGGTACTGTTAAGATTTCTATTGAAATACCATGATACTATTTTACCATGAATGCTGATTTTTAACTCTTTCTTCTTAACCAGCCCCTCACATCTGCACTGTTTGCTTTATTATTTTATATTTATAAGTATCTTTTGTATACTTTTGAAACAACCATTTTGACAACCCACCTTATTCATTGTAATATCTACAAGAGTCCCCAGCCACTGCTATAAAAATGGACCACGGCCCAACTGGTACCACGCCCCGGAGAAAAATATTGTACCGGAATTTTACTTGTTTTTTGTAGTCTACACCCATCTATGTGTTTTACTCTAAAAATACAGTGCAAGTTAACCTGGTAAACTACAAACATGAGTATTAAGACCATTTTTTTCAAAGTATGGTTAAGAGTTACTGTTCCTTACGAGAAAAATGTTTGGTACCTTTCATCTACACAGTGTACCATGTTTGATTTTAGTCCTCATCTTTCAGGCCTGTGACATCACCGGAGGCTTGTACCTTAAGATCCCTCAGAAAGTGGCTCTGGCTCAGTACCTGCTGGTGAGTCTTCACATGTGGCTTTTGAGCAAATGTGTATTTTGTGTTTTAGAAGAAACTTGGTTCAGTACTAGTGCAGCCTCTGCAGCTCAGTGAGGGAATTCTGGAGGTTCTGAGCTTTCACATGAGGCCTGGCCTGTCCACATACTGAGAATGAGACAAACTTGAATATGTCCTGTATCTGCAGGTTAAGGTTCTGGCAACACAAGGTCAGATGTGATGAACATTTAATTTTTGAGCAATAACATTTTAGGCCAATGTTTCTCAAACCTTCCACTTCAGTTTCTGAGTTTGCCTTCATTTTATCCACTTTATCCACTTTTTGTCCTCCTAGTGGAACTATACTGGAAATTATGTAGTGCACTTTCAGACCTGACTTAGTCTTAGATTGGTCCTAGAATAGTCCTGTTATAGACCTGGTTTAGGTCTGGTGGTACTCGCAAAGCCAGATCTTTTCTCTGATGGTACTTGGTGTGAAAAGTTTGAGAGCCATTTTTCTAGGGAATACAGTCCCTGACAAAAGTCTTGTCACTTATCCATTTTGTTGAAACAAAAAATGTCTCATATGAAAGCTAAAACCCTCCCAAATTATGCTCAATATACTAAAATAAATTTGCTTCACTGAAGAAAGATTGATCATTTAATGAACACAGAAAGGTCAGATTTTGGCAAGACAAAAGTCTTGTCGCCTTGTCATATGATGCACCCAATTAGGGATGGGCATTTGATGAAATTTTCTTAATCGATCGTCGGAAGAATTAACAATCGATTATCGATTAATCATTAACGTTTTTATATTAAAAAGATCATCATTATTATTACTATCTGCACTACTAATCTGCATAAATAAATTCAACTTTATCACATATAAACCGTAACGACTCTAGAGCCACATCAGCCCGTTTGACATTATAATGTGTTTAATTCAGTTTTGTGTAACTCTCACAGAAACAAAACTTAAAACCGCATCGCTAATTTGCATAAACTAAGCGAAGATAAAACTACACCTCTTGTGTCACTGATGCGGTCAATATCTGTCGGATTAAAAGACATGATTCAGTGGAATACAGGTTAGTGTGACCATATTTGCGTTTGTCAAAACCAGGACACCGTACGGGGGGAGGGAGGTGGGGAGTCGTCATCGACATTGCGCGACTCACACCCGGTAAAGCTTTTTCCCACTGGACACCGAAACATATGTGCTGCTTTATACACTGTGCACATGGCCTCACACTTGTCCCGAACGCAACAGAAAGCGTGGAATTTCTTGTACAAATCATCGTTAAATACACATTTGTGCTTTGGCACGCTGCAGGCTGACCTACTGTTTGTGTTTGCTCGCTCCTTCTGAGTGCAGAGAACTACATGTACGGACCCCTGTTTGGTCACGCTACGCACAGCAATCTACATTCGGTTTGTCGATTAAAATTAACGTAATCGATGAAATTCTTAATGATCAATTATCGATTAATCGATTAATCATTCCGATCCCTACACCCAATCCTAGATTACAGCCTCACCTGTGATCAGTTACTGATCAATCAATTAGTGGGTGTGATCTGAAGACCAGATCCACTGCTGAGGTGGCTGACACCTTCAAATGTGTCTCAGCGTCAAGTACAAAGAATAAGAAAAAGATCTGAAATGACTGGAGATGTTTTTGACAAGCCCAGGTCCGGCAGACCCCGCAAGACAACTGCTCGGGAGGACTGTTTGTTGATTTGAAAATCCAAGGCCAGCCCCTTTTCCACTGCAGCAGAGCTCCACCAGGCCTGGTCACCTCAAGTCCCTGTGTCAACCACAACAGTTTGTAGAATTCTGTCTCAAAATGGCCTCCATGGTCGAATCAGTGCACAGAAACCAGCACTAAACAAAAGGCAATTAAAAAACCGTGTGGCATTTGCCAAGGCCCACAGCCTGCTAAAAGGATGGACACTGGAAAAGTGGCAGAAGGTGGATTTCTCAGATGAATCCTCAGTTGAATTACATCACAGCCGCTGCAAATATTGCAGGAGACCTACTGGAGCCCGCAGGGATCCAAGATTCACCCAGAAAACAGTTAAGTTTGGTGGTGGAAAAATCATGGTCTGTGGTTCCATCCAGTCTGGGGGTGTGCGAGACATTTGCAGGGTGGAAGGCAATATCAATAGCCTCAAATATCAAGAAGTATTAGCTCCTCTTACATTCCCAACCATAAAAGAGGTCAAATTTTGCAGCAGGATGGTGCTCCATCGCATACTTCTATCTCTACATCAAAGTTTGTCAAGGTGAAGAAGATCAAGGTGCTCCAGGACTGGCCAGCCCAGTCACCAGACATGAACATCATTGAGCATGTCTGGGGTAGAATGAAAGAGGAAGCATGGAAGGCAAAACCAAAGAATCTTGATGAACTCTGGGAGGCATGTAAGACGCTCTCTTTGCTATTCCTGATGACTTCATCAACAAATTGTATGAATCATTGTCGAACCGCATGGATGCGTCCTTCAAGCTCATGGAAGTCATACAAGATATTAAATATGGATCTCACAGCACCACTACTTCATTCACTGACATTATGCAACATATTTTTATGACCTTTCTGTGTTCATTAAATTATCAATCTTTCTTCAGTGAAGCAAATTTATTTTAGTATATTGAGCATAATTTGGGAGGGTTTTAGCTTTCATATGAAACATTTCTAAAACCAATCAATTAATTTAAAGTCAGGTTATAAGCTTTTGTTTCTACAAAATGGATAAGCGGCAAGACTTTTGTCAGGGGCTGTACATCTCCATGGAGACAAGCTGGTGGCAGGCCTGCCAGGAGAAAAGTTCCATAGTACACCTTTAATGGTAAAATGAGCCTATAATGGCAGCATCCCTAAGCCGACCCTTCTCTCCTGCACCACAGTGGGTGTTCCTGCCAGACTCGGAGCAGCGCAGTCAGCTGGTGTTACCTCCTCCAGCTCACGTGGATTACAGAGCAGCTTGCTTCTGCCACCGCAACCTCATCGAGATCGGATACGTGTGCTCTGTCTGCCTGTCCAGTAAGGCTCCAACCCTGCTTTAAAGTGCACAGGACAGGGTTCATGTTGTTCTAATAGTGACTTGATTTGGTGGGATAGTACCTGTGGTCAATATTTCTCAGTTTAACATCAGTTAAGTGGCAAAAAGTATAAAAATACAGCAAGTAGCTGTAAATTTTAAAACAGAATCCCTCTACCTCACCTCATTATTATGACTGTTTAAACCTTATTTAAAGGTCCTATATCATGCAAAATAAATTCTTGTGAGCTTTAAGCAATGTTATAATATTGTTCCCTCCTCAAAAACAGACCTGGAGTTGCATTCACACATGTTTAAGTAATCCTTTCCAACTAAACTCAGAATGCTCTGTTTCCACCTTATGATGTCATGTAGTGGTAGTTTTCAAGTTAACAGCTACATTTTCGTTTGTTCAGTGCCAATTCAGAGATTGGCAATTCCAGGGCTCAAATGATCCCAGTGATTCTAGTGAAGGTGTGTGGAGTTTAAAAACACAGTGTAGAACTTCCTGTGCTACCACATGACATCACAAAGTGGAACAGGGCGCTTTCAGTTCAAGAGAGGAACTCAATATGCAGGGTTTATATAAATCTGCAGGATTTATGTGTTTTACATGTGTGAAAAAAACAAACCACAACTCCAGGTCTGTTTGTGGTGAAGAAACATTCTAACATAGATCAAAACATAGTGTAATATAGAACCTTTGAAAAAACAAAGGTGTTGTCATTTATTTTTTATTAGCTTGGTCACAACTATTCTAATGTCTGCTTCCCTTGTACAACCGGAAAGTGAAATTATTAACTTGACCAAAATGTAATTAAAACTACAAAACATTTGGCAAGATATGTGTTAAAACTAAAACATAATTATGTTAACTGTATTGCAGAGAAATTAGTGGTCTAGCCTGTCATACGCACTTTAAATGCTCATTCACCTACACTGTGTTTCTTTGTTGAAGTATTCTGCAACTTCAGCCCCATCTGCACAACCTGCGAGTAAGTTTGTTCAGATTTTCTAATGTTGAAAATAAACGACTGCTTTAGAGAGAGGTAACTGTACAATTTGTTTTATTTTTTCCAGGACAGCGTTCAAGATCCAACTCCCACAGATGGTCAAGCCCAAGAAGAAGAAGCTAAAGCCGTCTTGAGGAGGACATTACTTTTTACTGTCTGTTTTATTTTGGTATTTAAAAACTGCAACTGCTACATTTTTTCATTAAAATACAAAAGCTGGTTTTGTGTGAGTTTGAGTTTTTAAAGTGGGACATTAGAGCAGTGAAAACTGGGTAGTACTCTTACTAAAGAGGAGAGTGACAGGGTAGGACAGGCGGGGTTTGGAGGTACAAGGAACAGAGTGATAGGTTTAAGAGGTATCCACACTTCAAATTCCACCCCTGTAGCCAGGTGTTTGTACTACTGTAAGTAGTTGCTTAGGCCACTGGGGACAGCACACAGTGTTATACATTTTGACCAGAAAGCTGCATATTTACTATACCTAGTTTGCTCTAAAATGGCTGTAAAAATGACCATAAACAGTAGATAATCTTATTAAAACACCATATACACAGCACTTTTTTTTAAGAATATGTAATATAAAGTCGATACCAAAATTAGCCTTAATTATTCCTGGTTTTGTTTCTGTTAAAATAAAACTTTCAATAGTAAATTAAACCATCTGTATTTTTGTTTCATTATAACTGAAATTATAGTCTAAATTTGATTAAAATACCACAAAAATATCGATTTGCAGTTCTTAACAGCCATATTGCATATCACAAAATTTCCTAATAATGCACAGCCCTACCTCTACTACAAAAATAATTTTTAACAAATGTTGAGGTTTTATTTTGTGAATATTGAAAGGGTACAATAACTGTCTAATCATTTTCTGCAGTGTACAAACAAACTTTATTTAAACTGAGATCACAGCAGTTACCGATGCACAGGAACAATGTTGCACCTGAAACAAGACACATGTTTTTGTACCAAAAGTATTATTCAGTTACTTTTTTCCTTCACTTTTTTCTATTGTGATTAGTTCACTCACCCCAGCAGCCCTCTGCCCGACCACCTCTGAGGAGTCAGAGTCATTGGACATCTTTCTCCATTGCGGACCACCACCACACGTAATGCTTTCTGTATTCACATTTAAAGTATTCACAATCATGCATTTTATTTACATTTTATTCCACACACTTAAAAACATGACTTGGATGAGTGTCCTTACCCCTTCACTGTGTTGCACAACAGAAGCAATATTCTGAAGATTTTGGAAGTTATTGGAGTTGACTGAACCAAACTCAACGAGTTCATCACCAACTCTGAGTCCCTGTAAAACCAAAAATACAACAAAACATAACAAAATAAAAAATAAGGTAGAATATTACACTTCTATTAACTGCTAATGCATATCATATTTATTGTTTTGAAAATGCTATATTCACTAAAAAACTATGTATTAAAATGTTTCACATGTTCATGGGGTAAGTCACTCCCCCTTCCCCCACTGTCACAACACAATCAGCATGCCCGCTCATGAAACTACTGCACATCACATCAGGGTTGTGAAGTTGGAGTGTACTGTTTAGTATCCTACTCTTATATATTTATTGTTGTGGGGGGAGCATGAGTGTTAATTATTGAGACATGGACGAATCACATCTAAATCCTGTGCAGGCATGTTGCTGATGAAGGAACAAATGTGGATTTTGTATAACACACCCTCTTGAATGCTGTTTCTATTGTGTTAATGCTTGTAAAGTGATCTTGGGTGCCAGAAAGGCACTTAATAATAAATAAAATATTTTATTATTATACAAGAAAAAGAGGGACGGACCGCTGTGTGCGCGGGGGAGCCTGCAGTGACAGTGTCCACTCTGGCGAAGGCACCAGGCAAGCTGGGCTCCTGCTCCATGGGGTCATCATGTGCAGGCCCCGAACCTCTCTTCTCCTTCTCCTGGGCATGGAGCTTATGGAGGGCCTCCTCAATCTCTGCCATCAGGGCCTTGTGATCATTCTGCAGGCCTACAACACATGAACAAGAGAGGGTGGAATTCTTACTTCATTGTTTTGTTTTGGTCTTTGATGTTTTAGTAGTTAAAGGGCCTAGATTACACTATTTTCTGCTCTATGTTATGTTTCCTCATCGAAAACATACCTGGAGTTTTGTTTTGTTTCATTCACATGTTTAAAACATAAACCCTGCATATTTAATTATAGTTCTTCCCTCAAAGTGAAAACATTTGGTTCCACCTTGTGATGTCATGTGGTAACACAGAAAGTGCACCACTGTATTTTTAAACTCCACACAGCTTCACTAGAATCGTGGATGATTTCAGACCTGAAAGTCCCAATCTCTACTGAACTAAAGGTAAAAAGAAGCTGTTACCTTGAAAAATACCACTATATGAGATCATAAGGTATTTTGAGCAGCATTTTGAGCTTTGGGGATGTACACAGACAACAAGAACAACAAGAACAACTCCAGCTATGTTTTTGAGTGTTTTCTAACATGGCTTCAATCTCACAAAAATCAATTTTGTGTAATTAGGACCTTTAAAATGGTACCATACTTTTCATCTGTAATGTATAAGGAGGCCCCCCAGGCCAGCCGACTATGTCTCTCGGCTGGCCTGGGAACGACTCGGGGGTCCCCCAGAGGAGCTGGGGGACGTGTCTGGGGTGAAGGAAGTCTGGGAGTCCCTGCCTAGAATGCTGCCCCCACAACCCAGCCCTGGATAAGTGGAAGAAAATGGGTGGATGGATGTTTAAGGAGTTTAAAAAAGTTGTGTGTCTTAAACTTTTGTTCTTTCTGCTCTGTCACTAATCCATCCATTCCCTACTCCTTAGACGTGTAGCTAACCCTTTAGTCTATTAAACGGTCAGTGGTGCCTTCCCTTCAATTGGGAGTGAAATGTGACTTAGAGATGCTGTTTACAAGTACTTTTCATAGTTATTATTGCATCTAGAGACGTCATAGAAATACTGAGCAGTTCTCAGAGCACAGAATCATTTCTTTAGTGGACTGCAGGCTGCAGCCCTCCCTGTCATAAGGTTTCTGTCTGATCAAGAGATGAGCTGAACGTGGCTGCTTCACAGAGGTTCGCTGACTCACATGCGATCTGGTGTCGGGCCGTCCTGATCTGGTACAGGTTGACGTCCGCACGGGGATAACCCTCCGCGTCCACCAGAGGCCCTTCCACGCCCACGCCCTGCTGTTACACACACAATAAACATGGTCACTCACTCTGTCAAACGTCACACAAGTTAGCTCAGAGATTAGCTTAGCATTTAGCAGTTTATGTCAAGACAGTGACACTTACGTCCTCCAGTACGTCATAATAGGCTTTGATCTGTTCTTCTATCTCATCTTTCTTTTTAATCAGGTTTCGGACGTCATCCATGGTCAGGTCCGGGTGGTCACAGGCCGCTTCTTCGGTCAGCCTCATCTCCGTGTGATGATCCGTGAGCTTGGTGCTTTGCGTTTTGTTTTGACAGTTTTTTACTTCCGAAACAACACTCTTCTTCTCCTGTACGTCCTGCCGCAGTTACATAGAAAGCAGCCTTTACGCACACACTGCCCCCGTGAGGTTAGGAAGGACTTTGGGATAGTGGCATGGATCTATTACAATAACTTTATCACTCTTTTTTATTGAACATAAAGGTTAATGATGGGACGAGACAGTGATGGGATGACAGATCCGTGGCGCTGTGGAGACACAAACAAATGCTATGAAAAATAAATAGAACAACAATGGTGAGGCGAATAATATTTGACTAAGTACTTCAACAAAGAACGTACAAATATAGAAGGAAAAGTGCAAAGAAGTACTTGAAGTCTATTAATGATGACTGTTTAAATGATAAAACGTAACACGGAAAAGATCCAGTCGACGGAAAACGGGACTAACTGAGGCTGAATCCAAATGAAAAGTGATAACTAATATAATCATGTATCAAAAAGTAAATGACTATAATTTGACAGAGTTTGACTATTCATCATGAAATTTTAAGTAAAAATAAATCATAGAAACAATTTACTTTTTATTTTTAGGCTAAAAAGTTACAAAGTGAGTCTCACATTGTGTTGTATGGAGTGTTTGCCATTTTAACCATTTTGTCCAAATCACTCGCCAAGCTAAAAGAATTAAATATGTTCAAACAGAGAAGGTAAACAAGAGCTCAAAATAAGTGACCAGCATTATTTGGCTGTTTATATTATTTTATTATTAGATCAATAGAAAACATCCTCAAGAAAACACAAAAGTCAGTAAGGAATGAGTCAGCTTTGTCTTTATAATTAAACTATACTTTATATGAACTGTGTAAACAGTACTAACACTTTGCTTCTTCTATAGACACAGGAAAGGCACAGAGAGGCTGGCCCTGACACCACAGGGAGATCATGAGAAATATCACATTTGTGGAGTTTTTACATAGTTATACCTTCATTTTCACCCACGAAAAAAGTGCAATTTTTTGTTTTAGAAAAGCTACTTTGTCTAAGCCTTTATATCCTACCACAGACCCACCTATGTTTGGATACGTGCAAAATCACATTAATCACATATGCTGTACACCAATTTACATTGATTAGGAGAAATATTGTAGTCCACAGGGATCTTTATAGAATAGTGCAATATTGTTTTTCCTGTTCAAATGACTGTACAATCTGACCTTTACATTTGAAATAGTGGTAAAACAGATTCGGCTTTTAATCCTATGTTAAATTTCTAACAAGTGGACATGTACCTTACAGCGCAGTCCTATGTACAAGCTGTTTGTTAGCACTAATGGACCAGTCAAATACCATAAAGGTCAAGATCTAGTGTTCCCTGCTGTGTTCTGGTCCATGTGAGGTCAGTGCAGGGAGCTTGTCTGGTGAAGTGTTCCCCATGAATATAAACGAGAGCAGCTGAAGTTAGGAGCTGCTCTAACAAACAGACCTACACTGTACTGTAGCACAGGGATTTTAACAGTCCGTCTGTGCAGGGCTGGGGCTGCCTCTCTCCTCTGCATTTGGAGAGTCTTGGCTCTGTGCCCTAATCTCCTTATGAACCAAAGCGAAAGTGGCCATAGTCTCATCTATCTGAGCTGTAACTGTCTCCATCCATTGGTGCAGCTGTGTGCTGAGGGCATCCATGCCCTGGTCCAGGCTCTCCTGCCTTGCCTTGAGTTCCTCCAGTAAGTGCTGGCTGCTTTTAGCCACCTGTTTCCTCCGGTGTCCAGCAGAGGGCGCTCTCTTGTGCTGCATGTAGCCTTCAAACTCCTCTGGGCTGAGGTTCAGAGATGGACCATCCAGTTTTTCAATGAAGGCCACGGCACAAGACTGCAACAGACATTCACAGCAGGTGAGAAAGTCTGTTTTCATTTCTAGTATAGTTTACAGTTAAGTTTACAGAACAACCTGAGACCCTGCAGCTCCTCTCAACAGTATCATGTAGCACTTATGGCTCTCACTCTTACAGGCTTAGATGTCACAATATCAAATTAGTGTTTAGATTCTTGTGAGAATAAACATGACACATAACTAAACAACAGTGAAATCTTTCATTTTTCATTCCTTTCTATTTCAGAGAGTTCCATATTGGTGGCATCACACTAGAGCGAATTCTGTCCAAAAGTTTAGCTCAATTTACACAAAAGAAAGAGAAAATGTAGCATAGAAAATTTAGAAAGTAGGTAACATACAGAGAAAAATATTTAATAAGATGGTGTGTCCAAACTTTTAACTGGACGCGTATTGTACTTCAAAATGTTATCGTGCCAGGCATAATTGTAGCTCTGCACTCACCAGGTTAGTGAAGAAGTAGCCGCTCTCCCCAGCCATCAGACTGTGTGGCAGGCCGAAGCGGATCACGTACTGCATGTTGGAGTGGAGGCGCGGGGGGTTGGCTTTGAGCAGCACATACACCAGAGCGGACAGGAAGTCGTCCGCGTTAGCTGGCTCACTGTTGGACATGGCCAGAGCCTCAAAGATGTGGTGGCAGCATTTGGACACACAGGCCAGCTTGTCCTGAGGGGCGCGCTTGGCATCCACCTCGATTATAGCTGAGAAAAAAACAAGGGCTTTATGGTTAGTCTGGTCTGTGTGGTGTCATTTGTTCTAAACTGAGGAATGAGAGACAGTGGCTATGATTACATGCACACTCAATATCAGATTATTGTAAGTTTTTTAGAGCTATAAGATGATTCAAATGAAATGTAAACAGTAATATCATCTAATTTCTTTGAGATCATGGTTCCTCTGATCATTCACTCACATCAGGTGTTGTAATTTAGGTGCATTTAAAAAACATCAGATAATAATCAGATTTTGGTGTGCGTGTATGCAAAGTTACCAGTGATAGCAGGCAGAAAGGGGTCTCCAGTGACTCCAGTCTTCCTCTCAGGGAAAGGCACCTCTAACATCTCAGGAGTGACCCAGTTTAAGGACCTGTCAATACACACATATACAACATTAAAAGACATATTTTAGTGACATCATAACACCAAACTGTCTCTAAGACTCAGTGCTTTATGAGTTACATTGTAATTTCTTGTGAAATATCCATGAGGTAAGGTTCTCAAATGTTAGACCCTAATCAGCATTTGAAGAGTATTACTTTTAGCTGCCCCCATCTGTATTAAATATTATTAGCCTGTAGAATGTTGAGAGATCATCTGAACCCAGCATTTGCCCCGCCCTATCAAGATCATACAATCCATACTCACACAAAGAATCCGGTCTACTCTGTCTAGTGTTAAATCTTAAAAGGAGCTAAGATTTGAGACGCATAAGTCTTGCTGCACTTGGAGATTAAAACAAGCCAATCTTAAAATTTGGTTATGAGTCCCAGAGCACTGTACTGCAGCAGCATTGAGGGATGGGTCAAATAAGGGATTCATAAAGTGACCTGTATGACAGTGAGTGCCCTGTAGGACTGACCGTATTCTCCTCTGCAGAGTCAGGTCTCTCTGCTCGTCGTCACACGAGTCGTGGCAGAAGACCCACTTGTGCAGGCGTGTCATTATCAGCTTCTCTACGTGTTCCATGACCTGATGCACCTGAGACTCCGGCAGGCCTGGAGATCACCCAGAGACAGAGAGACCAGACTCAGCATAAACTAGAACATAATCTCGACCTCTGGAAAGGCCACAAAAAACACACTAAACAGGTTGTGTTTTCCACATTCAAGAAGTTAATGTTTTCATTTCACATGGAGAACCTTTATAACTCTATTAACTCTATGAGCACCTCACTGTTTTGAAAGAAATATTCAAATTGAAATCCACAAATGTTGAACAATATCATTTTTGTTATACTTTTGGTCAAAGACAATTTTAATATTGTTGCTTAATGTAATTTCAGTTGAAAACAACAAAATCTTAGAGACTGAATAATACCAAAAGAAAAGGGAAGAGAAACTTTCCGCAATTGGTTTCACAAGGACAGGCCTAGAGATTAAATATGATTTGATATATACTGTATATTAGCCTCAAACCAGCCCTAATTATTATTATATTAGCATTTTGACAGCCAGGCCAGACACAAATTCTATTTTCACGTTCGATTTGAAACTACAGGCACTTAAAACTGCACTTTAAACCTCATTTCCTAGTGAGTCAGAGTATTTGAGACACTTTTAAAAAATATTCCTTCCAGTCCTTGTATTTGCAGAGGTCGCTGATGCTAGGCTAGTGCATGTCAATGGTCATAGTTATCCTGCCACTAAAAACAGTCTTCCCCACTCCACAAAACACCTGAAGCAAATCTATTATTACACCAGACTGTCCATGTGAATGTCTGTGTTGATAGAATAATGTTTGAAATAAAACTAACCTTGCATCGCATGAATCGTTGCATGTTGAGGGACTATTTTCTCAGCAGCAGCAGAATTTTACTTTGCCGGTAAGATCGGTACTAGGTGATAATAGTCCGCCACTGCCAAGCTTTCTATCAGGAAGTACAACTCACTGCTGCTGCTGCTCACACAGAAATCCTTCAAATGCAAGGTTGGTTTTACTACTAAAATTATTCTATCGACACAGACATTCACATGGACAGTCTGGAGTAATAATAGAGATTCTTTGCGTGTTTTGTGGAGTGGGTAAGACTATGGCCATTGACATGCACTAGCCTAGCACCAGCAACCCCTGCAAATACAAGGACTGGACGGAATATTTCAAAAAATGTCTCCACACATCTCCAACAATCTGGCTCACTAGGAAATGAGGCCCTATGTCCAAAATTCCGGACTGTCCCTTTAAACTTTGGGTGCAGTCTCTCTTTACTCACCATTAAAACATTCAGCAAAATTCTGGTAAAAATCCTGGACTAGATCGGACTGCTTCTGCACTGGCAGGTCCTGTACAGAAGGAAAAGGCACGTTAAAACTCACAGGCACGTTTGAAATGTAGTACTTGTAGCACTACTACCATACATGGTACATACATGATAGGCTTCCATAGTGTTGAGGAAGGCCGTACAGCGGGACTGCAGGCGCTGGGAGGGAGGGCTTCGTAGAACCTTGAGGAAACCAGGGAAGTCTCCAGGCTCCAGGCTCTGGTAGGCCTTCAGTGGGCTGATTCGGATGTCTATTGGATCTAGCAAGAAAATGTAAAAAACAAGATTATTGTGTGCACATGTCAACGCATAAGTGTTCTTCATATCTGCACTTGGATTTATATTGTAGATGTATATTTATAGATTGTATTTACAGTAGAGTGAATTATGAACCACTAAACAACACAGTGTGTGTTGGTTTGTGTCAGTGCATCCAGTGTACAGAGACACAGAGGTTGAAAGAGCATAAGACAGGTTAGACTAGTCTTTTCACTAAAACACAGTCACATAATCATCATCATTATATGCTTTAGATGTTTTTCTATTTTTTTAATTTGATGAAGTTTATCATTTTACTTCCTGACTGAACATGGACAGCAGATGTGACATGCACTGAGGTAATGGAGATATATGTTAACAGAGACCAAAAATTAAACCAATAAAAATAAATAAGTTCCTTACATCTAAAATGGATTGCATTTAGTAGGATACGGTATATACACATATTCCCTATATAAATAATGGCAGCTTTTACAGTTGGCTCAATATTGCCCTTTTTGATTGCCATACTGTACAAGATTATATGTTTTTCAGTGCAATAAAAACATCAATTAACATCATTAATTTAGCTTATCATTAATTTAGTTTATTTTGAAAAAACATAACATATGGCCTTAAAAAAAAAAAGATTCTGTTTAAATTTTAAACATGCCTGGTAGGGTTTAAATTTGAATGACTGAAATCTGAACTGCATCTCATATATTTCAGAACACGTTTGTAGAGGTCTAAACTACAGAGTTAGCAGCTTTTACACAGAGTAAGACCCCATGGAAACACAGGGAGGGCATCTGACACACAGGGATATTTCAGAACACGTTTGTAGAGGTCTAAACTACAGGGTTTGCAGCTTTTACACAGAATAAAAGAAGACAGGTCATTCATTACTTGCAGAGGGAATTATGTCACTTCTTTAACAAGTACAGTTTTTGGGAATTTAATAATTATGACCTTTCAAATAGTGATTTTGTTTTGTTTGGATTCACCCCACTACCTGGTTTAGCTGAAGACGGGTTTCCCCAGAACAGCTTTCTCACTGTATGGATGCGACGGCTTTTCTCAGTGTTCTTCTTCTCCTCAAACTTGGAGAAGGTGACTGGTGTCCCATCACTACTGGCTCTACAGGTCAAACGGAGGCATAGGTTAAGACTTGTACCGTGGTAGTCATGCGTTTTGGTGTACACACCCCGTACCTGCTGTCCTGTGGGTGTGCTCCGGGGGCACGGGCACGGTCTCGCCAGCACTTGGAGCAGTAGCCTTGCCATGCAGGGTTGCCATAGAAACCACATGACTTCTTACACATGAGCTCCTGCTGTGACACGCGGATGCCCCTCGGTTTATCCGTCCACATGGTGCAGCTTTAAACAACAGAATTCAAACAGATCATTAAGAGTTTAGACATCTTCAGAGACAAACGCATGTCTCGTCACTCTAGTATAACAGGTTTGGATGATTCTCTCATTTACGCTTCATTTGGTTTAGAGGTGGGTGATTTTGCCTAAAAATAAAATTGTCTCTCCACAAAAAAATGTTCTGCAAACATTGTCAAAACAAAAAAAGGTGTATAATTCAAGTTGTAGTGCAAGTAAATCGTAACAGGTCTTTCTAAAAGCAACTAAAGCATCTGGTGTTACTTTAACATTAAGTTGAGAAGTGATCAGAAGTGATTTAACCCATCGGCAGAAATCAACCTCCATTTAATGAGCGAGATCAAACAAACACATTCGAACAGTGTTGGGGCTGCATTAAACATGGAGCAGATGTGATTTCAGAGCAGTCAGCATTGCCTTGTGATAAACTTCCATGAGGAAAATGCGAAGAAAGAAACTCTGCTCCCTGTGATGCAGTGAGCAGCCTTTCTTGCATTTACTATGCAATTTCAAAGGCAAGAAATGAAATGAGAGAAATAAAATAAAATTTTCTTCCAAACAAATTTATTTTACCTCTAAATTAGATTATTCAATTTAATAAATTTTTTGCTCAGTCGTAATATGGTGAGAAATAACCTGTTGTAAATATAAATGAAAGTTTTTACACCAATAAAGAAGCAATTTGCAAAGAAAGGTTAAAAAAATATGTTGGAATTAACAGGAAGTAGAGTTCTTTTTTTGTTTTTGTTTTGTTTGTTTTTTTTCCATCAAATTTATTGCATATATACATAAAAATGATTATAAACATACAATAAAACAGATGAACAATATACTCAGAGATTACAAGACATAGGGGCAGTTAAATGATTCAGACTGATATTTTCAGTTCTTCATAAATTGATAACATGTAATTAGCTTGTTTATGTGGAAGGTTTTCTCATTATTTAAAATAATATTTTAGATTGCATTTGAATTGAAAGATATTAGGAATGGTATTATTTCTCTTATAACAAAAAAGAACATATTTTCCAAATTAGTTATCAATATTGTTATTAAAATAAATAAAATATACCTTTTTCCAAGCTTAGTTCCCACACCACACAAAGATTTTTAATTTCACACCAAAAAAACTTAACATACATTCATAAAAAATACGTTCAATTGATTTATATTCTGGATTACAGGATGGAGAGTTTTATTTTAGAGAGTTTCATATTGATAACATCAGTCTGGGAGAATGCTATCCAAATGTTCGGCACAATTTACATGACAAACAAATTTTTATGATACTTTAAACATTATTTCAATAAGATAAAGAAGTTTATTCATAATTGTATTTGTCAAATAGTAACCTCTGTTTACATTAGAGGAGTTTTGGCCTACTCCACAGCATGATTACTACTTAACAATTATGGAATTCCCTCATGAAATTCCCTAGCCTGATCACATCATTTCCAACTAGGAAGTCAAATTTAAAACCTAAAATTTGAATTTACCGTCAGTTGGATCGGAAAGTATGGGACGTTTTAGGTACTTTCCCCCTTGTGAAGAACTCTACAAGTGACAGTTTTATGTTGACAATATTAAAGGAACTGTATGTAGTCTGCACTCTTACTAGGGCTGGGTATCATTAAGAAGTTGCCGATACGATACATACCTCGATACATAGGGCACGATATGATACATATCTCGATACAGTGAGCTTTCGATTCGATACGATATATATTTCAAATCAAATCGATACGGTTCAATAAAAAATAAAGTCTAAATCATGGCTGTGACACCAAAAGTCTTTGTTAAACCACTTCTTGTGCAAAGTTCATGTGAAACATCCATTTTAATCATTAAAACAACAAAAATGTCAAATGTGTCACATAAACGAGTTTCCTTCCTCTGAACAAGCACCAAAACTGTAGCGCTGTAACAAAATAATGTAGTAAAATACACCAAAGAATACTCTTTGTGATATATCGATACTGTATCATTACATTAAACAATATGATATATTGATATTTCAATATTTTTGCACACCCCTAACTCTTACTGCTTTAAAGTACTACAATCATAACTGTAACCTGTGCTGCCAGACTCTTAACCTGCAGATAGAGGACACATCCAAGCTTTACTCATTCTCAGTACATGGACAGGCCTTTCACTGCAGAATTTACTCACTAATTTCTTGAACTACTACTTTATACTTCTTACTTGAGTACTGTTTTTGCTAGTCTACTCATAGATAGCAAATTGATCAAATAAGCACGGATTAAGTGATCAAGACAGAGTATGTCAACATATGCAAGGCAGTCTAATACCTACACCTTGAATGCATATTTTAAGTACTTTTTTCCCCTAAAAGTTGAAGGTTAAATCCCTCCAGCATGACAGTCAGCTGATGGAAGGAGATTAGAGGAGCAACAGGCTAATGTTAGCACACACAGTATGTAAATATAGACTAATGCTATTTCATTTAATCAAAGTAATTCGTCTATGCACTTTAGACAACATCTGATCACACTTACGTAAGGTTAGACTCACCTGTTCCACGGAAAATCAAGTTACTTCCTCGTTTAAAAAGATCCCTTCACTTTTGCTTTGCGACTTCAACCATTTACGGTCGAGTGGACGATATATGGTTTCTCTTATAAAAACAGCATCTAATATGAAACTACAAAACAAACACAGCTAAAATGTACCGTTTGTCGTAATCAGAGGAACAAACTTCGAGGTAGTGAGGAGAGAGTGGCGGAGTAAGCAGCTTTCTGAACAGCGGAAGTTGACACGGAAAAATGTCGACTGTAAAGTTTAACACAAAAGTCAAATTCATTCATTGTACCTCTCGCAATATGTACGTACATGAAAGAGATTAGGTACAAAAATATAAGTAAATGCCAGTTTTTATCATTACATGTATTAGTGTACATGTATAATGACGGTTTGAAAAATTAAATAATGAATTTACTTTTTATTGTGAAAAGTCTGGACAGGAAACAAGTGGGCGGGGATTTCTAACTTTTCCCCTTTGCCTTTTTGTCATTGGTTGATTGATTTTGTGTTCATTTTCAGTGCAGTATTTACTTTGACCAGAGGTTTGGACTTTGACTCGAGGCAGACTTGGAACTCGGCTTGGACTTGAAGGTCAGTGACTTGGGACTTGAATCGGACTTGAGCCCTGTGACTTTAGGAGAAGCATCAAGACTTATGTTTCTCCTAAAAAATATATGTTCTTAGAAAATACTTTTCTCTTTACAGTTGATAAATGCAGCACTGAATTTTACAGGAACAAACTGGAACATGTCCCTCACACTTCTGTTTGGTACTCTGGATCGAACTGTAATACTGTGTGTACTGTGGTATCCTCAAATGTACTACAGTAATATACAGTGCAATATAGTACAATACAATATACAAGTACAATACAGTGTAATACAGTACACTACAGTATATACAGTACAATACAGTAATATACAATAGACAGTACAATACAGTATATACAGTACAATACAGTGTAATACAGTACAATACAGTAATATACAGTATAGAGAGTACAATACAGTATATACAGTACAATACAGTAATATACAGTATATACAGTACAATACAGTACAATACAGTATATACAGTACAATACAGTAATATACAGTACAATACAGTAATATACAGTATAGAGAGTACAATACAGTATATACAGTACAATATACAGTAATATACAGTATATACAGTACAATACAGTATATACAGTACAATACAGTGTAATACAGTACAATACAGTAATACAGTACAGTATACAGTACAATATACAGTATATACAGTACAATACAGTAATATACAGTATATACAGTACAATACAGTATGTACAGTACAATACAGTAATATACAGTATATACAGTACAATACAGTATACAAGTGCAATACAGTGTAATACAGTACACTACAGTATATATAGTACAATACAGTAATATACAGTATAGACAGTACAATACAGTATATACAGTACAATACAGTAATATACAGTATAGACAGTACAATACAGTACAATACAGTATATACAGTACAATACAGTATATACAGTACAATACAGTATACAAGTGCAATACAGTGTAATACAGTACACTACAGTATATACAGTACAATACAGTAATATTCAGTACAATACAGTATATAAATTACACTACAGTAAAACTGGGAACTACATAGAACATGATCCTTCCATTTCAGTGCAGCCTTCACAATAAAATAACTGTTATGAAGCACTTTTAAACCTCAATTCTTTCTATTCTGACTGTAATGATTCACACTCAGATCTTGTCAAGACATTTCAAAAGGAAAAACTAGCATTTCTACAACTCTTATATAAATACTCATATATATAAATATACCATAACTTTTAAAGAACAATTTAATATAAAAGTAATATACATTTCAGAATTCTAAAGACTTGAAATTACCTAAAGCTCAAAGCAGACGACTTGGACTTGACTTGGACTTATGGGCTAGTGACTTGAGTCTCGACTTGAACTTGCATGTATTTGACTTGGGACTTGACTTGGACTTGAGGTCAAAGACTTAAGACTTACTGGAGATTTGCAAAACAACAACTTGATCCCACCTCTGACTTTGAAGGGCCCATATTACTCTATTTTCACTCACACAAACCCTGCATATTTAGGCAGGAGAGAGTTTTTCTCTCAAACGGAAAACACTAGGTTCCACCTTGTGACGTCATATGGTAACAGTCTATAGAAAGTGCTTCTCTAAAGTCTACAGACCTTCACTAGAATAATTTGGATAATCTCTATTGAACTTAATATAAAATGTAGTTGTTCACTTGAAAACTACCACTACATGACATCACACGGTGGAACAGATGATTTTGAGCTTTGGAGATGTAGACAGACTAATAAAGAGTTACTCAAACATATGTGAATGAAACAAAACACAACTCCAGGTCTGTTTTTGATAAGGTAACTCAATTATAACATGACCTAAAGAAAAAATAGATTTTGTTTGTTTTGTTATATTTCGTATGAACTTGCTTTGAATCATTCTCACGGAGGTGGGTAACACTGGGTTACATTTATTTTGAGTATCTTTTTGTGAATTATTTCAAGTTTTGTCCTTGTTATGATATTCACTTCAAATTATAATTCAGATGATACATCAAAACAGTTACTCTTTAAGTTACTCTTACCTGAGTAGTACTTTTCCCAAATGCTTGGACTGCCACTTTGTAATTCTACTTGAGTAATACATTTTTCTCTATGCATTTTTCATACTCATCATGTGATTGTGGGAAGGTTCGTAATAAACCTGTCTGGACCACATAATCAAGGACGGTTTGTAACAATACACTGGCTCAGAAGAACAGCACAGTGAAGTCTTGGAATGGAAACACACCCTCTTCTGGTAACTCTCTAATCTTTTAATTATTTCCATGTCTTAGCCTACCTGTAATGGATTATGTAATTCTTCTTACCTGCTTGTTTCCATGGAGACTGCATTACATGGAATGTTCCATATAGTATAGCCTTTAAGGTCCAATATGACGCAAAATGGACTCTTGTGAGCTTTAAGTCATGTTAAGATGTTGCTACCTCATCAAAAACAGACCTGGAGTTGTGTTTCATTTCATCCACACATGTTACACAAGTAACTATTTATTATTAGTCTGTCTACTTCTCCAAAGCTCAAAATGCTCTGTTTCACCTTGTGATGTCATGAAGCAGTAGTTTTCGTGTTAACATCTTCTTTTACCTTTAGTTCATAAGCGATGGGCAATTACAGGAATGAAATTATCCAAATGATTCTAGTGAATGTGTATGTAAAACACAATGGAGTGCTTCTTGCCTTACCACATGACGTGACAAGGTGGAACAGAGTATTTTCTGTTTGAGAGAAGAACTCAGTCTAAATGTGCAGGGTTTATGTGTTAAACATATGTGAATAAAACAAAACACAACTCCATCTTTGTTTGTGATGAGGAAACTACATTATAACATAGATTAGAATATCTTGTAATATGGGACCTTTAACTACCATTTAATGACATCACAAGGTGGAACTAAGCATTCTGGAGATTCTGGAGGAAACAGACTAATAATAAAGGTTGCTCAAACATGTGTGAATGAAATAAAATGCAACTCCAGGTTTGTTTTTGAGGAGGGAACATCTTAACATGTCTTAATAAAGTTCTTTCTCTTTTTTGGTGAGCCTTCAAATGTACCAACAGACCAAAATGGAAGTTATGTCAGATGTTTAAGAGAGGCTGTGGAATGTTGAGGTGAAAGCTCATCGGGGTCAGAAGAGGACTGATCCTGTGACCTATGACCTTAGCAGACATACATACAGACTGACTCCTGTGTTTACATTTTCTCTTACTACAGTCAGGAGTACTGTTATAAATAACTATGTGGTATTTACAGTTTTGATTTGATTTTTATTGTTGTCATAAATGAATAGGCTACAATACAATAAAATATTTAAACTTAAAGAAACTTAAATTTAAATTAAACTTAAAAAGTAATTACCAGCATTGCAACATTGTTGTGGTTTGCTGTGATACTTCTTGGCATGTGTGGCAGAAGCTCTTTCTTCTTCTTCCACTCACCACCACTTTGCCAGTTAATTCAATCATGTTCGGTAGTGCTAACTGAGCTCTGTGTTTTATACTTAACTGTTTTTGGATTTACCTGTACTCACCTGCTGCTCCTCGTCTGTCCAGGTTCTGTTTGTTGCCAATGTCTGCTACAGAACCAGCTCAGTGGGCCTGCTTCCTGCCTCCACTGCTACTCCACTGTTTTGTTAGAATAAACTGTTAAAACTGCCTCAGTGTTGGCTCTGCTTTGGCATCCTACCTGTAACCTTTAAAGGCATGCTTCCATTTCTACTTGAGTAATATTTTTGTTGAAGTAACAGTACTTTTACTTACTGAGTAAAAGTTGTGCTTCCTCTTCCCTGTGAGTGAGTCTACATGTGACAAAAGCTTTATGTGACAATATGAAATGATTTGAACATTTGTGTTTCTTGCAGCTCCTTCAGATCTGATTTAGTTTGTCTCTTTTTTGTGTCTGACCTTTGAAAATACCAGATTTTGTGCATTATTAATGTTTTACATTTCACATTACAATAACTTGAAATGATAAACCAGATGAACCCGACAGTTCCTGTTTTTTCTTACTTGAGTAGTAGTTTTCCCCAAAACTTTTTTTCAGTCTTACTTGAGTCATTTTTTGGGCTACTACTTTGTACTTCTACTTAGTGAAATTATTTTTGAGGTAATATTACTCTTACTTGAGTACTATGGCCTCTACCACCTTTCATTCTGATACTAGAGACTGCTCAGGTTATGTCCGGTGTTGACTTGTTCATTTTTACACTTTTGTTACTAATTCAATTGAGTATTTAGCCAATAATATCTGACCACGTATTTCTCCAGCATTACAAGCATGACACTGGCCTCCAGTCGCTAATGGAATCAATCACAAAACAATTCTTTGTGCCCACAAATGGTAGAAGTCTAAAGTATTTAACAGAGCTGCTTATGAGCCCCAGAGGCAGAGCTGCCGCAGTGGAGTGGGCAAACGAGGCAACTGCCCAGAGCCCCGAGCTCCAGAGGGCCCCGCACACATGCTTTTTCTTAACAGGAACAACAAGATTGTAACAAAAAAAATGATTTGTCAAAGTACAAAGCATCTTTAAAAATCAGCATTTAAGAATTTCCTGCCAGAAGACACTTTTAAATATTGCTCATGATTACTATATGGCAAAGTTTTGCATGAATTAATTTATGGACTTGAAAATTTTAACTGTCATGACTCTGACATGACATACTTGTATTTGACAAGCGCAGTGCACTAGTATGTGAAGCTCTCTATTTTGGACATTACTGGTTAAATGATAAATTATGCAAAATTATGTATTTATATTGTAAATTATGTGAACTTTTACATTTCACAAATTCACAGAATTCCCTCCCTGAGCTGCAGAGGCTGCACTAGCACTGACTCATGACTGACTGCTGGTGCTGGGGTTTAGGTAGTGCCCATTCAGATCAGAGAGAGGCATTTTATATAAGAATAAATCAGCATTAGTTAAAGTCAAGTTTACGAAAATAGAACTAGTAGTAGTTTTCCCCAAACTACTGGCACACAGTTCCTTTAACTAATAGCCTACTTAGACTTAGACAAACTTTATTGCTCCACACGTGAAAATATTTGGACACAGTAGCTCACACATTACAAAATAATGTAATAACAAAGAGAAAAAAATACAGACTGAGTCACATTTACTTTTATTGCAGTAATACTGCATAACACTTTTTATTTAGATGATGCTTCATTTCAAAGGCTAAACATAGTCCCACTTTCAGTTTGAAGCATTTAAACAAATCTGAGCCTTGGGCATTTCTCTGTAATTAGTTTGCAGTTAAATTTAATTCTCACATTGACTTCATGTCAATAAATATTAGATTTAGACTTAGACAAACTTTATTGAGCCACACGGGAAATTAGTATAATAATATAATAATAATAATAACAAGATTAACATAAGCATTCCATGATAGTATAAATAGATTATAGTAATAGAATAATAAGATGAGCATAAGCATTCCATAATAGTATAATAAGATCAGTATTCTCCCAGAAAAATACTCGAGTTTATTTTGAGTGCGTGGTGGGCGGGGTCTGAGGGGTGGGGCTCTGACGCTGGCCAATCAGGTAACGAGTTCCGGAGCTGCTTCCTGATCCGGACAGAAGGCAGCAGAGGAGCAGTTTGGTCAGCTGGCTCAGAGCTGGATCCTCCGCTCTGCTACGTCAACTCTCCACAACTTTCCTCTGTCCACAAGCGCCCGAGCGAGCGCCTCAAAATGCCCCACCGCGGGACACTGATCGCCTGGGACTTGAGTGCACGGCTGTAACCCGCGGATAGCAGCCGCCGCGTCCCCCTGCCCCGCTCCGACACTCATGCACGCCCCGCTTTTATTGTTGTAGCTTGTTGGCTAACGTTAGCTATTTGTCTGATGCGTCGCCGACATGGACAGTAGAGAGGCGTCTTTGCGGCTCAGGTACCGCCGTCCCCCGCTGAAGCACGAGCAAGATGAGGACTCGGACTGCGAGGAGGGCCCGCTGTCCCTCCGGAGCTCGGAATGTCCCGGGGTGCAGCAGGTCATCCACAGCGGACACTTCATGGTCTCGTCGCCGCACATCGAGCACACGCCGAAGAAGGGCTACGACTTCGACACTGTCAACAAACAGACGTGTCAGACGTACCACTTCGGGAAAGCCAGCATGTCCCACATCTCCATAGACGCCTCCCTCACCAAGCTCTTCGAGTGCATGACGCTGGCGTACAGGTAACTGGACACTGCCCACGCGTCTTCAAGCGCACTTGAGTAAACACGCTCTTCTCCCTCCTATTCCAACTGTCACACTTTCTAAAGTCAAGTTTCCAGCACTGAGCAGCACCCACATTAGACAGCGGGCTTCAATTGATTGATTCATACGTTTTTATTTCGAGTTTGTGCCAAGAGAAAAACAATCATATACATACAGTATACATTGTAAACAACATAAAAGCACATTTCTCGAAAAGGAGATGGAAGAAGAAAAATCTTGTATTAACCCACTCCTGTTTATGACATAGTTTCAATATTGATGTGATCTCAGAACTTTATAAATATTTACATAATATAGCAAAATTAATTTCATACTATGGTCGCACAAACTAATAATAATGATAAAGAAGGCACAGAAGTTCATCTTTTATGATTGTATCAAAATAAGCAAAATGAGAATGAACAGTGTAAGCTTTTTTTTTTTGTTTATGGTCATACAAACTACTAGTAATGTTAAAGAAAACACAAAAGTTTATTGTTCATGATGGTACAAAATAAACCACAATGTGAATGAAGCATCATTTCGTATTATCCCTGTGCAATCGTGAAATATCAGGATCTGAAGATGCATTAAATGTGCACATTGAGTGGCTGCACCAGTTACATTTAAAGGGCCCATATTTTGATCTGTGTTATAATATAGTTTCCTCATCACAAACAGACCTGGAATTTTGTTTGTTTCATTCACACATTTTTAACACACACACACTGCATATTTAGGATGAGGTATTCTCTCAAACACAAAACACTTGCTTTTTCAGCATTGTACATGTAGACTAGGGCTGGGTATCATCAAGAAGTTGCCAATACGATACATACCTCAATACATAGGCCACGATACGATACATATACATACAGTGCATACAGTGCACTTTTGGTTAAGTATGATATATTTCAAATCAATTCAGTACGGTTCAGTAAAAAAACAATGGCTAAATTATGGCTGTGATACTAAAAGTCTTTGTGAAACCACTTGTGCAAAGTTCATATGAAACACGCCCATTTTAATTAGGAAAACAGTGAAAATGTCAAATGTGTTGCATAAATGAGTTTCCTTCCACTAAACAAACAACAAAACTGTAGCACTGTATCAAAATAATTTAGTAAAATATACCAAAAAAATAATCTTGGTGATGGCCCATGATATTGATAATGATAATGATGAATGGTAATGTAGACAGTCTAATAATAAAGGATTACTCAAACATATGTGAATGTGTAAAATCCAGGTATGTTTTTGAGGAAGTAGCAACATTCTAACACTGCTTAAAGTTCACAAGAGTAAATTTTGCTTAATATAGGACCTTTTAAATACATTGAAGTTGGCCAAAACGTATCCAAAGGTAGCTGGCACCAGAAGCAGCCAATTACTCCAGAACTAGAAGTTATGGAAACACTCTCTGGGAAGTTACCTAACTTTTATTATTACTGTTATAAAACGTATAAGTATAAAGTGTCTGTATTGGTGGTTTCAGATTCTAGAATGTGATGATGTTTTAGAGTCAATTTTTCCTATTGATTACATTGTACATTTCCTTGAATTTCCAAAAGTTAAATTCCCAAATATGGAACTTGAATTTTTATTATATTTTTATTATTGACTAGACCCAGGACCATGCTATATTACAACAACAACAACAACAAAATCTAAATTTGAACAGTATTCTTTTTACCTGCCCCCCTATCTGTATTAAATAATATTGGTCTATAGAATGTTGTGATGTCATCTGAAAACCAGCAGTTGTACTCAATGCTCATGCTCAAAATTGGCCGATTAAATTCACTGCTGGCTGTCTGCATGGAATTAAAAAGCTTTTTATTGGCTGAGAATCAGGAAGTGTTAACAGGCTAGCTGTTGCATTTATAAACTCATCTCTGTGAATAATTAGGATGCTTGGAATGCATAAGGGGAGTGAGGAATAACTTTGGACAACTGCAAACTGTTTGAACAGGTTCTGTTTATCACATTTTAAAACCGTAAAAAAAATCTGGCACAGTGGCTTTTAAAAGTAGAGCAGAACATTTTTCATGCAACTTTTGTGCTCAGTAATAGGCAAAGTATTTCTAAGTACATTTCCACGTGATGTCAGCTGAATCCATCCTCACCACAGTAAAATTGCAGTCACAAGCCTCCTCTTAATGTAACTTCCTACTTCAAACCATGCAGCCGGGCCTTTACTTCTGTTTCTATAGGCCCTTTGTAAACTAAGGACACTCGGTTCGAAGCACTGTCTACAATACATACTTCTTCGGCTCTTGAAAAGTATTTGCCTAAAGATATCCATCAGCCCCTCTCGTCACCTCCTCTGCTGCTCCTCCTCCGCCTCCTCCAGCTCTGGGAGCTTGCAGACTGCTCCGGCAGCATTCCTCCAGCCCTGGGACAGCCCTGGCTCTTTTTTTGCATTGTACTCTGAGACAACAGGGACCCCCCTCCATCTCCTCCTTCTCCTCTCTGCCCCGTGCGAGTATTATGCTCTGATAAGTGAGTCTTAACTTAAACATAGGCGAGCGCTGGTATTGTGTCAGCTGTCAGGGCAGAGTGAATGAACGGGGCAGCTCCGGTCAGGGCATATTTTGGCTGCGGCCAGGTGGGTGAGAGGGCAGGGTTGTTTTAGGATATAACCCGTGTACACACATAGGCTCCATTTAAAGGTACAGTAGTAGGGAGCATTTCAAAAACATGCATCCTTATTCTGAGTGGGCTTGCATTTCCACAAACCTGACTCTTATTTCCCCAGAAGTGGACCTCCTGCTTGTTTCCATGGAAATGTTGTTGTTCATTTGGCTATAATATTGCACACTTTGGCACAAAATGTGCTGATCTCCATGGAGAATGTTCTGAAGCATGGTTTAACCTTTTTATTTCCATGGAATCATACATTATTTACTTGTATAGCACAAAGAGGAACTCAAGACCAATCCAAGTCTAATGTAGGATTTAATAAAAATTTAATAAGGAAAATCTTGAATAACATCTCTCCTTTTGTCCAGTTTACTTTCCAAAAACAGGACACTTCTGTAAAATGGAGAACTTTGTATTGTTGTGATGTATTTCTTTTCTATAGTATCAGCCAATATTGCAATATCAATATTTTCATGATATATTGTGCAGCACAGCCCTGTTTCAAAGTTTATTTTATGCACACCTTTTGCTCTTGATCTAATTTTATATTTTACATGTTTTAGCTGTGATTGTCAGTAGTTTTGTCTTGCATTAAATTGCCATATTTGTGAATGTTTGGACACCGACACTGGTAGTAAAGCTTTTCTGATTCTGATTGGTGCCTACTCAGTAATTACAAGGTGTATCCGCATGACACAAGCACAGCCACAAAGTTCACTGTCTTCCCTGTCAGTGTAAATAAACAACCGTGAAATGATTTGTTTTAACTAGTCTCAGAAAGAGGCACCAGTATGGAAATTCCAGGGCTGAAATTTTCTAAATGGTTCTAGTAAAGGTGTGTGACTTTTAAAAGAACAGTGGAGCACTTCCTGTATTACCACATGATATTGCAAGGTAGAACACAGTGTTTTCAGTTTGAGTTTTTGTGTTTAACGTCTATTTTGAATATTTCTTCCAAAACACACAAATCCTCCATCTATTTACATGGAGCTACATGGAGTTACATGGAGTTACATGGAGTTACATGGAGTTACGTGGAGTTACGTGGAGTTGCGTGGAGTTGCGTGGAGTTGCGTGGAGTTGCGTGGAGTTGCGTGGAGTTGCGTGGAGTTGCGTGGAGTTGCGTGGAGTTGCGTGGAGTTACATGGAGTTACATTACCACCATTTTGCTCAGCCCTAAATGGGAGTGGATTGTGTATGGGTGTTGTGTACAGAGCTGTTTATGTTGTAGAGGATTCCCTGTGCCTCAAATGCACTGGACACTGAGCTGGATAGAGCGGGAGCACTAAGAATAAACATGTATAAGTGTGTGTGTGTGTGTGTCTGTGTGTGTGTCTGTGTGTGTGTCTGGGGGGGCTGCAGAGAGGATCTGGTGTTGTTGTGCCGACTGGACTGTACATTCTGTTGAGCAGGAAGAGGGAAAGTGCACGCTCATAACTTTAGTCCCTGGGTCACACACTCCGATTCCTCTGTGTGTGTTTATGTGTGTGAACCGAGCTGCACTCTGATTCCCCTGTGTATGTCTGTGTGTGTGTGTGTATGTGCACAGATAAATGTGAAAAGGAAAGTGTGTTTACTACCCACAGCCCTCAGGTTGCACTTTCTGACCTTGAGAAATTCTAACCACTGCTTTGCTCACTGTTTTTGCTTCTCCAAATGTTTTTTTAAGAAAGCTCTACACTCACAACTGAACCTGCAACCAGAGCCTTAACCTGCAGACAGAGGACACATCCAAGTCTCAGAACCACCAGAGTTCCCTCACTGAGCTGCAGGTGCTGGGGTTTAGGTAGTGACCATTCAGATCAGAGAGAGGCATTTAGGTTTATACACACTAGATTTCAGCGTTAAACTGGCAACCCAAGTGAGAGAGTCATGTGAGGCTCATTCTGCTTTCTGATTGGATCATCATCTTCAAGCAAAGCACCAAATCATTGCATAACCAACATCATGTCCAGTGTTTTTGTAATTACCAGTTGCAATGTTGGTTTATTCTTATCAGTAAGAAGTGTATTTGATTTGAACAAGTTTACCTTGTATTTAGGGACACTGGGTCATGGTTATCAAATCTTATATACATTTCCTTTTAAAGCACAATATAACTTTTCTGATGGAGAGTCTGCTACCTGCTTCTCTCCATGGAGATGTTTGTTTTGCCTGAAATGGTCCACGGTAGGGCATTAAACTGATCTACTGTGCAGTTGTTCAATTGGTGGGGGCTTTATGGCTCAAAACATACATTGTTTTTGTGATCCAGGCTTGCCTCTCCACAGATCTCACCTTAATTGCATTGCCTTTGGGACATTTTGGGCAAAGCTATGGCATGGGGACAAGCAGGTGGTGGACTCCTTTAAATGACTTTGTACAATGCAATAGCAATTCCATGTGAATTTTACTTCAAACTTAAGCATAGACAAATAAAGACGTTCACTTTTTTAAAATAAATTAATTCCTAAGACAATGGCAATACTTGTTAGAATGTATATATAATATAATGAATATAATAAGTATAATATAATAGTATAATATAATATACCAAATAGAGATCATTTATCAGGTCAGATTTAAATTTTAATTCAATTTAGACTGCAAAAAGCCAAGATGAAAACTGAAAACTTGACTTTGTCGTTCAAAAAGTTAGATTTTCTTAGCATTCAAGAGCAAAGGGAAGTTTAGAACATTAGAGCACTTCCTAGAGCACACAACGCCACGTTTGTGATGAGGAAACAATGTTATAAAACAGATCAGAAAATAGTCCCTAACACACAAGGTTTTCATAAGCTCCATTGAGTACATTTTGAACTTTCTGAATCATTTCATTGCAAAATCTCGTAAATCATCTGGTCTTCTGCTGCTAGTGTTTGACAGAGGCAGTCTCGTCAGCGTATTTCTGTTTATATAACCTATCCTGTACAGGCAAGAAACACATTTTCTAGCACTTCCCCAACCCAACCCCCCTCCTCTACTCTTCTGCATACTTTTGATTTCACAGTTTTTGATTGAACTGCTGCGCTTCTGTTTTTTAGTGGGAAGCTGGTGTCTCCTAAATGGAAGAACTTTAAGGGCCTGAAGCTGCTTTGGAGGGACAAGATCCGCCTGAACAACGCCATATGGAGGGCCTGGTACATTCAGTGTAAGTGTGGGTGAGAAACTTGGGCACAAGTGTATGATGAGAGTCACCTGTCAAAATACACTGAATTTTCTACACAAATATAGTCATAGTTTCTGTCAAATTACCACCTGGCCTTACTCTTGAAGATTAGTCTCATTTAGTGGTGGATTGAAACAAAGTTAATATAGTAAAGTACTGTACTTAAGTAAACATTTTTGGTATCTATACTTAACTTAAGTAAAATTTAAATTGGATACTTTTTATTTTCATTTCACTACATTATCTGTACTTCTGTACTCCACTACATTTTTGAACTGGACTGCAAAGTAAAAGTCTTTTTTTATTTTTTAACCCATTCATGGTCTGAGCAAACAAAACATACTAATAAAAATGGCTAGAAAAAACTGTCAAATCTGTTGTTTTTGTTAAACAAAGTTCAGCACAAATCTTTAACAAACTCAATACATTTGAAGCTTTATTAGGCCTCAAAATACATGCAAAATACTTTTACTTTTAACAAAAATTTTGAACGGGTACTCCAATACCCATACTTAACTAGATTTTTTCATATAATACTTTTACTTGAGTATTTTTTTGCTGCGGAATGTGTACTTTTACGTGAGTACTTCTTTCACCACTGGTTTCCTTGAGGATTACTGGTAGTTTCATTCGGGCTGTACTGCTGTAGTCTTGTAGTTGATTAATCTGTCGATGCAGTCTTAGGCCTCATTTCCGCTCTACTGTCGTACCTTCACAAAACCCGTGCGTTCCAAACATTTCTAATGTCAAGGCTGCTTTCTCTTAAACAGTCAGAACAGAAACCTCCATGTGCATCTGTAGATAGATCAAAGATCCTACATGACCCTTTAGTCAACTTAATTTGTTATTAGTTGGGTGGTGGTGGTGTACGTATGTTGCTCACCGTGTGTGTTGTGATGTTCCCCTCTTCCCTTTCTCTGTCCTATAACGCTACTTGACTCTGACAGCCGCCCGTCTTCTAAACTTTAAAGAGGGAGTATTTTACTTCTGTGGGATATTACCTGCTAACACGTAACGTATTTGCAGCTTCCGTTTTTATTGTTTTGAAAAGACACGTTTTATAATTTTCACTTTTGTTTTTGATGCTCTGAGTCCCCCCTTCCTTTGCTGTCCTTGCTATATCACTCCTCTTTCAGAACGGATACTTTGATACTTGGTGAGCTTTCATACAATTCTACTTTTGCATGATCTGAAGGTGCCTGTGGGGAGTGTTTATATTTCCCACAGTTTCTCCTGCTTTGACTTGCTGCTACTGTTAGCCACAGAGAGGCTACAAGACACAAACACCAGCTCTCACTATCAAAACATCCCCAGTCCTTCTCTGCAAACAACAACTTCTGTAAACCCAATGAGAAAAAAGAGAAATCTCGAGAACAACAGACAGATGTTCTCCAATGGGCTAAACCAGGACTGAACCAGGACTGAACCAGGACTGAACCAGGACTGAACCAGGACTGAACCAGGACTGAACCAGGACTGAACCAGGGCTCAGCCAGGCTGTAGATGTGTTCAGGATTGACAAAGGGACACCTCTATTTCCAGGGTACACAGTAGGAAGCACATAAAGGGAAAATAACTAAACTAAATACAAATACGATCAAATGCAGGTCCATGTTGGACTTTCAAACTCAGACTCTGAAATATTCTCAGACTTTCTGAGTACAAATTCTTTGAGGAGTTTTGTTCTTGGGGAGAAGCAGATTCCTGCTTCTTGGCAGCTGGTGGATAGAAGGGGAGGAGGCTGAACAGATTGTGTGTGGGGTGACTTGCATCATTCACAAATGTGATGGCTTTGCGGGTGAGGCTTTAGATTTAGATGGCAATATGCCTGGTACATTACCAAAGTTACCATTAGTTTTATTTTTTTTATATCAATATTGTATGCTTAAGCTGGGATGCCCAAATATAGTTTTTCTTCCCTAGAGCATACTGCTCAAGCTGCACTATGTACAAATCAGTTTTTTTTTGCATGCTAACATACATTTACATTTACTTTTTTTTTTCTTTTTTTGTGCTTAGATGCACTAATCACAAGGCATTTTATCAATGTCAAACCCGGTGAAAAGAGAGTGAGAAGTCACTATGTTACATGTTAGTTTACGTGCCTGTCTGAAGTGCTGTAGCTGAAATAATAAGTTTAACTCTAATGGTGCAAAGCAATTTGAGTTCTGACTGCGCTACATGCTCATGGTTTATGTTAAACATCAGCTTGGGGCAACAGGGGCAACTCTTGAGGAGTACTGTAGTAGCACAATTAGTGCAAATAGACAGAGCTTTGATTGTAGGAAAAGTGAGGATGTATCAAACATATAATGGCAATGTAATTTGAAATGTCTCCCAAATGAGGGTATGAAATGATTTTTCCATAATCTTATGGTTAATTTTACAGGTGAACAAGCATTCATAGTTGTGTGGGAGCATGGATGAACATTGTAACATGGTAGAAAGCTCCAAAAAGACACACCTCTCTTCACATCTGTCAGCCTGGCCCATCCCTAACTGTACTGCCATGTTTTCTTTTTGCCCAGACGTGGAGAAGAGGCAGAACCCCGTGTGTCACTTCGTCACCCCTCTGGATGGGAGCATAGAGATGGATGTCCATCGCCCAGCAGAGGTACATACATACTCTGGGCCTCTGCTCAGTCTGCTTCTGCCCTCAGCCCTCTCAGCTCTAATACTCTGTCCTCTCTAGGCCATCGCCAATGAGGGCAAGTGCTGGAAAAGAAGAATAGAAATAGTCATTAGAGAATACCACAAATGGAGGACATATTTTAAGAAAAGGGTGAATATTAAAATATAGAATGTAATGGTTTATCAGGCGTAGCATTATGCTGTATTTATTAAGCTTTATTTCCAGTTACAGAAGCACAAGGATGAAGACTTGTCAAGCTTACTCAAGGTATGCACATGAATGTGTACTGTTAAAGGCCCATTTTTGCTCATACTAAAGTCATTAACCCTCACTCCTACTCCACAAGAGTGGCTCTTTCTGTTTGAGTGTAATGGTAAAGGTGACATATGCTAAACCATGGTGTATTGTGTTTTTATAAACCTTACAACACTGGAGCCTGGACATGGAGGAGGCTTTCATTCAGTTCTTGCATGTTGAAGTAATATTGTATTGGTGAGCTTGTCTCTTGAGCAGATTGTAACGTTTGGTTGTGACTCTTCACCTGTGTAACTGAAACAAATGGACATTTACAAATCACTTCTCAGCCAAAGTCATGTTGACTCTTAACTCCTCACTATAGTCAGAGGACATCACACGCCTCATCCAGGCCTCTGTGTAATTTTTATTAATTTAAACAAAAAGTATGTGGAGAATACAAAAGTGAAACTTATGCGTGTCAGTCCGCCCGAGGATCAGCTGTGCTCTGGTTGGTTTGCATGCACATTTGTTTTGACTTTATATTTGAACATCGATCAGATGCGTCTTTAGTTTAGCACCGGTCTTATAACTGTGCAGCGGCTCGTGATGCAGGCCTCCATCACGCCTTAGGGTGTGTCTTACAGACCTGTGTATCACCAAAGCAGCCTGGGACCACTGTAGTGCGCTCTGGGTGGGGGTGGCTCCTCCTAACTGTTCCACGCCAAAGCGGCACCAAGAGAACCGTGCCAGTGGAAATGAGGATTTTAAAAATCTTTTCTGGTGGAGGGTATGGCACCTTCTTGTTGTTGCCATAAAAATATGAAACTTTGCATCAAATGTTCCACAGTATGGCGGTAAGGATTAATATGTAGCTTTTTTTTTCTTCTTTAAACCAAACATACCTTTGACATTCAGGCATTCTTACTATGAGTGGGATTGCCTCTCCACAGATCTGACCTGACCTCAGTCTGGTTGTACCTGCTTGTCAAAAAGCCATTCTGTGGAACATTCTTGGCAAAGCCATAGCTCTCCACCAGAAAAGTTGCACAATGCTCTTTGAAATGACTTCATGCAAGAAATTGTTCAGTGACACACAAAACTATAAAAGAGTGACATTTGTGTGAGCTTTGAGTGCTGCTCTATCATACTTTTGGTAATAAGTGCATGGCATGTAGAGATGAGATGTTGTGTTACCCACTGTTTTGGACTCATCCTGCATGTGTGTGTCGTGTGTGTGTGTCATGTGTGTCGTGTGTGTGTAACCCGGCATAAGGACCCAGAGGAGCAGTTGTGTCTGTTCGGGGAAGTGTCTCCAGACATGCTGCGTTTGCCCCTTTACCAGGATGAAGATGCAGCCATACGACGTATGCCCCGCAAAGGCCTGGAGAGCTCGCCCGCCCCCATGGAGATGGACCCGCTGTTCGACATGGACGTGCTCATGTCCGAGTTCTCCGACACACTCTTCTCCACACTGGCCTCACACCAGCACATTGCCTGGCCTAACCCCCGCGAGATAGGTGAGGGCCACAGGCTAACCCCCGGTTTGAATGCATGGAGTAATATAAGAAATGGAGTATGTATTTTGAGAGGAAAAAAGTCCCATAAATCCAGTATAAAAAGAAAGATTAAATGTACACATATGTTTATGAAGGCTTACAAATTGTTACAAATAATCTCCATGATGTCTGTATTTCCTTTTAGTGTATTTACATTTCACCTGTATAGGGTCGAATGTTTAACATTGAATACTCTTTATAGGTACTAAGTAACTGCTAACATGTTTGATTGTGCCATATATTTATATGCAGCCCTTTTATAGCCCTACTATCCTATCCTACTCTAGAGCTTCTGTCTCATGCAATAATTTTGATATTATTGTTTATCAAATATTTTCTGTGTCACATTTCCACGACAAGCCTACCTAGAACCATTTTATTTTATTACTTAAAGGTGCATAGTGAGGGAGAGTCTGCCACCTGCTTGTCTCCATTTTTGCCATTGTGGCAATCAAATCATCTTAAATTTTTTTCAGTTGCACAATTATGGAGGCACCAATACAATACTGGTATTGAATATTGGTGCTGATACTGAAACATATGAAATATATCTATCTCCATGGAGAGAGATATGTTTAATGGCTTTGCATTTCAGCTGAAGCAATAGCATTTTCATGGAAAAAAGCAATCAGAAGTTTCACATTGTGCGCTTTTAAGGCAAGCATTCTTCTTTCAGGTTTAATAGTGCCTTCATAATGTAGCCTTTCACATCTTTTAAACTGTCCACGTTCCTCCCCAGCACACGCAGGTAACGCAGACATGATCCAGCCGGGCCTCATCCCTCTGCAGCCTAACCTGGGCTTCATGGAGACGTTCGACCCTCTCCAAGGTGAGCGTAGCGTCCTCCCTCCTCACCGCAGCGCTGCACTCATGCTTCTGCTAACAGGCCTAGTGTGGTGGGACTAACCTGACAACGCTAACATAGACTCTTGTTGCAGACTTATTTCACAGCCTTCGTCCACCCGCCTACCCCTCCACCCCCCCCACTGCCACATCTGTTCCCTCTCTACCCAGCAGCATCTGCCCAGCACAGGTAAACACCAGCCCTAACACACACAGTGAGACTTCTGTGCACTGACCCAATGTATGTAGACTGTAGACAAATCTGGTCATGATGTTGGAACTAAACCCAATTTAGAACATAACATAAGGCACATAACATCACACCTAAAACTCTAATCGTTCTTAAGTAGTAGTATTAACTGTATTGTAGAATTTTGCATACAAAGTAGAAGAATCAAATCTGTTACTGTGGCAATTTAAGTATTCTTGGTCTAATAAAATGGTGGTTTGTGAAATATCAAAACACAAAACTCTAGTTATTTTTTTTATTTATTTTTTTATAATTTTTATTTGCAAACTACATAGATTACAACAAATAGGAACCAAACAATATACAAGATACAAGACAGACATTACGACTGAACATTACATACAAATAGGGACAAAGATGACAGGGGTTGGTGACAGGGTGAACCTTATGTGTGTGTATGTACGTGTGTGTGTGCGCGCACGTGCGTACGTGTGTGCCTATGCGTATGTGTGTGCGTGTGTGTGTGCATGCGCACGTGTGTGTGCATACGCGCGTGTGCCGGGGGATAGACAGGCTATGCGGATGATTTACTGTTGACCTGTATAATTGCTATTTAATTTGAGTATTGAAAATTTGTTAAGTGTGTGTTGACGTTTTGCCTCAGATCCCCACTCAAGTGGGAGCAGGCCGAGCCACACCCACGCCCCCGATGAACCACATCCTGGTCTGAATGCTCCCCCTCCCTGATATATATGTACATGTGCATACATTCACACGCACACATGCATGCACACACCTGCCTGCACAGGAACATGCACGCACATCCACATATACACACAATTCACACACATGAACCCACATTCATCCCTGGTTGACTTGTGATGCATTAAAAAAAAGTTGGGTGTGATGCATTAAAAGTATCAGGGAGGTAAGGAGCTTGGGGGTAGACCAGAGAGTGAAGCCAGCACAGAGGGGAGACCCTGAGGGGACGGGAGAGCACGCACTTGGGCACCCGTAAGCGGACCCCCACACCCAACACCCAGGCGACAGCAGAGAGGGCCCAGCCCGCTAAGGACCTGAGGCAGACAACTTTTGTGCTGTGTTCCTAAGTCTATTAAAGTACTGTTTTATATAGCCTGTCTATCCCATCCCTGTTTCTTTATAAAATGAAGAGGTGTGTATGGCATTGCGTGTGTTTGTACAGGTAGGTGTGAGTGTGTATGGGTGTGTTATGTGTGTGTGCATGTGTATGTACTCTCAGGACTTCATCTATTTAATGTCAGGCAAAAGGTGGTTGACTACCAAACAAAGAAAAGAGTTAAGGAACAAGAAGAAGAAGAATCAAATATGAAATTACATTTGTAGAAAATTGAGGAAGGTGGACCAGGGTGACTGGGGTGCTGTTGTGCTGACGGGGGTAGTAGATGTGTATTCCAGAGAGATATGGTCAATGAGTAGGTTTTTCCAGTGTGTCAGATGTATGTTGTGTCTTGATTTCCAGTTCATGAGGATAGTTGTCTATTGTTTTGAGAAGTGGAGTGAAGTTGAGTCCAGTCAGCTCTGACAGCCTGGAGGAAATGTTAATGCCCAAGTGTGTGATGTGACCGGTGCATAAAGGAATATGTGATGTATGGGCTGTCGCATCCCATTTGGTGTTGTGTAATGGGAGGATGGAGGATTTTGTCCAGTTTATTGAGTAGTCAGAGATTTTAGAGAATGATTCAATGAGGGTAATTGTTTCCTGTAGAGATGATTGTGGTTTCTGGAGTGTAAGTAAGATGTCATCGGCATAGAGATTAATTGTATGTTGCTTAGTTGTATGTTCTTACGGATGGCTATTGCGAGTGGCTCAGTGAAAATGGTGAATAGGGAGGGGGGAGAGTGGGCATCCTTGCCTAGTCTCTCTGTGCAGTGTGAAGTGTTGTGATGTTAGACCATTAGTAATGACAGAGGCTGAAGGTGAAGTGTACAACATTTTGATCCAGTTAATAAATGATTCCCCAAAGCCAAATTTGTGTAGTGGCGAAGAGAAATTTCCAGTTTACCTTGTCAAATGCTTTTTCTGCATCTAAGGTTGCTATGATGGCGTCTTCTTCTTGTAATGATGAGTAGTGGATTAAATTGAACAGTCTGCATGTATTATTAGATGCTTGTCTACCTTTGATGAAACCTGTCTGATCTGGGTGAATTTTGTGAGGGGTGACCTTTTCTATTCTATGGGCGAGATAGGGCGGTAATTTGATGGTAGGGTGTGGTCTTTATTCGGTTTGGGGAGGAGTGAGATAATAGCTAAATTAATGTGTTCTGGAAATCTGGAATTTTGTTTGATTTCAGTTATTGCGTTGGTGAATAGTGGTGCTAAAATGGACCAAAAGTGTTTATAGAACTCAGCAGGGAAGCCATCGGGACCGGGTGCTTTGTTGACGGCTGTGGAGAGATCTTTTTCTGTTATCGGTGAATCTAACATACTAATCTGTTCTGTATTAAGTTGTGGTGTTTTGATGTTCCTGAGAAATTAGTATATGTCTTCTTGTTTTGGGTCCTGTTCAGATGAATATAATTTTTCATAAAAATTTCTGAATATTTCATTTATTTCCTGTGGTGAGTAATCAAGCTTCCCTGCTGAGTTTCTGATGGTGGGAATTGTATTTTTTTCTTGATTTTGTTTGATTTGATTTGTCAGATATTTACCAGATTTATTGTTGTGATGAAAATGTTCTTGTCGAAGTCTGTGAATTAAGAATTGTGTTTGTTTATTTGTTATGTTATTAAGTTGGAGTTGATATTTCCTTAAGTCATTCTGAGTTTCTGTTGTTGAATTATTAGTGTTTCTAATTGCTTGATCTTAAGTTCTAGACTTGCTTCTTTTTCTTTTTCTTTCTTTTTTTTATGGACAGAAAATGAAATTATTTTACCTCTTAAAACTGCTTTGCCTGTTTGCCAGAGAAGTGTGGATGATGACTTTGTGGAATCATTTATTTCTAAGAAGGATGCCCACTCTCTTTTGATATAACTGTCAAAATCTGGGTCATTGAGGAGGAATAGGTTGAAAAGCACCATCTAGGGGCCTGTTTATGTTGCTTGTTTATGTTCCATGTAATTGTAACTGGAGCATCGTCACTGATGATGATAGGGTGAATTCTTGATTCGGAAATGTCTAATATAACGGAATTACTGGTCAGTAAGAAATCAATACGGGAGTATGAATGATAGACCAGTGAGTAAAAGGTGTATTCTCTGGTGGTTGGGTGCTGTAATCGCCAAGACCAAAATCCTTCATGTACTGTTTTACTATTTCAGTAGATTGCGAGATGCGTTTGTTGTTTGTGTTATTGGAACGGTCAAGTGATGGGTCTATGATTGTGTTAGTCACCTCCGATTATGACTGGACAGTTGGAGATGTTTGAGATGGAAGAGAAGAAGGAGTGGAAAAAGAAGGGTTATCTGTATTTGGGTCGTAGATATTACCAATTGTTACCGGGCTATTGTTGATTAATATTAATAATAACAAAAAGCCCTTCAGGGTCTGTGATAGTTGTATTGTGGATAAAAGCAATTTTTTTGCTTATTAATATGCTCACGCCTCTTTGCTTGGAATTGTAATGAGAAGAGAAGGAGTGGGTGAATTCTGAAGGTTTTAATTTGTGGTGGTCTATATGTGAGAGATGGGTTTCTTGTAATAAACAGATGTCTGCCTGTAGATTATGAAGATAATTGAGTATTTTTATTTTCTTTGTCTGGGAGCCAATGCCACGAATGTTCCAGGATACAATTTTAAGGGAAGCCATTTAAAGAGATTATTAGACCATGTACTGATTATTATATGTCCATGTACTGTGTCCATGCATGTCTGTGCGTGTACTTGTCGGCTATGTATATGTGTGTCTGTGTGAGTGCTTGTGTGAGTGCGTGTGTGCGTGTGTGAGCGCACGTGCGTGCTGGTATGATAACAAAACAAGATGACACTGAGGGAAAACGAAACAGAGGGAGATCAAAACAGACGAGACAGACAAAAAGAGCCAATGATAGAGTGATACAGTGTTGATCTGAGTGCATATTTGAGGTGAAGTGAAACAAATAAGATACGGAGAGGGAGGGGGCGGGAACAACGCTAGTCTTAGGGCATAGTCAGTAGTATTTTAGAATAGCCAGCGGGTAATGTCTTTGTCTCGAAATATCTGTCCATCGATGTATAATCTGTCCACTGAGATGACCACTTTCTTACCGTCTTTCAACATCTGCCTGCGTATGGGGAAGATCTGTTTGCGTCGGAGATTAATTTCTGGTGGGTATTGTCCATTGAGTCCAAAGTCCGTTCCTTTCAGCTGTCTGTCTTGCCGCTGTACCAGTTCCTTGTGCCTGTAATGTTCGAATTTTGCGATGATGGGCCAGGGTCGGGTGGAGTTGGGTTGTTTCTGTCCTAAACGGTGAACTCGGTGAAAGGTGAACTTGTTGACAGTTTCCACGGGGAGTTTGAGTTGTTTTACCATAAAATCCTTGACTACTGCTTCAGGTTGGTCCGTAGGTGATTCGTGAATGCCGGTGAAGATGAGGTTGTCTCTCATGCTGCGCGCTTGTAAGTCCAGAATAGTTCTTTCATGAGTTTGTTTTTGGTAGTGACAGATGCAAGTTGAGAGGTGACGGCGGATAGCTGGGTGGAGATCTTCTTGACCGTGTGATGAAGTGATTTGTTATCTTGGGTGAGAGTATCTATCTGTTGCTGGCTGAATTTCAGGCTATGGCGGAGGTTTTGGAATTCTTTGTGTAAAACTTCTATCAGTGAAATTCTATTGTCCAGTGCGGTGAGTTTATTGTCAATGGAGATGAGCATGTCTGTTATCTCGGTGCCACAGGATAGTTTAGGTGGATCTGATGTCAGTGAGGAGGCAGATGAGTCGGAGGAGTTGGATGTACGTGGTTTCTTTGATTTGTGGTTATCGGACATAGTGCAGAATCTGTTGGTAGTATTTGTCAATGTAATCCTCTAAATGGTCCAGGTCGGTAAATTGAATGTGATTTGAAGTAAAAAGTAAAAAAGTAGCTTAGATTCTTGCTGTTTCTTCGTTGGTTCCTGTGTGTTGCTTCCGGGTTCCGTGACGTCTGCTTCCGGGTTCCGTTCCGTAACTGTAGTTATTGATTGATTTATTCAAAATTGAGCTTTGACGACAACTGTATTTCTGTTTGTAAAACAGGCATCAGCGCCTTCCTTCTCTGAGGAAACTGCCCTTCTAGATAGAACTGTGATGGCACTGTTTTATAAAACGTCATAGGATTCTAAAAGACGTCCTCTAAACTCTGAGTTTCAGCTGCTTCCCTCTGGTTAGAGGCTTTTAAGATCTTTGCTTTCCAAGATCTATAACGAATCGTTTTAAAAGGAGCTTCGTTCCAGCCGCTATCATTCTTATGAATAAATTGTAATCTATTTATTTATCAATTTTAGCACTCTGTATTGGAAATTTGTGTTTTTTCTGTATTTACTATTTATTGTGATTTTTATCCAAGCGTGATGAATGAATGAATTATTTATTGTCAGGTTTAAACCCACCTAAACATTGTAAAAACAAGAAGTAAGACAAGAGATTAATCAGGTTTTGATCGCGAGGAGAACGGCCAGAGAGTGCATTCAATTAGAGCAGTCTCCACTCGCCCCGATGCACTCAGAGCTGTCTCCTCTTTTTATTTCCTTAGGTGGTCCCTAGTTTACAATGGGTGTTTCTTTGCTCTAAAGGGAGGGGGTGAAAACAGCAGAAACACCAGACAGCATTATTCATTGTACAGATATGTATGACCAACAGCAGGTGACTGGCAAGATGCAACTATGTATCATTCAGTAGTCAGGGAGTCGTAGGGACAGATCCTTCCCTGCAACCTTGACAACAGTCTCTCCCAGCAGAGCGTTGCGTCAGCTCTTGTGCAAAAACCGTTCTGTGTTTATTGTGTTTATTGTGTATATTGTGGATGAGTGAAATGTGGGACCAGCCTCTCAAATATGCAAAACAAATTTACCTGCGGGAACAAATAAAGTGACCTAACTAAAATGCACTATGTACCTTTTCTAGTATACTACCTTTTTCAACATGTGTAATGACACTGAATGCAATATTTTGAGTAAAATAAATTACCTAATATTTATATTCATAAAATAAATGAATGAAACAAGCTGAAGCTGTTTAGCTTTATACCTGCTGCTTATGATGAGCTGTTTTCATCCTTGCACTGTACTCTGATCCAGGCGCAGCTGCTTTCCTCCATGCAGCTTCCCCCTGAGCAGATGCACCCTCCCGGCCCCCTGCTCCTGTCCTCCCCCATGTCCAGTCCAAGCGCAGGCCCCAGCAGAAGAAGTACCAGCACCGACTTCGCACCCAGCTACATGCCTCTTTTCCCGGAGCAGGGTCCCCCCAGCGCCCAGCCCCTCTCCTCCGGGCCCCCCACTCTAACCCACGACCCTCTGACGCAGTGCCTTCCGCCCCCAGACCTGTCCTCCCCCGCCCCCCCTCGCGCTCCGTCGCTGGAAAGGACAGTTCTGAGCGACACGCACACGGCCGTTCAGGCCACCAGCACTGCCCACAATGGAGTTCCAGGCTCGGACTATGGCTCTATATCAGCACAGCCTCAGCTCCCACCTCTAGCCCCGATGCCCTCCCCTCCTGTGCCCCAGACCTTTGCCCTTCCACAGCCGTATCAGCCCGTCAGTGCCAACAAAAACCGTCCGGTGAAACGCATCGCTCCGGCCAATGCGCTGCCCGCTCCACACCTCATTCTCACAGGTAAGGGGCTGCTCTTTATGGCTGTGTTGACTTAGTGCAGCAGTTTGTGGTATCTCTTTTGTTCCTGCCTTTTCATGACCACTGAGTCACATTTCAAACTCCACATGGAAAGGCAAATGAAACAGCCACTCCTTAATACTGCAGCTGAAACACAAATATTTCTCTCATTATATTGCTTTTTGAACGAATGGTGTGAATAAGTATAAAAGCACGAATAGCACTCAAGTGAGTCAAACCTCTAATTATTTGTCACTTCTATTATGGTCCGATTGTAAACATACCGTATTTTCCGCACCATAGGGCGTGCTCATAAGCCTCCAACCCCATCAAAAAACGACTGCGCACCCGCAATCCAGAGCGCCCTATGCACAAATCCACTTGAGTGTCCCAGCACGACTTCAGTAAACTACAAAGCCGCAGCACACGCAGAACACACAAACACACACGGAGCAGACAGCGACCGCGCAGCGAAAAACATCCACCAGACACACTCATCACTCCACGCTGACGAGGAACGGAACAGAGGAATGAACCGAAAAAGCAAGTGCAATGTGCCACTTCTAGACACAACTGAACAACTGAGTCACTGCGAACACACCGACAATCCGTTGGTCCCAGACAGCACCCTCCCTACACGCCACAACTGAACAAAGCCCAGAGTCACCGTGAACGCAACAAACAAAGTCCCACTGACCTATCTAACTGTTGTGTTTAGTTTCAAGTCCAGTGCGGTTTATTTGTTAAAAAAGTTTAAAAATAGACCATTTAATGACAGTGCGCCTTATAATCCAGATCGCCCTATAGTGTGGAAAATACGGTATTCCTTTGGTGTGTGTAAGGTTATGATATAAAACCTAGAGATGGACAATAATAGAGAAATAATACAGTTGATAAAAATTGCTAGTGACATCACATTTCAAAGCATTAGGTTAATAACCCCTTAGACAATCAGATGCTAAAGCAAATCCAACTCCACTCTGCCATCTCAGTCTTTGTCATTGTTGCCTACATCGTCAGAGGTGGAAGCATAGCCAGACTAGACTGGACTGAATTGGAATGGACAATACTGTCACAATCAGTTATACTTCAAGGAAAAGCCATTGGTTTCTTTGGATTCTCTGTATTGCATGCAAAAAAAGGTTTATCTCTAATAAAAACACATGGGTAGTAGATATAACTTGTAAAATCTTGTGCTCTGTGCTTCAGGTTCTTTCTCCAGCCATCCCAACGCTGTGATTGTGACCCCCACACACCTGAAGGCCGAGGTGGTCCCAAGCACTGGAGTGGTCATAGCCTCCTCTTCTCTGGCTGGGGTAGGTCTCTCACTGGACAGTCCAGTGATACCCAATATAATGAATACATCTACATGACATAGTGTAGTGAAAGCCTGCACAAGGCTCATTCCACAAACCCATGTCACCCATGCTCCTGCACAGAAATTTCTCATAAATCTACAAAAACATGATACAAAACTGTACACAGCAACTTGAGAGACCTAATGTGATGTGTTGTAGTTTCATTAGTGGGATGCACACTGATTGTGTTGTAATAGTGCTCTGAAATAGAAGTGACTGAGTGCAGAGAGCAGGGGGTATTCAGAGCATCAAAAATGTAACTACTTACTTATGTTCAGTGTTGGGAAGGTGACTTTTAAAATGTATTCCCCTACAGATTACAGATTACATACCCCAAAATGTAGTTTGTAACATAATCCATTAAATTACTTAAAGTGAGTAACGTAATCTGAATACTTTGGATTACTTGATATTGTCATGCTTTTGAAAACAACATGAATGTATCAACCACATCTTGAAAATTCTTGTTTGTTCTCTTCAAATTGTCTGTTGAGCCCAAGTCTCCATGAACAGACAACTGTTTACTGTAGAGAAGTAAAGACCAGGAAATCTTAACATGAGATATTTGTTTTGTCTGCTAAAAGAAAATAAAAAGCCCTGTCTTTACTTAAGCATTTAAAAAATATTATTGATAGAGAAATGATTTCTATATGAAATCACTGCTGCCTTAAATTATGTCCACCTACTGTTAGGTGTCATATTGTCTAGACGAGGTTTAGTCCTGCTTTTAGACCTGGTTTAGACCTGGTTTAGTCCTGGCGTAGTCCTGGCGTAGTCCTGGCGTAGTCCTGGCGTAGTCCTGGCGTAGTCCTGGTGTAGTCCTGGTTTAGTCCTGGTTTATTCCTGTTATATTCCTGTTGTAGTCCTGATGTAGTCCTGGTTTAGTCCTGGTTTAGTCCTGGTTTAGACCTGGTTTAGACCTGGTTTAGACCTGGTTTAGACCTGGTTTAGTCCTGGTTTAGTCCTGGTTTAGTCCTGGTTTAGCCCAAAATGTGAAAACAGGAAAATACCGCCGTGTAATCCATTTATTTCAACAAAGTAACTGTAATCCAATTACCACTCACTGAAACAGTAACTGTAACTGAATACAGTTACTCATAAATTGTACTCTGATTACATAATCCCAGTTACATGTAATCCATTACTCCCCAACACTGCTTATGTTAATACAGTTTTCAGCAAACACAGCATTATCAGAACAATAAAAGTTAACATGGTGATCTACATAAGTTCTGTGTTCGCGATGAATACCCCACAGAAGTGTAATACCCCACTTTAATGCCATATGAGGTCACACTGTGAAATCTGAGCATTATATGTGTATTATCTTTCCCCCTGTAATACAAACTTGACAATGTTTTCTCATATGTTCTAGTCTCCAAACTTTAACGTGGTGTCTCAGCCGCAGAACTCCCCACAGCCCTTGATACAAACTGACACCTGCTTTTCTTCCAGTCACAAAAGCTCCAGAGCCTCACCCAGTGCTGGTAAGAGATCCTGCTGTCGTGTCTCGTGTCACTCTTTCAGCAATAAGGCACTGTATCTGTAGGTGCCAGTTGGGCAAAGGCTTGTACTTTTAACTGTCAGTTTTATCAAACCATACTGACTAGACTCACACTGCTCCAAGAAGTATATACATAGTTTAACATAAAGGCCTCCTTTGTCTGAACAGCTCACAGTCGGTCGGGTTCCGGCTCCCCCTGTGGGTTAGACCAGGTGCCAAGTCCTCAGTCTTCTATCAACAACAGTGGCTTGCCACTAGTTAAGAATGAACAGCATCAGGTTTGTCTGCTTAATACAGTAAGTAATGCACCTGTACCTGCTTATGTTTTGAGTGTATTTTAGTACATTTGGACTCTAGTAAAATCATGTTTCTAATATAAATAAAATGTGTAATTTGTGTGAAAACTGGACCCTATACTACAATGCTTAATTAGAGTGTTAGCGAGGTAACTTTGGGCTTAACTCTGGTTTAAGGCCAAAGTTAAAACCGAAGTTACCTCGTAACTTTGGTAAGCAAGGTAACTTTGGGCAAGGTAACTTTGGGCTTTGTGATTAGCACTGCTACGAAGCTGGATCACAATGCCCTGAACTTAGAACCTGCTTCAGACCAAGTTAAATTCCAGAATAACATTATAAAACAGTTCTTTGAACAATCAGAATTGCATTCGATTCATGGTGCTATATGATATTCATTTCCTCTGTAATGTAACTAGCGTGGGCGTGATTGATCGCCACGGGCCGACCATACAGTACTGCTAGAACTGTGTTTCCTTTGAATTACATTTGATCTCTTAATTACTCATATTTTCTGTGATTATGATTGACTGTGTCTGTGAAGTACTCCGCTCTTCCCTTCTCCATTGTTTTAATTGGGCGGCTGGTGCTGACCCTGCCCCCTGTTCTGTGAGTACGCACAGCTTCAGTCACAAAATCCAAGGTTGACTAAGCAAGTTGTGAAGCCACTCCCTAATACCCCTTATCCACACAGACTAGCATCCAGCGTCACTGTATAGGAGAAACTTACCTTAAGTTTAAGTTTAGCCAGCTTCCTAGTACAGGCATCTGGAGTATAAATAAAAAAATAACCTTCATCTAGTAATATTCAGTCTGGTGTATTTAAGAATTTGTTATTCCCATTCTCTAAAGCATGTGTTTGGTTGACAGGGCCGCAGGTCTACACACATCTCTGCAGAACAGAAGAGACGCTGCAACATCAACAACGGCTTTAAAACTCTCTGCACCCTGGTGCCCCCACTCAAGTCCCAGTCCAATGTAAATCTGAGACTTTTTCCTCTTTACTCTGGCATTCATGTTTAGAAAGGTTTAGTAACAGCCCAGTATGCTCACAGAAGTGTGGACTGCTTTTGTCTGTTTGTACAGATCAGTAATGCTCTAGTCTGGTTGTGTGTTTGTACAGATCAGTAATGCTCTAGTCTGGTTGTGTGTTTGTACAGATCAGTAATGCAGTCACACTGCAGAAGACTGTGGAGCACATTGGGAAGCTGCAGCAGGAGAGGCAGCAGATGCAGGAGGAAGTGCGCAGGCTCAAGGAGGAGATCGAGGAGCTCAATGCGTCCATCAGGTCAGTGTCTTCTGCTCTCCTGTCTCCCCCTGTCTCCCCCCATCTGCTCCGTCTGCCCCTGTCTGTCTGCCCCTGTCTGCTCCCGTCTGCTCCCGTCTGCTCCCGTCTGCTCCCGTCTGCTCCCGTCTGCTCCCGTCTGCTCCCGTCTGCTCCCGTTTGCTCCTGTCCACAGTCTACACAGGCCCATAGTGTCACGTGTTTACAGTTTTACTCTTTACTCTCTTCCAGCTCATGTCAGGAGCAGCTCCCTGCCACTGGAGTCCCTGTCACACGCCACAGATACGATCACATGCAAGAAAAGTTCAATGAATACGTCAAGATGCGAACGCTGCACAACTGGAAGTTCTGGGTTGTATCCTTCGCTAAAGACTTAGTGTGCACATGTGGAAAAGTGGGCCGCTTAGAACTCTGTCTCCACTACTACACCTGGTGGTGAATACATGTGCATGCTTCAGGCATTTGTATGAATATAGACAATGATATATGGTGATATTTAGTGCTGCAAATACCTGGATGTTTTCCCCTGGGTATTTCCCAGATCTGGTTGTGTACCCTGGTGGTGTTTTTTTTCTCGTTTTCTGAATGTTCCATGTAAAGCCTTGACCTTCTCCACTGCAGTTCAGCATCATAATCAAGCCGCTGTTTGAGTCGTTTAACGGCATGGTGCTGACCACGAGCCGGACCGAGCTGTGCCAGACCACACTGCAGTGGCTTGACCGACACTGCTCCCTCCCAGCACTCAGGCCCAGTATGTACTCTCTTCATTTGGTCATAGTCCATGTACAGACACACTAACTCATTCTGCTGTCTGATTGGAATCAGATAATCATTAAAAGCAACTTTAACCTCTTTACAAATGTATTTCTTATTCCTTATTCTAGTTCATGAATATTGATCTGTCCTCTCTGTTTCAGTGGTGCTGAGTACACTTCGCAACCTGTGCACAAGCACGTCCATCCTGTCTGAGCCCACCCTGCTGCCTGATGAAGCTCTGAAGGCTGTGTCCCAGGCAGAACCCTAGACTGTGTGTCCCAGCATGCACCTCCTCATCCAGTCTTCCTCCTCTAGACTCAGTATCCCAGCATGCCTCACCTCCTCCTCTGGGCTCAGTATCTCAGCATGCCTCACCTCCTCCTCTGGACCCGGTATCCCAGCATGCACTACTTCCTCTGGACTCCAAATCTCAGCATGCACCTTCTCCTCTGGACCCAGTATCCCAGCATGCACTACCTCCTCTTGACTCCAAATCCCAGCATGCACCTCCTCCTCTGGACCCAGAACCCCAGCATGCACCTCCTCCTCTGGACTCAGAATCCCAGCATGCACCTCCTCCTCTGGACTCAGGATCCCAGCATGCACCTCCTCCTCTGGACTCAGGATCCCAGCATGCACCTCCTCCTCTGGACTCAGAATCCCAGCATGCATCTTCTTCTCTGGACTCAGAATCCCAGCATGTACCTCCTCTTCCAGTCTTCCTCCTGTGGTTCAGAGGGCTTGCTGCTTCTGTTCGATAAGTGAAGCGAAATCGCACATAGCTTTTTAATTTTAATTTAATTTAAACTTGTATCTTCTTGTCTGAGGGAATGATTTTCAGATTTGAAGTCAGAATGATCGCCTTCAAATATTTAAAAGACTTAGTGCAAAAAAGGGAAGCTGTTTTTATATCTCACTCTTTGTATGGGGTTATGTGGATTTTTATGGTTTACCAACTACCAAAATGTTTTCTATTGGATTGTGACATTTGACACGATTCAGAAACATATGAGCTTTATTTTATAATACATCCCTTATCTGCTCAGGGGAATCGTTAACTAGTTTTGCAGTTTTTAAATCAGTTTTTTCATATGCTTGAAGAAAGTGTACAACCGTCACATGTAGGGCTGGGTACTGCCAAATATTTTGATACCTGTACTTCAACACTACTAAAAGTCCCTTTGACAGGACAGTGAACTTTTCCTGAATGTCTTTAGAATGATCTTGAGCTGGATCAGAACAAGTATAAGAGCACTTAGCCTAGTATACGCCTGAGGGATTACACGGATATAAAGCCAAATGGGAATAGAAAAGAAAGTACTACCATCTATCCATGTTGAAAATCACATTCTATTGTGATATCACTGTGGTATTAGAAACAATATTGAGTATTGAATCTATTTATTAGTATCGCAATTTTAGTATCGTGACAACACTACTAGTGAGCAGTAGGGAGGAAATGAAGTTTTCAAAATTCAAAAGATTCATGTATTTTTCAGTACTACAGAGGTTTCGTGAAATGGTACCCAGCCCTGCTCTTTGGGGACTCCAATCACTCAGGGCTAAATCAGGTGAGAGGATCGTCTCCTCCGCAATGAACAAATCAATCAGGATTCTGATTATGGTACATGCACACTCCATTTTTACACTAATCCAATGAACAAGAGCCATGTAGGATCTGTTTAACCATCCAGTCAAATGGTATGTGACTAGAAGCATTATCTTAGTAATAACATCAGTGTAAATGGTGCTCTCATCGTTACAGGACTGAAATGTGGAACTGACTGTTGAACATCTTTGAACGTGGTTACAAATATTTGCCATTTGGAGTTTTAAGTCAGTTCACGAGTGTGGAATTAAAAAGTCGTATTTAAAGGAACTGTATGTAAGATTTGAAATTCCATATATAACTGTGTCCTTCAGGGTTCCCACGGTCATGGAAATTCTGGAAAAAATTTAATTTTCTAGGTCTGGAAAAGTCATGGAATTTTAGTATCTCATTCACACAACTACAGCATTCTGTTAAGTTCTCATGAGGCTATTCTGATTATTTCCGAATGTATGCACCTTTTGTTTAAAAAAGATGGCAATAAATGCACTGACAGTATTTTGAATGTTAAAAAATTTTATATTCAGCCCCAAAAGTATGATAAATTCTATACATGTAGGGTGCCATACAATCATGAAAAATTCACTTAAGTTCATGAAAAAGTCCTGGAAAAGTTTTGAAATTTTGTTAGTAAAAAAGAGTGGGAACCCTGGTGCTTGGATAAGAGGTAAACATGTTCAAATCACATATTGCTTTTACTGTTAACAATTCTAAATCTGATTTATTATCTGACCAGAAAGCAGAATGAGCCTCACGCGAGTCTCTCATTTGGGTTGCCATTTTTAGTGCTAAAATCCAGCTGGTTTAAAACTAAAATGCCTCTGTCTAATAAAAATGGTCACTACCTAAACCTAGCACCTGAACCAGTCATGAACCAATATTAGTGCAATGCAGTTGGCTATATACTGTCCAGATAATGAAAAAAACTTGTATGTATCCTCTTTTTACAGGTTTAGTGGTGATTGTAGTACCTTTTTAAAACTGGTCAGACTATATACAGTTCCTTTTAATTAATATCCCTCCGCCTAATCAAAAGCAGCCTTAGTCCAGTGCACAAAGTGTCCTTCCTCTCTGGGTTCTTGCACTATGGTGAGTTTACATGAATGTACAGCGCAGCCTTCCGCACCTGTTTTCAAAGTGACTTGGCTCTGAATTATTTTTAAAGTGAAAACAAAGACGGTGGTCACTTAATTGAATGCCGCTCCTCCATCGTAGTTGTGTTTTGTACAGATAGTTGTGTGTTAGCTCTGTGTTTGGCAGTTTGATCTCTGCCCATGTGTAGTCAATAAAAAAAAACTTGTATATGTCATGAAAATTAAACCTATTTTCTTAAACGTCATGTATTGTATCATGTGTACTCAAAGCTTCAACATATATAAAGAGAGATGGGTATTCTGTTCCAGTTACTCAAGTACATTTGTATGAGTAACTTGTGTAAGAGTCTTGGATTGAATGGACCTGTTGCAATTAAAGAGCCAAATCAAATTAAATACATCTTGTACTGAGAACAACTGTAGTGCTGATATATTACACAAACCTGGTTGCCAAGCTGTTTGTTATAATGTGTTTTGGAATGAGCCTCACGAGCCTGTCATTTGCATTACCAGTTTCAATACTGAAATCCAGTTGGTTTAAACCTAAAATGTCTCTCTCTGATCTGAATGGTCACCACCTAAACCCCAGCCCCTGCAGCCAGTCATGAGTCATTGCTAGTGCAGCTTCTGCAGCTCAAGGAGGGAATTCTGGAGGTTCTGAGCTTTCAGAGGCCTGTCCTGTCATATACTGAGAATGAGACAGACGTGTATGTGTCCTCTGTCTGCAAGCAGTGTTGGGAATGTTACTTTTAAAATGTATTCCCCTACAGATTACAGATTACATACCCCAAAATGTAGTTTGTAATGGAATCCATTAAATTACTTAAGGTGAGTAACATAATCTGAATACTTTGGATTACTTGATTTGCTGTAGAGAAGCAAAGACTAGGAAATCTTCACCTAAGGTGTTTTGTCTGCTAAAAGAAAATAAAAAGCCCAGACTTGACTTAACCATATAAAAAATTTTATTGATAGAAGAGGAGGAGACACGGTCCAAGTGGCATGCTTTAGTCCTGTTAATTTGTGTTTTAGTCCTGTTAAATCCTGGTTTAGTCCTGGTTTAGTCCTGTTAAATCCTGTTTTAGACCTGGTTTTAGATCTGGTTTTAGACCTGGTTTAGTGTCCGGCAATGAGTGGAATTACGGGGGAAAAAAATTAAAATAAGGGGGATATCGCCCAAAATGTAATAACAGGAAAATACCGCAGTGTAATCCATTTATTTCAACAAAGTAACTGTAATCCAATTACCACTCACTGAAACAGTAACTGTAACCAAATACAGTTACTCATAATTTGTACTCTGATTACGTAACTCTGGAACATGTAATCTGTTACTCCCCAACACTGTTTGCAAGTTTAGGCTCAGTTGTGGCTATAGTAGGCCTACAGAGACAAGCTCATTATCCGCAGTACACTGTTCCTCCACTGGGTGGCAGTAACGGCGCGGGTCATTAGAGGTCATGGATGCCACAAACCAAGCGCAGTGTGGACACCTGGATCTATGAAAGTGTGGACATGCGGACTTCTACATCAGGTTTGGTACGTTACGACTCTTTATATAATGGTACAGTTAGGGGAATGCCAAGTAAATAGTCAGTATTTGTAGAACATTTATCTAATGTTATTGACCAGTTTGGAATAATATGTGTTTCCCATTCTTCATGTTGTAAGTGAATGGCATACTGCGCATGCGTACTGTAATGACGTTCTGCATGAGTAACTAGCTACCACCTTCACGCAGTAAAGTTGATCTAGGAAATCTTAACCCAGTTTCTTTATTATTACACATCCAACAGTATTTGAAATAGTATTTGGTGTAGGCGGCGTAACTGTTCCAATGAACTGACTCATGTTAAGGGGAAAGTGCACGTGTGACGCGGACACGGGCCAAAAACTATATGTCATGTGTCTTAAGTATGAGTCACGGTACTTCAAAGTAAAACTCAAGTGAAAGTACAAAAGAATGGTCCAAGAAATGACTCAAGTAAGAGTATTAAGACATTTGGGAAAACTACTCAAGTAAAACTAAGTAACTTAAAGAGTAACTTTTGGGACGTGACATCTGATTTGTAATTTAAAGTGGAATATTCTTTCAAGTTTCCAAACATGAAATAATGTTCAAAATTATGTATATTGAAAGGACAGACACAACAATTATACAAACTAAATCATATCTGAAGGAGCTCTGTAAGAAACACAAATGTTCAAATCATTTCATATTGTCACATAAAGCTTTTGTCACTTGTAGATTTACTCACAGTGGGAAGAGGAAACACGACTTTTACTCAAGTAAGAGTACTGTTACATCACTGAGTAAATATTACTCAAGTAGAAGTAAAAGTATTCTGCAATTTCTTCAAAAAGTTGTTCAAGTAAATGTAACTGTACTACCCACCTGGACTGGTCTTAGATCTGGTACAGTCCTGGCTGCAGTACGAAAGATATAAACTCATGTCACCATAGACCAGAGGTCTCCAACTTTTGTCCTCTGCTGAACTGCTTTACAAAACAAAAATACCAGAGAGCTGCACATTTCAGCGGATGCAAGAATCTGAGCCACAGCCATAGACGGAACAGTGAGATGTCTATGAAACATACACCATTATCCACTCATCAGTGAGAGTAAAGAGTTAAAAGCATCAGAATGATACATTTACAATGGTAATAAGGATTTATTTAACCAAATTGTAGTTCTTCAGCACAATATGTATCATTCAGAAATCCCTTGGTGAGCGCAGAGCTACGGGTACCTCCCAAACTACAGGCTGAAGGCCCCTGCCGTAGACCCATAGATTTTCACAGAATACCTGTACACTGATGCAGTATAATTTATCAAATAAATAACATCTTAAATATGACAATAAATAAGTAAATACATAAATGTGATAGTCAGCTGAATGCAGTACTGTTGCAGTTGCTTGGGTATTTGTACTTTGTCAAATACACAAGCCACTTTCTGATGGAGAAAAGTATTTTGAGGCCCAGTTCTTTTTGCTTGTACCCTGTCTTAGGCATGGTGAAGATTCTCCTCTGGCACTCCCCCTCCTGTGGTGTATTTAGGGTCTGTCTGAAGACGTGGGAAAAGTCTGTGAGGTTCCCCAGGATGCTGTGCGTGTTCTCGGTTCTGCTCTTCACGATGGCGGGTAGGAGATGGTCTAAGCACTGGGACACAGTGCACCAAGACTCCAGCATGGCACTGCTGTTTGTGGACAGACTCACTCCGCTCACAAGCTCCCAGGTCTCTGTGCTGTACTTCTCTGGACGTCGGCCACCGTAAACATACATCACCTACAGGGGTACAAATCGTGTGAGTACAGGGAGGAAAAATGGATAATATCTCTTGTTTGAGATATAAAACGAGAGTCTTGAGAATATTGTCTGTAACAGTGGTTCCTAGCGTGAGGTCTGAGGCATTGCAGTGGTGCCTCAGAGGTCCACAAAGCAGGAAATTCTGATTGAAATCAACTTTACTTAAATGCTTTGTTTCTTTCACACATGTTGAACACACAAACCCTGCATATTTAGGCTGAGATCTTCTCTCAAACAGAAAACACTCTGTTCTACTTTGTGATGTCATGTGGTAATACAGGAAGTGCTCCATTATGTTTTTAAACTCCATACACCTTCACTAAAGTCATTTGGATAATTTCAGCCCTGGAATTGACAATCTCTACTAAACAAAAGGTAAACATAGCTGTTAACTTGAAAACTACCACTTCATGATATCACAAGGTGGAACAGAGCATTTTGAGCTTTGGAAATGTAGACAGTTTAATAATAAAGGATTACTCACACATGTGTGAAGGAAACAAAACACAACTCCAGGCTTAAAGCTCACAAGAGTCCATTTTGCATATTGAACTTTTGAAGTGCGTATGAAGGGTTGAATGACTCATTTTACTAAAACACAGTTAACATCATTATTTTGGAATACTTTACCAAAAACCATATAATCTTTACCCCAGTGTGGCCATTTTCTTAGGTTTCATGACATCACACGAAGTATATTGACAAATAAAAATATAAGAAAGCAACTTTGTTATGTGAAATCATGAAAATCTTGTTTAGTATCAGAAATAATGTAATTTAATTTCTGTAATTTTCACCATATTTTTCATCTTTTCTTTACAAGTTGTTTCTTGATTGGTATAAAACTATCATTTATATTTACAACAGGTGTTATCCCATCAGATGAAGTCATGCACACACAAGATAATGGTTTACGGGTACTACTTTATATTAGTATTTAGCCTACAGAGATATTTTTGTATTGCTTTAACATGTAAGCCTAAGGATATTGTCTTAAAACTACAGTGAGTAACTGTGGTGGCACCTCACCTGCCTGATGGAAATAGACAAATACCACGCTCCATGGAGCTAGATACGGTCCACACTGTGGAAGATTATGAGCAGATTAAGAAACAAAGGAAGAGCATTTCCGTGGAAACAAGCTGGAGTAGCTCCTCCTTAAGGCCAAATAAGAGTCGGGTTTGTGGAGATGCAAGCTCGCTCGCAAGTAAGGATGATGTTTTTTCAATGCAATAAAAACACCCATAATGACAGAAACATGCTTTCTGCTGAAGTTACATACTGCGGCTTTAAATTTAGTGTAAATTATTTTTTATTAGGGGGCCTTTTGGGGCCTCATGAGATTTTTGCATTGACAGTGACCATGTAACATTGGGATGACCGCCTGCTCCAGCCCCTTTTTCCACAATTTTTTCCCCTAGACTTTTGAAAAATTCAAATATTAAAGGTTCTAAGTCACTGCGGAGGTTAACCAGCTACATGCTAACTATTTTGTACAATAAAAACATTTATGACTGAATAAATTCAAGATAGATGAGTTTAATGCCATACAGCATTAAACTCATTCCAGGAACATTCCAGGAAGAAAAATAACTTGATGATACAGTCTATAAATCTGAACTATTTCATCCAATCATGAGAACTATGAGGAAACAGCTCTGCCTTACACAGGAAAAATAAGCATCTGCCCTGACAATTAAACTGAATAAAACAGTTGTCCTCCTTGTGTATGTGAGAAGTACACTAATGACAGTGTGTCTTTGTTGCTGTATGATGAGGCTATATTTATCAATCACAACAATTACCACTGATTTGACCTTTGACCTCTGAATGTACTGTTAAAGAACAGAATGAGATGTTCTGAGACAACATATTTGGGGAGAAAAACATTCTTATTTTAGTTTGTGTGCTGAATAAATATAATATTGTGAAAGTTTTAAGTGTTCTATATTCTGTCTTAAAACCTGTTGCAGTATCAGTGAGATATGTGAAACTCTGCAGTAAAACAATGGATCAACACAGTATCTGTGTTTGAATTCTTCAGTTAGAACATTCTGAGCTGCAGTTACTGCACTTTTCCTTTGTATCACAGAAGAAACTGGAGTTACTACAAATTTCACATCAAGATTTCTCAAAAATGAGATGAGAGATGAAACCTGTGTTTTTTGGTCTTAAGTCAATTCAGACAAAATACGCAGCTCACTGTTTTTCCTTCAACAAAATGCATGTTTTTAGGAGTAGTATGGTTTCGGATATATACTCTGAGTAGTTCTATAAGTATGTGCATAGCCCTCTCCTAAAGATGAGACAACTCACATCTTCTGTTTTTAGTGTATTATTTCTTGCTCCACTTGTTTTTCTTGTAATTAAAAGAAAGTCCTCAGAGGTATTTCATTATTATTAAATACATTTTACTTTTCAGATTATATTTCAGACACAATACTTTTACTTATTCTTGACTAATAGATTGTACAATCTAACCATACTTCAGTAAAAACTTGAGTAAAAGTTGTGGTTCCTCTCCCCACTGTGAGCAAGTCTAAAGCGACAAAATAAATTATTTGAACATTTGTGTTTCTTGCAGCTCCTTCAGATATGAAGGAGGGGAAGGATATGAAGTTGTATTCTGAATTGCAGTTATTTCTACAGTTTGTATTGTGTACTCACATAGTCCTGCTCTGCACATTGTAGGCTCATAAAGATGAACGTCACATTTCTCAGGTGATCCACGATGTTCCCGGAGCTCAGGGGGGCCCCACTGCAGCTTATGCCCAGGTCGAGCAGTAGAAGCAGGGTAAGGACCAGCACAGTCGTCCTGCTCACCTCCATCAGCACACTGGTCATCCATGCTGTGAGGACCTCATTCATACTCACTGTCCTGCACTGAGACACAACACTGGGCTCCTCTGGTGCACGGAACTGTAGAGCAACTGTGATAGATCCTATCTGACTATTACAGAGAAACCTGTCTGGCATCATTAACAGTTGCATCATGTGGTTTTGTCATCAAAGTGAGCTCACGGAATCAGGTACGTGAGCAGTGACGCTCCTCCAGTGTGGTGCACTATTTCCTGCTACAAAAGTTATTCTTTTTGAGTACAGGTCTGTAGCTCTGATCTGCACTTCCTTCTGATCTTCAGTTTGATGTGGAAACACACAAAAATGAATCGTAATCACTTACACTACTGTAGCCAAATTTGTACTTAAAAAAAAAAACTACAATCTTACTCAAAGTACTAGTTACTTTAAACTAAGTTTTGGAAGTGTTTTAGCTCATACTAGTTGTTTCAAACCACATTTTGCATATTTGCAAAGTTGTGTCCAATCCATAAACTGTATAAACAAGTGGACTAAGGGGAATGTGACATCACCCATAGCATTTGCATAGCATTAAAACGCCAGGGTCATGTAGAGTGGGTTAATACAAAAATTTTAAGACCAAAATGCAGAAGCTCAGCAGTTACAGAGAGGGGCCACAATTTTTCAATGTGTAGTCAATTGGAGCCAGTTAACGGAGCCGGAGGTGCCTCTATGCTCACTTCCAATTTGGCACACAGTGTCTAGCGGGTTAACTATGTTCATTTATACAGTATATTGTCCACTCAGAACAGTGCTGTTCTCTGTTTGTGGGGACAGAGAGGAGAGGCAGCTGTGAGACATAGATTAGTACATTAGGTGTTAGGACCCCAAAGCAGAGACGGAGACAGGTAAGTTTTAAGAGTTTATTTAGAGGACTTTGCTGGCTGTGCGGTCAGAGGCAGGCCGGTGACAGGCCGGTGACAGGCCGGAGACAGGCTGGTTCAATAACTGCATTAGTGGCACTGGCTGGATGACCGCATGAATCGGAATTATCTGGCAGCGAAGAGAGGGCTGGGTGGGGTTTTATACTCCAGCTGGTCGTGGATGAGCTGCATGAGTCTCTGCAGAGAAAAGAAAACACAAGGCGAGGGGGAACAAACAGAGAAGCGCCAAACCCTAACTATAGGGGCACCTATGATTTTAAAGTAGCTGATTACAGTTACATGCTAGAATTATATTCAATTACAGGTTTAAAATGTACTTAGAAAAGTTACCCCATTACACAAAAAGTTAGAATATCAGAAGTATTGGTAATTAGTTACTTTGCCCTGGGATTGATACTATATATACTGCTCAAAAATTTAAAGGAACACTTTGAAAACACACTTTGAAAACATCTCAAATAGAAAAAAAATATGCTAGATTTCTATACAAATATGGACAGGACAATGTCCTAGGAAACAAAACATGACACCTTTCATGTTCAGCCTACAGAGGGCTTCCTTTTATAGACACCCTGAAAATCAAAGTGAAATAATGAAGCAGCAGGTTAGTCTATTTTGCCAAAATTTTATTTCTGCAACTCAAAATGCTTCTCAATCTCTTGTGTGGCCCCCATGTGTTTGTCTGTATGTTTGAAAACATTGTAGCATGCTGCTAATGATGGTGTTTTGTGGGATGTTCTTCCAGATTTGTGTGAGGGCTTCACTGAGCTCCTGGAGAGTCTGAGGAGCAATCTGGCAGTGTGTGATGGACTCAAACATAAAGTCCCAGAGGTGTTCTATTGAGTTTAAGTCAGGTGATCATGAGGGCCAATTAATTATATCAATACCTTCATCCTCCAGGTCCCTGCAGACTCTTGCCACATGAGGCCGGGCATTGTCGTGCATCAGGAGGGACCCAGGACCTACTGCACCAGTGTAGGGTCTGACAGTGGGCTCAAGGATTTCATCCTGATACCCAATGGCAGTCAGACTGCCTTTTTCTAGCCTGTAGAGGTCTGTGTGTCCCTCCATGGATCTGCCTTCCCAGAACATCACTGACCACCACCACACCGCTCTTGCTGAACCATGTTACATGCAGCAGAATGTTCTCTTTGTCTTCTCCAGACTCTTTCATGTCTATCACAGGTGCTCAGGGTGAACCTGCTCTGATCTGTGAAAAGCACAGGGCACCAGTAGCAGAATTGCCATTTCTGGTGTCATCCAGCAAATGCCAGTGGAGCTCCACGGTGCTGGGTTCTGAGCACAGGACCCACTACAGGATGTGGTGCCTTCAAGTCGCCCTCATGAAGTCTGTTTGTGATTGAGCAGAGACTTTCTCACTAGTGGTCTGCTGGAGGTCATTCTGTAGGCACAAGTAGTGCTCAATCTATTCCTCCTGCACAAGAAATTTAAGCTGCGCCCTCCATCTGTATTAATATTGGCCTATAAAATGCTGTGGTGTCATCTGAAACCTAGCAATGCACACACACACACACACAAATGCACACACACACACATTTATAATGATTACTGACACTAACTGGGCTTTGTCTGACTGGAAATGATCTCTAGATTACACTTACTGTTTTTGTGCAGTTGTGTGCAGTGTTCCAGACATGGGTTTTACTTTGCCAAAATGCCATCAGAGTGAATGACATTTCATTTGGTATTTCATTGAACTGTCCCTAACAGGCCTCTATCTGCCGTGCTGGGGTTTTCCCGCTCATGCTGTTGTGCTGTAGACCGCTGTGAAGAGGGCCCCGTCCAATTCCAGTTCCTGTTGAAGCTTCTGCCTAATCACCATTCGGATCTAGACAGGTTATACTTTATTTTCCAGGTGATACAGAACTGCATTGTAAAGGCTTAATTCAATATTCAAATTCATGAGACATTGTAAATAGTCTTATTTTATGAAATGATTGACCTAAACCTCAAGAAATATCCTGGAATCAATACAATGTTGTACATTTGAATGCACTGGACTATACACCTGATACAGTGGGCTGCAGAGAATGTGAGTGTGTGAGTCTGGTCCATGGGCCATGCTTACAGGCCTGTCATGATTATTACTATATCGACTTATTAATCAGTATATGAAAGCTGGAACAAAAGATTTTATGGCTCAAAATTTATCGTGTGTACAATTTATAAAAGTGGGGAGATTTTTGTTATTTTTGTTGTAATGTGATAAGATTTTAGCTGTAGTTATCATTTCTTTCTGTCATTTGCTGGAGCTCAATCCATTGAATGATACAATTTATTTAAAATGGTTCACTGGGATTCTTCTGCTTTGTGTCAGTAGCATAAATGAGTTTCAGTATTATCATTTATCGTAGTATAGAGTGATCAGAATTTCTAAATCAAAAACCGGGACACACTCAGTTTGGGGTGGTTGGTAATAATACTGTGAATCAGTTGAGATTAAGGAGAACTCTTCTGCACTCAGCCCATTTCAACTAACATGAGTCAGTATAGTCACATTTTCTTCGTGTTTGGTCATTTTTAAGCAGCTTTTCTGTATTTTACCAAAACAAATTACAATTTATGTCTCTCTTTACTGTTGGCAGGGATCAGATTGGTCAAAAATTGGGACACTTGGGACATTTCATATATAAAACTGGGACAAATAAGTGGTTTTGGATAAAATTGGGACTTGTCCCAGGGAAATAGAGACGTCTGGTCACCTTATCATAGTATTTCTCAATATATCGTACTTCAAAATGTGTTATCCTGACAGGCCTTCATGCTTATGTGTATTTGCTAGACCAGAACTGTCCATAGCTGTCTTGTATGGTTGCCTAGCAACAGCAGAGTGGATGTAAACATAGCTCAGCTTGTAGCTTGTAGCCTGTAGCTTGTAGCCTGTAAACTGTAGCTTGTAGATTGTAGACTGTGGTCTGTAGGTGATCTGTAGTCTGTAGTCTGTAGACTGTAGTCTGTAGTCTGTAGACTGTAGACTGTAGACAGTAGACTGTAGTTGAGCTGTAGCAGACATTATCAGAGTGAGCAGCAGGCTGAAGGGGGCCATGGCGTGTGTGAGTGTGCTGCTGGAGGAGCTCATTCGCTCTCTGGGCCTGTGGGATTTCCCCTGTGGCCCCGGGCCCTGGGTAAGTGCCTCACTCACACGGCCCTGTGACACTTGGAGTACTAGCATGTACAACCAGCTGCCTAATACTAATGTTACATCTACTCAGTTAAATTAAGTTTTTTTACTTTTACTTGTAGGACTGCTTGAGTAACATTGTGCAGTATAACAGTACTCTTACTTGAGTAAAAGTTGCAGTTACTCTTCCCACTGTGAGTAAGTGTGACAAAAGCTTCATGTGACAATATGAAATGATTTAACATTTATGTTTTTTGCAGCGCTGCTTGAGTGTCCTAAATACCAGCTAACCTTCTGACAGTTACTGTTACAGTTACAGTTAAGCTTACAGTTACTCTTTCATGTGTTCATAGTTTGCCAAAATACTAAAATCTTGCTCTAGTACAGCAGTGGCTCCAGACAGTTGTTCTACATGAGCAATACTTGCCTTTGTCCTCCTCTCTGTACATCACAAAAGGCCTTCTGAATCCTAGAGTTCTTAAAACATCTGCGCTTCAACACAGCTCCAGAACGTAAAGCAGCTGCTGCTGTCCATGTGTCTCAGATCTCGTGCTTTCATGGTTTTATGTTCTTGTAGAAGCTCAGTGCTGGTGAGGACCCTCAGTCTCTCCTAGACCTCCTGGACTGTCCCTCATCCCCCTGGTACCAGGAGCCCACCTGGAGTCCACAGGCCTTGACCCTGAGGAGGAAAGCCGTGCTCAGCCCCAAAGCCCTCAGCAGAAACTCAGTGTATAAGCACTTGACTGCCCTCAGACTCATGGACCAGGGTGTGAGTATCTGTACTGGAGTCTACTCATGTTCACAGAAGGATGCTGTCAGGAGCATGTTGGACTCTATGGTTTTCTCCACATGTGGAACTCATTCACACTTTGCAGAATGCTTTTATGTTCCTGAAGATGATGGTTTTGGAAGATGTTTTGGGAGTTTCTATGCATTCATGAAGATGAATTATGTGAATAACATATGTTACTTTTCTGATAGAATGTTCACTACCTGCTTGTCTCCTCTGCTCTATAGTCTTGTATTTAATACAAGACTTAATGTATGTAATACAGGCATTTTTGCTGGTCAACAATACATAGGAAAACTGTATTCTTAATGTGGGCAGGCTCGCTCTTCCACAGATGTGGCCCATAATGTGCTACCAATCCAAGGATATAAGCAAGTTTATACCACATTGCTGTGTTACTGTGTTAAAATTAAAATGACTAAAATTAAATATTAAATGTATCTATTTGGACATTCTCTCTTTGTCCAGGTGTGTGTGTTGGACAGTGGGCTGCTGAAACTGTCCAACCTGGAGGAGCTGGTGCTGAGCGCCAACCAGCTCCAGGAGGTCCCTGCTCCCCTGCTGCCGGCCTCGCTCACGGTGCTTAGCTCACTCATCACGACACTCAACACCCTTGTGTGTTTAGATCCAAAGCTTCTATTATTTTACTACTACTGCTACTACTGCCCCTTCTAAGAAGGGGGACCGGAGGGTGTCTTCCAATTACAGGGGAATCACACTCCTCAGCCTCCCCGGTAAGGTCTATGCCAGGGTACTGGAGAGGAGAATCCGGCCGATAGTCGAACCTCGGATTCAGGAGGAGCAGTGTTTTTTTCGTCCTGGCCGTGGAACACTGGACCAGCTCTACACTCTCCATCGGTGCTAGAGGGTTCATGGGAGTTTGCCCAACCAGTCCACATGTGCTTTGTGGATCTGGAGAAGGCATTCGACTGTGTCCCTCGTGGTGTCCTCTGGGGGGCGCTCTGGGAGTATGGGGTCCGGGGCCCTTTGCTAAGGGCTGTCCGGTCCCTGTATGACCGGAGCAGGAGCTGTGTTCGCATTGCCGGCAGTAAGTCAGACCTGTTCCCAGTGCATGTTGGACTCCGCCAGGGCTGCCCTTTGTCACCGGTTCTGTTCATTGTGTTTATGGACAGAATTTCTAGGAGCAGCCAGGGGCTGGAGGGGGTCCGGTTTGGGGACCACAGGATCTCATCTCTGCTGTTCGCAGATGATGTTGTCCTGATGGCTTCATCGAACCAGGACCTGCAATGTGCACTGGGGCGGTTTGCAGCCGAGTGTGAAGCGGCTGGGATGAAGATCAGCTCCTCCAAATCCGAGGCCATGGTTCTTGACCGGAAAAAGGTGGCTTGCCCTCTTCGGGTGGGTGGGGAGTCCTTGCCTCAAGTGGAGGAGTTCAAGTATCTCGGGGTCTTGTTCACGAGTGAGGGGAGGACGGAACGTGAGATTGACAGGCGGATCGGTGCAGCGTCGGCAGTGATGCGGTCGCTGTATTGGACCGTTGTGGTGAAGAGAGAGCTGAGTCAAAAGGCGAAGCTCTCGATTTACTGGTCAATCTACGTTCCTACCCTCACCTATGGTCATGAGCTTTGGGTAATGACCGAAAGGACAAGATCGCAGATACAAGCGCTTGAAATGAGTTTCCTCCGCAGGGTGGCTGGGCGCTCCCTTAGAGATAAGGTGAGGAGCTCAGTCACACGGGAGGAGCTCGGAGTAGAGCCGCTGCTCCTCCACGTTGAGAGGAGCCAGTTGAGGTGGCTTGGGCATCTGTTTCGGATGCCTCCTGGACGCCTCCCTCGGGAGGTGTTCCGGGCATGTCCCACTGGGAGGAGGCCCCGGGGAAGACTCAGGACACGCTGGAGGGACTATGTCTCTCGGCTGGCCTGGGAACGTCTTGGGATCCCCCTGGAAGAGCTGGAGGACATGTGTGTGGAGAGGGAAGTCTGGGAGGCCCTCCTCAGACTGTTGCCCCCGCGACCCAACTTTGGATAAGGGGAAGAAAATGGATGGATGGATGGATGCTACTACTGCTACTACTACTACTACTGCTACTACTACTACTGCTGCTGCTGCTCGTGCTGGTGCTGCTGCTACTACTATTGCTACTATTACTACTACTACTACTACTACTACTGCTACTGCTACTACTACTACTACTACTACCACTGCTACTACTACTTCTACTAATAGTAATAATAATAATATTAAAGCCACTTGCAGCTCTTGGAGGCATAGTTTGTACATTTGCAATAAGACTGGGTACAGACCCTGCCCTAACCTCCATGTGTCCTTTAGGTCTTGGAGCTGCGGAACAATCTTCTGAGCTCCCTGTCCTCGCTGACCGCTCAGCCCCCTCCTCGACTGGTCTATCTGGGCCTGTCGTCCAACCCACTGGGCTCTGCTCTGGACGTGTGCAGCCTGACCGGGGCACACTGGTCAGTAGAACATGTGGAGTGTTTTTTGTCTCTAAACAAGCCTACAGTGTTTTAGCTCATCTTAAAGTTTGCTTTGATCGAGGTTCACTGCACTGATTGTATCTCATTTAGACTGTTACTAGTTCCTGCTTTGATCGTCTTTCTGAGAATATAATAAAAGTTGACATTTCCTGGAGCCTCGGCATTTCCCTTCGCGTGGGGAGAAAATAATTCATTATCACCTCTATGTCACACTGTTGTGTAACAATAATAATTCCCTACACTTGCAATGTGCTCTACAGGTGAATGGCTATTAGTTCACTCCATATTCAGTAGCGGTCTAAGTGTGACGTCACCCACAGTGTTCTGCCCCACTCAAATGAGACTCGCGAAGTTAACGGTTACAGAGGAGAGATTGGAGCCAGGCGCCATGTAAGGAATATAATTTTTCTGACCGACAAAATGGCTAAAAAACCCCCCATCGATTTGAGCTCCCTAGCGCTAATACACATGCACATGACCCCCAAGCTTTGAGTCGATTTGAGCTCCCAATGCAGAAGTGGAGTAATAAGTCACATTTTAAAAGTGTATTGATTTTATTGTATTTTTGGACCAGTTAAGCATCGACATGTGCGTGTTAGATTTGCGGCAACAAACCTACGTTAGATTATTGAATATTTTGAATTTAATATTTGACTTTACTGTTATCATTTTCATTACATCATGTTTTATTTTATTTCCAGGTGTAGAAAACACTGTAACTTTGTTTAGAAAGGCGTTATATAAATAAAATATCACTATATTATAAGAGAAAATTCACACTGTGGCCTATGATATTAGCATTAAATGTTATATATTTAACACTATTTAATATAAAGATTTCAGTGTTTCCAGTCATTTCTTTCTCTTCTGTAGTGGGAGCCTTATTTGATAGAAGATATTGGCCTGTGGAAATGAGCTCCTCTACCCAAATTCATCTAAATGAGTGAATAATGCAGTGGGACATTATTCAATAGCTAATATGTCCTCACTTTAGCCTATCTGAGCAGAATACGACTGTCCAAATGAACTACACAGATGCATATAAATGAGTTGAAATTTGACATAACTAAGGTATAAAGTCTGATCATCAGCATCAAACCCGCATCTCTAATCCATAGAAATATGTTGTCAAACTGGGGGAGGTCAGGGTCAGGAGTCAGGAGTCAGGGGTCAGGGTCAGGGTTTGGCTTTATTGGATCTATACAACTGTAAACGGAAAAACTCATTTCAGCGGAGCAGCCCATTTCGACAGAACACCGGAAGAGCCACATGCAAACTTCCTATTTGGAACACAGCGGTTAGTGTGTTAGCTATGTCCATTTATATACAGGCTGTGGTGATGAGGATTGGCAGCCTCATTTCCATGATTCCTCATTCACACACCACATTCATATGTAATTTAAATCATTCATTCATTATTTAAACCATTTGAAATCATAATAATGAAAACATTTGTGTAGACGTGTGTAGACATGTGCTGTAAATTGCTGAGAATGTGGTGACAGATGCAGGCAGTTAATTTCCATAAGGAAGTGGTAAAGACTATCCTGATGACTAATGAACTGTGACTGTTTTCTGCTCAGCTGTGTGGGAGGAGGCAGTAGAGCAGTTCCCAGGTTTCACTGGTGTACTGCGGCGCTTCTCGGTGTTCTCTATGCAGTGTTATTGTTTTGTCAAGAATGGTCCTTAGTACGGCTTTAAACTTTCATGGAGACTACCAGACGGGTGGCACCATCAGGCCAAGTTACAGGTCAGATCTGTGGAGAGGAGATCCCGCTCACAGTCAGAATGCATGTTTTTAATGTTATTTTCATCTCTTAAATATTGATGCTACTGTGATACTGTGGAACATTCCAGGCAATACAATAACATCACCAAGGCAGGTGGCACCATAAAAGTTCTGCAGTGAAGCTTACATTACCATAGTACCATAAGCAATCCAAAATGAGTGAAGAATGCCCTCCTCATCTTCCTTAAAGAAGATGCCTTGTGCTTGTGTGAGCTCTGTTAGAATCTCTGATAGGACTCCTATGGATTGATGCACATCACATTAGCGAGCAGCAGATTTCTTTTTACATTTGTGCAAAAAATGAATATGTGACACTGCCGAATTCTACTTGTATCACTGATTAAGAAAGTTAAATTTGAGAATGAAGTAAGTACATCACAGTGGTCACATGGCATATTAAAAATTAGCTCTTAAAGATTGCTCAAACATGCACAAATCACTCCAAATACAATAGTGAGGGGAAACAACTGTAACATGGTTAAAAGCTCTGAAAAGTGAATTTTGTAGAGTAGGTCTGCTTTAAATTGAAGTACTGTGCTGTGTCCCAGGCCAGCGCTGCTCTGTCTCGACTTGTCCTTCTGTGACTTTGAGAACCAGAGAGTCCTGTTGAGGGCGCTGTCCTCTCTGCCCTGCCTAAGAAGCCTGCTGCTGGAGGGGAACCCGTGCTCCCTGGGCTCCTCGTACCCCGGGCTCACTCTGGACGTCCTGCCACAGCTGTCGCACCTGGACTCAGAGTGGGTCAGAGCGGAGGAGAAGGAGGCGTTCGGGGGGATGGCTCTCCTCACAGGTCAAAGCTCACTACTAGAAATGTACAGAAACAAATGTCGACATATGTAGACTTCTTTCAATGTCCTGGGTTCTGAATATTTATCTGAAGTTTTGATGGGTTAGGTTTAATACTTTACTTTGTGCTGAAGTTTGCTCAATAGAAACAATGGAAGCAATAGTTTTTTCTAGCTGTTTTTATTTGTATTTTATTTGTATTTGTATTTTAGTTTGCTAAAAATAAACTCTCAGTCTATTCAGCAGGTCTTAAACAATCATAAATATACTTTAAATCCTATTCAAAAATGTAGTGGAGCAAAAAGTACAGATGCTTTCTCTCAAAAATGTTAGAGCTTTTGTTACATATTGACAATGGGAAGAGTAAGCAAAACTTTAATTCATGGAACACACGGTCAGATATTTTACTCAAGTAGGAGTGAAAATATGGGGACTGAAAACTATTACTGTGTGAGTAATATTGAGTAACAGTAGTAGAGTAAATGTGGTTGTGCAGGTGCGGAGCAGGAGAAAGCATGTGTCACAGTGCACATAGGTCGGCTGCGGGGACTTCCTGATCCTCCTCAGAGCTCAGACTATCCTCTGCTCTCCTTCTCTTACCACGTCTCATACCTGTTCCTCCCTGACTCCGCCCCTGATGGACAGGTAAGCTCCGCCCCTGACCGCTAGGTAAGCTCTACATAGATACTAAGATGTTTGTTGAGGGCAGTCACAGTCACATTCTGATTCACATTAAACAGCCTCTATCTCTCTCTGGAGCAGGCCGAGTGCAGTGTGAACGTGGCTGGCCTGGGGCTGACATACCCAGTCTGCTGTGACAGTAACAGTCACAAAAAAGTGCTCAGATCACATATATTTGTATGAATGGGCACTGCAGAACTGCTGTTTGACACATTTATCTGACAAGGAAATTTAGATCAACTTCAGCGAGACCCAATGACTACTGACTATGTCTGCGCAGGTAATCTGGGCCTGTCTGTGCAGGAGAGTCTGGGTCTGTGTGTGCAGGTGAGTCTGGGACTGTGTGTGCAGGTGAGTCTGGGACTGTTTGTGCAGGTGAGTCTGGGTCTATCTGCACAGACAGGTGAGTCTGGGTCTGTCTGCGCAGGTGAGTCTGGGTCTATCCAGAGACAGGTGGTTCTGGGTCTGTCTATGTGTCTTCAAAACCCTTTTTCTCTGGTGTCACCAGCGCATACAGTCGTCACAGAGTATTTAACCACCAGTGAAAGAAAAGCCCATTGTGTATAGGGGAGGTGAGTGTGTGCATGCATATTCACTGGGCTCTGCTTGTTTGAAGGGTGTGTGTGGTCATAGAAAAAAATTCTCTAATCAGCTGACGGACTCTCACGTGACTCCTGGTGTTTGGGGTGAATGATGCACAGTGTATGTGAACAAGGCCGACCCAAAAGTAAACAGAAATAAATCTAGTGCACACTCGGGTCTGTAACTGCTGCTGTCAGACTCATCTTGGTTTTAAATTGTTCATATTAACCCGCTCTACATGATTCTGGGTTTTTTATGTTGCTTAGGGGTGTCAAATTATCGCGTTAATTGCGATTAATTAATTACAGTCATATTTAGCGCGTTATGTTTTTTGATCGCGTTAATCTCATTTTTAATCTCTAACTTTAGTGTTTCTGTATGCAAGTTGCTTTATTATAAATTCTGTTTTTATGTGTTGTTGGGACAACACACACACACACACACACAAAAAAAACACATTTATACATTTTTTTATTTCGGTAATTCGACTCATTGCCGGAAACCCACACAAAACGGGCGCAGTAAGAGCGATGTAAACGTCATGTTAACGTTGGCGGCGTCAGGCACAATGGACGAGGTGGAAGAGCCAGTAGAACAGAGGCAGCAGTGCACAGGGAAAAACACATTCGTGTCTTGGAAATTATTCTCCCGACGTGAAATATAAAAGAAAATAGCAAATATAAAATCGCCTACAACTTAAATGTCACTGGTGAAAACAACCTGCATAGGCTCATGATGTCTGCACTACTGTCCTATAGTGACCTGCCACATGAGGGGACACGCACACAAACACACACACACACAAACACAAACACACACCTTCATCATCGTCATTAACCTGAGAACGCGCGGACCACGTAAACCGCGCTTCGTCCTGTGCGTCTCTAAACCAGAACTAATCCAGTCCAGGACTAAACCAGGACTAAACCAGAACTAAAACCAGGACTAAACCAGAACTAAAACCAGGTCTAAACCAGGTCTAAACCAGGACTAAACCAGAACTAAAACCAGGTCTAAACCAGGTCTAAACCAGGACTAAACCAGAACTAACACCAGGACTAAAACCAGGATTAATCCATTCCAGGACTAAACTAGGACTAAAGTAGGACTAAAGCAGGTCTAAACCAGGACTAAAACAAGGACTAAAACCAGTGATCTCATATATAAAGCATTTCTCTATCAATGATATTTTTAATATGGTTAAGGAAAGACTGGACTTTTTATTGTCTTTAAGTCGACAAAAGTTATTATGTTCAGATTTCGTAGTCTTTGCTACAGTTTCTTATTCATGGAGACTTGGGCTCAACAGCCAATTTGGAGAGATTTGTTAAACAATAAATGACTTTATAAAGTCACTTTTTTTGTTCTATATCAGGCTTTTGATCTGCCACAATAATGTAATAATGAATTTAAATGAAAATACCTCAAATTGAAGGCTTTTCTCAGCAATTTTCAGGTGAGATTAAAATGAGATTAATTAGATTAATTAATTACAGATCATAATTAATTAATCTCTCAATTTTTTTAATCGCATGACAGCACTAATGTTGCTATTTTGTCTGTAAATCCTATTCCTAATATAGAACTTGTCTCCAAATCTGCCCTTATAACAGCTAACCTTGTGAGCTTCATTTGACTGGAGCTGAACGCTGTGGGTGACTGCACTCCCTTGATCCACTTCTTTATACACTGTTTTTTGATAGAAAATGAAGAGTGAGTCTGAATGTGAGGGAGATGTGACAGAGGAGAATCCAGAGAAGAACTCAGAGAAGAACCCAGAGGAGGCAGAGTCACACAGGCAGGCTCCAGGAGTGTGTGAAGTCTGCTCTCCAGCTCATGGTAACTTCAGTGTTGGCTTTTCCAGGGCCACACGTGTACATGGGCTTGTAACAGCACATAGACAACACTGTAACCCAGTGAGCTCAATTTACTCATCTCTATAAATATAGAAGAGAATGTTTGTACTGCTAATGTAACGGCAATTTTTATTTCAGTTTTATTCACATAGAGGGGATAAAAGGATAGCCCCTTCACATGTGTTTGCGAGGGGGTACAACAGAAAATTAGTAATTGCAGAAAGAAGGAGAAAATCTTCACAAACTTTAACTTAAATGCTTTGTTTTTAAATGTTCAATTTCTTTTTTTCTTTTTTCCTGTTTACTCAGGCTCCATCCACAGCTCGTGCAGTTTACCCTGGTCTGAGTGCATGGACTTCAATGAGACCCACCATCACAGTGTGTGTGACCTGAGGGCCCTCAAGAGCTTCCTGCGGCGAGGCATATGTGTGCGTGTGGAGGAGGACAAGGTCAGAGGTCACCACAATGAAGACTGTACAGAAAGATGTCCTCCTGTCTCTCATGTCCTAATGTGTGTCTGTGCGCAGACTCTGTCCTGGCCTGCAGCCTCTGAGGACACGGCTCCTAAAGCCGCCTCTAAAGAGCCCAAAGGAGCAAAGGGAAAAGATGTGAGTGCATCTGTATGAGTGTTTTTATTCGGGGGAGCAGTGATCCATTGGTTAAGTCACAGCCCCCAGCCAGAAGGCAGCCAGTTCAGTCATACATTCTGCCAATGTATGTCAGCTTAATTGTGTATTGTGTAACTTTATTGGTGGAGCATTCGACATCTTCTTGTCTCCATGGACTTTCCATTCCATTTTCTAAAATGTTCCACAGTATAACTTTACATTTATCTGACAAAGACGGGCAGGTGGCGGATCCTCCTCCAGAAAGTCTTAATATAGTGCTTCTTTAGGTTGCATTAAAGATTTTATTTGACTATTATTTTACATGTTTACATTTCAGGGGGTCCCTAGAGCTTTGCTCAGAGGATCTTGTCATCAATGCCAGAATTATTGCAAATTAAATAGTAAAAATCTAGAAAAAGTAATTGGAAAATGCGCAACAATATTTGATTAATTGTATTAAATAAATCCTTTATAGTTATCAGCGTATGATGTATGGGAATTAATTTTAAGCCGTGGGCCAGCAGGGCTCTGGGGTTTGACTTAAAAGGGTTCGGAATCACTGTCCAGTGTAATGCAAAATGTACCATGTTATGATCTCATCCTGGTCAAAAACATACCTGGGCTTTAAATGTCATTTCATGTTTCTATAAGTCTGATTACTAAAGTTCCTCCTCATTTTTAAAGCCTAGACATCTCCAGACTTCACATCTGAGAGCTCCAACTGCCTTCTTAGCCTGTTTACTGCGAGCACACATGGTTTTGGTTGTTACAGTTTTTCTTTTTATTTAAAGACAGTACTACAGAATATATACAATAAAAGATAATTTTGGATATAATTAAGACTTAAAAATGTTCCTGTCACATGATTCTTTATTCAGACATTGTCACTCAGCTGGTCATAGCCAGCTTCATGTTTTGTATTTCAGACTCCAAACAAAGGTGCTTCCACCAAAGACAAGGGCAAAGACAAAAAGAAGAGAGCCCCCCCAGAGCTGGTGCAGGACCCCCCAATCCGGGCAGTGCTGGGGTCAGTGCACGTGCCCCTCCACAGTTTGCTTCACACTGGACACAAGGTGGCGCTCTGCTGTGACTTTGGACTTCAGGGACCAGAGACACCAGAGACAGCCAAGGTACAGGCAAGGCACGTTCAGTGGAAATCACTGCATGTTGTGTTTAGTGTTGTATCTGCGATGGCGGTAGTGGTGTAGTAATACTATGGGTAAGGTACAATTTTTCCATAAACTAATCAAGCAGAAAAACAGAAAAATGTGATTGATTTTGATGTTGTCATCTGTCTACCATTGTGCCAGTGTGATAATGCAGCCATTTTGTTATTATACTTGAATAGTAGTTTCACCTTATTTAATTTGATATGACTGAAAAGATCCTGAGCTTAGTGCTAGTTTTAGTTTCATGTGGAGAGGATCAGTGATTGAGAGATGGCAATCAAAACCAGGTCAAAACTTTTGCATTTTGAATGTTTAGGCCTTAGGGTCAATCTGTATGAAATCAGCCGTTTTCAAGGAATCTCCCCTATGAGTCATCTCACTTTTGGCTGAAAACATTTCTAAAATCACCAAATGAAAGAATCTCAAATTTTAGCTCAACTCCTTTCGGTCCCGAGTTATGGCCCATTGAAATTTTGGGGCCATGCTCACTTTTTCAGAAACCTTATTTTATAAGCATGTTTGAGAGACCAGAACTTCATAAATAATGTGAATCTCAAATTTTGTTGCAGCTCTTTTTTATTTTATTTTTGAGGTCCAAGATCTATTTACTCCAAGCAGATATTTACAAACTAACCGCTGAACCTGAATATTTGAATGACCATTTCTGACAACAATCTCACACTTTTCTGAGCCTTCATGTGGACGGTGTAAAGCCTCAAATATGGTCACAGAGCAAATGTGACCCTTTAGCAGTATTTCAACTTACAGTCCTCCATCTCAATTCTTAACTGTATGACCCTGATAGTATCAGGTTTTTAAAAAGAGGCCTTGCTCAAATGCAGGAAGTTGGACAGATGGTGAAGGAGAAGAAGGACGAGGACTCAAAGAGAGGAGCTTCAGGGAAGAAAGCCGCCACTGCCAAAGGTTCAGATTTAGAAGTACAGTGTGTGTCTGTCATTATAGATACTATGACAGGGTTTTAAGCCCTTTACATTGGTACATGTGGACAGTTTATTTTCATATGTCTGACCTAACTGGCCCCTGTCTTGTGTGTCAGGAAAAGCTAAGTCAGTGAAGGAGGCGGATGGAGTCAGTGTATGGGGCCCTCCAGAGCCCCTCACCGTGGAGCTGTGTGTGCAGCTGGCCCGATGGCAGTCTGCAGCTGAGGCCTCTCAGGAGCTGGGACTGTCCCTCTGAACCACACTGGACATGTCCCGTCACATAATAAATGTGCACTGCCCTCTGTTGTGGAGACATGGCCTTCACTTGGTACAGGGGACACATGTAGTGACCGTTCACTACTTAAAAGACAAGCTGGAGTATGAGATGAGGAAAAACACACACATCTTACATTTATACATAAATTCCATTTATTTTAATACATTAACGCTTCATACAGAAATTCTTTGCAAAATGATTTTGGAAAGGCCAGAGGAGAAGTGCTAAAAGAGCTGATTGATTTCTATTGGGCAGCAGTTCTTCCAGTGACCAGTGTGTCCAAGTTAAACCAACAGCACAGTACGACTGCTCTTCACACTGCTCAGCAAATCTTAAAAGTACTTTTACAGGCATAAAAAAATAAACTATAGCACCCTCAAAACTTCCATCACCTTATACCAAATGTTCTTCGTAACCGTCAGGCTGTGCATTCTCTGTAGATTTATAAATTAATGATAGAAAAGACACTTCAGCAATGGTTGATCACACAGTGAGCTCCCGTCACACAAACCCGCAAATCAGACACTCAAAGAACTCAAAGGTTCAGAGGTCACCAAACCCAAATATAGTAAGATCCAGAGCTCCAGCCCCAGGTTACAGCGCGCACAAACCCGTCCAGAAGCAGCAGACATGATGTGCAAACGTGTGCTGATTGTGCAGAAGGCTCCAAGATGCTCCTCAGAAGGTCTGGTCGTCATTGCAGGCCTCTGTGTCATGGCCGAACACCTCACAGATGTCACAGTAGGGCCTCTCGTCGTCCTTGGAGCCGTGGTAGGTGCTGTGGGGAGGGGAGTCGGGCTCTTGGGCCTGGGTGGGACAGTCCTCTGTGTCGTGGAGGTCAAAACAGTCACAAATGTCACAGAAGAGGCGCGGAGGCGGCTTCTTTTTTGTGTTCTGGGCCTCACTGCAGGACAGAGAAAATACTTCAGAGAGGACAGTCTGGCTGAAATATTTCATGCTGTTAAACAGAGTTTAAAATCATAATATCATGATCAAGTTTGACACTAAATAACAGTATAAGCTGACAGATTAGTCTTATCAGAGTTAAACGACGCTGAAGATTTTTCATAGTCTCTATAATATCCACCTTATTCCGCGTCACCCACTTGTGCTCCTAAATCGTGCTTTTTTTTGTGGTGGCACTTTCAGTTAAATGGGATCCCATTCATGTCAATGGAGAATTTGAGAAAAGTTTTGCTGATTAAATATGACATAAAACTAGTTCATTTGTGTAAAATGTTCAGTGTTCATGTGACCAACAAGTCCCACTGCACTGAATCTCTGGAGGCTTTTAAACGGCTTTATTGTCCGTATTGAACTGATTTGCTGTTAGGACTGGCAGCTCCATACAAAATACTACAACCATAATGATGATGATGGCAGCGCCCACGGACACTTCCGGAATAAGGTGAATATAGAGATTGACGTAGTCAGTGTCAATTGTTTACAGTTCAGACTGAAACTGATGGTGGATAAGGTCTGTCAATCAACAACACGCAAAATGTAGAATGTAGTAAACAAAAAAAAAAACACTGACTGAGAGTGTGTGTCCAAACTTTGGTCTGGTAGTGTATCTGTCTTTGTCTAATCTACACCTGTTCAAATAAGGATCTACTTGTTTCATTTTGGATTAATGTCTGTAGGATTGTCCAGCACACAGAGCACACAGCTGACCTCTCGTAGTTGTCCATCTCACTGGGGCTGTTCCCATTGAGTGCTGCAGTGGCCAGTTTCTCCAGCTTGTCCTTGAGCTCCTGGTTCTTCCTCTGAAGGTCCACAATGACCGAGTTCAGGAAGTCAATCTACAAAAACACACAACATGTCAACGGTCACCAAGAACTGAGCAACAGGCTTCAAACTGTTCTAAACTCTATTATTTAACATTAGACTTTAGCTTTGAGTTTAAAGTGTGTGAAACTATTTCCTAAAAGTGTATCCCAGTATCTACAGCCTAATATAGTCACTGCCCTTATGGGCGCTATGTAGAACCGCAGTGAGGGTGAGAGCATGCACAAGTGAAGCTGATGAAAAACATGAACAAACCGCTGCCTGATGGTGGGGTTGCCATGCCAACATCAGAGACAGGGCAGAGAAGAGGAGAGAAAAGAAAAAAATCAAGAACTCAAGTTAGAACCAGCACCTAACACAGCACTCCTCTGAGCCCTGGACTAGCACAGACTGTACAGGAGCAGCAACACATGAGCACCTGTCTAACCACCACCACCAAGGCCTAGAATCAAGAACTAGACCCTGGATGCACTTGTTACGTAACAGGCTTAGTCCAAATGGCTCTGAATCTTTTCCCGCCAAGTATTATTAAAGATCTGGCTTTCCCACCAGATCTAAACCAAATCTATTTTGAATTATTCCACATCTGGTTTCATCATAAGAAATCATCCAAACCAGGACAAAAAAAAACTGTATAAAATGATCTCTAAATGAGTCAAACCCACAAACTGAAGAGGTCAGAGCTTGTGTATCACAGTTTGAGAAACACTGGCCTAGTCAAATCCAGGTGGTATAGCTGTAAATTGAAAGTTGGCCAGCATATAGTGAGATTGAGAGAACACATTTGGCTGTTGGCTTTTGTCATGCAAGAATGTAAGCAAAAGAACGAGCCTGAGCAGTTTGTATAGCTGCACTGTGAAACACTCCTGTGAACATCAGCACAATGTCAGAGTCCAGGGCCCAGATCTGACCACAAATACAGTATAACATTTTACATGACACAGAGGGGACGCTTTAGACTCTTCTCATTTTACAAAATGTTTTTGAGTTGATTTCAGGCCTCCTCTGTAAAGCATTATACTGTGACCTTCTCACGAATTGATACTTTGCAGCTGATGTCATCAACATTCCCTGGTGGTGTGATGCTAACTGAAAGTACTACTCTGTTAGAAGCTCCATTACTCAAGTTAGACTTAATCTGAGCTTTATTTTAACACAATCTGACCAGAAAGGGCGGACTTAGTTGGAACTAGGGATGGTGATTGATCATTAAGAATTTCAATGATTACGTTCATTTTAAATCGACAAACCGAATGTAGTTTGCTGTGCGTAGTGTGATCAAACAGGGGTCTGTACATGTGTCTCTCTGCACTCAGAAGGAGCGAGACACAAACAGCCGGTCAGTTTGCAACGTGCAGAAGCACAAATGTGTATTTAATGATGACTTGTACAAGAAATTCCACGCTCTCCGTTCTGTGCACAGTGTACAAAGCAGCACATATGTTTCGGTGTCCAGTGGGAAAAAGTTTTGCCAGGTGAGAGTCGCTCAATGTGGATGACGAGTCCCTACCTCCCTCCCCCCGTACGGTGTCCTGGTTTTGACAAACACAAATCAGGTCACACTAACCTGTATTCCACTGACTAATGTCTTTTAATCTGACAGAAATTGAACCACATCAGCGACACAAGAGCTGTTTTTTTTTCTTTGCTTAGTTTATGCAAATTAGCGATGTGGTTTTAAATTTTGTTTCTGTGAGACTTGCAAATCTGCATTAAACACATTATAGTCTCAAAAGGGCTGATGTGGCTCTAGAGTGGTTACAGCTTATATGTCGTAAAGTTGAATTTATTTATGCAGATTAGTGCAGATAGTAATAATAATGATGATAATTTTAATATAAAAATGTTAATGATTAATCGATAATCAATCGTTAATTCTTCCGATGATCGATTCAGAAAATTTCATCAAATGCCCATCCCTAGTTGGAATTACAATGGGTGAGAATTTTTCAGTCACTCACTCTTACCTTTTGTTGAAAATCACACTCCTAACAGGACCATCAGAGCTCGTATTGATCACACTCTCCTGTAAATGTGCTCTTTACATCCAGTTTCTATTTTTACTTGAGTTTTCAGGTGATCTTAAAAGTTTTTGGTCCATGTTTGCCAATGTTAGCGTTATGCCACCAAGGAAACTTCTGAACAATCTGCTATTATATAACACCCCCAGCCTGATGTCACTGCAAAGTCTCAATAACACAAATAGTACAGTTTTGTCATTAGAGCTGTGTTAGTATGAGCCTTCTGTTTGTACACAGCTTTAGTGGACATATTTACCACTGACATGACATTACCAATGAAACACACAGAGAATACAAGTCCATGACAACTATATGACAGCAGATGTCCTCAGACTGAGCAGGAGACAGGACAGCAGTGCCATACAGACCTGACTCTCCAGAGAGGCCTTCTCCTCCTGCAGCTCATCCACCTCTGCGTTTCCTAAAGAGTGAGGAGAAAAATGAGCCGTTATTATTCACCAGTATCACACAGTTCACATTGTTTAGTTGCACCCCCCTAAAATTGTTCACTTTTAAAATGATGGACCCTTCTCAAACACAATCAAATTTGAATAGAATTGAGTCAGCACTACGCGCAGTGGTCACAAAAATACAAAACTACAACACAAGTTACCAAAATCACAAAAAGGAAGACTGTTTTTTCTGAACTCTGAACTCAGTCTAACTGTGCAGGGTTTGTGAGTTAAACGTGTGAATGAAACAACAAGTCCAGGTCTGTTTGTGATAAGGAAACATCAGAACATGGATCAAAAACAGTGCAATATAGACCCTTTAATCTTTATTTGGTTGATAATTTAAAAAGTGTGAATGTACAATAAAAAAAATAATCATTTGACTGGTCAACTAACCAGGTCTAACTAGTTGACTACTAAAATAATCTTTAGTTGCAGCTAGGGATGGCCATGATTTGTCAATTAATGGATAATTGATCATTAAGAATTTCATCAATTATGTTCATTTTTAATCAACAAACGGAATGTAGGTTTCTGTGCATAGTGTAGGGTGACCAAACATCCCTTTTTCCCTGGACATGTCTGTTTTCCACGTCCTGTCCTAGCTGTCCAGGTTTTTAGTTTTTTAAATAAAGTGATGCAAATGTTCAGGTTTTCATTATCTTTCATTGGGCCATTAAACTGAGCGTCTGTCATAGCTCTCTGTAACTCAGAAGGAGCGAGACACAAACAGTTGGTCAGTCTGCAACACGCTGAAGCGCAAATGTGCATTTAACGATGACCTGTACCAGAAATTCCCCGCTTTCCGTCTCGGTCGAGACAAGTGTGAGGCCATGTGCACAGTGTACAAAGCAGCACATATGTTTCGGTGTCCAGTGGCGGTGCCAGGGACCTCAAAAAAACATGAAAAAATTTTGCCAGGTGAGAGTAGCTCAATGTTGATGACGAGTCCCCACCTCCCACCCCCCTGTACGGTGTCCTGATTTTGACAAACGCAAATCTGGTCGCACTAACCTGTATTCCACTGAGTCATGTCCTTTAGTCCAACAGAAGTTGAACCACATCAGTGACACAAGAGCTGTTTTTTTCTTTACTTAGTTTATGCAAATGAGTCATGTGGTTTTAAGTTTTGTTTCTGTGAGAGTTGCACAAATCTGCATTAAACACATTATAATGTCAAACGGGCTGATGTGGCTCTAGAGTGGTTATGGTTTATATGTCGTAAAGTTGAATTTATTTATGCAGATTAGTAGTAATAATAATGATGATAATTTTAATATAAAAACATGAATGATTAATCAATAATCGATCATTAATTCTCCCGACGATCGATTAATTAAATTTAATCGAATGCCCATCCGTAGTTGTAGCCCTGATTTAGAGTCTCTGAAGCAGTGACAGTGTTACCTGAGCCCTGCCCCCCTCCTCCTCCTCTCTCCTTCTCCAGTTTGTGCAGGCGTTCTTTCAGACTGGCCTTGTCTTTCTCCAGAGCCTCCACTGTGGCCTCCAGAGCTCGGGCGGACACGCTCTCAGCTTGCAGGGACGTCAGCTGCACACACATGCACACGGTTATGTCACTGAACTGGACAGGAGGACAGGAGGACAGAAGGAAAGGGACATGCTGGAGTCCGCTCACCTGTCTCCTCAGCTCCTCCAGTTGCTCCTCTTTACTACTAATTAAGGCACTGTTCTTAGTCAGGGATGCCTTCTCTTTGTCCAGCTGCTCCTTCAGGATGCTCTCACTGCAAATATAAAAAAATACAAATAGCTCACTCAATAACTAATGACAAATGATAAGAAACATGATGGGATGATACAGACAGTGTGTGTTTTAACATAGTGCCAAGACAACCAGCAAAAGTTAAAGCAGCAAAACAAAACCAACGCACAAGGTCAGATGAAGATACTTGATGGGATTTCCCATGCAGATTGTAACAAGTAAAGATAGTATTGACCAAAGATAGTCATTTGAACAGGTATCGATATTTAAAAAGTCCCATTAACAGGACAGAAGTGAAGCTTTCCTGAAGCTGTATCACAACAAATATAAGAGCACATAGACTACTATACACCCACGGACCACTATGGAACCTACCTGGACCCCTGAGGGATTACACTAGGGTGACCAGATTTTCAAATTTCAAAACTGGGACACACTCAGGTTGGGATGGTTTCATATACCGTATTTTCCGCACTATTAGGTGCTCTGGATTATAAGAAGCATTGTCATTAAATGGTCTATTTTTGAACTTTTTTAACAAATAAACCGCACCGGACTTTAAAGGAGAAACAGCAACACAACAGTGTGATGGGTCAGTGGGACTTTGTTTGAACAAAGCCCAGAGTCACCGTGAACGCAGGTGGTGCAGCTTTGTAGTTTACTGAAGTCGTGCTGGGACACCCAAGTGGATTCGTGTATAGGGTGAACTAGGAAGTACGAGCACATAAGTCCTGTGCTCAGGTCTCTGCACTGGCTCCTGTGGTTCAGAGACTTTAAAGCAGCTCTGCTTGTACAAGTCTCTCCATGGCCGAGCACCAAAGTCCATCTGTGACATGTTAGTGCCATATGAACCATCTCACACTCTGAGGAGCTCAGGGACCGGCCTCCTGCTGGTGCCCAGAGTCACGACTAAACAAGGGGAGTCAGAGTTTCAGGTTCATGCAGCTAAAACCTGGAACAGTCTTCCTGAACATGAGAGAAAGGCCTCTTCTGTGACGCTGTTTAAATCCAGGCTCAAAACATTTCTGTTTAACTGTGCATATAACTGAAAGGTTTTCATTCCGCACTCTTCTCTCTAATTTATGTCTCTCTTTTTTAATTTTAATCTTTATGATTGTTTATGTTTTGATTTGTTTTTATTATGATTTTAATGTATTTCTTATTCTGTAAAGCACTTTGAATTACTTGGTGTACGAATTGTGCTATACAAATAAACTTGTCTTGCCTTGCCTTGCCTAGGGTGCTCTGGATTGTGGGGCGCGCGGTCGTTTTTTGATAGGGTTAGAGGCTTAAGAGTGTGCCTAGTAGCCCGGAAAATACGGTAAATGCTCATTTCCAAGCACTGTTTTCTGTATTTTAGCCAAACAAACCACAATATGTGCCCTCTTTACTGTTGCAGAGATCTGATTGGTCCAAAATAGGGACACCTGGGACATTTCATATATAAAACAAATACACAATTCACTGGTTTTGGATAAATCTGCTGGGACAGGGGCACAGGGCTCAAAGCTGGGACTGTCCCGGGTAAATAGGGTCATCTGGTCACCCTGGATTACACAGATATAAAATCACATGGGAATAAAAAAGAAAGCACTACCATTTAATACTGAAAATCACATTTTATTGTCTAAAGTGAGAGTGTTTTTATCATCATCGTGGTCTCAGAATCAGTATTGTGTCTCTTCCCTAGTATCTAAATTGAGTTATAGCATTATAGTATCGTGACAACACTAATGGACATGCAGAAATGAAAATACCAGGTACCTGAAGCTATTAGGCAGGCTTTAGAGAGGCAGAGGACAGAGACAGTAGAGCTTAAAATGTGCTCTGCTTGGTTACACAGTTGAAAATGGCACCTACATGTACTAGATGTGAGTGCTTACCTTTGTTTCAGCTCCTTCACCTGCTGCTTGAGTTTGGAGTGTTCGTTCTTGAGCTGTAAATAAACACCACACACACGTCAGACAGTGGATCTCCCTGCGCTGGCACAGTCACGGCTAACTCCTGCTCACACACTGCACCAGACTACAGAGGGACAGTGGAGCTCACCCTCCACACGCTCCTACAGCTCCACTAAGAAATCCAGGACTACATTCATACACATTCATATAATACTCCATACATCTGTACAGCTCAAACTTTTACTTGTACATCTACTTTTATATAATTATGCCTTATTTGACACCAGTCTCTTGCTGTGTTTGCTACTTATTTTGAATGTATTATTATCATTTATATTTTTATTTTACTCTTTATTATAATACTATCGATCGAGGATTTAAAACCGGAACAAATCATCAAGGGGAAAGACATAATTGCTCTTCTTACAGAATTTGGGAAGAGCTTAATATACCAGTTAGCCCCGTTAGCGGCACATTGCATACGTCACGACCAAATAGCAGCGATTGGTTAAATTACAAAAAAGTACCTGCCTACCGTCGAGTGAACAAATCCTAATAAATCAGACTATTATAATACAGGGTGTCCCAAAAAATTTGACATCAGTTTGTATTCTTACAGAGAATTCTTACAGAGAGTATAGAAACAGATCAAGATTTTATATACTGAATGTTTTATTTTTGTTCTGTTTTCAGGTTGAGCCGTTCACTCCCAAAGAGAAGTCATTTTGGAATCTGCTGCACACACTCACCCAAGACTGTGCAGCTTCAATGTAAAATCGGGAAAAACTTCACCAACTGGCAAAACAAATTTGGACTTGGTAACAAAAATGTAAAGAGGAAGGATCTTATGCAGGGATAAAAGATCACGTATGTGTGCAGTAGATTCCAAGACACAAAATGACTTCTCTTTGGGAGTGAACAGCTCATCCTGAAAACAGAACAAAAATAAAACATTAAATATAAACTCTTGATCTGTTTCTATATTCTGTGAAATTCTGAGGTTATTTCAACAAGAATTGCTTAAATTATTGCCCTGCGAAATGTCACATTTATGGGACACCCTGTATATTGTGATGTGTGAGCTACTGTGTCCAAGTAATTTCCCTTGTGGATCAGTAAAATTTGTTTAAGTCTAATCTGAGTTTGGAGTGAAGGTCAGAGTGGACCTTGGAGAGCTGGGCCTGGTCCTGGTGGCTGTCGTTCAGATCTCTGCTCAGCTGCTCGTGCTCCTGCTGCAGACTCTGAAGAGACTGGCTCTTTGTGGACACCTCCTCCTTCAGCTTCTCTCTGAACACATAGGTTCAAATTGGACTATTATGTTAAAAAAGAACACATTCCAAAGGCATTATTATCTGTTGTTGCAGGGGAAAACGATGGTAAATGGACTGTAGCAACATTTCTGATTAGTTGAGTCATGGAAGAAATATATGTGACTTTTTTATGATTATAGAACCAATTCAGAGAAGATAATAAATCTGAAAACAAGATGAATAACCTGATACAAGTTTTAAAATCCAGGCCAGATCAGAGAAATCTGCAGTGTGACAGTGCCATACAACCACCTGCCTTCATTCAAATGTGATTTTTTAAAGCTTTATTAGACATGACAGCTTAAGTATGAACATGGGGAGAGCTGTCATGATGTCCTTCTCTTTGGACAGCTGACTGTCCGGCCTTGGCAGTCAGTCAAGGCCGGCAGTGGACTCACAACTCCAAGATGGTAACAGTCACATATACGCAATGCCTTAAATCCCTGCCCCACCAGTGAGCTCTCAAATATGGATCTGACATTTTGTCTCATATTTTTAAATAAAATTATAGGTACACGCACATCACTGGTCCAAGGCGACTACAGTGAACACAGAAAGTGAGACAAAGCTGCACACTTACTCCCAAACTGCTTAGAACCATCGCTGAGGGTCATGTACACAATGTAATTTTACTTAGAAATGTAAAACTTCTACACACCCAACCACAGGAAAGATGATAAAAATCAAGGAGACAATTAAACGCTCCACCAAAAATGTCGTTTACCTTTTATAATGCCCCTGTGGAATTGGTTTTGTAGGAAAAACATCTAGAGCTCAAATCTCCGAAGACTCAAATATCTGAACATAAGGAGCAACATTAGAAATGGAGACCTAAGAAACTCTGTATCGGCTCCATCTCCTCCCTTAAATCTACTGGGACAGAGCAGGTGAATCTCCCAAGAAGAGGAGGGGATATTAACAGACTGCTCCTACAAACAGAAAGTTTTGATATTTATTCCTTAAAAACGCTGCCCCCTAGTGGCCTGAATCAAGATTTCCGATGTCATTGACTTGCCCATTGATAATGATGGACTTGGGTAATGGCTCATGTTACATGACGTACAGTATTTATTGTGTTATATATTGTGTTGTGTGGATGACATCTGTGGCTCAATTTTGGATTGGCCAAACAATCAGTGGGCAGAAGGTTTATATGGGAGCAGCACACACAGAACCATGACCTGACCAAGATCCACTCATCCTAACGTTGTTCATTCAGTAAAAGCAGTTTGGGAGTAAGTGTGCAGCTTTGTCTTATTTTCTTTGTCTCATATTTTGCCACTCAGTCTGAACGCTGATGATGACATGAGAATGTACTCACAGCTCCTGGCTCAGGCTCTTGCTCCTCTGAGACTCTGTGCTGAGCTGACCTTTGGTGGTTTTCAATTCCTCCTGGTACTTGGAGTTTTCTTCTTTTAGTGTTTTCATCTAAACACAAAAATGAACAGTAGTTGAGGATGGTGCAGGACACACAGCCCACACTTGTTTCCACCTTGATGAGCAGAGAGTCTGATGTTTGTACTTTTCCACATACTGGCTACTGCTATCGCAGTACTGGCCATCGCTCTTAAAGCTCCAGCACAGGCCAATGTTTAGTTGGAGCGATAAATCAGACTAAAGGAGATAACATGATGTTTTGTGCTACGTTAAAACCATAAGCAGTGCACCCAGTGATACTGCTCCCTCACAGGTTTGCAATAAGACTTTTACAAATACATTACACTTTTATCACATAGAGCAGTGTTCTCTAGTAGCATAACTGATTTTATTATTATAACATGTCATTTTGGTCCTCAAAATCCACTGCTCAAAAACACAGCTCCCTCAACTAGGATTGTCAAGAGTATTGAAACTATCAAGTATCAAAACTAGATACTCATTTTAACAGGTATCTTAAAAAAAGTCACTGACAGGACAGACACAAGCCTTTCCTGAATGTGTTTAGAATGATTTGGAACTGTATCAGAACAAGTAGAAGAGCACATAGACTAGTATACACACATGGACCACTGAGGATTACACACATACAAAACCATGGGAATATAATAGAATACACTGATTAAATGTGTAAAATCACATTCTATTGTCTAAAGAAAGAGTGTTTTTAATTTCATTGTGGTACCACAATCGATATTCAGTATCAAATTTATTCCTTTGTACTGAAATCAAGTTTATAATTTCAGTATTGTGACAACACTAGCACTGACCACGAGGAATATCAGTGGATCTCTACTGAGCTGTCTTTACCTCAGACTCCAAGTGGCTGTTGGAGGTGCGCAGCTCCTCCAACAGAGCCTGGGCCTGAGTCTTCTCCTGGAGCAGAGCAGCCTTCTCTTTGGACAGCTGCTCCAGAGCCTCAGATGTTTTGCCAGAAGACTCTGCAGCCTGAAGTGTGTCAAAAAGAAAACATGAGTACAAGTCGCTGAATGTTAGGTTAGTGTCATTAATTTTGATTTGGAGATTTGAACTATTTCAAACTAATTCTGCATGCTGACAGACAACTATTTGCATTTCAAATTACAGCACAATTATTTCTACTACAGAGAAAAAGAAAATAAAAGTATCTGTACTACACAACTCTCACCTGTGGCCTTAGAACGGTTAACACTCTTCCACCAAAAACAATGTGACTTGACAGTCTCCTCTCATCTAATTGATACTTTGCAGTGACATCATGCTGGGGGGGTTCTGCATATATATGTCTGGCGCAATGCATGGCAATTCCCATGGTAACACAATGTCCACATTAGCATTAAATACCTAAATGTTAATAAAAAAAGAAGGGACAAATCCTGGTGCCACTAGTTCCAAAAAGCAGTGCTACAATGACAGCAAAAACATCCTATAAAGAAAATAAAAAATGGGGAGGCAACAACTGTGAACTGAACTCCAAAACATATTAGTATTTATTCAAGACTATGTCAGAATCTTATTTTGGGGTGGGGGGGGTGTAGGTAGGTGTTATCAGTATTTTTTACTTCAGCCTTTTGTTTTGTTGCAAAATGACCCAATAAACTACAACTACTACAACTACAACTACTACAACAACTACAACTACTACAACAATTACAACTACAACAACTACTATAACTACTACTACACCTACTACTACAACTACAACTACTACTATAACTACTACTACAACTACTACTACTACTACTACAACAACTACTATAACTACTACAACAACTACAACTACTACAACAACTACAACTACTATAACAACTACAACTACTATAACAACTAACAACTACTATAACAACTACAACAACTATAACAACTACAACAACTACTATAACAACTACAACAACAACTACAACAACTACTATAACAACTACTACAACAACTATAACAACTACAACAACTATAACAACTACAACTACTATAACTACTACAACAACTACGACTACAACAACAACTATAACAACTACAACAACTACAACAACTATAACAACTATAACAACTGCTACAACTACAACTACAACTACAACAACAACTACAACTACAACTGGACCCTAGCTCATGTCTCCTCTCGTTTTGTGTAAATTGTATCTCGTCCCAACTCTAGCAGTTTGTAATCAGTGCGAGCGTTCTTTGATTTTCAACAAAAAAGGTAAGAGTGGCTAACTAAAATGGTAACGCTAATGCTAGAGAGTTTGTGACTGTGATGCTATTTGAGAGGGACTTAGTTTCAACTAAGTTAGTTCTTTCTGGTCAGATTGTTTTAATCTAAGCTTTGTTGTAAAACAAAGCCTGACAGAGCATGCCTACAGTTAGCATCAGACCCCCGGGGAACGCTGATAACATCATCTGCAAAGTATCATTTTATATTCTCTGTACAAAAGGTCAGTCCCCAGTGACAGAAAAGGTTGGTCTGTTATGACAAATTCACTCAGTGTAGGGCTGCACAATATATTGTTGTTAGGGCAACAAAAATACCAACACGATACACAAGAAAAATAAAAATATCTCAACACCACAAGTTCTCCATTTTAAAGAAGTATGCCATTTTTGAAAAGTAAAAAAACAGATTTATTCAGAATTCTTACTGAATCCTACATTAGATTTGTTTTTGTCTTTGGTCGAATGACATTCATTTGGTCTTCCGATATTTTATGTTATTAGGTTGTTTTTTCAGACCAAGAGTTTGTTTTCATACCTGACAGTTTCGACTGCTCACTAGCGCTCTTCTTCAGAGTCACGTGATGTTGCTGTGATGTGTCCAGTCAGCTGATTTTGGTTTTGGCACTGGCTTCCTACCGCTTCCTCAGGACAGTATCCCAGGTGTGTGAGAGTTTTTGTTTTGTTTTGTTTTTTTAACTCTCACACACCTGGGATACTGTCCTGAGGAAGTGGGACTGCAGATGGTGCTGTTGTCTTGCCTCCACCGGTAGGAAGACAGCACCAAAACCTGTTTAAATCAGTTGACCGGTCACAGGAACATCACGTGACCACTCTGAGGAAGAGCGCTAGTGAGCAGTCAAAACTGTCAGGTATGAAGTAACACAAAACATACGTTAGTGAATATTGCTTTTGTTCATATCATGCAGCCCTAATTCAATGTATTTCTGAAGACAAACTCTGTACCTGCTTGTTCCCAATTTCGTTCCCTGATAACCAAGAGCCAGGGGAGGACCTGCAAACTAACCAGGCTCATGTGACTGTTTTGCGGCCAGTATCAGAGCCGTTATAAGCCCACAGGAGAGACAGTGAAGGCTGGGAGCTAGCACCAGAGGTTAGTGAATGAAGATGAAAGTTATGCAGTAGGGAGGGAGCGGGGGGGAGCAGAGAGACAGAACAGCGTGCGTTTAATAGTACAGTGGCCCCAGCCATCTAAAGGACTCGTGACTGGTTAGTGCCCGAGGAGGGGGGGGGGGGAAGTACCTCAAGCTGCTTAGAAAGGGCATGTGAGAGCTGTGAGCCGAGCTGGGAGGCCCGTTGCTGGGCTGCGTCGCGCTCCTTCAGCAGGGCGTCCTTCTGGGCTGTGAGCTCCGTGAGGCGGGTGCTTAGCTGGTCCCTCTCTCTGGCTGACGTAGCGCCCTCTGTAGCCGCCTGCTGGTATTGCTTCTGCAGGTCCTCTTTGTCGCGCTGGAGCCTCTTCAGCTCAGCCTCTGCTTGCTTCTGGTCGGCCTGGAACTTGTCCAACTTGGCGCTCAGTCCTAGCTGTTCTTTGAGCCAGTTTTCCCGCTCGCTGCGCAGAGAAGCTAGATCTTGTTCTAAATGACCTTGCGTTAAAGTGAGTTGTTTGTTTTCAGAGCTCAGACTACCCATCTGTTTGTTCATCTCCTCCATTTGAGACTTGAGTTGCTCTTTCTCGCTCCTCAACTGACTGGACTCCTGCTCTTGTTGTTTGAACAGCTTGGACATTTCCTCCACTTTTCCCTTCTTGTCCTGGTCGCTCTTTTGGAGACTCAGAGACACTAGTTCTTTCTCCTGCTTCAGCTTGGACACCGTCTGCTCCAACTCCTCGACCCGTTTGGAGAGGCCATCTTTAACAGCGATCACCTCACTGTGCTGACTAGTTTCCGCTTGGAGCTGTGATTCGAGGCTCTCCTTTGCTTTGGACAGCGCCTGGATTTGCGATTGTAACTTTTGTAATTCTTGCTGTAAACTCTGCTTCTCCGACTGCACGGACTCCAGGTGCTTACTAGCATTGCTCTGTCCAGACCGCAGGTTTTGACAATCCTTTGTGAGGTTGTTTACCTTCTCAGCCAGCTCTGAATTGGTCTTTTCTAGTTGTTGTTTAAAAGCCTCATGTTCCTCAATAAGTTTCTCATTACTTTTATTTAGAGTTTCAACATCTGAAGTTAGTTTCTTCACCTGATTCTCAAAATCAACTTTATTCTGTTTCAAAGCAACCACTACAGCCTCAACCTCAGCTTTTCCCCTTTTAATATCCTCTAACTTGCTGGATAGATCTGACTTCTCTTGGTTAAGTTCTGCATTTGTTTTGGAGACACTGTCCAACTGGTCTTTAGCTGCTCTTAAATCAGCGGACAGCCTTTCCCTCTCTGCTGAAACCCCATCTCTTTCTGCTAGCACCTTTGTTACCTTGCCCTCCAGCTCTCCTTTCTCCCCTGCTAGCCTCTCGTTGTCGGTCTTCTGCTGTTCTAGCGTGGACTCCAGGCTCATGTGCTCTTTCTTGAGTGCGTGGAGAGACATCTCAGCTTCAGAACTCTGCTTTTGGAATGACTGTTTTTCCCGTTCTAGAGCTTCAGCGAGCTCCTTACACTTGTCATTAGCCTGAGCGAGCTGATCTGCCGACGTCTGAACCTTGCTCTTCAGCTCTTGGATCTGTTTGAGCAGCTCTTGGTTTTCGTGACTGGCTTTCCTCTGAACGGTGAGCAGGTCCTCCTTCTCTTGCAGAAGTTGGAGCCTCTCGGAATCTGTAACTTGGCTGCTTGTTTTGAACTCCTCCAACATTTGAGCCAACCCGTTTTTGGATACTTTCACTTCTTCGCACTCACGCCGGCTCGTCTCTAGATCTTTCTTAGTGGAATCGAGCTGATTCTGAAGCGCCTCTTTGGCCTTTTCTAGGTTAGCTTTCTCTAACATGGTAGCGCTGATGTCGTTGGACAGTTTTGCCTTGTCTTTGGTTAGCGTCTCGTTCAGTGCTTGCAGTTGGCTGTTCTTCATCGTGAGATCTTCTTTTTCCAAGTTCAGGGAGTTGAGTTTGGACTGGAGTTCGCCGTTCTTTGCATCAAGGGACTTTTTGGCATTTCTGGCAGAGTCTAACTCCGAGTTGAGGTTGTCCTTCTCTGACATGAGTTTGGACTGTTTTTGCTCAAAATCCTCCTCTAGTCTGCTCTTCTCTTTACAAACGCTCTCATAATTGACATGCAGTTGCTTCTTCTGAGCTTGAAGTTGTTCTATTTCCTGTTGGTGTTTTAGAACAAGATCTTGCTTCTCTGCATTCTGTTTCTCAAGCTCTTGCGTTTTGACTAACTGTTCATTGTACGCATCTTTGAGCTGCTTGCCTTCTGTCCTTGCCACTTCCAGATCATTTGTGACTATCTGCAACTGTTTTTTGAGAGAACCTCTTTCTTCATCTGAACATTTGCTTTGCGTTTGCAGCTCCTCTTGGCGTTTCGAAAGCTCTTCCTTGGCCATATGGAGTTCTTCATTCTGCTGCTTCAGTTGCTTGTAACTACTTTCGATATTGGATAATTTAGCCTGGACTTGTGTAAGCTCCTCTTGTAGTTTTAACTTCTCAGCCTCGCGTTCCTTCTGAATGAGCTCCTGATCTAACCTTTGCTTTTCCACTTGTTGGGAAAATCGGTCAGCGTCATGTTTGGTGGATTGGAGCTCAGCAGAAAGGCACTGGGGAAAAATCATTTAAAAGGGAAACAAAACAAGCAAAAATAAAGAGGGGGGATAAGATGAACCGAAACAAACCGAGCAGATATGGACGTATGCCGCTGGAAAAAGTTAAAATGCAGAAGCAGGCAAAGGTTACACCACGACTGACACCGCACACACCCGTCATATTTAAGAGGAGCACTTTCACTTCAACATACGGGTTTAATATCACCATTTGATATCAGCCATTTTCTGTTTCGTAAGAGCTTGCTGAGATTTGCTACAGTTTGATATATTATAATCAGTTTGTATCAAGAAACTAAACACTCACAATAATGCAATAGTTTTTCCCTTGACACAAAAATGTATTGTTAAATTCTTTACATTTAGTTAAATCTGTACTACTTTAGTGTTTAGTGTTATAAAGACAAGCCAAAATGCTCCTCTTAAATATTTGGCTGATAAAATAGACAGATAGTTAATACCTCAAAAAAAAAAAATATAACAATGAAAATGGAGGTTGATGTAAAAACTATGTAATATTCTCTTATCATGATTGAGTACTTAACATTAACAGTTACTATTGGTTCCTTTATGACAAGAACTGACTGGTAAACAAACTTGACCATTCAAATAATAAATAGTAAGTAGTAGAATGAGTTTTTGTGTGTGTACCTGGGCCTGCTCCTTGTATGCCTGCAGCTCTGTGACCAGCCTCTGCAGCTCCTCCTCCTTCTGCCGGGACAGGCCCAGCTCCTTCTCCAAGTGCTGGACCTGAGCCTGTACCTGGCGCACCTGCTGCTCCTGTCGCTCCTGCTCCTGTTTGTGGAGCTCTGAGGCCTTGCCCAGGGCCTTCTCATGGGACGCCTTCAGCTCCTCCACAAGAGCAGCTCCATCCGCAACTGACTTCTCCTGCGCACAGTAAATGTATCAGATTGGATTTAGGTTTTTAATAAAGATGCACCATCCACATCTTGGAGCAGACGCAGAAAATAGCAATTGTCTGTTTATCCTTCAAGTAACTTCAGAAGAGCATTGAACTAACAACAAAGTTTTGAAATTATGAGCTATACTGGTACAACCACACCTTTAATTGGTTTTTAGACATTTTTCTTGAAATATGTATTAAGAGTGTTAAGCAGGGCATGTTTTTAGATGATGAATTTCTTTACTGACCAGTGTGGTGATCTTCTCCTGGAGTTGTTTAGTCTCTCCCTGGTGTGCATCTCTGGTCTCTTTCAGCTGCTGTTCTTTCTGGGCTTCGTTCTGCTGGAGCTTTTCATTCATCTGAGCCACTTTCTCCTTCTCCTCAGCCAGAAGGCCCTGCAGCTCCTCTAGCTTCCTAAAGACACAACATGACACACATGTGGAATCACAGCACTGTAGGGTTTAAACAGGAGAAGACCTTGTAGTGAGGAACAGTACCGCTCTTTGTGCATGAGGTCTTGGTTCATCTTGGTTAGCTGCACTGAGCTGTCTCCAGACTCCTTCATCATGTCGGAGATGTCCTTTTCCAGCTTACCCTTGTCCTGTGTTAACTGCTCAACCTTTTCGTCGGCCGTCTTCAGCTTTCTCTCCAAACCTGTGGGACAAGACTGTTAGTCTCATTATCAAATAGAAACATTAGAAAACTGTTCTTTTGAGAATGTGCATTAAAAGGTGTGACAGACACATACATAAACCCAACAACAAACCTAAAAACATCTCACCTGTAAGTTGACCTTTAAGTGCTTCAGTTTGTGCAGTTAGCGCGGTGAGCTGCTCCTCCTTTGCACTCAGCTTCTCACTTGTTTCTTGCATAGTTTTTAAGGATTTGGTGTGTTCCTCTGTGATTTCGGACATTTTCTGTTTCTGTGGTTGAAAACAAGCATACATAAGCATAGCACTTTATGGTGAATAATTCTGAAGTATACAGAAGAACATTACACTCACAAGGTCTCCAAGCTCCTTTTCAAAGCCATCCCTCTGCTGCTGTAGAGCGCTCACACTCTGCTGGAGAGAGAGGGCCTCCTTCTCCTTGGCCTCCAGAAGAGAGCCCAACTCCCCCACCTGAAAGGCAAGGTTATAATAAACACTTACTTAAAGAATGGATTCATACATTGATTCTTTAAAAAGAAATGTGTGTATATTTACTAAGGCAGCAAGATGAATCCCAATCAAATAAAAATTGACATTAGAATGGGCGCAATGATCAAATCAGAAAGTCTGTAGTTTTTTAAGTACCAGAATTGCCTCCACAATCTCCTGTCTTGTTCTACATAAAAACTGCCAATCCTATAGTTTAGATCTGTATAAACATGTTCTGAAATACATGTGATTCTGTTTCTTTTAGTTTGTCAGCTCAAATTTAATCTCTTTTGTCAATTCTTCTGGATGTAAAATGAACACAATCCTATTTTCACAACATAAATTGACAATCTAAACGCAGACCTTGTCAGAGAAATTGCAACTTGACATTGTCCCCAAATCGTGCAGCCCGAATATTGTGTTTGTACAGAAATGTATCTGTCACAATCAAATCCAGAGCTCAGCATATTATTGATGTTGGCAATCACTGACTATATTCTATATCCAGTATAGATCCATGATATAGAAATATAAACAGTTTCTCTGTGCCTATGTCAATGCAGTCCCTTACCTTGGCCCCCTGCTGGCTCTGAGCGTGCTGTAGCTGCTTCTTCACACTGCTCATCTCCTCTGTGCTTTGTGCTTGTTGGCTGCGCAGAGCCTCCAGTTGGGCTGTCTTCTCTTTGGTTTCTCGCTCCTTGTCTTGAACCTCTTGTGTGAGCTTGGCCTCCTTCTCTTCAAGCTCCTTCAACCGCAGCTCTGCAGTGTGCAGTTTGCCCAAGATCTCTTCCATCTCCACAAGGTGCTGCTCCTCTGCTTTCTCCACACGGGCCCTTAAGTTCTCCTGTAGCCTCTCCTTTTCCTCAGTCACAGCTGAAAGCTGCGTCTTCAGAGCCTGCATTTCCTGAGTCCGTGTGGATAGTTCATTTTTGAGTTTGGCGTCACTCTCCTCTCTAAAACTCTTATGCTCCAGCTTGAGCTTTTCTAGTGCACTTTTGGTTTCAATGAGCTCTGCTGTCTGTACGTCTGTGCCTTTGCTGAAAGACATCTTTAGCTCTTCCATGGATTGCTGGTGAGATGATACGGCAGACTCCAGTTTAGACCTCCATAGCTCCAGCGTGTCAGAGTTCTCTCGCTCCACCTGGTTCAGGCGCATCTGAAGCTGCTCTTTCTCACTGGAGAGCTGTGTACATGTGCTCTGAAGCTTAGCAGCACCCTTCTCCTGTGTGTCCAGCCGCTCTTTGTAGCCCTTCAGCTCTTGTTGCCGTTTAGATTCTTGGGAAGCTAACTGATCTCTCAAAGTGCTTATTTCTTGTAGTAGTGGAGCCATACTGGAGCTCTGATCTTCAGAGTCTGGCTGGCTGGACAGACGCAGCTGCAGGTCAGACACTTCTCTGGTGCGCACAGAAAGCTCCTTCTCTAATTCTAGAATACGAGACCTCTCGGAAACAGTTGCAACCTTCAAAACACAAATTGTAAATAAGAAATGGGTGCCATCTCCAACACTTACCATGGCATTCAAAAGTACATGGGTTATTAATAATATGTTCTTAAATAGTGGTCTGTATCACATCAACCATCAGCTATTTCTTTATATGCTCCTTTATCCTGTAGGATCCCTCCTTCAAACTTGCCAATTGGATCTCTCAATGTTATGTAACGTAAGTAATGTCATTCAAATCAACTGTGACAATTTGTTCATTATATGCCTTAATAAATGTCTTTATGATTATCATCTCGTCTGTGTTGTTTTTATGTTTAATTCCTGGGTGATGGCACTCCTAATGGAGAGGATTCTCCCTGGAAAGATCCTGTGACTTAAATTTAAACTGACCCTTTGTAGTGACTAATATTCCAAAAAATAGATACCTCAATCTCTTTATACAAATGACTTACAAAATGACAGTTTCATGACTGTTCATTAATCTGCAAGCTTGGGAGGGACACAAATGCATATTTGAAGCGGACTAGCAAAGGGCACTAAATAAGCGGGACACATGGATGTTGGGAGGGTCTGGGGACACAAAACATGGGATAACTTATCCATAATAAGCTATAGACAGGGCAGATTTGGTCTGTCTTATATGTGTCTGAGCATTATGCCAATAGAATATTCTATTACTGATTATTTGTGTGCATAGGTAGAACTGTTGAAATCCAGATATACCAATTGTCAAAGCTTAGTTCCAATCACTTTGTGGCCCCTTGCACATGTAGCCAGTGCAGTACAGAAGTCATTACCCTAGTGTCTTCTAACTCTCTTTGGAGTTTCTCAGCTTTGGTCTTTTCAATGTGCAGCGACTGTTCAAGCTCCATAATGCGGGCATGCTCCAGCCTGGTCTGCGTCTGTTAGTAAACAAGGAGGGAGAGGAAGAGAACACACCAAAGTGCCACCATCACATGCCAGCCCAACACAGGAGACAGAGGGTCAGGGGGGTCAGGGGTACAGGGGGCACAGGGAGGACAGGGTTTAGAATGGTCTGTGGGGATGCATGTGTTGTACAGATCAGTCATTTTGGCTCGGGGTTCCGATTTAAAAAGCAGGTTAAACATTTCGGGAAGAGAAGTTTCAGAGCTACCCAATTTGCCTGCTGCCCTAGTATGTGGCTTTGTTTATATGCACACCAAAATATGATTATTATCGGACTATTATAGAACTATAATATCATGTCAATTAAATGCAGACAAGCTGCTAAATCTGATGTGGGCAATCAGAGACCATCAGATAATTTTGATGTTTACAAGTCATATTACAAAAATAAAAATAAAAATCTAATAATAATCACATCTTGAGTGTGCATGTAAGCATAGCCATTGTATCCCAAATCAGTTACCTTTAGAGAAAATGTACATTGTATTGTAATACATTTTGAAGCATGACATTCAAGTTTTTTTTTTACAAAGACATCATCAAATCCATTAGATGAATATCACTAATGGATGTCTAGTGATATTAGAAGATCAGCTGATAATTGCCCAAGTCATTAAACTCAAAGTACTAATTGACTGTACGTACTCTTAGCTTGCTTTGAGAAGTTTTATTATTCATGAGTCTAGTGTGGAGTTGAAAGGTCCTGTATTACAAAAAGCAGACGCCTGTGAGCTTTTAGCCATGTTACAATGTTGTTATCTCATCAAAAACAGACCTGAAGTTGTGTTTTGTTTCATTCACACATGTTTGAGCAACTCTGCACCATTAGGTGTCTGCATACCCAAAACTCAAAATGCTCTGTTTCACCTTGTGATGTCATGAAATGGTAGTTCTAAGATCAACAGTTTTTTTTTTGCCTCGATTGAACTACTTCAACTCTTCAGTAGTCTAGAATAACAAATTGGTTGGTTGTTTTTTATTTTGGAATATTTTAGTTATATATTTTGTACAGTTGATTGTCAATAGAAAGACTAATCTCTACTGGTGCATAAACTTATTTATTCAGTAATTTACCAGATAAGTCAATTGACAACACGTTCTCATCTGCACTGACGACCTGCCCAAAGATAAATGAGTGGAGATAAAACAATGGCTGAAATGATCCAAAATGATTCTAGTGACGGTATATGGAGTTTAAAAACACAGAGCAGTTCCAATTTTCAGTCTGAGAAAATAGCACAGCCTAAAGATGCAGGGTGTGTGTGTTAAAACGTGTGTCAATGAAACAGAACAACTCCAGGTGTGGTTTTGATGAGGAAACAACATTATTCACAAAAACAGTGCAATACGGTCCCTTTAATATCACTAAACTTTATGATTCATTTCTACTGAAGTTGAACCTGCTTTTTAAAACAGAGCCCAGATCTTATGTTGGACGAGTTGAAATCTGAAAACACCCCATGCCTGTAACGAAGCCTGGGACCAAAACAGCTGCCATGTTTCATTTTTGGTTTATGATGAATGGGAGGATTACAGGGCAAGCAGCAAGAGGAGGAGGACTGGGTTATGGGGAGAGGGAAGGCGGGTGGGGATGAGGTAAACATGCAGTACACCTGGTGAATGGAGCACACTGATTGTTAAGATAAAAAAACATGTGACCACGTGTGTCGAGCCAGCCATTATTTCACATACAATGACCTCATCAGGAACCCGGGGAAAACAGTGCCGTGGATCATCTCTTAAGTTGAACAATTTTAAGATGGAATTGAAATCAGATTTGTTGCACTGTTTACTCGCTGTAATGATTAGGCCATTTCCAACACCAAATAAAGTACTGTACAATAAACCACCAAAAAATCATTATGTAAAATCATTTGGATGAAAAGAAAAATAAAACCAAAGGGGATGTTGACTCAGAATTCATTGTAAAATTAATCCTACTTAATGATTTATGTATTGTAGGGCTGTCAAAAGTATCAAAAATATACAAACTGACACCAAAACTATCAAAACAAAAGTATCAATATTAAAGCTGTATCAGAACAAGTGTAAGAGCACATAGATGAGGATACACCCATGAACCACTATGAGCCTACTGCACCACTGGGGGATTACACACATGTAAAAGAGTGTTTTTTTTTAAATTATCATTGTGGTAATGGAATCAATATGAAGTCTATTAACTTAAAATCAAAATCAAGCTTGAAATTTTAGTATAATGCCAACACTATTAACCACCTTGATTTCAACAGTAAGGAATAGACTCGGTACTCAATACCAATATGATAATAAAAAAAAAAAAAAAACACTCCTTCACAGCAGAATGTGGTAGTACTTTCTTTTCTATTCCCATGTGTCCTTATATGTGTGTAATCCCTCAGCGGTCCAGGTAGGTTCCATAGTGGTCCATGGGTGCAAAAATATCAAAATATCAGTATATCGTGTTGTTGAAAGTGATGATACAGTATCGATATCGAGGGCTGCTGTATCGATATATCACCGAGAGTATTTTTTGGCATATTTTACTGAATTATTTTGTTGCAGAGCTACAGTTTTGTTGCTTGTTTAGAGAAAGACACGTTTGACATTTTCAGTTTTGATGATTAAAATGGGTGTATTATGGGTGCTTTAACCATTATTTTTATTGAACTGTATTGAATCGATTTGAAATATATCAAGCCGAAAGTGCACTGTATCGAGATATGTAGGTATCACGGCCTATGTATCGAGGTATGCATCTTATTGGCAACTTCTTAATGATACCCAGCTCTATCCACGGGCGTATACTAGTCTATGTGCTCTTATACTTGTTCTACTCAACTGAAGATCATTCTAAAGCTGTTCAGGAAAGGTTTATTTCTGTCCTGTCAGTGGGACTTTTTTTGATATCAATACCTGTTCAAACGATTATCTAGTTTCAATGTTAGTTTTAGTATCAACAAAATTGTCAATACTTTTGACAAATCCCCCACTGGCTATGTTTTTCAACTAACCAAGTGTTGACTAACGCATTATAACCTGAGTGTGAATTTGTGTTGGGACAGTGGAGAAACGAGGGGACATTTGCAGTGGTTCCATGCTAAATACTGGACCGACAAGACAGGGGAAAGAGGGGGAAAACAGCAATTATGTTACATGGCTATAACCAGGAAGCCACCGCCTTGTAGCACATTAGTATGTCCGCCTTTAGTCCAAACATGTTTCAAGCACCATGCAGTTTAATAGTAGAGCTCTGAGTTAGCACACCACGGTTAGCTCTGGGTTCGGAACAAGAAGAAATACTCTAACCCTGTACTCTAAAGGTTTAAGTTGGAGATGTGTGCCTTCAGGGTTTTCTGTGCTGGGAAACAAATAAGATGGAAATAATGCAAAACATGTACGGGGACACACACTCTTCACACTGTTCGATAAGGGTATCAAGCTGTAGGGACAAGACCAAAATATGCAAATGTACAGTGTACCATCATACTTTAAACATGACAGTTTTAAAAAATAAAGGTCTCAATATATTTTAACAGTTTCTTAGTAGAAAGTGTAATCTACGTTTTCAGCAAATTGACCATTCAGACCATTGAATAACTAAAATAGACAGCCCTGAATTGTAAACTGGTAATACACACTTGCCACATCATCCAGCTTGAACTGCTATTAGAATATAAGAAAATGAAAAGCTACAGGAATCAATCCTTCACTACTGAATATCTGCAGAAAACTATGGTAATGAGGCATTACCTCCAAGTCTCCTTTGGTGATGCAAGCTTCTTCAACACGGAACTGAAGGTCCTCCACTTTTCTGTTTGAGGAAATAGTCATGTACAAACTATACATTACTACATGACTGTACTCCAGTATTGTGTACCGTGTCACAATGTCAAAATGGCGGTTGTAGTTCTTACCTGCGTTCCTCCTCTAATTGATTGAGCAGCTCTACTTTGTCTTTGTCTGCTGCTTCTACCAAGGCACGTAACTGATCCATCTTTGTCTCCATCTTTAAACAACAATTGGAGACATACACATAGACTTAAAATGGACAAACTGTGCCTCCTGTACTCATCACAACACAATGCCTATCTTCAGCAATACAGAAAATTGTACAAATAATGTGTGTGCTATTTTAAGTGTAATTTTGGACTGATTCGAAGTGGCACTGGCCAGTAAAATGCTGCTGTCACCTTCCAAAATTTGGGGAATAATGTAACTATTGTTAAACTGATAGATCTGATTCTGAAATAACTTGGATCTTGTCACAAACACATCAGAATCTCGAAAACACATTATGCCGTTAGTTCTATCCTCAGAGATGTGTGCAGTGTCACCAAAACACAATGTACGTGATGATTGTAAATGTTATGATGATGTCATGTCATGTGGAGCTATATCTCTAGAGTGTGTGCATAGTGACCTCATCGCGGTCGTCCCTGAGCAGAGTGATTTCTTGCTCCATCTCTCCTGCCTGGCTTGTAGCTCGGGCCACCTCAGCTCTCTCCAGGTCCCTCTCTGCCATCAGCTGCTCGATGTGCTGCTGCTTCTCCTTCAGCGCCTCCTGCAGAGCTGTGGTGCCTGAGATCTTACGGTTGTACCTGGATGAGGTCTCCGTCAGCTGCGGAACATCACACAGGTTTAAGATGTGAATTAGAAGACTAATGTGGAGCAATGTCACGATCTATGGGTTTAACACTGAACTGCTTAGAGATACAGCAGAAGAACTTGGTCCATTTGACTGTATCCTTTTTCAGTGGAGGGCAGGCACTCACCAACTCTGCTGCACATGCCCAGATGTCACAAGTAAAAAGAATAAGAGAACCATTTATTTGACTCAATTGAAATATAATGGCGATTCCAAAAATAAACCTGAATACCAGTCACTTTTAAGTCCACTGACCAAAAGACCATTTCTGAGGTGATGGGCCCACCACCTGCTTATCTCCATGGAGATTTTACATCTTTGCCTGGAATGTCTCACAGTATGTCTATTTCCATGGAAACAAATGGAGGTCAGGTCTGTGGAGAGGTGACTGCAGGCCTGAAGGTATTTGTAATAATAAATACAAGATAGATCAATTCAGTGCCACACTATAGAAGGCACGCAGGTGGCGTAGCCTCCATCAGCAAAGTGGTTATTTTCACATAACATGAATCAGCACATAAATCACCGTGCAGTATGTTTTCGCAGAACCAACTTAAAGGGCTGTATGGGGTCTCACCAGGCCTGTGCGGCTGGGCTTGGCGCTGGCTGCAGACGTCACCGAGCTCATGGTGCTGATGGAGGAGGCACTGGGGCTGCGCTTCAGGCCGGAGGGGGTGGTGGTGGGGGTCTTACGTGCTGTGGTCTTGGCTTTGGCCGGTGTGGTGGAGGGGAAGCCGATACGTGTGACCTTGTGAACAGGGGCAAACAGGCCGTATTTGGGCTGGCACTGGAAATACCTGCACACAGACAGCTTTGTTAGTGTCTTATCTTATGCAAAATGGACTCCTGTGAACTTTAAGCCATGCAGTTTAAAGAGAGAAGAACTCTGAGGGGTTTGTGCGTTAAACATGTGTGAATGAAACAAAACTCAACTCTTGGTACATCATGAGGGTCCTTTAAATGTGATAATACTGTGTAAAGTGTGATTGGTGTACCTGGTGCCGGCCACTGCCCCGTCGTTTTTGCCCAGAGGTTCATCGAGTTCCACGCCGCACCACTCGCCTTTGGCAAAATCTGTCTCTCCAAGGAAGCGCACCACTCCAGCCTTTGTACCGCCGACCTGAAGAGTAGCACGCAGCATTAGCCTACTCAGCGTGCTAATGTGTGCATTGTGTCACCATGGTAACTAATGAACGTTCCAAAAATAGAGATAGATGTAGGGGACTATGGTTTTGAGCTTTTGGCCTGGGGCTTATGGTTGGGACGGGGACTTCAGGTGCTTGTCTTGTCCTGTCCAGTTTGTCTTGTTCCGTTTTGTCCTGTCTATTTCTGTGAGTCTCTGTCCTGTCTCTGTCCTGTCTCTGTCCTGTCTCTGTCCTGTCTCTGTCCTGTCTCTGTCCTGTCTCTGTCCTGTCTCTGTCCTGTCTCTGTCCTGTCTCTGTCCTGTCTCTGTCCTGTCTCTGTCCTGTCTGGCTTCTATCTTTGTCTCTGTCCTGTGTGTCCTGTCTCTTCCCTGTCCCTGTCTCTGTCCTGGGTGTCCTGTCTCTGCCCTGTCTCTGCCCTGTCTCTGCCCTGTCTCTGCCCTGTCTCTGCCCTGTCTCTGTCCTGTCTCTGTCCTGTCTCTGTCCTGTCTCTGTCCTGTCTCTGTCCTGTCTCTGTCCTGTCTGGCTTCTATCTTTGTCTCTGTCCTGTGTGTCCTCTCTCTTCCCTGTCTCCATCTCCGTCTCTGTCCTGTGTGTCCTGTCTCTGTCTCCGTCTCTGTCCCCTGTGTGTCCTGTGTGTCCTGTCTCTGCCTCGGTCTCTGCCCTGTGTGTCCTGTCTCTGCCTCTGTCTCTGTCCAGTCTGGGTTCTGTCTCTGTCCTGCCTCTGTCCTCTCCGTGTCCTCTCCGTGTCCTCTCCGTGTCCTCTCCGTGTCCTCTCCGTGTCCTCTCCGTGTCCTCTCCGTGTCCTCTCCGTGTCTCAAGTATGAGAGGTCCTGATTACCCATTTGTCCTGTTTTGTTTTTAAATTATTGTTATATTTTGTATATATTTTTTGGTCAGTGTGGTTTAATCTGGTTGTAATTTTTGCTCAGTATTATTATTGTTTTTATTTGTGTTTATTGTTTAATTTGTTGTGTTGATTTGACTAAGATTATTATATCGCAGAGACTGAATAATAAAAAAAAAAAAAGAGATAAATGTAGAGCACCCCTGGCATGATGTCAGTAGGTACGAGAACCAACTATTTTTGGGCTGTTCTTGTATTGCTACAGTTCACTTGGACAAATGTTTACTGAGATAATACTGCTTTACAGTTGTTGTGTGAGTGGTATAAAGTAGTTTCAATGTTATCGTTTTTTGGGATATCTTTCTGTATTAATATATGGTGTGTTCTCCTGACGGGCCTGCACTGATCTCGCACAAAGCTCCACATTTCCTCTGGCGTATGTTTGGACTGGACAGCTGCAGCACTGGTGAGGGTGAGCACATTTCCTTTGCAGCTCCGTGGGCAGAATAAGCACTTCCTCTTTACATAAGACGAGGGAAAGGCTGAAGGAACACATGGAACTCGCATAGATTTACATGATCAGAACCTGTGCCATTCTTCAAATGTAATGTTGAAATCAACCTCGTGAAGAGATTTTCTTATTAAAGTGGGTGTTGGTAAATGTTTTTGATTATATATTTAAAGGTTCTATGCTGAAAATTGACTCCTGTGAGCTTTAAGCCGTGTTAGTTCATCAAAAACATACCTGGAGTTGTGTTTTGCGCAACCCTTTATTATTATTATCTACATCCCCAAAACTAAAAATGCTCTGTTCCACCTTGTGATGTCATGTAGTGTCAGTTTTCACAGCTCCTTTCACCTTCAGCTTAGTAGAGATCAGAAATTCCAGGGCTGAAATGATCCAAATGATTCTAGTGAAGGTGTTCGGAGTTTAAAAACACAGTGGAGCACTTCCTGTATCACCACATGACATCACAAGGTGGAACTGAGTGTTTTCTGTTTGAGAGATGAACTCAGTCTAAATCTGCAGGGTTTGTGTGTTAAACGGGTGTGAATGAAACAAAACACAACTCATAGTCTGTTTTTAACTACATTAGAATATAGATCAGAAAATATTTCAAATGAACTTTGATAATGTGCTTAGGGCTTTAATTTGACTGAGTTGAGAGATGCAGTTCCAACATAAAATGCAGCTTTTGTGGTCAGAAGGATAAAATGGCCTATCATGGTCACATTTCTCCCCTATACCCAAAAAAATCAGTAAACTGGTATTTTAAGTACAAAGGAGAGCATTAAACTTGTTGCACTCAATCAAAATGAGACCGCTGTGTACTGTTTGCATGCAAATATAAAATGGTTTTATAATCAGAGAATTAGAAAGTGCGCCGTTAGCATGCTAAATGTTGCATGCGTTACTGTGATGGTTTGTGCTTTTGTGGTGAATAATTTGGATGTTCTGCAGCGGTCCAAAGTTGAATCCTCACTTATCTTATGCAATCAAACTGTATAAAATTTACTAGTTCTTCGTGTCATCTATTTCAAAAGGCAAAAATCTGGTGCAGTGACTTTAAATTAAACCATTCATTAAAGATCACCAGTTACACTTTTGTCTCCACACACTTTTTTCTTTTTAGTGGGCATGTAAGCTTTTTGACATACTGGAGCTGTAAACGTGTGTGTCTGTGTAAGTTTACCAGCACGCGGTCGCCCATCTTCAGTTCCCTCTCGCCCTTCTTCACAGAGCCGGACTCGGACAGGTTAGACACAGATTCGCTGTTAGTGCGGGCCAGGTTGGAGCTAGCTGCTGCTGCTGTTCCTGCTGCTGCTGCTGCTGGAGTGGTCTTCTTCACAGCGGCAGAGGCTGGGGTGGATTTGGGCGCGGGGGTTTGGGCCACCACACTGCCCACAGAGGGAGTGGGGGAGGCGGCCCGGGACGGAGGTGCAGTCTGGGTCCCGTTGGCCTCTCCCTCGGTGCGTGACAGCTTGGAGGGCCGGGTGAAGATCCCTCTCAGGGCTTCACACTGGAAGTAGCGCACCCCTGCCACTGAGCCGTCGTTCTTCCCAATTGGCTCGTCCAGGACTATGCCCGCCCACTGTCCAGGGGCGAACTGGGTCTCTCCCAGAAACTGGATGTAGCCCGGCTTGTTCCCGTTCACCCATACTCGCTCCCCGACTTGAAAGTTCTCCTCGGACGCTCCATCTCCTGCACTGGCACTTGGAGCTGATTTGTCTGTCGCTGCTTTGGCTCCTGTTAAAGGAGAAACAAAAGCAGTTAACCATGACTGGAAAGAGCTACGTATTAGTGCTGTCACGATAGGAAGGAAATAATAAATGATAATTAAAAACACAAATTCTTTAGACAATAAAATGTGATTTGCAACATTAAATGGTAGTACTTTCTTTTCTATTCCCATGTGTCTTTTATGTGTGTAATCCTCAGTGTTCCAGGTAGGTTCATGTTGGTCCATGGGTGTATACTCGTCTATGTGCTCTTCTACTGGTTCTGATATTGCTCAACATTATTCAAAAACTATTAATTTCTGTCCTGTCAATAGGACTTTAATATCGATACCCGCTCAAATGAGGATCTAGTTGCAATACTAGTCAAAAGTATTTAAAATCTGATATATAATAATAAAACACCTAATAACATGTAATAATAAAACCCTAATAAGTACAAGTATCCACTGTTTTCAACAACTGTGACTATTCTAAAAAGACTTCATGGCCCAGCACCAGACAGAGATAAAGGGCTAAGTGGGTGGGGTTAGGATTTCATTCCTTAACATCCACACTCATAGTTCAGAATCAGGTATACATCTCTTATAATGTAATCAGTTTATCCAGAGTGAATAACGGTCTCAAGACTACTTATCTTTACAGTAATACTGCAATTTGAGAATCATTACTAAAATACAAAATATGGGCACTGCATTACAGTATAATACTTCACTAGCTGCAGAGAGATGCCACAATCAAATGTTACTATTTTTATGGGTGTCAGAGCGCACCAAGCAGATGAAACAGAGCGGGCAGGAAAAAACAGGCATCTAGCCAGGAATGTGCAAAAACACGCACTGTAACAAGAAAAAAAGATCCTAAAGATCTGAAACACTGCAGTGTCATTTTGTGCTAAGTACTTATTGGATGTTCCATGGGACTGCAGAAGAAAACAGCCTCACTATGACAAAATGTGTCATTTACTGAATCTCTGATGGGCTCATGCTAATACTCCATCACATTTTCATAAAAAAATACATTAATGTTACACTGTTGTTTGTATTGTCCTGCCTTTGAGTCCTGAGCACTCTGAAAATTCCTGTTTTCACCAACACCATATCTCCACCCACATACCTGTACTTAGTATCACGAATGTGATGAGTCTTAATTTTTCCAACGCTTACTACTGAGTCATGCACACGTGGTTGAAAAATGTTTAGTGTTTATTGTTACCTGCAGTGGGAGCAGTCTTGGTCGCCGCCACTCCCGGCCGGGCGATCTTGCTGGGAGCTTTGAGGCCGCTGGGCTTGGCTGTGCTCATGGTTGTGCTCTGAGGGGCCTACAGCCACAGGACACGTGTGCAGACTGGGCCCAGGACATTCAAACTCACAGTGATGGTCACACACTCTTCACTCACAGTCCCATGTGCACGAGCAGACATGGGGAGAGGAGCGCAGGAGTCACCAGTACTAAACACCTGCAAATCAAAGCCACAATACATGACAAAAGTGTATAGGATTAAACTGTACTTTCTTACAAAGCTCGGTGAGTTTCAAATACATACCATTCAAAACTCATCACTCATCAGAAATGTTATTATTTTATTATCAGCACCGAAAACATTGACAAGAAAATGGCTTCAAACTGAGGTACCAGTAATGGAAGAGTTGTACAATACTGTTTATGAAATATTTCGGATAGAAAGACTTACGATGTTATTGAGACTTCAAAAGGAAAAATTTCATGTGTTTTGGCAGAAGCGGATCCAATATATAACTGTTTTGAGACCCGATATTGTGTGAATTAGTGGTCTAACAGAAAGGAAGTAAGGAGGGGAGATAAGGTTTTAAAAAAAATTTTCACTTGCCCTTTTGTTTTTTTTTATTCTTTTGTGTATTTGTTAACTCCTGTGTTGTTATTTAGATTGTGTTTGTGTTGTACAAAAAGCTCTGTTTTTCTTAACAATTTGTGCTTCCAATGTAACTGACTTGTACAAATCCATTAATAAAAATAATAATCATTTTTTTAAAAAGTGCATTTCAGAAAAAGTTTCAAAGGAGCGAGTATTACACTTTTTATGAGATATTAATTGCTAACACAGATCATATTTAGACCTTTTATTGATTTGAAAATGTTATATTCGCTGAAAACATTAAAGTGCTGCCACTGAAACTAATGGTCAGTGCATCCAGTTTGTGAAGCAGCAGTGTAATGTTTTGTATCCTGCTCTTGTTTACTTGGCTGTGCAGGACCACGAGCAGGAGCACTGCAGGGAGCTTCCGGGTCACGTAGGCTGGTGGGCTGAGTCTTGTACAAGAGGCATGGGCTAATACTGTAAAACCACTTCAGTCATGTTTTTGATGAGGAAAAAAAACGTTATAACATGGTAGAAAGTTCAAATTTTCCACATAATAGCCCCTCTTTAAAAGGTTATAAATGCAGCTTTTGTGTCTTAATTGCCATTTTATTCTGTTCAGCCTTTACTTTAATAGGTTATAAAAGTCCACAGAGCTCCCGGAGTTGGTCTTGTGTGTGTAGTGAATGGAGGAACTTGGATCTGTTATGACAACAAGCTCTCAGTTAGCAAAGCGCGCGTCACTGTTCGCCCTAAAAATACCCCGTGTAAGGCCCTCCACATGCAGCCTGCCCTCAACCTCACAGCCCATAATACTGCGCGTGACCTTGACAACAACCCGCACCCTTCCCAAATACTCGTCTGTATATCTGTCGTCGCGAATCGTTACACAAATCAGATGAAATCACTGGAGTCAGGCTGTCGGCTTTTCTCAAACAGGATTACAGAGACAAAAGCAGATTATCATGTTTATCTTTTCACAACCCACTGGTTACATGGACATGGCCTCGTTTATTAATATGCTGCTAAAATATGATACAAACTTTAACTTTCCTCTTGCCTGATGATTTCAACTGGATGCCCCTGCAAGTGTCTTACCAAGAATTACAAGGACAGTATACACCTTGAGAGATTTGATCCTGTAACCTTTTGGTCAGAGGGCAAAGGGCAGCCTACTATAGAACCACCATCATCACCATAGATTAACTCAACGAAAAGAGACAACACAATCTTTTGTATAGCATTTAAAGTAGTACTATGAAACTTTCCTGGTGGAGGGGATGGGACAAGATCTCGTGCCACAAGATCGTGCAAGAGAAAATCGCCACAAGATCATGCGCACATGAGAAAAATTTTCTTATCAGATTTTTTCCCCCTTATATTTATCTTTGGCATGGACAAAAAATAAAAATAAGAACATAAGAGCTGGCGAGTTATACAATTTGAGAAGCTGTAGTTTAAAAAAGCAATACTACAATGATCACTAAAGTATGACATAAAATAAATGAAGCCAACATTGTGAAATGGTTGCACTATTTAGTCATTACAAATTATATCAAAATCTAGTCTTGTCCTCGTGGACCCGATCTTGTGGTGGGTCTCGTCTCGTGAAAACTGCGTCTCGTCCCACCCCGGGTGAAAATGTTGTCTCATGTTGAGTAATGCAGTACAACATTAAACTTATCTGTCTACTGTTTACCCCACCACATATTTTATTGCTGAAAAATACCTTGCAAAAAGAATCTTTTTGAAAGCAGGGTTGCCTTTTTACAGATCGGACTTGTGATTTGACCTGTTGGCATCATCTGCTTGTGTCCGTGGAGATTCGAGGTCGACCGATATTAATTATTTTTTATGGCCGAAGCTGATACGAGCAACCGATAGCCGATAAGCTCTGCCGATATTTAGACTTAGACTTTATTGTTCCACAAGGGAAATGACTTGGACACAGTAGCTCACACATCACATTATATTACAATAACAAAGAGTAAAAAATTTAAAAATTGTAATAAACTTCTAAATAAGACATAAATTAGGCCAGATTTTGATCATTTACAATCATATATTTTGGGGTAAAATTAAGACTAACTATTGCCCCACTGATATATATCGGTCTATCTCTAGAGACAGACAAGTTTAATGCTATACTGTGGAATATTCCAAGCAAATAGAGACAAGCAGGTCCACGTAAAGAAGCAGGTGACAGACCCTCCACCCCAAAAAGGATACAAAGTGCACCTTTACATTTTAAATTAATTAACCTTTAAAAGAATGGGAAGTAGAATAGGAGAAGCCAATGTACAATTCCCTCACACTGTGCAATATTATCAGAGTAGTTGTGGTTACCATGGCAACAAAAGGTTAGAGTGACTTTACAAAATCCTAGTTATTTTTACTTGCTTTAGGCAGGTCATGGAGCAACTGTAAGGAGGATAGCAGATAGTGAGTGGTCTTACAACAGCTTGAAAGTCAATCATTCACTTTTGAAACTAGTGGAGAAATTCAAATCCACAGACACACAAAAAAGAGAATCCTGTGAACTCTAACATAAAAATCTATTCGTTTAATAAAAGCATAGACAAGCTGGTAATTATCAAGTTAAAGAGTGTGCGCATAAAGCATGCAGCCTCTCCGGAGCATTCAAGTCAACCGTTTGCGTCCTTGAGAAATAGAACTTGTACAAAGTGTCCACAGAAGCTCTCTCAGCAGCTATGAAATATTCCACAGAATATAGCCAATTACCCACAGGCCTACAACACAAGCAGGTTACACTTGACTAATTGTAGGGGGCTCTAGGCGAGGCCGATATTGAAATTCAAGTTTAGCGCAAAATTTTAATGGACCATAACATTAACCACAGAAATAAGTATCCTTGCTTAGAAGATGTTTCTGAGGCCATTTGTAATTTCTGTATAGACAATATACTCCATACTCCAGCAATATTAATTTTAAAGAGGGTACTATGCAAAAACACCTTTCTACCATGTTATAATATTGTTCCCTCATCAAAAAAAAAACTGCCTGAAGAGAGTTTAGATCGATAACTATCCATGCATGTTTGAGTAATCTTGAGATCTCTTCCAGAAACCAGGAATTCGCACCCTCCATATTAGGGGTGTGTGAAATATCGATATATCGTATCATTTAACGTGATGATACAATATCGAAATCATGGGCTGGGAGTATTTTTTTTGTTATATTTTACTACATTATTTTGTTACAATGCTACAGTTTTGTTGCTTGTTTGGAGGAAGGAAACTTTTTTTTTTAAACACATTTGGCATTTTCACTGCTTTGAGGATTAAAATTGGTGTGTTTCATATTAACTTTGCACAAGAAGAGGTTTAACAAAGACAGCCCTGAGTTAGGCTTTATTTTTTATTAAACCATATCCAATTGTTTGGAAATATATCAAATGGAATCGAATCGAAAGCTCCCTGTATCCAGATATGCATCATATGAGCAACTTCTTAATGTTACCCAGCCCTATTCCTTACGGTTAACTGTAAGATTCTCTGCAATACTCCACTCACAAGCCCACATGACTGTTTACCATAAATATAAAAAACACGATGCACAACTACACAGTAAAAATTCACAAACCTGATGCAATGTGCAGTAGTTTCATTTGCAAGATGCACGCTGAGTGTGTTGTCATAGCGCACTGAAGGGGAGTGGACTTGTCACAGGGAGCAAATAGAGGGGGGAATCAGAGCTTCAAAAGTTGTTTTTGATGAATATAGATTTTTCAAAACAATAAAAGGTAACATGGCGATCTAAATATGTTAGTATGCAGGTAATGTCCTATAGAAGAGTAATACCCCTTCTTTCAGAAATTAGAGTGTTGCAAAGCACCGGTCAAGAACAGCAAGAGCCGAAAAATATGCGCTCAAAAATCAAGATAAATCACTCGACTTGGCATGCGTTCATCTGTCCAAAACTGACTGGTGGTTCAGGATGGGTGACCTAGTTTAAACACTCCACTTTAGGCTCTGAATGATTACGATTAGTGCCCTCGGGTAAGCAGAGAGGCCAGGGCAAGTAGGCTGAATACTGCATAGGAGGAGAAGCTAATATCGACCAAACAGAGCCTTAACAATGACCTACTAGACTCCTGAAGCAGTAGTAGTAATGCTCGGAGACACAATTAGTACTAGGCCAGTGTCCAGCCCAAAGCGGGGTACTTCAGGAGAGGCAGCCATCTGAACATGATCCACTTAGACTGGACTCTTTCCCACTCAAATCAGCTTCGTCTTTGCCAATATCTCTTACTCTAATCATCTGCGCCTCGGAGCAAAGCCAAACGCCCATGTCCAGCAGAAAAACACTATTCTGAATGAAAAACTCATATTTGACTAAGCTTATGGAGATGGATCTACATGATTAGCAACATATGGCCTGTAAAGGAAGCTTTAAAACATTATTAAAAAGTATGAATGACTGAGATAAAAAGTTCACCATTTTCTGAAGCAGGTGATACAACAAGGCCGAGTTCAACTGCAGGTCAGGTCTGTGGAGAGGTGACCCTGATCACAAGAACAATACATTTTTTTCAGGGAGATAAATACCCAGGAACTAAATGGATGCCAGTTATTTTAATGCCAAGCTGTGGAGATTCCAAGACCATTCAGCAGAAAAGTTACTCATTAAAATACTTTTTAAGGAAATAAGAATAATGTACGAGTAAATGCAGTTACAAATAAAGTAACAAGTTACAAAAACTGACCATAGAGCGGCTGTGGTTCCAACAACTTTTAGTACATAACTCGCTGACTAAAGAAGTGCAAAAACCACAACTGTAAAACTGCTTGAGCAAGTTTATTAGCACAGTTAGTTCTTCCCCCATAAAGAAGACTGAACTGAGCCATTTTAACCGATAACCAATGGCAAATTTTCACCCAACATCCATCATCTGCTCAAAAGGACATAAAATCTGGATGGCGTCTGGATACTCAAAGCGTATCACTCTTTCTTCTCATAGTCACACTCGACATGGCAGAGGGACAGAAATGTGGCTGCTAATCTAATAAAGATATTGATATATATAGACACTTTATTGATCCAGAAAAAAATTCAAGTTCAGCTTCAGCAATGTTTGCACTGCACTTCTCAGTCGCCTTTGTGTCGCTCTCAGTACAAAAGTGTCCCTCCTCTGTGTCCAGGACCACTCTTCTAAGTCTCTGCTTTGCTGCTATTTCCTCTGTAAGATCTGCTGCCACATCTGGTATTTGGTGTAAAAGTCTGCAGCATCTCAGAGGTGAAGCTCCATAGAATACAGATAATACAGGAAAGTAGGGTGACATATCACAACCAAGAACAACATATTGCGGTTTCTAAAGCGTTTGAAAGTACACATACCTTGTTTGTTTTGTACGGAATAATCTGCATTTGCCCAAGAGACAGTAATAGAGTAGAGTAGAGTAGAGTAGTAGTGAACCAATGACTGAATAGTATAATACTTACTATTTTTTTATTATTATTATTTTTGGTATTTGATTGAAGCATGAATGTGCATGTGAATCTGGCCTGAAGCATCACTGGCTCCTCTTAAAATCGATCTGTTCCTGAATCCTGACAGTAGCTGCTCTCTCAGTCCTGGCTGAGATGAACACTGGGCCCTTCTCTGCACAAAACATCTGCTCCAGTGCTTATGTCAGCCTGCCAATAGACCGTCCAGGTGTGGAGAAGCACAGCAAAACAAAAAATACAACATGTGTATTTTAACTTTGTCCCCCCTGCTACTACTACAATTTTTAACTTGAAAACTAACTTACTGGACAGCATATTCATTTGGCTACTGCTGAATGCTGTTTATCTGTGTGAAAACAGAACTGGGCAGGCAGGACCCCATTAAGAAATAACAAAAGTAGTTTTCAATAACAATAAACAAAATGTCACCATAAATCCACTGAAAAATAGTGAACCAGATCACGCGGGCATTTAAATGTACTGGCTATATCTTTAAAGGTATTATATTATGCAAAATTGACTCTTGTCAGCTTTAAGCCATGTTATAGTGTTACCTTATCCTAAACATACCTGGAGCTGTGCGGTTTCATTCACACGTTAGCTCTTTATTATTAGTCTGTCTACATCTCCAAAGCCCAAAATGCTCTGTTCCACCTTGTGATGAACAGTGGAGCAATTCCTGTATTACCACGTGACATCACAAGGTGGAAGAGAGTGTTTTTAGTTTAAGAAAATAACACAGTATAAATATGCAGTGATTATGTGTTAAACATGTGTGAATGAAATAAAACAACTCTACGTCTGATTTTGATGAGGAAACTACATTATAACTTATATCAGAACATAGCGTAATATGGGTCTTTGAACAAAAGGCGTTCCAGTTGTACTTTCCTGTTGGATTCTGGACTGTCTTAAGGATTTCACAAGCTATTTTTCCCTAATCTATCTAGACAACTCCGTCATCATATCAATGTACCATAAACTGTAAAGCACGCTTCGCTGTGCGTAACCTATCCAACGATGACGCGCAGAAATAGCTTCGCACATCAATGATAACGTCCACATCTGTCCATCACATGACAGTCATTTACCGGGGGGTTACACGGTGTACCCAAACCGGACCGCGACTCCTCACAGCGGGCTGCGGTCTGAGAGCTGTCGGTGGCTCGATGAGGTGGCACATCTGTTTCGGAGCTCCACCTAAAATGCGCCTTCGTTCCTCGGCTGTGCGTCTGCGTCTGTAGCGGTCCATCACCACACATTTATGACATTTATGACTGACATTAGCTTTCCGATCACTGGAATGCTCACCTCACACGCGGCAAATTCCACAAGTCCCAAAGTCTCCACAGTGACACCTATCAGGCAGGGCTGCTCCGAGTTGACAGCGGACAAACACGTCCAACGCTGCCCGGGGGAGAGCGCGCCTCGTTCGGATACAAGCTCCACGCGGCAGCCGCCCCTCCGCTCGTGTGAACATGAGCCCACCTTAATCCGGGACGTGATTAGTTGCTAAGTAACGTTAGCAGCCAGGCCCGATAACACAACAGTAGTGGGGGGCTAGCGCTAGCTAGCTAAAGTAACACCTCAAGTCACGGCTAGTCTTCCTGGACAAGTTTCATACGGGCGCCAGTGTACTTCGAGCCGCGCATACAGAGGGCGTTTGGAAAGCCCCGGGATAAATACTGACCTGACGTGTGTCGGTGCTTCTCAGATCCTCCCGGTAGACAAAAATATAGCTTCCAAACAAGAGCAGAAGCACGACGTGTAGTACTCTGCTCTTCACACTATGCTCAGCCCGAGAAGGCAGCAACCAAGAGCCAACGCGCCGCGCCGACTGCCAGAGGAACTGCGGCCAAAGAGCATGAACACAGCGAGAGCAACTGCGGTCAAATATATACATATATAGATTAAAAATAATAATAAGGTTAATTTAATTTAATGATTTTAACATTTTATTTTTATTATTTATTTATTATTATTATTTTTGGGCGGCCAAATATCACGAACACAGCGAGAGGAACTGCGGCCAAAGATCACCAACACAGCGAGATGGACACGTTCATTCTTACGGACCGTAGACAGTACAGAGCACAAACTAGAGGGCACTGTGGAGAAAAACGTTATTGTGGGAATTTTGTATTATTACAAAAAAAAAAAAAATATCCATTACACATCCCTGTTTATCATGGATGAGATTTTTCATTTCACTGACTATTCATAACTGAGATTCTCATGTATTATACATATATCATATTACTCTATTTTCTGATCTGTGTTGTAATATCATTTCCTCATCACATAACATACCTGGAGTGGTGTTTTGTTTCACTCACATGTTTAACACACAAACCCTGCACTGAGACCGAGTTCTTCCCTCAAACAGAAAACTCTTCAACCTTGTAATGCCATGTGGTCATACATGAAGTGCTCCATTGTGTTTTTAAACCCCATACACCTTCTCTAGAATCATTTAGATGACTTCAGCCCTGGAATTGCAATCTCTACTGAGCTAAAGGTAAAAATGCCAGGTTCACTTGTAAACTACCACTACATGACATCACAAGGGTGGAACACAGCATTTCGAATTCTGAAGATGTAGACAGACTAATAATTAAGGATTACTCAAGCATGTGTGAATGAAACAAAACACAACTGCGGGTATTTTTTGATGAGATTATAACATGGCTTACAGAGTCAATTTCAATTTTAAAGAACCTTTAACACCGTCGAATATGTGTTTTTCATTTATACAATGCAACTATATAATAGGCAAAGTCCTTTATTATAAAAGTATGTCAGTGTATGAAGTAATTTAAAATGTTATGAATGTGGCTGAACAATGAAAGCAACTGTATAATTATAGTCAAGCCAGTCTTCTTACTTTACATCTTCAGTTCTAGCTTTAAGGAACAATATGACACACACGCAAAGATCATATACAAACTGGTTTACTCCTAACTTTAGAGCACATCCAAGTAAGAAACATCTGTATCAAAACTGAAATGAACAAACAACTGACACATCTTTATATTTATCAATGACGAACTGTTAAAACTTGGAAAATTTTCTGACTCAATTTGGCTCCCTTTTGCACTACTATATGTACATCATCAACTATCCATTTCTGACAAATAATACATTGAAGGAACTGTTTTGCTTTAAAAAAATGTCCGCTATTTTTTCTTGGACAAACTTCGCGGTGAGCTTTTGAGTAAATCTCTAATCTTAAGGTACGTTCCTGTTCCCTCTGCCACTTCTGTATACTCAGGCGTTTCCTCGAATGGAACTATCCCCGCTGCGAACTGACTTCTATGTGGAATTGGCATGTTTTTAGCCACCTCATCTTCATCTTCTGGACTTAGTGGTGTATCGTCATTAATATTCAGCGGGCTATCTGGACAATCATCTCGTAATTTAATTAGCCTAATACTTGTATACTCTTGAAATTTTGTTGGTTCTGGGCTTTTAGGCGTGTCTTCCTGTGCTCTGATTGGTCCTGGGCTCTGTGGGGTGTCGTCTTGAGATTTGATTGGTCCTGAGGCATCGCCGTTTTGACTGGCATCTTCAACCTCATCCACTTCAGTGTCCACTTGAGCCGAGGAGCAGACGCTGGGTGAACTTGGTGCGGGCGTACCGATGGCGGGGGTCTCGCAGTCGCTGTTGGTCGCCGTATCCGCGTTCTCCAGAGCAGCCCAGATCAGTCTCTGCTGCTCCTCTAGCTCCTCCAGGCTCAGCTCGTCGGTAGCCCCCTCCTGGTCCACCGTCACCCAGCCCTGACCCCTCAGAGCCGGGGATCCATTGGAAGGGGGTGTGGGCGGCGGGGTGCCCTTGGGTAGAGGAGGCGGTGTGGGGGTGGCAGGTGGGGTGCCCTGAGGAAGGGGAGGGGGCGAGCTGAAGCAGGGAGAGCCAGGAGGAGGCGGAGCTTGGAACTGGAAGTCTCCTGAGCAGTTGTAAGATGTTCCTGGATCTGTGGGCAGAAAAATGTCTGTGTGAGAGAACTGGGTGTGAATGTTTGTACAGAACTTTTATGATAGGATGGTTATTGTAGTGCCATTTCCTTATACGTGATTTTACGAACTTCAACAACAGCCTGTCCTCAGACTAAAGATGTAACTTAACACTTAAAATGCATCTCTCCTGCTAAGGTTGATGTATAACGTGCATTATCACCGTCTCTAAATAATAACTAAACAATGCACTGGATTTGTATGTGACTTTTTCGGACACTCAAAAATGCTTTACAGTGCGTTACAGTACTCATTCAGGTGGGAGGCTTCCATTGTAGCCACAGCTGCCCTGGGACAGGCTGATGGAAGCAAGGCTGCCAATCCAGGCATTAGCCCCTCCGACCACCACCAATGCATACACAGCACCGTGATACAAGTAAATGTGGGTAAAGTACCTTGCCTAAGGACACAAAAACAGTTTTGCCATTAGCGCCCCACAACTAAACAATTCTCTTGTTTAAAAGCCTAGGTTTGTAACTGATCTCTTATAATTGGCTTTTAACTTAGATTATTACTAATTTTTATCAGTGAAATGCCAGTGCTGTTACACATAAAAGCAAGTAAGATACGTTTAATGCCATCAAATGGGACATTCCAGTTCAAGCTACAAAATCTCCATGGAGAAAAATTACAAGTTATTTAAAGATGCATTTCTACTTTTCTAGTGTAACTTGGAACTGCAAAATGGTAGCTTCGATGTTGGCCAACTATTATCATCATTACTTATTAGGAATATTTTGTAATCCGGTGAAAGTGTATAGCTTAATGCTTTCAAGATGGCGACTGAATAAATTTGCATTACTTCTCAAAATTATTTGTATCGATTATACAAATAAACAGGGAACCACATTATAACATTGTTCAACGCTCGAAAAGGAGTGTATGTCTATAAAAGTGCAGCAGCTTCATTCTGGAACATTGAAATAGAAGACTATAATTGTGATATAACATGTCTATGAGAGTAAACTTTGAGTAGGCGCTGTCTGAATGTGAATGAAGTCTGGGGGTGTAATGAAAGGCTGTGTGGAAGAACATGAGAAAGAGACACTTTTCTAATGAGAGCGCAGGAAGAGCAGGCCGAGTCTGTGGAGGAGGTGTTACAATGAGCGTGAGTCACTGATCATGTGTCCAGGTGCATACTGAAGTACACATTAGGGCTTCAGTTGGCTTCTTTAGTTGTTGGCTGGTCAGCGATTATGGTTTTTCATTAGTGGAATAGTTCAACTTGTTTTCCTAATGTGACTTGGAGATAATGATTAATCAGTTCAAGCCACAATATGTAACTTTTGGGCAAAAAATTGACAAAAATAAATGAGTTTTTTGTTTGTTTGGTTGTTTAATAAACACACAAAATAAAGTGTGAGTGAGTTTGCATCGCCGCAAACCTGACTGATTTGCCCTGGAAGAGGGTTTTTCCACAGATAATTTGCTCCTTTGGCTGTAATCTTTGCGGTGATGTTGTCACCTCCAGAAAGTTACACAGTGTACATTTAAAAGTACCATCCATGCATATTAGATTTTTGTGACTAACAGATGTAAAATGTAAAACCTGCTCCTCCCTCCCCTCACCTGGCCTTTGTTAAGACTCACCTGTCTCTGGTCTTCTTCTGTCAGGCCAAAGCTGGCACAGTATCAGACAGCAGTAACATAGATAGCATCTAGTTGTGATATGTGAGAATGTGGCTCGTTGGCCAATCTAATGACACATGGTAGCTTTAAAGCTAAACTCTGCCAAAAGGAGATGCAGTTAGAAATATGCAAAGAAAAATATGGTTTCTTGGTTTCTTTGATTGCAAATAGCATGTATTACAGTCTGTTTAAATTCCAGATGACAATTATAATATTATTATTATGTATGAATTAATAACATGGTCAGTAGCCAACTAGTCACAATGATTCTGATAAATTGTTGCAGTTCTAGTATAGATGCCTGCTTTTTTGAGAGAGCGATGGTGACTATTAGCGGTGAAGAAAGATTTAAAAAAACGCTTTGACTCATATTTACAATGAGAAAAAAAGCTACCTGACTCGATCTCCATATCTGAGCTCAAGTTCACACTGCTGTTGGGACTGGACCTAGTTGTCTTCCTCTTCTTTGGAGACGAGTCCGATTCATGTTTTCTCTTGTTGCTGGCAGAACCAGGCTGTGAATCAAACATTTAACACATGTCACTTGTTTCTAGGGCTGTCAAAAGTCAGATACCAATACCAATACCAATCAATACTAAAACTAGTATCGAAACTAGGTAATCATCTGAGCAGGTATCGATACAAAAAAAAAAAAAAGTCCCATTCAGAGGACAAAAATGAACATTTCCTGAAAATCTTTAGAATGATCTTGAGCTATAACAGAATAAGTATAAGAGCACATAGACTAGTATACACCCATGGACCACTATGGACCTACCTGGATGAAGCATGAATTACACAGATATAAGGCCATATGATGATATAAAAAGAACTATGATTAATGTTAAAAATGTCATTCTATCTATATCTAAAGAAAGTGTTTTTAGTTATTGTCCTGATATTGAAATTTGATTTTTTGAATTTGATCTCTCAAGGCTTGGTCCTTGACATTGGCCTTAGTCAGGTCATGATGTACACCTGGTTAAGTTCTCATCTAGGTTTTGACCCACTTTGGTCCTGGTTTGGATGTGGTATATGTGTCATATTAGGTTATTTCTAAATAGAGAGACGTTTTCATTTACTAAGTAACTTTTCTGGTAGAGGGTTCACCACCTGCTCGACTCTGAGACCAGCTCAAGATCTGGAGATGTCAGAGTCAGGATTACATTAGCTGGAGGATAAGTCCTATTGTGTATGTTTTGGGTAGATGATGAAGGGAGTTGGCCTATCACAATAATCGCTATATCCAGTTATCGTTCTGTATATGAAAGCATGAACAATATATTTTGGGGCTCAGTATTTATCATGTGTAGTTTCTTTGTAAAAGTGGGGAGATTTTGGGTGTTTTTCTTATAATACAATAAAGATTTCAGATGTAGATGGTTAAAAAAGTAACAGCTGTGGCTAAATTATTGCTTCATTCTGCTATTCATTTGTTGCAGCTCAGGCCACCTAATGTTACCGTTACAAGAATTATCCTGCTATTGTTATTGCATCAGTGGCATGAAGTATTTTCAGTATGATCATTTAACACAGTATATCTCTACAGCAATATATCATGCTTTAAAATCTGTTATCCTGACAGGCCCAGATGAGAGATGTTTTTGTTTTGCCTTGAATATTCCACAATATGGTATTATAACTACTCCATAGAGATACCAAACAGACAAGTTACAGGTCGCATCTGTGCAGGGGCGACCCTATTCACAGTAACAATCCATGTTTTTCAATGTACTTTTGAGCAGTAAAAAACCCTGTAATTAGGAAAATGCACTACACACAAGTTTAATACTATACTGTGGCGCATTTCATTTCATTGCAGGTAGACCATCCATAGTAAGTTATACAGTGCACCTTAGAAATATAAAATTTTTTTGTGATTGACAATTTAAGTGTCATTACCGTTGGAAAGTTGCTGGACAGGTACGCTGCATAGTTTTCCTTCATGTGACTGCTTTGTATTGGAACAGAGCCGTAGTGCATGAACTCCTGCAAGTCAGAAGGGAATAGACACTGAGAGAAAATCCTTTAAATGTTTTTTTTTTACAAGTACTCAAAACGCAAACTTACATCTTTCATTTTGTGAGGCGTGGCTACATTAAATCCGGGGAAATCTACTAGCTTGGACACGTCATATGAGACTCTCTGTGGATCTTCTGTGGAACTGCCGTCATGTGAAACTGAACAAGATTTGATCAATTATTTAAAGGAGCTATTACATTTGTATACGGTATTAATTGCTAACACATTTAATCATATTTAGATAACCATGTTACCTTTTATTGTGTTGCTACAATGCTATAATTGTTGAACGCATTAAGTAAGTAATAAGTTTCTCTCATTTTTGACACCGAATCTCTCCTCCCTTTGCTCACTTCCCCCTTCAGAGAGCTATCACATTACCAACTGTGAGCATTCCGCTAATGAAACTACGGCACAATTCAACAATGGCCTTTTGGTTTGAAACATCCATTCCTGCCATAAGCTAAACATACCATTCCCATCGTACAGGGCTAGTCCAGAGTTCTCCATCTCGGCCTCCTTAAGCCAGCCTGGTGGATACCCCAGCTGCCTCATGCGATAGATGAGTGGAGGTAGTGTGCAGTTGTCAATGCCCAGAGCAGACAGCAGCTCTTCACTGTTCAACATCACAACAGACCATGTAATAAATATGCTACATTATTTTATTATGTAGAAGTATAAAAACTTGCCTCATGACTCCAGGCTTGTACTTGGAGAAGCGCTCCTCCACCTCGTCTGCGTGGTAGCGGTTCCCCTGCATGGCCTGGTTATTGTTCTGATTGAACTCCTTCCTCCTCTCATTTATTGCTGCCATGTCTTTAGGCTACCCGAACGTAGAATTCCAAAAATAACACCAAAATAAACAGATTGAAGGGGGTTGTTTTTAAATGTATTCTTGTCAAGATAAACGCTCTTTACATGCATTATACGACTGTATGGTAAGAGCTGGTAAATTATTAAGACTGTAAATTAGAATCTATGCATTTTCTCAGGTAATAACTAACACGGGAGCACCTTTTTTTTTTTATCACATTAAGCATATAGTTACTAAGAGTCAAGGGAAACCAACTGCGTGACACTATTCCAGACACTTGTTGGCCTATTGTGATACTTTTACAAGAGTGACAAAAAAGCAAATGGTGGCAGAGATTGGCAAACTATAAAGAAACAACCAGTGACACCATCAGTAGTTTCTGTGTCATGGTGTGATATCACAGTGATGGACAGGACTAAGTGTGTGGGGCTAAAAGTTCAAACTAAAACATGTTCCTGACTCATGGTTTGAAATCAAGTACTGACCCATTAATACAATGGACAATACTTGTTATCGTCATCTAACATTTAACATCTATAGTCAAAATTGGTCATTGCATGAGGTTTATAATAATCCTAAAATATTTGCTGAGTGCCTTTCTTCATTGATTACTTACAGTTATCACTGCAAAGATAAAAAGATAAAAGATACTAACATTTTTATGACACACATGCTTGTGAGTTTGGAATTACCTTGGGACAGTCTCTCAGCTGATGTCCACCACACCCACAATTGAAACACATGGATTTGGGTCTATATGGAAGAAGTACAATGAAGAAATATTATGTGCAGAAATGCAAAGGTTAGAACGGCCAGTCAAAGAAAGACAGACTAATATCGGCTAAATCTTACCTTTTGTCTTTCATCTCTATATCTTGTCCATCTGTGCCGATGACTTGATTGAAAACTTGCTGGTAACTTTAGTACAATTCAGGAAGTCATAAACAAGTTACAGCTATTTTTAAAAGTATGTTGTCTCTGCTAATAATTTGGTAGACAGAAAGTAGGGCAGTTTATGACCATAATTAAAAGGTCAGATGATGTCCAAGTTAAAGATACACTGGCACCTCCCATCCTTCCGTCATCGCAGGGGTTTCGTTCAGAAGAGGCTGTCCAAGTTTGTCCACAGTAAATGTAGTGAAATGTTGAACACTTCCAACAATCTATGAAATCAATAAAGAATGAAAAAAAATGTTACAATGACACAAGCATTTTTCTAAATAAAGTTAAATGATAGTGTTTCCCATAAATTCTGGGGAGACTATGGTGGCACAAATACATTTTCTTTTGAATAATTTATTATCATGTAATTTTTTATTGCTTATATTTAATCTTTAAGCTGTCCTTTTTGCCCGATATACTTAATGACTAACAATTTCTTTAAATGATTACAGCCTTACATTGTTATATCAACTAAACACAAAAGGGGGCGTGGCAAAAAATCCACAAAAAAACCTTCACAAGAGTTCATACAAAAACTACCATTTATCTACACGACAGTAGGAAACAATGTCTTTATTATAGACACATTAATTTAATTTAATCCATAAATTTAATGAGTTAATTCTGACTTTTTACATACAAATACCAAAAACACCAAAGCTTAAAATGTTTTACTGGCTCACTTCTCCTTTCTGCTGCTATCCCATAGAAATCCTTAAAATCTAAATAAAATTATTAGTTGACTAATGAAACATTTTAGTCAACTACAAATCCATTGACTGATTGATCGATTTTTCAACTGAAGGCCTACAACCCTATTGCAATTAGCGACAAAGTGTGATGCTAAAATAATCCAGGGTACGTTAGACTACGAGGGCCACCCATAGTCTCCACTAAAAAGAAACACAGCATTGTGTACTTTTCACCAAACACAGTACTTACTTTGAAGGATTCTGATGTAGTTTTGACACTGGTAGAGTTTAACATGTGTGGATCCTCCTCCAAAGCAAAGGCAGAAGGCTATACAAAAAAGATGAATTAAAACATGAGTTGAGAAAGAAATGTACAAGAACTAAGGTGGTCAAAAGAATACCCCATTATACTTAAATCTATTATTTAGTGTTTGATTGCAAGAATCCACACCTGTGCTTTCAGAAAGTAGGGGGAGTGCCCAATTTTCTGATTCTTTACTATGATACTGCAGATGGCATCTTCAATTTCTTGACGGCACTTCCTATAACAGATGAATGGACGTTATGTTAACACATAACAATTAATTATAGTACTCATGCTCTTGTTGTAAGCTAATTACATTAACTTAACAAACATAACAATAACAGTAACAATTAAAGGAGCTCTATGCAGCAGCCTGTAGGGATGAAACTGAACTAATATTTCACCACTGATAGAAGCAGGTGGCTTATGCCATTAGGACATAACATTAAAATGTCCGACTGCGATACCACAAGGATAATAAAAACACTTTTTATTTAGACAAAAGAATGTGATTTTCACAGTATTTTCTCTTATGTTACCATGTGGTCTTATATCTGTGTATAGCTAGAGAGAGACAGAGAGATAGAAAGAGAAAAAAACTAATGGAGAGATAGACAGATAGAGACACGGGGTCTTGGGAGCTAGGTTTTCAGTAAAGTACTTAAAATAATAAAATCCTCTAGTATAATTTCTAGGCGCAAACTGTACTGGTACGTCCTACAGTCTGACAGGGGGTGGCGCCATGCAATGCTACTTGGTCTATAAGAAACACTGATCTCTATCCTGTTAATGTGACTTTTCTAATATTGATACTTTCGCAAATGAGCATCTAGTTACAATACTTACTTTAAGTATTGATTAGTATCTGGTTTTCGATACTTTTGAGAGATCTACTTACATGTTTTTGAAAAAATTCCACATGGAATATGTGAAATACCAAACTGCTGAATATTCTAGTCAAAGCAATAACATCTTCATGGAGATAGACATAGACATTTCAGTATATTACAAATACTTACTTTGAGATCATATTATTGGCATAGAGGATTTGCAGAACAGGTCCGTCCACGTTCACATCGTCCACTGTTACACCACTAACAAAAACAGAAGGTGAAAACGAAACAGGTTGGTATTCATCCATCTCCTAGTAGCTAATCTTTTAACTTATAATTATTTACAATAACTATACGCTACCTGGGACGCATCAGGACATTCAGATTTCTTCTCAATCCTTTATGTGATCATCTGATTAAAGAAAATCCATCATTCAACATGAGACTGTTTTGGTCCTGAAAGACACGCTAACCAGTGCATAGCAGCATTAGCTTGTACTGCATCCCACAACAACCAAAGGATATTTTCTTCCGTAAGCTTCTGAACAAAGGCATCCGACTCTTCCAGCCGGCTCCGGAGCACCCCCAGCTCGCTCTCCTCTTCATCTTCCTCTGTAAAGCGAATGTGAGTGTTGACAACGGGAGCGGAATCATCCAACTGCTCGAAAAGCTCTCTATCACCGAAATCCACCTCCGCCATTTTCCCCCGAGTGAGCGTAGAGGGGCACGTAGCGACGTCACGGGTCAAAGCCGTTTTTTGCACGCTGATTGGTTCTCGTCGTGTCACATGTGCAGGACCGTAACTTTTTTTTTTTTCCTTTCACTTTGGCTTTATTAGTCTATTTTTTAAGATATAATTACTCTTAACAAACTTTGTGGAATCTAAACCCAGCCATTTATGATAATTTCATTATGATTATTAATTACATACAACTGGGTGCATAAACGTGGCTGTATGTCGTCAGCAGTTACATGTCGGGATGAGGAAACATAAATACATCATAATATATAATAACGACAATGATAAAAGAATATAAAAAAGAGCATTTGTATAGTACTGAACTGAAGTAATTCTTTGGAAGGATATAAGTTATTCATAATTTTGTTACCCCCCCTCCCGAGTGAGCGTAGAGGGGCACGTAGCGACGTCACAGTTCGAAGCTTTTTTCTGCACGCTGATTGGGTCTCGTCATATCACGTGTGCAGGTGCCATAACGTGGACTTGGTGTTGTTGCTTGCGTTTTGTTGTTATGTGCTTATTTTTCTCAATATTTCTGTAACAGAACAAGTTATTCGTTATTTAGAATGTCAGATGTCACTTACTTAACGTTACCTACATGGATCGGAGGTTCTTTGAGTATTAGGTTTATTTATCTGGTAAATAATACATCATTTAGGTTAACAGAGTGTCCCAACAAGGTATGTACTAGCCTTTTCTTTTTCTCTTGTATATTACATCTTGTGTTCCTTTTCCAAACACACCAAGTTGAAATAATTGTTATAGTGCATTGCTCACTTCTGGTAGTGTTTGGATAGATACTAAAAACTGCACAATATAACTTTTCTGTTGGAGGGTCTGCCACCTGCTAAAACCCCCCACAATCTGGCATTAAATTTATCTTATTTCCATGGAGACAAATAGATGATGCAGCAGGACCATGTTACAGTTCAGATCTGTGGAGAGGCAATTATTTGCTTAAAGAATGCATGTTTTTTCAGGTATTGTTTGGTTTGAAAAAAACAACAACAACAAAAAACAATTATAATGCTTAAATGCAAGATGGGTAAGTAATGCTACACCTTGGAACACTGGGGCAAGCAGGTGACGGACTCTCATGTACTTTTTTTTTTTACTTTAACCAAATTTAAAAAGGTTCGGGAGTTTGCTTGCAGAACTATTTCAGTGCATGTGTATCTTGTTGTTGTTAGGGTCCAGCCATTCCTCTGTACTTGGGAGCTGATCTGTTTTCCAACACTGACGTCCGCACAGAGAACCACCCCAGGCAACATGCCAAGTTTGCCAAGAAAGGATTAGCCACGAAACTACATTTTTCTTCTGGTAAAATTGTACTTTTGCACCTATTTGGGTAATATACTTTACAGTGTTACAGTACACTGTAGTTTTGAGAGGGATTTTGGTTGCAGACCTCTATCCAGATCACTCTACCCCGAAGGCACCACCCTCACGTGTCTACCTCCATCCACGTGTCCCTGATAGAAAACAAACAGTTAAACACAATAAATTAAACACTTCTGCTGCTCAACACCTGTCATCATTGCTATAAGACACATATTATGGACTTGGATATGCTCTACTGGGCTAAACAAGTTTACATAGTTTTACATTAAATACAAGCCCAAACCCTTTCCCTATAACCGTAACCATTACAGACTCATGCCAAATCTTAACCAGACACCGGGCCTATGGCAACACACATGGCTATTTCCAATTTTCCATAACACATGAGGAGAGATTAATTGTTTAAGAAAACATGTTTAAACTGCCAATTATCCTAAACAAGTGGGCCATCAGATACAACACAAATTCCTTATTAGTGGTTTATATGGTGATTAAATGTATGGTCTTTAGCCTGTCTTTGACATGCTTCCCTCTGATAAAGTCACTTTTTGAAATTAACCCTAATCTAAACAAATGAAGCTATATAAAAAGTGTAATTAAATAGTTTTTACAGCATGAACTAATGAAAAACAGTCAGAGACATGATGTGGATGGAGGTGAGTGACATTAGGGTCCTCCTGGTGGAGACTTTGGGGCAGAATCTGGTCGTCTTGAAAATTTTGGTTCCTCTTCCCAGTGTGAGTAAGTCTACAAGTGAAAAAAGGTTCATGTTGACAATATTAAATTATGTGAACGTCTGTGTTTCTTGCACCACTCCTTGAGATATAATTTAGTTTTCTAATTTTTGTGCCTATACTTTGAAAAGGACTGTATGAGGACCTGAAGATCACCCAGACCCTGTACTGTGTTAGGAAACTTCATTAAACATTGTATCTTTGGCTTAACCGGAGACAAAAATATAACTGGACCATTTCCAGTTCATCCATGTGGACTTTAAACTGTGCACTGTAATTTTGGTTAGCTGATACACAAACTTTACTCAAAAGTAAACAAACGTTAACATCAGTCAGTGGTCCTGTGTTAGATCCTTGAAAAGATGGTGATGAGGCCTTGGTGATGTGGACTATGATATCTGGTTTCTGTCTAAATGAAGGTGTTTTGTTTTTTCCATGTAAACTCCCTTTTGCTCTGTGGTTCTATTGTTCTATTGACATTCTATTGACAAAATTACAGTTAACTATAACGTGAGACTGGCTTAGGTTGGGTCTATGGTGGGCACATTGGCACATCGGCACAGTGGTGGGTTCTTTGCGCTGGTGAGTGTTACATGAGCGCCCCCCTGTGCCAAGCACCCGTCTCGCAACATCTCCGGGCTCATGTGAGTAACACTCGACCCGCCCTGCTTTAATAGACGTTTTAGCTCCATTTGTGCCTCAATACCAAGGTCGTTGGTTCGAATCCCAGGTAGGGCCGGCCAAGTGTGTGGATTTTGGAATTGGACAGAGAAAGGGCATTTGTCTTATATTTGTGTGCACTATAAATTCATGTGTTCTCCTTCCAATACAATAACTTGAATAACTTCAATGTACATACTTCAAAGTACAATACAGTCCAGACACTCTTGACTTGTGTAGCATTTCCCTCAGATTATTTTTACTCTTACATAAGCAACTTCTTGGTTTACTACTTTGTTCTTCTAATATTATTTTAAACTAACGGTACTTGTTACTTGAGTACAACTTTGAGCTCCTCTACCCACCTCTGCTAATGTATCTTATGTATTTCAGTTTACAGGTTCCATGGCTTGAAGGTGCCCACTTCCAACAACAGCCTCTGGTTCTACAGTGTTCAGGGTCTTTTCCGAATAGCCTTTGAGTTTTTCAGTAAGCAGGACCAACTTGCTTTGCTTGAGAATTTTCAGGTATTTCCATTTTTTTAGTTTTCACTTTTTGTTTTTGTATGAACTAAATTGTCTTTTGCAGGATATATGGAAATCACACATAAATGATGCCCCTCTACAAATGGGCTACAGCCTCAGTGAGCAGTTGGACTTTGCAGTAGTCGGCGAGGAACCAGCAGCCAAAGAACCAAGAACTAAGGAGCCCAGAAGTGTTATTTTCAAGCCTCTTCAAGCAGTGCCGACTTCAGTGGAGCCTGGTGACAGCTCTAAAGACCACAATTACTGTTCTCACCCACACCAGTCCCAAGAGACTGATCCAAATCCGGACTTATTCTCCCCATTTCAACAGCAAATCCATCGGATGGCCGACAAACTTCCCCAGATCCAACCGGAGCAGCTTAAGACTGTTCGACTGCTTTTAGATTTGATTGACAGCTATATTACAGGCAATTTAAATGAGCACAACGTTACAGAAGCAGTAATGGCGCTACTCCAGGCTAAAAAATGGGATGGAGTGTATTCTAGTCATTTGCTGAGCTGTATTGGGCGTTGGCTTGGACAGCAGTTTCACGAAGCCAATAGCAGCATTAGCCAAAGAGTGGAGGGGTTTAAAATACATCACATCGATCGCATCAGTGATTTGCCGCCAGCCGAGGAACTAACCCAGGAGCTGTTCCCAGAGGCCATGACAAGTCTGCTGCTTCACTGGATGGGTTTAAGTGAAGAGGCCAGTGTAGACAAGAGACACAGTGAATATCCCATTTTACTCCTCATACTGGAATTTGCAAATCATAATCTCATCACTGGAGTGGCCCACGTGTTGTATTCCAGCCTGATATGTAAATAAATATTGATAAAAACATTCCAGGCAAAATAATAACATTTCCATAGATATAAGTATGTGGTGGACCCTTCACCAGAAGTTACATACTGTGAGTTTTTGTTTTCTACAGCTTACGTTTTGACCATAGTTTACTGCTTGGTGTTAAGAGATGCAGAACTTTAGAGAGCATAACCAGAAATGCTTACAAATTAAGGCTAGTATAAAAATGTAGTACAGACCATCTACAACACCAGTTATAGGTGCTCAGATCAGTTTACCATGAAGGGATGGGGAAAGACTTTTAATATACATTCAAACTACAGCACTAAGTCATTCTAAGTTTCTCTAGTAAGTCCACAACTAAAAAAAGGTAGCAACTAAGAAGAAAAGATCTTTGGTAATTCAGTGTTTCCTCAGCCAGTCTAACAAGTGAAACTATAGGACTTAAGTACAACATAAACATGTTTTATTGAAAGCATATCTGAAACATGATATCTGCCACAGGAGTTCCAGTGCAGCTGTGAGTAGTCCTTGTATCGGAACAGGTCCTCTAAATAATCCACTTTTCCTTTAAACTCACTCTTCTGAAAACAGGAGGTTTCTAATTCCACACAAACAGCTGCCTTTCACTAAATCTATGTAAACAGTGCTCACTTAAATCACATATTTAGTATGTTCAAACAATCACATTAATAGAAGTTAAAATAGAAAAAAAAGCTACAATATTAAAACAAATGTGACCAGCATCAGTCTGACTGATGACGTACAGTTTTCTAAATGCTGAGATAAAAATCAGCATCTCCATATTTACACATTATGTGTCAGATGGGTGCCCATGTTTAAAGCACAGATCCATGCACGCTGATGGATAAAGTAGTCCCTATATGGCTGCTACATAGGCTCCGGGCCACGGGAGAAGGAGGAGGAGAAGCCCAGCCCCATGCCTCTCTGCGTGTGTGTCTGTGACCGTGCCATCTCATACTGAACGTCCAAGTTCCTGAACATCTCCTCCTGCTTCTGTAGAGTCTTCAGACCATCTTCATTCAGAGGTTTGGCTGCTTCCACCTCCTCGTCCCCCTGCACCAAGGACAGATGTTTAAGAGACCCAGTGTGGAAAAGAGCATTCATGCACAGCAGGAGGACTGCATTAGTATTAAACAAGAGCAAATCAATGTGAAATGAAAGAATGAAATACCAATTTGAACAAGGAGACATTGCATGTGAAAAGTTAAAATGCTATTTAAGAATGACTATGACCAGAATTACTGGCTGACCAGGCAAGCAAAAACGCCCCATAAAAGCTTCCTCTAAAAGTATAAATGCCACATACACACAGATGGTCCCTCATTTCAAAAATGCTGCAGGGCTGCCTTGAACATTGTAGTGTTAATCCAACTGAGAAGTAGCGGAGTCCTTTCATATGGCAAAATAAATACTCAAGCTGACAAATCAGTACTTACTTTTATACCCATCAGCTTTCGGAACTTCACATTCTGGTCTTTATTCCCAAAATTGAGCTTTTCCCACAGCTCAGCTGTCTGGGACTTGTCCTTTGAAAAAAATAAACAGATATAAGCCCACGACGTGTCAATGGTTCCACTAAACATACTATACATGAAGAATCCTGTTACCCCTTCCTTCTTTCCTTGCCATAGCATCTTTCTCTTCTTCTCCTGCTCTGCAAACTTCATGGGGTTCACAGCAGCAGGGTTATAGTAGCTGGGTACTGCGATGCCAGTCTCTGCTAGTGTTTTGGCTTGAAGAGCAGCCATCTGTGCTGCCATAGCGATCTGTGGAGTGACCTGTGTGCCTGAGGCCAGCAGAGCAGCCACGTCTAGGCCCGGGGTGGTGGCAACGGCTGCAGCGGCCGCCGCGGCTGTAGGAGCAGCAGCTGGGAATTAATCAAACACAGTTTGACAACAACATGTCCCTGATGAAGATCTATCACTGTGTGCCTCACCTGCAGCGATCTCCTGGTGCTGCTGCTGCTGCTTCTCCAACAGGTCCTTCTCCTTCTGCTCCTGGAGCTTCTTGGCACGCTCCAGTCTGGGGACAAAACAAAAACACATCATAAAAAGAGTTTCTTCACACTGTTATTCTATATGGTTTGGACACCACTAAATCTGCCTTACTTTTGAAATGCTTTACAATTACAGATACTGGCCATACTACAGTCTAACCCTAATCCTAACACTTCAGTGCCATTGTGACAGATGCAGCGGCCTTTACCTTCGGGCCAGGGCCTCCTGTGCGTCCATGGCAGGGTTTCGTCCTCTAAAGTTGGGGGGACTTGCAGAGTGACTTCTACTCCTCCGGCGCACTTTGTCTAGCCTCTTCTTTCTGTCCCTGTGTGATTGAGAAGTAAAGGACATGAGCACATGTGGAGCTGTGCACAAAGGAGCATCAGAGAGGATAGAGGCACCTGCTCTTGCTGCGGCTCCTGCTCTGATGCCGGTGTTTGGACCGAGAGCCAGACCTGGACCTGGCCTTCTTCTTTCTGTCTCTGCTGCGGGACCGCGACCTCCGTTTGTCCTTGCTCTTGCTGTGATGGTGTCTGAAATCAAAGAGACTTTAAATAAACAGGACCAAAACAAAACCACCTCCACAGATGAACTGCCCTGCCCTCTTACCTCTCCTGGGACAGCGAACGGGACAGGCTGCGCTCTCTGGACGCCTTGCGCTCTTTCCGCCTGGACCGCTCCTCTCCATTCTCCACGGACAGTCTGTCTGGGTCATGTGCTTTTTTGTGGGATTTCGACGTCTTTTCATGGTCCCTCTTACGAGCCTGTTTTAAGAAGAAGTTGTCTCTTTCAGGAAAATAGTGCAACAAAAAAAGTTAGTACCAGGGTGGTGAGCAGATGGTATCAACAGTGTTGACAATCTGAAACGCATTTTCCAAAGATTTTTTTTTTATTTAAAAACAAATAGGTCATAAAGCATTGAACCATGAACGGCCCATTATATTCATAAATATATCATTTATGTTAAGCCTTTTCTTTAGGACACCCCAAATATTTCAGGAGACATATCAGGGCATGCTGGATTAAAATCATTGGAAACAATGCCTTGTTTAGGATACAAACCTGCCAATGTAAAATGTTTCTGAGTCACAACTTTAAGGAAAACAAGTCATATTACTACAGTGCTGTACTTCTACTGACAGGTTTGATCCAACAGAGCATTGTTTCATTTTTAGCAGTGGGCCCAGTGTATTTTTAGCAGTTGACTCAGTGACAAACTCAAATTGCCACAGGAATGAAAGGTTAAATTAGCATCAATGAAACTTGAGTCAGTTTTTGTACAGTGAAAGTGAGACAAACAGATTCTAAATGGCAGATAGTTACCTGTCCCCGTAGAAGACATATTTTTTGCTATGTCAGCAGGGTCTTCAGTTCAGTCTCTTCGTGCTTTAGCACGCTGAGTATGATTTATTGTACAAATGTTATCATTTATCATGAGCTACACACATTCCAACATTCATTGGCAACTAAATTTGATTTAAGTATAAATATTTAAACAAACACTACGCTGCACTACATTATGTGAATATAAATATTGACATCCACTGAGAACACAGTGAAAACAACTTCCAACCAAATGAAATAAACACATTTCTATCTTGATCAAATACTCACCTTTTATTTAAGGTAACTATAATGTAAATGGGTGATTTGAAATGTCAGTATAAAAGTTTGTTATTTACCTCTTTGCTCCTGCTGCGGCTGCGCCTGTGTTTTCTGTCACCTAAAGGCAAACAAACCAAATACAGATGAGTTTAAAACAGTACGAACGATGAAATAACAGGTAGAAACGGTGCACTGACGTTTTCTGTCCCTGGAGCGTGAGCGGGACCGGGAGTGGTGACGTTTGGAGCTCCGGGGGGACCTGCTGGGCTCCATACTGAAGGACTTTCTGTGAGCAGCTGGAGACGCTTCTCTGTTCACGTCCGCACAGTCACTATCGCTGGCCTGGACGAGGACAGGACAAGATGTGCACGATGACTATTACTATTACTAATAGTACTAACAATACGTACAGATGCGTTTAAACTATTAGCACATGTTAGTACTAATGTGTGTGATTGTGGTTTCTTTGATTCAAAATTTCGATCAACAATGCCAATGTGTAATTGATCACAATAAACTCTGATCCAGAGTTGGCATACAGGAAATCCCAATACACATCGACTACATGTCACAGTATGGCATTATAAAGATCTTCGTGATCTAAAACGATGACATAAATAGAATGTACACAACCCGAGCTAGGCCTGAAGCTAGCCGCGCTGTTGCTAGTCGCCATCTTTACGAAAACGCAGCTATTTATGTAAGAATATAGCTCCTAATCCACAGCGTGCCATTAACACAGCAAATACCGTGCATTGACAAACATTCATCAAACTTACCGACATAATCTGTACACTGCTGTGTTCTCTCCAAGCCCGTGACTCCGCTCTCCTGAACAGCGCTCGTCTCTTCTGCCTGCAGATCCACGGTCACTCGCTCACTTCAGGGTTGCCAAGTTTTACCATCCAGACGACGACGACGACGACATCTTTTTACTTTAATACTGCAAGCAAGATCACATCCCTTCTGTTATTCATCTTTGGACTCAAGATTGGATTGGACTCAAGTTAAGATTTTTATTTTGTAAAGACGAACCTATAAAAAGTGGATGACTTCTTCGAACAGAATTGCATTATCGCATAATCGCTTGCTAATTTGCTAGTTTATGAGAAGGAACTGGCAACCAGAAGGATTCGTCACGCCTCTCAATTATTATTGCCCTCATTTTACCATTCAGGATGCAACCATGAAAATACACATTTATTTTTATGCATCAGTGAAGTACATGTTATGTTTATAAAAAAGTCCGATAAGGCACTTCTAAATTAAATAATATCTAAAATTTAAAATAAATAATTTAGATTTTATAGTTGAAGTTACAGTGTGGAAAGTGAAACTTGTATGCCTACAAGACACAGCACTGGGATTTTTTTTTTTGTTTACTTCCCGCAGCAAACCGCCAAATTCTAACAGAAGCGGCGCTGGGTCGGGATTGTTTTCGTGAGGTTGACAGACATAAAAAATTCATGCTTTTGGAGATTTGGACACCCTTTTTCGGCTCCTGAAAGAATCGGTACACATTGACGCACAATTACAAACATTACACCCCCTAATTTACACAATATATACGGCTTCAGCAAACCAACACCGCCCGTTCACTCTGCATGTTTTTACTTTGGCAATGGAGTGGTTCTTAGTCGTTTTATGTTTACGCATGTGTCTTTGTTTTTCATATCAACGATAGAAAATGGCGATGTGGAGTGATGTTGAACTTCTGACTAACGAGGACACCGGCACCGTGAGGCTGGGCAGTGTGTCTAGAGAGGAGAACGGCAGCGGGCTGTATCAGGTGGACACTCTGGTTAAGGTGTCTGCAGTCAGTGAGGTACGTCTCCCACTGCTGCTCATGTTCAGATTCAAACAGCAGAAAAGCAGGAGAATAAGGTGTAATTGATGTTTTTTTAATAATACCTATAGACATACAAAATAAATAAACATCATAATTAACATTCATTTATATTAAGGTGCATTGTGTAACTTTTTGGTGGAGATTTTGTTAAATGCTTTTCTCCTTGGAGATGTAATTGCTTTGTCTGGAATGTTATGGTCTTAAACTTTTCTATTTCTAAACCAAGTTACATGTCAGATCTGTGGAGAGACAACCCCACTTACAGTCAGAGTACTTTCTTTTTGAGTTCTAACACCACCTGTAATTGAATAAATGGGTCCGTGTACCATTCGTTCTTTTAAATTTTAGTTAGAACGAAAAACAATAAAATGGGAAAACTGTTTATTTCATTATTCCGTTTCAGGGTTAAAAAAAAAAAGGAACAGATTTCAACCTCTATTTCCAATATTTAATTTAAAGTTTATTTCAAATAATACCAATCAACAGTCTCTGTGCCTATTTTAATTTAGATATTTTATTCTCTCTGGTTTATTTGCCCTGGAAGTTCTGCTGCTTAGTGTGGATCTATCAATTTTTATTATAGTTCTATGGTGTCAACTGAGCAAAGTTTATCACCTTGGTGCTATCTGTTTCTCGTTATGGAATTCAACAGTGACTTTCTAAGATGCAAACACGTTGCCATAAAAGAAGAGGACATGTTTGTCCACAAAACTGCAGTGATTTTTCAGGTGAGTCCTTCTAGCAGCAGAACTTCTGAGGCAAATAAACCAGAGAGAATAAAATATCTAAATTGAAATGGGTACGATGACTGTTTTTTGAGTGGTGTTATTTGAAATCAACTTTAAATTAAATATTGGAAATAGAGGTCAAAATTTTGTTTGTTTGTTTGTTTGGCTCTAAAGCAGAAAAAAACTGTTTTCGTATTTTATTGTTTTTTGTTCTTAATTGAAATTCAAAAGCATGAATAGTGCACGGACCTAAATGTAAAGTAGAGCTGTTTAATTTCATTTTGTGGTACATTCCAGGCAGAGCAATGACATCCATAGAAACAAGCAGGTGACGGACCCCTAACCAAAAGGTTACACAGTGCACCTTTAATTATGTATTTTTAGACTAAACAAAGGGAAGTTGAATGGCAAATTGTTTTGAATAAAATAGTGTAGTGTGGAGGATATGTGTCATGTGGCTGCTCTGATCTGCTGTTGTGTGCAGGTGCATGGAGACCCTCGTCTGTCGTCCTCCATCGGGTCCAACTGGAGCATAGTGGTGGCTGATAAGACGGTCATCCTGTTTGACCAGAGCTATCAGAACATCCTACTGCTTCTGCACTTTGGTATGTTAATTAATGTGACAAATGTATAACTTTATGAGAGTGCTGCCCTTTTCTCATCTACGTGGTTTGGATTTGTAGAAACTCAAGTGGAAGCGTTTGACGTGTGTCTCGAAGGACAGTTTTTAGTGGTGTGTGAACAAAATGGAAACCTGCACCTGATTTATGTGCCACACAAGAAAATCCTCCTCACCAAGGTAAGTCATGCAGGCTTAAGTCATACGGGTGTGTAGGGCTGAAGTGGACGAAATTCTTGGTGGACTAAAATCATGTACTGCTGATTGATGGTTGACTAAAAAGGG